GAGGTGGATGACGACGAACTTGATGCAGCCGCGCTGGACGAGGTGGATGACGACGAACTTGATGCAGCCGCGCTGGACGAGGTGGATGACGACGAGCTTGATGCAAGCGCGCTGGACGAGGTGGATGACGAGCTTGATGCAGCCGCGCTGGACGACGTGGATGTCACTGCGGCAGTGGTGGCCAAAGAAGTGAAGGTAGTCGATGATACAGTGGTTGAGGTCATGGTGCTGCTACCAGAGGTGCTTGACATGCTGGTGGTAGTCGTCGTGGCTGCAGATGTGTTAGCACAGGAGGAGGCGCTCAAATGTCAGAACAAGACTTACTAGGCAGATCAAACACCACAGTCAAGATGATCGGGTTGCAGTAGAATGGTGTTTCAGTAGCACTGAACAAAATGAAGATGTTGCTAGAGTCAGTAACACAGAATCCGTTGTTCTCATAGTCAATGAGCAAGGTATTGTCAGAGCCGACCGAGAATGTAGAAATGGTCGTTGGTGGGGTTGGGGTGAGTTGGAACGCAATATAAGCGAAGCTGTAGTCAGCGTCGACATATTGGCCACCGGAGATCAAGAACCCAAGGGTGTCGATGAAGAACACAGCAGCCAAGGTTTGGTCACTGACGAGAACAGCGTCTTCGCCTGCGAACGCCACGTACGTGATGGCTCGCTTGCGGTACTTGGCCGGGGTGTTTGAGATAAGGTAGAAGGGACCGATGGCAGGGGTAATGACTGGGCTGGTCGTGGTAGATGAAGCCGACGATGTAGTACTGCTAGAGCTGGAGCTGGAGGCAGCCATCGCAGAGGTAGTGCTGCTAGAGCTCGAACTGGAGGCAGCCATCGCAGAGGTAGTGCTGCTAGAGCTGGAGCTAGAGCTGGCCATCGCGGAGCTTGAGGATGAGCTGGAGCTGGAGCTGGAGCTGGAGCTGGACATAGCTGAGCTGGAGCTCGAGCTGGAGCTGGAGCTGGAGCTGGCGCCTGCGGTGGTGGTGGTGCTGGTAGAAGCACCGATGGGACCGCCAGTGCTGGAGATGGAGCTGGAACTTGAGCTGGAGCTGGAGCTGGAGCTCGACATAGCAGAGCTGGAGCTGGAGCTGGAACTGGAGCTGGAGCTGGCGCCTGCGGTAGTGGTGGTGCTGGTAGAAGCACCGATGGGACCGCCAGTGCTAGAGATTGAGCTGGAGCTGGATGTGGTGGAAGCACCGATAGGGCCACCAGTGCTAGTAACGGTGTTCGTGACAGTCTCAGTGACGGTGAACCAATCTTCCCATCCGTTGGTGGCAGTGTTCTTCGGGTTACCCCAGTCGGACCAGCCAAATGGATCGCTTCCATCAGTGGGAGCAGCACCATGGCCGTGCGATGGGTTCCAGCCCCAGTGGTTACCCGTTGGCATTGGGACGGGGCTGGCTGTGGTAGGTGCTTGTCTGCTGCAGGGGACGGTGTAGTAGATGGTCTTGGTGATGGTTGTGGTGAAGTCAATGATCTCACGCGGTCTGTGGCAGGCCCGCGTAACGTGGGCATACCATGGCTGAGGAGCAATGGTGATTGTCTCTGCAGCAGCGGTAATGACACGGGCAGGTTGTGTCATCGTGAAGGTGAATGTGTAAGTACCGGCGCTGGGGGCAACCCATCTGGTCGAGAGGGGAGCCACGGTGGTGGAGGTCACAGCTGGTGCTGGCAGGGAAATCCAGGTCTCCTCGTATCCCAAGCACTTGGCACCGAAGGGGCCAGCACGGCATTCGGTAACATCGACGACTTGCCTTCGGCTGCCATCAGACTGAACACCGCAAGTCTTGCAGAGACCGCTGCCATCATAGCCTGGAATGGCCAAAGGACCGAGCTGGTTGTATGGAGCGTAGAAGTCCTTGGCAATGGTCATGTAGACTGGGCTTGGTGCAGGCACATAAACGGTTCCGTTGATGGTGGCAGTCGGGGCGGGCGTAATATATTTAGTCAATGTCGTCGAGAAAACTGACACTGTGACCTCTTGAGTCGTAGAAGTAACCACGGTGCTGGAGGCGGTCTTGCCATCCCAGGCGTCAGGGATGGTGGTGCTAACAAAGGCGTATGTGTCGAAAGCGTATTTAGTGATGCAGGATCCGCGGAAGCAAGCCGTGGTTGGCACACAGGTCGACACCGGCTGGTATTGGCTTGTAACTGTAACCGGCTTGAACGTGGTGCTGCCGGTCGCTTGCGGGCAAGGAGTGACTGTGGCCAGGGGCTCAGCTAGAGCAGCGCCCGCCATCAAAGCGGCCGCGCCGAAAGAAAAACGCATCTTGAAAGAGTGTAACGAATGACTTCTCGATGAAAAGAATGGCTGAAGGAAAATTCCTTCGAATTATAACGAGTGAACGAGTGACCTGTGCTGCTGCGCGTGGTGGTGAAGGAAGAGGCTGGGGAGGAGCGAGCGTCGACTGCTATATACCACGGATGCCGAGACTCATTTCCTGTTGTCAGAAGCAGACAGGATTCAAAGGGAGGTTTCCAAGTGGATGTTCCGTGGGGAGGGGCGCCTTTGGAAGGGCCGTGCAGTGACCGGATCCTGAGCATTGTGCTCACCAGCACTCAGAGCAAGGCTCACCAGACCCACCGAAAGAAAGTAGACGGGCGAAACCTGAGGCCCAACCAACACAGGCATAGACCATCAGCTGAAGGAAATCATGGCTGGAAATTCAGGATCCAAGCGTTGAGATACAACGCCATCCAGGAGTCAAGTCCTGCCTTGAGAGACAGTACCTGGAAATGACAGCGGCATTGATAGCGAGGTTGATAGATCTGGCAGCGGCGTCCAATTTCCCGATGGCCTATCGAGGCCAGGAACATGACGGTCTCCTTCGAGCAACGGACAAGCCACTGCCGACACTGGAGGAGTATAGGAGAAAAACGGTACGAGGAGGAGTGGTGGGTATGACGGGGGTGGAGATAAACAACGGTACGGTAAAATGAGGCCTTCTAAATGGTGTGAAGGAGCTGGACTGGTTGCCAAAGCAATTGCAACCAATGGCACAGTATGATCCAAGACCGTATCGAGGACAGCAATGGGGTTCAGGGGAGGCCGGCCAAGTCGGAAGTCTTGCCACAGTGGTTGTAAGATACCTAGGGAGTGAGAGACACAGTACTCACCTCTCAGAACCCTCATTCAGAGGCATGACCCGGCCCGCTCCGCCCCAATGCAGGAGGGCTGTGAAAGGGAACATCAGACTCGGCGATCAAGCCTTGCAGACTCTTCTACGCGACGTTCCAAACACAGACACGGCGCGCAAAAACATAATTTCGCTTTCCGACGCATTGTCTGCTGAACGACGCGTCCAACCTGGTGCGATCGAGGATCTTCAAACAGTGATGGGTTGGTCAGGAGCAGACGGCGGTCATGGCGAGTTGACACGGGCCTGGCCAACCACTTGATGCTGTCATCGAGCAAGATCAGAGGAGTCGCCAGGCGGTGCCACCTATGAGCTTCCCGGAGATATAATTTCACGGTTGTCGAACATCGCTATGGATCATGAACTTGTGTAGCTGCCACATTGACACTGTCACACAAATCTTAACTGAGGTGGTTGAGGAGTAGAGGTTGGAAAAAGGATTTCCTTGGCATCGAGTTCTGCGATTAAATGAGGTTTAGCCGTCACAACGCGTGACAAAAATTACGGTCATCCTGTCAGTCTTGATACGCGTGTCATTCCCACCTGGAAGGTTTCCCATGTGCTCGTCACGCTCTTTTCACCGCTCACGGCTCTCCTTTTCTGGGGACCACCTAGGCACCTTAGGCACTGCAACCGATCGTTAAAGCGCAAGGCTGGTTCTCCACCATTATCGCGGAATCGACGTGCTTCTGCTTCAGGAGACTGAGTCGCCCACTCATCGTTATGTTCAACAGAGGCACCATTCCCTACACGTGCTAGTCCACGACGAGTCTGCACATCATCCAGAAGCAGGTCAAGGTCTCCCTCCCTATGGGTATCTCCTGGAATCTGCTACAGCGCGATGGGCAACCAGGACTTGAGCTGGACTGAGCTCCTCAATACTGAACGGCAGATGGGCTGTGATTGTTGTTCGCAGGAAGCCGCACTGGTAGATTGGTCCTGACCGATGTGATCAATCAGCTGCAAAAGTCCTCCAGCCTTCCGTGGACGGGAAACACCGGAGCGCCATATGGCACATGCTCTATTCCCTGATCGAGCACTCTGAAGCCATCATCTGCACTCCCCACTCTCTCACCTTCCTTGGATTTTGTTCTACCAACCTTTGAGCTTGTCGTGGCTTGTCTAGTAAGCTGTCAAGACCGCCGCAGACGGAGTTGACGCTCGGTCAATTGATTCCATGGGCCTCTTCCGAAGTTGAATGTCCTTGTTTGCCACAAATGAGATTTCGACACACGACGAGTCTTCTGCTCTCACAAAAACTGCACGTTTCCCTTAAATCTCTTTGGTTGGCTATACATCAGCTCAATCTTCCTTTGCGAGTCAAAGCTTTCATCGAATTTTCCAAAAGTCCCAGCGAATACTAGTAGTTCGTTTTTGACATATTCACTGCTATACTCCCGTACCACCAGTTTGATCAGCGACAGCCAATGCCGTGATTGCAACTTACCTCGTGGTACTCTGATACGATGATCACACAGATCAAACTATATTCGACCTAAGATCTAATCTCTAGCATGTCGACTCTCCCGTTTGACAGTCCTAGCAGGCGATGGGAGCGCAAGAACTCGCAGAGCTGGCGGCAGCCTCAAGCCGCCCACCGATCGCGACGATCCATTCTCATAGCCATAGCATGCATCCTATGTCTGGGACTGTGGCACCATACTCGCTCCTCTCCTCCTTCACTCTCCCCGAACCGACATGAACTCGGAGAAGGTGATGCAGATTTCCTATCTTTGATAGATCGGAGGTCGCTACCAGAAGATGCAGACTGGCCTTTCGTGGCACCAGCCGTGGACAGGACACACCCAAAGAGCTTCAAGCCGGAGGTCAAGTCGATACTGCACAGCGAAGGAACGGAAGAAGAAGATCAGCGCCTCGTTTTCGAAGAGAACTCACAAAATTCAGTGGATACTGAGGGCACCGTCAGCGACACAGGTGCCAGCCCGAATCAAGCGACCAACGACCTTCCCCTTGAGCCAGGAATCGTGGTCACATCCGGAGATGGATCCGGAGATATATTTATAGAGCCACAAATCGTGGAAGTGCCACCAGACCGGTTGCAAAAAGGGCCCGTGGCAGTGCAGGCAAACCTGGATCCAGAAACGGAGAAGGCGCCGTTGATATCATCGCCTGATCAGCCGGTGAAGGAGAAAATCATCGAAGCCGAGCCGCTTGATCATCTGAGCTTGGAGGAGAAAGCCGACAGCCTGCCAGAGGTCGTCCATATCCCCTTTGAAGATGCCGTCAAGGACGAAGTGCTGCACGGATGGGAGGACGACTGGGTGGCGCATGCTTCTTACGATTCGAAGAAATGGGGAAAGTTGGAGGAGCCCAAGATCGATTTCGTGTACCTGTGTAAGAGACAACTGCAATTGGGGCTTGCTGAAGTGGCGACTGACATGACCAGGGGTGAACGGATCTGAAGAGTCCTTCCAGCGAACGAAGCGTCCTTTCGAGGAAAATTCCGTCCTTAACGACGAAGACGGGAAATGGATCAAGTCGCACGGGGTCAACCGCTATCGGGACTGGGACGAGCTTCGGTACTCACTTCGCAGTGTTGAACGATATGCATCAGATTTCCGCAACAAGATCCAGATCGTGGTGAACTCGGTGGATGGCACAGAGGCGGGCAAGCAGGTCCCGAGCTGGCTGAACAACGAACGAGCCACGAGAGAAGTGGTTCAAGTCATTGCACAAGAAGAATTTTTCGACCGGGAAAAGCATGCCTGCTTGCCGACTTTCAACTCTCTGACGATCGAGAATCAGCTGTTCAACACCCCGTCAGACACGGACTATGTGCGCATCACCTATCCCTTGTTAGCACGCGTCGTGAATTCATTGCTAACCACATGTAGTTATACGCCTTGTCCGACGACATGCTTCTGGGCAAGCAACATGCTGCGTCCGACATATACTCGCCGCTCTTCGGCTCTGTTATGGGCTTCAAAACCAACGCCTACAGCACAACACAGCCGCCGAGTGAGGTCGATGCGCAACGCTTCGGCGAGAAGCCATATCTGATCTACACGTCGTGGTTGCTGAATCGCAGGTTCGGTATTCGAAAGCGCAAAGGTCAGGGCCATTTTGGGCATGCTCTGTCTCGGAAGATCATGCGGGAGGCAATATCTTCGTTCCCAGGACCCGAATTGCAGAGTGCCTGCAAAAGATTCCGTGGAGAGCCCGGATTCCAGTTGTATTCCTGGTACGTAACCTTTCACTACCTGATTGAAAGGCATCGAGAAGCTCTGCTTTGGAGTTACATCATGCTTCGGAGCGATGTGGACAACGATGGTAATTTGTCGTGGGAAGAGCGCCAGACCATGATGCAAGATTTGGAGGCCGGCATGAAAAATGAAGGCCGAACCACATTCCGCAGACGAAACTATTATCATGTGCATCAGCTGTTGCAAAAGGCGGGATTGCAATCACCAAAGGTCAACACGGATGTTCTCTGGACGTCTTTGGACGGACCAGCCACGATCCAAAATGCGGACTGTATCGAGTTCGACGTGAATGAATGTCTGGCCCCAGGATTCTCGGTGTCTTCCACAGATGCCTTCTCCAAAAACCCGGTGTTTTCCACGTCGAATGTTTTCGACCGGCTGGCGAGACAAGAGCCAAAATGTGGAGATTGCTTGCTCAAGTTGATACTCAACAAAACCCCAAAGGGATTGGCACCTTTGCTACCACGGGCCGACACCCAGGCACGGCAGAGAGAACTTGTCATCAAGGCAGTGATGCGTTATCGTTTCTCCATCATCAATCCAGACGCCCTTTTCGTCATGGTGACCGATGCCGAACAAGTTGACAGCACACTCGTCAATCGGTATGTTCGTGGAAAGAAACAGCTGGCCGGCCAGTTGTGCTTGAACGATGATGTTTCGACCAACGATCCGCAAGAGCTTGCTGATGTCAAGCAAGCCATGACTGAATTGTATAATGGGCTGTTTCCGGACCCCAGTCCCTTCGAGAAGTGATGTCGATTCAAACAATCACTTGACGACATTATGAACTGATTGTTGCATTGAGCCATAGAATTGAGCATCCAAAATTCATCCGGAAGGGAGTTTGCTTTGAGCCGCAGAGCGGCGTCTTCTTGTGTCACTCTGTGAGGGACATCTGTCGAAAGATACTACTGTTATAAACCAAGTGACGAATGTTGCTAAGGCCTGTGAAGAGAGTTGTCCGCCGGGATGGCAAGAACAATTAAAAAGGAAGAGAATGTGATATATGACAGCAAGCTTTACTGTGTATAGTACATGGCACTGATGGCACCAATAAGATGAGCTTGGCTTGGACAAGACCTAGGTTCCAGCAGTACCTAGCCTCGCTAGGTGCCTAGGGTATTTAGGCCTTCGGGTAGCTGCTTGGGGTCATCATGGGTCCAATATACACTTTGTCTCCCCCGGAAAAGTAGCCAAACGAGAAGACGGACGTTCCTGAACTAAACTGCTTGTATCCTAGCAGTTTTGGCCCCTTGTTCTACTCGATCGAATACTCTTGTGCCCGCATTTTGCTGATTTCTTGCGGTCTGCGAGCAGTACAGATTGTAAATACTCTCCTCGCCCATGTTCATCACCGTCTTTTGTCATGCTGGCACAGGCACAGTAGGAGGCGTGCTCCAGGGAGCCATTACGACTTTTATTTCCTCTAAATGACCAAGTTTGACCTAATTAACTCCTCCCTAGCCGTGATTGCATGTATGTAGCAAACTTTGGCAAACTTTTGCAAAGCCGAGCAGCAGATTCGCCTGTTTACCCGCCACAACTTCAATCCTCAGCCTCATATTGCTACTTCTTCTGCTATGATACAACCTCGTAAAGCCACTGTGTGATGCCCTCAGTACCGTTCAGAATGGCAGACACTCGCGTCAACATGTTTACGGATTCAAAAGCCCTAGTGAAACAACACCGCGAGTTCAAACTCCAGACTGCGGAGCAACATGCTTTTGTCGAGGTAGCCTCATTCTGTTTTAATGGTACTTATTCTCCAATGTCTGACCGGTACAGAAAGTTCTCGAGCTACTTGCTGTAAAGGATCAAGCATACGCAGACCTCCAAGCCGACCTGAATGACCAGACGGAGAGCCGTCGCCGCTGGCAAAACCGTGCAGTGGACGTTGAATCACGCATCGTTCGTGTCACCCTTTGCTCCTTGCATTGCTCCCTAGGTACTGATTGGCTCTTCAGACAAGTGTACAGCATATCCTCGTGCTCATCGACGGAAACCAGCATTTCTTCAAGACCGATTTCATCCGAGCAGGCACTGCAGGCGCACAAGAGGCGGTCAGGACTTTTATATCCAAGGCAAAAGAAGTTGCGAGGGCACAGCACAAGAATGACCTGCCTGAGAACATATCTCCAGTAGTGCACATTTTCTCTGATATTGGCCGGCTGGCGCAAGATCTCTCTGCGGCGAGTCTACTACCGGACCCGGACCAACTATGGACATTCATCCAGGATATCTGCAAAATCGAGCCTGGCATCACAGTCAGCGACTGCGGTTCCGGACATGAGGCTGTGGATGTAAAGTTGAAATGTGAGGAGAGCCAAACTTGGCCTATTGGGGCTCCGCTAACCACCCCAGACTTCTACGAGCTCTATATTGAGAACTGTCACTGTAGACATGTTTTCCTTGCTTTGGGACAACATTCTGATTACTACAACATCCTCCAGCTCTACAGCGACGACGACTACACTAAAGGGAAGACATCCTTGGTACGCCCATCGCAAGGATTCGTCCCGGGACACAACGTACCATTCCACTCCATTGAATTCTCTGCCTTCGACAGCGTTCCAAACCCCTCAGCATTCTCCAGTCAGACCTCCAGGCCAATCAACGGTCAGACACCGACAGGTCAATGGAGTACGCATGTTGAAGGCGAGACTTCTGCAACTCTACGATCCTTAAAGACGAACGGAAATCAATCATCAACTTCCCGGAACAGTGAGCAACCCCTTCTGAAGTCTCGAAGCGTAGCACCGAGCCCACGGTCAGAGCTTGTGTCTGGCCCCAGGCAGCAGACTGCTGACATACCGTCCGAAGGCATGAATGGCACATCAAAAGAGCCAGAAGACGAAAGTTCAACTGGCGTAGTTAAACTGGACTCGGCACATTCGTCATCGCAATCTAACAAGGCTGCTGAGCAGAGCTGGGAAACGAGCATGACCGAAAACACCTACGCTCCGCTACCAATACAAGGTGCTTGGGGTGAGGAGATGACAAACGGAACCAACAGCCACAAAGAGTCGAACACTTGGGCGACCGAGACTCGACCGCCGCAGAGATACATGGGACGGGGCAACGATAATGCAAACGGTCGCGCAACAAAGTCAGCAAGGAGACAGGAACCCCCAAGATCAAAAACGTTTTCACGTCCGCAAGGACGGGCCCCGAGGCAATTTCAAGGCTCGTGGGACGATATGGTAGAGCAAGAGGCCTCCCAACGATTTCAACAAACTTCACCACAAGCCATACCAGAGCCACGAGCGGCCTCGAGAGCAAGCAGCTCCGTTGCTCCCGCATTCACAAAGAAAATTCCGAGCATGCCAGAGCCTCATCCTGAGCGACGTCCCGTTTGTTCACCAATAGCGCTCAACAGGCTCGATCAACGCATCGATTTGAAACTCCCGAAGCCCTCTCTGGAGGACCAGGAACGGTTCGATATTCGTTCGCGCAATCGTAAACTGTGTAACGAGCATCATCTGCGTTCAAATTGCAACAAACCACGCTGTACCTATGATCATGAGTCAATCGTTGACGGCGTGTACCTTGCCTTGAGAATCAAGGCACGTAAAATTCCTTGCAGCATCGGTCCAAATTGCCGACGTCATGATTGTTTTGGAAGTCATCATTGTCCCAACGTATCGCACTCGTCGGCTTGCGGAAGACCCAATTGTCCATTCGAAGCCAGAGGCATGCATGGTGTGACGGATCTGGAAATCGTGCGAACAATTGAGCCGGCAGCAGCCGATGAAGCCTAGACATTCACAAAGGCCCGAGTGTGCTATCGAGGGAACGACAGATCATTGGTTTGGAAGTCGATCTTGTATCGCGCGTGGCATTGACCAATGCTGCTCGAGGGGCTAGACTTGTGAGATTGGGTTGTGGTTGTTGTAAGTCTAGGCTGACGCAGCCCATTGAAGCAAGGTTGAGCGATGTTGGTGGAACGCGTCTTTTATACCTTGGACATGGAGCCCATGAGGAGGCGTCTGATGCTCGTATTCAAAGGAAGTCATTGGTTCTCGTGCGAATGAATCAAGGGGTTCGCTGACACCGTTTGTCTCCTGCTGTATGTGTGTGCCATTCGAATTCTTCGCCATCGACTGAGGGTGTCCAGAAATGCGCCAGCATGCTTAGGATAGAGTCGTGAATCCTGGCAAATGCATGATCGGGCTCTCAAGGTTTCTCCGGGGCAGTCAACTTCGGCGATGTGAATCTAGTCAAATGGCCTGCATCAGTCAATCCCATAATTATATTTGCAACAGTTTTGGGAACTGGCGGCATAAGTCAGCAGGTAATCCCGTGAATGGAGGACAGCTGAACATACCATGTTCATGTCTTGCTATATAGCCGATGCTTATCGGCATTCGATCAATCCCGATCATGAGGCAGACTTGATGCCTCTCAGAGGTTTGGGCTCGGCTTTCACTGTTGTGATCATGCGTTTCGCAAGCAGAGCGTTCTTCGAATAGCGCATGACATATGCGTCGCCAGCTGGGATGGCCAGCGTACCCTGTGCAAAGACGGGCCACTGTCAGGGGACTCCACAACACCCGACTGCTCCACGATCCATTCTCGACGTGATACGCTTTCAATCTCTGTCCATCTTGTCGTCGCGATCTCCTCCTCGTCTTCGGTCCGCGCTTCGAGTCCTGCTCCTCGACTTGCTCCGGCTGCGACTTCGCGCATCACGGCCGGCACGACGCTCATTCGCCTTTCCGGCTCCAGCACGGGCCTTGTTGTCCTTCGGAGGCGGTCGCACGAACGCGTAGTCGACTGATATGGTCTGGTCGAGGAGCTTGGCTCCGTTCAATGCCTTGATCGCTGCGGCGGCTTCGACTTGCGTAGGGTATTCGATCAGGACATAGCCCTATGTATTATTCACGGTCAGCAGATGATCTAGCAGCGCCGCGGTGAGATATTTGCGCACCTTGACATAACCCGTCCTCCGATCCAGGTTGAGGTGCAGATTCTTGATGTCTCCATATTCGGCGAACAGGTCCGTAATGTCCTCCTCCGTGGCCTCTTCGTGGATGTTTGTCGCGATCACGATCCAGCCTTCGATACTGCGGACGGCGACGGCGTTCTCGGCAGTGCGGGCCTCGGTGCCGGCATTGGGCTTCTTGCTGTCGGTGGGCGAGGATGTGCCGTTCTTGCTGTCGTCTGAGGCTGGCGGTACGGCGTCAACTTCCATTTCTGTAGACATGGTCGGGCGCTGGTAGATGAGTAAGCCTTGTGGGTGAGGAAAGCCTTCTGGGTTCAAGGTTGCGCAGAATGTGCGTCTCTTTCGAGGTCAACGTATACAGAGCGGAGAGGTTTGGTCTTCACGGGTCGACTGCAATAAATTATTCAAGTTTGCGGAGGACGTCCGTTCGCCAAGTCCAGCTCCGCCTTGCTTCTAATTACTGCCAGACAACTCTAGAGGTGCTCGGTCGTCCGAGCGGGGATCGTTGAGCTGGCGTTCAAGCCACCCGATTATTTTGAAAAGACGGCGCTTTTGCGCACTGTTGAGTGGTAATGAAGATTTTGACAGTGAAATTGTTTGACTGAAAAACGACAAAGACAGGCCGCACTTCGAAAATCCATTTGACTGACAAATATTTCCCGCTCCAACTGGATTCAATGGGATGATCAAATATCCAGACTACTTTTCACCTCTACGTCCACAAGCAACTGGTTTGGCATACTCAGCGAGGTGCCGGACCAACTATGTGGCTATATGTATGAGTTCTACATAGTAATTTCGAGCCAAAGCGGGCACGGGGTGGCGGTCCTCTATGATTTGTGTATCGTGATTAAAGTGTTCCGGAATCTGGGAATATAATTATGATATTCCTGAGTGTCCCCAATCCCATTTCATGTCTTCAACACAGCAACAACGAAAAGCGGCGCAGTTAGGTCAAAGTCAACGAGCTCGCTCTGTTTCATGCAAGTAGACGTGTTGAGTCATATGAATGTGCTTATGGGCGACCAAATCAGCATGGGAAGACGTGGAAGACTCACTCATCAGCAGGCGAACAACGTCCAGAGCCACCAGGGAGCAAAGTCTACCAAATTGCAACAGCGCGGAGAAACGAGGGATGCGACGGTTCTTCGAATGTGTCTGCGTTAAACCCTCTTCGTTTCAGTCTGGAACTCGAAATAGGTCTTGTTTTGATCTACGCTTACATAGAAAGTCAGGCGGAAAACTCAATAATAGACACAACACCCATGATCCAACGTGCCCACCAGCGCCAGTCGTCGTTAACGATGTCGGGCTCTGGAATGTAATCCATGCGATCTGTGCCAGACAATGGGCGGGGACATTGAATTTGCCGGTGACATACTTCCACAATGCAGGAAGACGTTCATGCATCTTCACCAGTCTCTCCAGACCTCGCCGATTCAACTCTGGCGCGCTGAACAGAACTACGGGAGTAGCTTCTTACTCTCCGAGTAGAACGACAATTTTGTCTCGATCTTGTCCTAAATGGAGGGCTCAGAAGAAGAGATATGCGATCAGGAAGCTGAGGAGACATAGCCCCGCAACGATCTGTAGAGGCACCCCGGACTCATGGCTCTGCTGAACAACGGTCTGAACCTTCTCGCTTGCCTCTTGCACCTTCCGCTGCCGGAATTGGGGGTCTTGAACCTGCTCCGAAAGTTTCTTAATTTGAGCCCTTGCAGTGGCCAATTGTTCCTGCAATTCCTGGTTGGACGTCGGCACGGCGTTTGCGATAGTAGTAGCCGCGGAAGTGAGGCCGGTCGCGTCCGCAGCATTGGCCATAGATGTCCTCGCACTCTCAGCCGTTGACACCCCACCGATCGAGGAGCGTGGAGCTGGAGAATCAAATTGCGGAGACGGCGAAGAGTAAGCCGGTGGCTGTTCTTCGTGTGATGATGTGCCGTTGGGCGTGGCACCCCCTGCAGGCAAGAAGTTGACCCTGATCTTCTTCTCTTGAATGGTGTTTTTGGCGGTCTTTTCCACCGTTTGCCAGAGTGTCGTCACGTTCGGGTCTTGATCGGCCGATGTGAGGACAGTTTGTACGAGGAACTTGTCGCGGCATTTGGCATCCAGAGGAGGCTCTTCTTTCATGGCCTGTAGGAGGACTGTAACCGTGAGCGGATTGAATGGTTCGGCAGGGGCTATACATACCCTGTACTTCAACCTCGCCATTCGGCGGTATCATGCCCGAATTTGGTCGCACGCAGTACCTAGTGAGCGTTAGCTGTGGATAGATCGCATTTAAGTGCTCTTTGTACTGACTGTTTGGGTGCGGTGGTTTTGACCTATTGGGCAAACAAGTTAACAGGTTGCGCAACCAGAGATAGGGGATCGACATACCTTGAAAGCGACAGGAGCGTCATTTGGATTCGCGAGCTTCAGGACTTCCGTGACCTCCCGAGTGAATGGACCTGTTTCATAATTAGTTGCTGGCTATCTTGGTGTCTTTGGAGGTACTGACGTCTGAAGCCCAATTCGGTTGGGTGGAGCTCGACGGACATGATGAGATGGATGTGCAGCGACGCGCAGATGCGGGAGCAGTCGATTGAAGTAACGTCTTCGCAGAGATGAATTTGTGATGCTGAATTGGATTGGCAGAAGAGTACAAAGCCGCCGATTTGGAAGGCAGGAAGTAGCAGGTTACGATGACGGTCTGCGCACTTCCTCGGCGAGGTTGGCTGGGCCTCCTTTAGGCGCGAGCCACCCAAAGTTCAAGCAGGTCCTCTTGGCAGCAATGACGATGGTAAACCATGTCACGGCCCCATCATGCCTTTGTCCCGCATTATCAAGTCGGTACTCCATACAGCGCATGCTGTTCTGACAAACCCGTACAATCGGAAGCGATCTTCATTTAGGTCCTCACTCATTCACACTTCACTCACGATCCGCAAGATATACAAAGTCACCCTACTCCGCCCCGATCTGTCTATCCTCGCTTCCAAATCGCAAGCAATCCGCTCACGCAGACCCGCCACATATCGTCCATAAACCCTACACAGGATGGCCGCGTCAGATCTCGACCAGTTGGTCATGATGGGATTCGACAAGGAGAGAAGTGAGATGGCCATCAAGGAAACTGGCGGTTGTAAGTGAATCATTGCAACCTCGTCCACGACTTGGGTTTAACTTTCGCGCAGTGGCCGATGCCATCGACTGGCTAGATCAGAACTCATCCAAATCATTAGAAGAACTCAGAAGCGAAAAGGAAGCCGCAGCACAAGCAAAAGCCGAAGAAGCTGCTGATCAGGCGCGGAGTCTAGTGTGTAACGAATGTGGAAAGAAATTCAGAGGGACAGCACAAGCCGAGTTTCACGCCTCCAAATCGGGCCATACAGACTTTGCAGAGTCGACCGAGGAGATCGCACCTCTGACTGAGGAAGAAAAGCAGGCCAAGTTAGCAGAACTGAGGGAAAAGCTGGCAGCGAAGAAAGCGGTGCTGTCGGAGCAGGACAAGATTGACCAGAAGCGAAATGAACAAATCAACCGCAAGAAGACGAAAGAGACCGAGGATCTGAAGGAGCAGCTGCGGGTGAAGGAACAGATCAAGGAGGCTGAGAAGAAGCGACGGGAGAAGCAAGCAGACATTGAGGCGAAGAAGCGAATACAGGCCAAGATTGCCGCCGACAAGGAAGAGCGAAGATTGAAGAACGAGAGAGAAAAGGCTGCCCGAGCAGGAATCGCAGTTCCGGTGGCAGAAGCCGCTGCACCTGCTCCGGCGCCCCCGAAGCCTGCATCAGACTACAAGGAGACGCGCCTCCGTCTCCAAACAACAGCCGGCAACATCATGAAGACCTTCCCTGTTGAGACGACGCTGTTCGAGGTTGCCGCTGCGGTGGGTGAGGAGACAGGGCGAGATGTTGAGAGTTTTACTCAGAATTTCCCCAGGAAAGTGTTCAGCCAGGAATACTTCGGCGAGTCGCTGAAGGATCTGAAGTTGGTGCCAAGTGCAAGTTTGATTGTAACGTAGGTCTTCTCACTCTCTATCTCTTTGAGCTTGACGAAGACTCCATGGCGAAGGAGTGGAAAATGGACCTGGTGGGTGCCTGGGCTGGCAAGCATATCGGATCATGTTGCCATCGGTTGATCCAGGCTGGGCTGACGAAGAATGAAAGGGACTATCCACTACCTTGGTAGCCCGCCAATATGTGAGAAACTCAATCTTGGGCGACTTGCGCACAACGATCCATTAGATGTAGAAACGAGAAGTGGTAGGTTGACTTCAGTACATAGTACAATAAATAACGCGTCGAGCACTCGAGGGACAAATCGATGCACGTGCGGGGATTGACGCCTCGACGCTTGCAATTTTCCGACGTCGCTGAGAATCCACCGCTCAACATCTCCTGATCTAGGTGCGTCTTCTTCGATTTCGAAGCCTACCTCCCTCCTAGAATCATGTTTGCTTACAATAATTCGTTTGTGCATACTCCTTAGACCTCAGAGATCGCCGTCTCTCCGTGGCCTGCCATGTCCACTGCTACCGAAACCCAGTCTCTCCGCAAGACTCACCGCATAAAGAGCCCCTCCATGTCCGAGAAGAATGTTCAACTGAGAAGAGAAGGCTCAGGTTATGTTGAAACGTCCACGGAAGACAGATTCTTCTGGACATATACGGAGGAGCCACATCGAACCCGCCGCCAGGCCATCATCAAAGCACACAAAGACGTCCTCCAGCTTTGCGGACCAGAACCGCTCACGAAATACCTAGTACTTGCAGTCGTGCTGCTACAGATTGCCTGTGCAAGCCTACTGAGGAACAGTTCTGTGTTCTCCTGGCCGTTCCTCCTCACAGCCTACGTCGTTGGAGCCACTGCAAATCAGAACCTCTTCCTGGCAATACACGAGATCAGTCACAATCTCGCCTTCCGAACGCCGGTCTACAACAGGCTCTTTGCCATCTTTGCCAATCTTCCGATTGGCTTACCCTACTCTGCTGGTTTCCGGCAGTACCATTTGACTCACCACAAATCGTTGGGCGTCGATGGCGTCGATACCGATCTGCCTACGGCGCTTGAAGCCGTGTTCTTGGACTCAGTGCTGGGAAAGGCCTTTTTTTGCACGTTCCAACTGATTTTCTACGCAATCAGACCCATGATGGTGTATAAGATACCGTTTGGCCCGATCCATTATTGCAACATTGCTGCACAGATCATCTTCGACATTCTCATCCTTCGATATCTTGGTCCGAATGCTCTCATCTATCTCGTCATGAGCTCATTTTTGGCTGGCTCTCTTCATCCCTGCGCAGCTCACTTCATTTCTGAGCACTACGTCTTCGCCAAATCCACCTTGGTGAACGGCAAGATGCCAAAAGACGTGCCCATTCCCGAGACATTTTCATATTATGGACCACTAAACATCCTCACCTATAATGTTGGTTATCATAATGAGCACCACGATTTCCCTGCAATACCTTGGACCAGGTTACCCAAGGTGTATGAGATCGCTCGGGAGTTCTATGAGCCCCTGCCGTGCCACAAGAGCTGGCCCTTAGTGTTGTGGCAATTCATAACTGATAAGGAGGTGGGGATGTGGTGTCGTGTGAAGCGAGCAGAAGGTGGAAGGATTGTTGGAGGATGGCAGGATGGAGAAGTACAGAGTTGATTTTTACGAAGATACCTAAGCACGCAGACATGGCCCGATAGACATCATACAATGGTATGTGACAGATGAATGATGATGAATGTCAATGCCTGCAATCAGCCAGAAGCAGGTTCAAGAAGTCAAACATGCTTGGTTCTGACATTTGTTGAGGGCGAGTTGCCGCGCCTGCCCGAGTGACCAAATTCGGATTTCTTTCACGCACATGAAGAATTCTGCAATACTCAAACCCCTCCGTCGTTTCCTTGTGTTGTTGTCGACCTCGAGCAAACATGCCCTCCACTTCTGGTCATGGCAGCCAAGGGCGTCAGACATCTTACAACGGCAGAAGCGAGCCTTTTCGCAGCACTGGAGGGCGCCAATTCCATCGTCACCAGCCTCGACCCAGAGGGCTAGCAAACTCCTTACATACTCCATCTGCCACTCCCTCATCAGTGAGAAAATTTCCTGGACGACCGCTTTTCGTCTCTGAAGGTCCTGCTCAGAGCCACCTGACCGATGCCGCCAGAACTCCTCCACCTGATGATGACTTTGAAGACCGGATTATTATGGCCATCAACTTTGGGCCCAAGAAAAGGGTGGGTTGTGCATACTACATAGCGGGGGAAGAGAGGCTTTTATGCATGGAAGAGGTGGTGGACAGAGGAATGGACGTTATCGAGAGACGTAAGGATGGCTTGCAGGCCCCAAGTTCTCATGCTGAGGTTTTCCAGTGAAGATCGACATACAACCTACAACAGTCATTGTTTCTCCACGCTGTGAAAGCGCCGCCGAAGGTTCTGACTCCCCAAACCGACGACCTGTGTCCTTGGTGGACAGCGGTAAGCTGAACTGGTAATTCCAGCTACATGTTCTCACATGAACGTAGTTGATGATCAGCAACCTCTCCCATACGATACCGAAGTGCGACCATCAGCGGAATTCTCTTATGAAGCCGCTGTGAACAAATTACTGAGTCTGCCCTCGTCCGACAGCTGTGATGGTAACAGTCAACTTCTTGTCCCCGGTGAGCCCATTTTCTACGAAGAAGACTTGCATCCCGACGAACTAGGTTTGACGAAACGGCGAGGCCGGCTGCTCCAGATATCCACCTGGCTTGATCTTGACAACAGAGTAAGCATTGGCTGTGTGGGCGCTGTCATTGGCTATCTGCTACGGAGACGGTCTGCTGCATGCCTCCCTCAAGACCTAAGCGCTGTTCAGGCCTTCCGAATTGTACAATTTGAGATGTTCAGTCTTCGAGGAGTTATGTAGGATCCTCATGAGAAGGTCTCCAGTGCCCAAGTCTAACGCTCTGTTAGGTTCATGAATGCGGACACGTTTGCTTCTCTACAGATTATCCAGCCTGAGGCGACCGCTTTCAAGCAGAGTACAGGAGCTCTTGGAGCCAAGGAGAACGCCATCTCCATTCACGCGCTCTTTCACAACCACGCCCGGAGCCCTCAGGGAAAGACTCTTTTACGTCAAGCCTTTTTGCGACCGTCGCTGGACATCGACCACATAAATTCTCGCCTCGATTTCGTATCCGTTTTCGTCCGGCCGGAAAACCAATCGCAGCGTCAAGGAATTAGTAGAAGCTTGGGCAGGATCAAGAACATGAGGAACACCATGACGTTGCTCCACAAGGGCATTGAAAGTGCAAAGCAGAAAGTGAATGCATTCAAAGGAGGCGTCTGGTCATCGCTGCTAGACTTCTGCTATCACACGATCGATGTCTCAGATACACTTCGAGAAGTCATAGGAGCGGACCACCTTCCACTGTGTTCTCGGGCAGTCGAAATGCTTGATCGGCATAATCTGCAAAGAATTGGTCGAGCTATTCACGAGACTGTGGACGTGGAATTATCCAACGAGCAGCAACGGACCGTGGTCAAGCGTGGAATCAATGATCAATTGGACGAAGTCAAGGACGTGTATGATGGCATGGACGAAATCCTGTCTGAAAAGGCGATCCAGATTGCCAAATCTGTGGGCTTGAACATCGAGCTCAACGTCATTTACTTTCCTCATCTGGGCTTTCATGTCACGATTCCTTTGGACGAGACGACGCATGAGCCGATCTCCGATGCGGGTGAGCTGGGTTGGCAGCACATGTTTACCACCGATCGCCAGGTGTACTACAAGGACCAGACAATGCGTGAAATGGACGAGGAACTCGGTGATCTCTACGCTGAAATCTGCGACTATGAGGTTGAAATTGCCTATGACTTGGCACAGAAAATCTTGCAAGATGAGAAGGTCCTGATAGCGGCATCCGACTTATGTGGCGAGCTGGATTGCAACCTAGCATTCGCCCATTGTGCGCACGAGTACAGTTTAACTCGTCCTCGGATCACCGAAGAAAACGTTATTGACATTCGACGTGGAAGACATTTGCTGCAGGAGAAATGTGTCTGTTCTTTCGTCCCTAACGACACTTTCATCCAGGGCGGTGGTGGTAAAGATGACCAGGCTCCAACCAACCCGTGCATGTTGCTGTTGACGGGGCCGAACTATTCTGGAAAGTCGGTGTATCAGAAGCAGGTCGCCCTAGCAGTATACATGGCTCAAATCGGATCTTTCCTGCCGGCCGAGTCTGCTACCATTGGTATCACTGACAAAATCTTGACCCGCATCACCACACGAGAGACGGTATCGAAGGTCCAGTCTGCCTTCATGATCGACATGCAACAGATCGCCATGGCGCTCAACTCATGCACCAGAAGGAGCCTGGTCGTGATTGACGAGTTTGGTAAAGGGACCGGCACTTGCGACGGTGCCGGTCTTGCAGCGGGTGTATTCCTTCACCTTGTCTCACTTGAGTCTGAAGCTCCAAAGGCTTTGGTAGCCACTCACTTCCACGAGATTTTTGACGTCAAACTCTTTGATGACCTGGAAAATATCTCTTTCGCACATATGGAAGTTCGAGTAGATGTGAAGAACGGGTCCAAAGCCGCTGCATACCAAAGTCAGGTCACCTATCTCTACAACCTGCGGCCTGGCCGAAGCGACCTCTCCTATGGTACACAATGTGCAGCTATGAACGGCATATCAGAGCACATCGTTGAGCGCGCCTGCGAGCTAGCCCAACTGTCGAGCAGGGGTGAAGACCTGGTCGCACACTGTTCGGTGTTGAGCGAGGATGACGCGGTGGAGCTGGAGTTTGCAGAGTCTGCAGCTGAGCTCTTCATGGGCCAGAAATTTGACCGGGAGATGACGAGAGATGAGCTGCTGGCTATGCTGGATGCAATGCTCGAAGGGAGCGTCGAAGAGATGGAGGAGCTCAGCATGTGATATCGAGTAGAGCACATTCAAGTAGCTGCTCTGGTCGCGTACATGCCCTTCTGTTTACCCCAGTTTCTGCACTTCGAAAGAAGGTCTGGAGCGGCAAATATGATGATGAGAGATCCCAGCCAATTCCAGAAGACGTCCATGAAATTCTTCCGCACACTACCAGCCATGCCCACTCCACGCAACAAATGTCCCAAGAACAAAGTACTGATCATGAAGTCGCCAGCACTGAGGCGGCTGAGCGCGATCTTTGCAATCTCTTCAGGCTGCTGCGGTTTATCGTCCTTTTCGAGCATCAGTGTAAGCTCTGGCTTGATTTTGTTCTCGTTTTCGAAGCCTGGGCTCACGATGCCGCAGGGGAACAGTATATGAATGGCAATGTCAGCGTCTGGAGCCGGCCCAGAGCCCTGTCTTGCGCCGTTGTACACAGCCACCTCATGATTCAGGCCGTCAGCCATGGCCTTCATAGCAGCCTTTGCGGGGGAGTATGGCGAATAGCCGGCCACCGGCAAGAAAGCGAGGGCACTGCATGTGAAAACGATATGTCGCGTCGGATAGGACGTTTGTTTCTTGCTCTCCGGCGTAGACGGCTTCTTCCACAGATTCAAGGCTGCGTGAGCCATGTACACAGACGACCAGTAGATAGTATCCATCTGTCCTCGGAGTGTATCTATGCTGGCGTCGGCAAAGAAGGCTGGTTGGCAATTCCCGGCGCAACAGAAGACTAGATCCGGTGATTGACCGTTGTTCCATTGTGTGACCTTCTCGAGGATTGCTGGAGCAGATTCAGGCGATCGCAAGTCAAAGGAGAGATCGAGGAACTTTTGCTGAGGTCTGGCTGCGCGTGCTTGGATAGTTCCGACGGCTCGGGATAGTTTGCCCTTGTCTTGAGCGACAATGACCACATTGGCGCCTCTCGAGGAAAGTTCCTGGGCGATTGCGAGGCCCAGGCCTTGGGAACCGCCTGTGACAACGGCGGTCAGCCCATCAATGGGGAATTGGTCTTTTCTGGAGAAGAGCATCCTAAAGGCGATGAAGCTCACAGCTGCGATGGCGATGGAGGTCAATATTGCCGGTGTTATAGGTCCCGGCATGGTCAAAAGAAAAACAACCTTCGCCGTGTCAGGTACCGCGCCGTAGATAAGCTTGCGTTCTCAAGCATCGTCCCCTGCACTAAAAGATGACCGAGCAGGGGAGGACCGTGGAGGACGCGTTTGAACTGAAGTCGGAGAATTTTGACCCCGGCGCATCTGCCACCGAATCGACGACCGGCGTCATGCCAAGCCGACGGAGGGTCAGAAAAAAGTTTCGGGCTATTCGGTTGCCATCCATTGCGAATCGCTCTGGGACAGGCTCACCATCGCATGCATTTTCTTCGCTGCAAGAGACTCTCAGTATAACCAGTCATGGCTAGGAAAAGAAAGGCCGGAAAGCCCAGCGACCAACCAGCGCCGTCCTCGAGCCGCGACCGATATGATCCTGAAGAAAGGTTCGATGATTCCGAGGATGAATTTTTCGCTGGACAAGACAAGATTCTGCTTGACGAAGGGCCGGCGGCCAAAAGGCGACGGAGGCTAGAAGAGCAGGAGAAAGATTTACAACTCTCAGATGAGGAGGTCTACCGAGAAGACGACACTGAGGACGAGGACGAAGACGAGGACGAAGAGGATGCAGAGACAGCCGGTCCAGATGGCGTAGGGGACGAAGAAGACGAAGAGAACTGGGGAACTTCCAGGGCCGACTACTACAATGCGGACGTGATTGAGACAGAAGCAGATGCACTCGAGGAAGAGGCGGAAGCACGTCGGTTGCAGCAAAAGCAGCTGACTGCGATGACTGAGGCCGACTTTGGCTTTGACGAAAGCGCTTGGGTCGACGAGAGCCAGAAGACGCAGGACAGACGGCCGGCCGTGGAGAAGCTACCTGAAATCCAGATACCTGAGAACGCGACAACCGAAGAGCGCTTGCAGATGCTAAAATCGAGATATCCCGAATTCGAGCCTCTGTCCAAAGACTTCCTGGCGCTGCAAGATACGTATCGAATCTTGAAGAAAGAAATTGACCTTCCGAGTGTGAAAGTCAGCCAGGAAAATCAGAGGAAGGTTTCTCTGACCAAGTTTCGGGCTTTGTCTTCATATCTGGGCTCGATTGCGATGTACTTGGCCCTTCTGACGTCGTCGAAGACTGGAGTCGCTCTGGCTCCCGGTCAGTTACGAGAGCACCCTGTTATGGGCAATCTTGTGCGATGCCGCCAACTGTGGCATGACGCCCAGACTTTGCGGGCTGTTGAGGTACCTGTCGACCGAGAGAAGAAAGTGAGCATGGCGGAGGAAGATATCATGCCTCTGAAGACTGTAGCGCCTGTCGTGGAACAGAAGAAGAAAGAAAAGAAAGTCAAGAAGCAGACATCTGAACAAGTTCCTTCTGAGACGGTGGCGGAGGCCATCAAGCCTAAGAAGTCGCGGAAGTCGAAACGGAACGATCTACAGGAACTTCTCACGGCTTCAATGGAGAAACCTGCAGAGGACGAATCGGACTTTGGTGACGAAGCACCTTTGACCACCGAAGAGGCAGCGGAGAAGGCAAGACGGAAGAAGAGTCTGCGATTCTACACTTCTCAAATTGCGCAGAAAGCCAACAAGAGAGGAGCCGCTTCACGGCAGGCTGGAGGAGATGATGATGTCCCTCACAAGGAACGTCTGAGGGACAAGCAAGAAAGGCTCATGCGTGAGGCCGAGCAAAGAGGTCGGGCCGACGTGCACGGCGACGAAGCATTCAATGACTCTGGCGACGAGAGTCTTGCAGGCCGAGACTTGAATGACGACGCGAACGAATATTACGACATGCTGGTGAAAAACAACAAGCTGAAAAAGGCCGACAAGCGTGAGAAGGCCGAAGCGTATGCAGAAGCCGCTCGACAGGGGGCTCAAGTTTACGAGGAAGAACAAATCGGTCCAGACGGCAAGAGAAAGATCACGTACGCGATCGAGAAGAACAAGGGTCTCACGCCGAAGAGGAAGAAGGATGTGCGCAACCCACGTGTCAAGAAGAGGAAGAAGTACGATGAGAAGATGAAGAAGTTGAGCTCAATACGCCAGGTTTACAAAGGCGGCGAGGGCAGAGGCGGGTATGGAGGAGAAGCCACTGGTATCAAGACGAACGTCGTCAAGAGTATCAAGCTGTGAATGGAATACGATTGGGAATGACCAGCACACTTTTTCTGGACGTCTATCCTTTCCGTTCCCCCATGCACAATCCAAAACCTATCCGCTCTCTACATGCCAAATCTCTTATGCTGTACAACATCGGAAAACCATTACGCTTGAAGTGCATCAAATGAGGAAAATGTAAGCTCAACCAACTTGATAACCATAACGCCGTTTTGGAGCTCATCTCATCGGGCGCCCATCCAGCTCATTCGTGATGGTGGCGCCGGCTTTCGTTTCGCTCGAGTCGATTTCGTGCACCTCGGAACCACCGATCTGTTGAGCATATGTGTAGTCTGGCTGTGCTTGCTGAGAATACGGATAGTTTGGAGATGGCATTTGCTGGTATGGAGGGGCTGCGTACGCGGCCTTGGTGTTGCCAAAGTCGGTCCCTGATGCCATGGTTCGACGATTGCGTCGTCTCCGAAGTATGAACCATGCCAGGGCTCCAACGGCGCCGATGGCCGCTAACCCGCATCCGACGCCAATGCCGGCCGCAGCACCACCGCTGAGTGCAGAGGAGCTGCTTGTCGGTTCTGGCGCTCCTGCTGCTCCCGCGGCGGCGGTTGTGGAAGATGGAGTTGCGGAGGAGGAGGTTGTGCCGGATGGGGATGACGAGATGATGGTCGCTGCGGACCCGTCGGACGTCGTTTGTGCTGCAGATGTCGAGGTTGTCGTTGTCTGCGTGGCTGTGCCAGAAGCGACTGTCGCCGTGTCGAACAGGGCTCGCTGGAGGGGAATGGTCTCGCCTTTGGTCGCATTGGGCTGGTTGTCGCACCCGGATTTCATTACGCTGAGAACTGCAGACACGAACGTATCAGCGCCATATCGTGAAAAAGTACATGCAGCTTGTATCTTACAGTTGCCCAATACCACGGACCCAGTCCCTGCCTGCAGACATGAAGCACATTGATCTGCGTGTTGTGAAAAGGCTGTGTTATTGATCGAGCAGTAATCATACTGCTGCGCGGCAGTCGGGGAGAACCACGAGCTCTGGAGCACAGGGTATAGCCCAGCACAGTCGGATTCGCATTGGGGTAGATTGGGCGTGCTGTCGTTCGACTGGAACAAGCAGTACTGGAGCGTATATTTCATGTTGACTGTCCATTGTCAGTGTTTCATTAGGCGTACGTCTATGCCTGCGGACTGGGACAGGGCAGGCGAGAAACCGCAAAAGGGGACTGCTTACATAGGAACCAATATATGTCGTTGTTTTGAGGAGTGCTGGTATCGCCTGTGTCGGCGGTACTCGTGCTCTCGCATACCAGGCAGTCGTGCATCGTGTCGCCCTTGGCCGTGCTGGAGTAGTCCTCATCTTTGCATGTCAGGTCGCTAGAGTACGTCAAGCCGGGTCCCTCGCAGATATCTGCACATGATGATCCGCTCGTTACTTCGAGCGCGCGCACGCGAAGTGCCACCAGCGAAATCACGAGGAATGAAGTCGACAACATCGTGCGACCGCTTCTCGAGCAGAAGAAAAAAAAAAGAAACACTGTATTTTGGGCGACCAGTCAATGGAAGTCCAAGAATATCTCTCTCTCCCAGGAAACGCAAGCAAGGCACCGTAAGAAGGGATGGGAAAAGCGTGGTGGCCGACAGGAAAAGAGCAGCAAAGCTACGGCATAGAGAACAACAGTGTGAACAATCTCGTCTTCAGCGGTTTCGCAAGGATAGTACAGATCCGTCGCGGTTGAAATTCCCTCCGCGAATTGCAAGATTCGTTTAGCAGCCCCCCACAGGTAGTCAACCCGTGTCTGTCTCATTTGTGCTTCGAGTCGCTGTGATCAAGAAAAGATGGAGCGCCTGAGGGTTGGGAAAATGGGGGCCATGATGGATTTTCAGGTACGCCAGGGCGAAGATGCGAGACACAGCCCTAAATCATGCAGGGGGGAGTACGATAAGCCAATCTCGCACTGCCAGGCTGGAGGCTGGAGGCTGCATACCTAGGTATGTGTGGTCAAGTCCTCTCAGGCGTGCCATCCAGCCATCGAACTAGCTGGTCCTTCGAATTGCATTTCTTGGCTGAGGCGAAGACAGTAACGGCGGCAACGTTGAGGACGAGAGTGCTGTAATAACGATCACTCTTTTAACGACCAAAAGTGATCAAGCGGATTGGAATGATGTTCATTCTACCTACTGTACGGAGTACTCGCACAAGGCTGAACACGGTCAAAGGATCATTAGACTTGCTGACTGATGTGATCCGTCCCCGTGAACCAGAACCACGGTCCAGGAACCACAATTCTCGCCTGAGGAACTGGGGGCTTAAATAACTCCCAGTTGCCAACACACATGTCCAGTCATTTCATGTTTCATATCCTCACCTGTGCTTTTTATACTCCGAGCACGGCCTCAACTGCTCCTGAGCCGAACAATTTCTGTCCAAGGAGTCTCTTTCCCGAGCCGTTGCGAGGATATGCTGAACTCACGGCGTTTGACCATCAGTCTGTACCAGCTCTTCCCCTTGGTAAGTCGCCAGAGAGACTCGCACAACGTGTTAAGCCTCTGCTACCAACAGCGCCTGGGGATGGGAAGCTTACGGCCGTCTCCAAGTATCTCACACTCCATCCTCGCCTTCTTCAGGCCCGCAAGGTGCAGCATGGATCTGCCAATACTTCCAAATCTCCCGCGACAGCTCCCCTTTCTCAAATCTGTCTTTCTCTTCCACATTGAACTCGGGATGCGTCACACATTCCGACAATATCCCACGCTTGATTCCAGATGTCTGATACTGCAGGAACCTGTGAGACACTTTGACGTACTGCCGCACACCTTCATGTGCATCGATGGTAGATCCAGTGGTCCAGCCAAGGAGCAGTGGCTCGATCAATGGAGCGTCGGTGACTGAAGGGTGACTTGTACCAACTGCAGAGGGTTAGCCTTCGGAGTCCTTTGGATCCAGTCACGTACGTGAAGTCATGAACCACGCGTCTTTGCCTCTTTTCAAGACCCCGAGTACTACATCCTTGACCACTTCGAAATGGGCCCGGCCAAAGAAGATAGAGCGTCTGCTAGACCAGGAGTTCGAATGGATGACTAGAGTCGAGACATTCACGTCAGGATTCAACGGGCCGCTTTGCTTGCCACTTGGCCTTGTCAGTTGCATGCACCGCACAGATGCAGAGGTCTTTCTTACGGGTCGAGGACAACAGCGCTCTGGAAAGGAAGCTTTTCAGATGGCCCGTCTTTCAAAGTTTGCAGCTAAACCAACGTCAGGACACATTGTTGCAACCACCGATCCGACTTACTGCTAAGGTGGCACCGAACGAATGTCCTCCAATGGTGGTGGTATTCATGGCGAGACGGCCGTGCCAGTGCTTCAGATGCTGGCCCTCACCTCGAGAGTTCTGCACGAAGATCATATCCCCGTGGCCGTCGTTGATGTATTGAAGAACTTGGACAGTCTCTTCTACCTCCGCCTGACGGAAATCAAGTTGAGCCTGCTTGAACGTATGGCTGTCCAGCCCAGCATCGTCGCTGTGAACGGTTAGCTTCCCTGTGATCCAAGAGGGAGCGAAGTGGCATACTGTAGATGTCGATGAGAGAAATGCAGCAAAGTCCTTTCACCTCCCGATGAGTTCTTGATGACTGTGCCTGGTCCGCTGCCGTCCCGGTGCTCTATCGCAGCAACAACATACCCCCGGCTGGCGAGTTCTCCGCAATATTGCGTATACTGCGTTCGAGAGCTTGCCATCCCGTGTGAAAAGACCATGACCGGGAACCCGGCAAATGTATCCATGGTTGAAGTAAGAGCATCAGGCGTCTCCAAGATGATTGGCCCATCGTGAAGTGGCACGTCGACATGTGCAGGAATCTTGGTGCCGCCAACCAATGCCCATAAGCCAAAGGTCATCAGTGAATTGGTCAAGAAGTTGCTGATCCTGGCGAAGCGTGCATATCCAGCGCCGACTATCCCAAGGGGTCGAGGAACCCAGTGATGGTGAGACTTGTGAGACACTACACCTTTGACGGACGGATAGTACAGGGTGAAGAGTACAGTTTCGACCTTGATACATCAGAAATGGGGGCCTCGAAAAGTTGGCTTGGGCTGGCGGCTTACTTGAAAGGCCGGGTGGCCGCCATCTTTGAGTGTGGCATCATTGATTCTGCGGGGGTCGCAAGGGATTTCGAGGTCGATAGTGCCGACCTGATGCGGTCCCGTATATGCTGGTAGCTTAGACGAAAGTAAGGGCGAGGCGAACAAGAGACTGTAAACAGTATATGTGGCAAGGCCGAAGCATAGTATGTATCGCCATGTCCACCGAGGACGAAGAACTGGTGGCAGTCGCAGGATGAGCCTGTTCCAAAACATTGAGGAGCCCATGGTCGAAGCCTACAATCCTCGACCGTCAAATCGCGCCCTCTAGACCTGTGGGTGAAGTGTTCTGGTGAACGTTCTTGAGGCATTTCTGCACTTCACGAAAGAAAGTGACTCTATGGGATACGCCGCCGCCACATTGAACAGCCTCGGATGCTGACATCATCATTTTGTAAGAGCCTTGCGCGGCACGTGACGACAAGGCTGAGCACCTTCTTCTCGTCATCTTTCAGAGCTAACGGCATATCATTATGACCATGCAAGGTCTGAATCTGCTGTATCCTCTCCCACCTCTTTCCATAAATCAACCCAATATGTCAAGCGAAGATACAGAACTCCTTTACCATATCACTTGGATTATTGAACCGTAGCCCCATGTCCAGCGCCGAGATTCTGCGCAGCTCCGCCTGCGTCAGATCAAAACTGCCACACTCCAGATTCTGCCGTAGCCGCGTCTCATTCGAGCTCTTCGGGATGACCGCTACACCCCTCTGCGTCGCCCACCTCAGCAGCACCTGCGCCGGCGTACGATCATGCTCCTTCGCAATGGCCGTGACGACATCGTTCTCCAGCAGACTCGGGGCGGTCTTTGCACGCTCGCCCGCCGCGTTGAAGGTCGAGGCGTCGAAGAGCGTATCCTGCTGCTTCTGCTGGGCAGCCATAACGCGGGTCAACTCGACATAAGAGGTGGGGCCGAAGGAGAAGTAGGCTGTGACTGCGATTTTGTGCAGGGCGCAGAGGGAGAGCAGCTCTGATTGCACGAGGTAGGGATGGTGCTCGATCTGCAGGACGGCGGGAGAAATTCGTGCGCTGCGGAGCAAGTCCATCAGGAGGGAGCCTAGAGGAGGGATAATTTGTCAATAGTAAGTTCTGCGCGGTAGATTTGACCACCTAGGTAGTTTCCACCCTGCCATTCCGAGACCGTACCTTGAAAATTGGAAACTCCAATGTTCTTCGCCAAACCCTCGTCCACCAGCTCCTCCATGGCAGCCCAGGTCTCCGCCAACGGGATGTTGGCTCCGACGGCCTTTGTATAAATATCAGCACAAGTCTAAAATTTTCAAGTTGAGACTCGCCTGTTGATTCTTCTCGTCCAGAAATCCGGGCGGATATCGCACTTTCGGGTCCACATATTTCTGTGCGATAGGAAAGTGTATGAGATAGAGGTCGAAATAGTCCAGCTTGAGATCCGCTAACGATCGTTTCGCAGCTTCCTTGACGTGCTCCTTCGCATGGAAAGTGTTCCAGAGCTTGCTGGTGATGAAAAGCTCCTCGCGTTTCACCAGCTTACTGTCAATGGCTGCTTTGAGGCCATCGCCGACGCCAGGTTCATTGCCGTAGTCTGCTGCGCCTGGTCGCTATAAGCCGGGGATCTCTGTGTGGTTCGAGGGTTCGGCGAGGTGATAGGTACCATCGAAGAGCCGTACTCCGGCTTTGATTGCGGTCTGCACCAGGTCGGCGGCTTTGTCGTTCTCAACTTTCCAGAGACCAAACCCAACTTCAGGAGATGTTAGTACCGTCATGCTGCACCTGAAGTAGGAGGAGGTTGGAGAGCAGCATACCAAGAGGCATTTCCTGTCCCGAGGGGTGCAGCGTGATGCTTGTAGTCGCCGTCATCTTGATGGTTTTCAGAGTTGTTTACAACAGTCTACTAACAGTGTACCGACAGGAATTTTCTCTAGAAATGAGATCTTAGACAGCTGTAACTTCAGATCGCGCTATAACCGTGGTTACTCCGGTGTCCAAGCCTCTGCCAACACTTCCCAAAGATCCATCCGGTGCCATCTGGCATCGGGTTGACCTTCCTTCCGTAACTGTAGAGTGTTGGAGTATTGCGGGCGCACAGGGCCAGTTTGAGGAGAGTAGGTCTTTTGGCATACTCCGCGTGATACCCTAGGCTCATGCCTGTATTGCTTTTGTTTCCTTCGTCAGGACGGAGTATTCACCGACTCGAACATGAAGAGCTTCCCCCACAGTCATAACAAACACAAAGACGTTCCCCCACAGTTCAAAACCAACACAGGGATCCATGATGGCACCAACGGAACGTTCACCTCGGCTATTTATCTCCATTTAGCAGCCCCATCAGTCCCTTTAACAGGAAGTCAAGGCGAGGTCGTCTCCCGTCTCTATCTCGAACCTTATGTTGCGATTTGGAGCTGTCACTCGAAGCGGTAAACTGAGACGATCCACAAGAAGAAATGCAGCTCGAAGAGTCTGCGCCACGGGGAGTTTCCAGGTGGCCTCACGGGCCTGCTGGCAGCCACTCTACCCCAGATTGCTGCTCCCTTAGCGGAGGACTCCAGTCACTCCACAAGCTATGCGGAGGAATTTTCTCGATATAAAATCGTGCCCTTCTATCTCAAACCTCCCCAGATGGAATCGTCTTCTCTCAGTGTCTTTTGCAGCTCTATTTCACTGCTTGCCACTGCTTCTGCTTCGGCGTTATAGATAGGAAATTGTCAAACTTTGATACTATCAATTGCCAACATGCCTGCCCCAGGGATGCTCGAAAACGTCCGTCCCTTTTGCAAACTCAGGGGAACGACGCTCCTCTGGTGCATCACCCTCTGTTCTGCCTCTGCTTTCCTGCTCTTTGGCTATGACCAAGGGGTCCTGGGTGGTCTGACGACACAACCGACCTTTCTTGATGCCATGGGTGTAAGCCGAGCTGCGATGACCTGCCGCTCTGATTCTGGTATCTAACGTCGTGACAGAACCCGAATCCAACAATACTAGGCCTGATTGCAGCGATCTACGACATTGGTGCCTTCATAGGCGCTATCCTGGCTGCGATCTTCGGCATGAAGACAGGTCGCCGCTGGGCGGTCGTAATCGGTTGCGTTCTGGTCACCATTGGAGGGGCCCTCCAAGCCGCTGCCACGAGCCAGGGTATGATGCTCGCTGGCCGTATCGTGGCCGTAAGTCTATACCTTACAAAGATACCCCTTGTTTTAAGGGTTCGTTTAACAAGGTAATCAGGGCATCGGCAATGGGATCAACACCAGTACTATACCAACCTGGGTGAGCGAGACTGCAAAACCCCATCGTCGTGGGCCTCTCGTCGCCACTCAGCTCTCCATCGTAGTCTTCGGGCTCTTTTTCGCATACTGGCTCGACTATGGCTGCATCAAACATCTTGAAGGCGATGCCACCTGGCGTATCCCTATCGCAATCCAATGCGTCTTCGCGCTCATCACGATGTTCACTATCCCGTTCCTACCGGAGTCTCCACGATGGCTCTATGCCAAAGGACGCATCGACGAAGGCGATCTTGTGATCTCACGTCTCCGTGACATTGCTCTTGACCACCCGATTGTCTCCTCGACTCGAGCTGCTATCCTCGAAGTATCCCGTCTTGAAGATAGCGGCGAGTCCAAAGGCCTCAACTGGCGCCACATTATCTATGATCCGACAGAGATTAAGCCGACCCGCCGTATCATGCTCGGTGTCATGCTGCAATTCCTCCAAGTCTTCTCCGGAATCTCGCTGGCTGTCTACTACCTCAACATCCTCTTCGAGGTCAATCTCGGCTTCGACTACGAGAAAGCCGCGCTGTTATCCGGCTTCAACACCTTCACCCTCTGGCTCGGGACTCTGCCCCCGATCTGGCTTGTGGAGAAGTATGGTCGACGTCAAGTCCTCATGTTCGGCTCTGCCACGATGGCCGCCTCGATGATCACCTTCACCGTCTGCGTGGCCGTGAACAATTTGACCTCCTCCTACATCGGCGTTGCGGCCATATATGCCTACATGTTCTTCTTCGGCCTCTCGTGGCAACCAGTCCCCTGGATCTATCCCCCCGAGATTGCACCCCTCAACCTTCGCCACATCGGAGGAGCAGCTTCTACGGGCTCAGAATGGATCTTTGCCTTTGTTGCAGGTAAGCTCAGTCATCCTTCTTCAGTCGTCTATTCTCAAGAAGCTCACCGTCACTAACATCAACGCTTTTGCAGTCATGGCCGGTCCCTCCGCCATCGCCGCCGTCCCGTGGCTCATGTACTTCATCTTCTCCGTCTGCACCATCTTCGCCATACCCTTCGTATACTTCTGCGTCCCCGAGACGCGCGGCCTTTCGCTCGAAGAGCTCGATTTCGTCTTCCAAGAAGGCCCCGTCCGACACTCCGGCAAGCGCAACAAGGCGGAGTGGAAGCGCCGTCTGGCTGCAGGGGGCGGGCTGGATTCCGAGGCGAGCGGCGCCGCGGTCCAGCATATCCGGAAGGCCGAAGGACAAACCATCACCCCAGAGTCGGAGTCAAAGGAGATTGCGGAAGCGCAGCTGGAGTTTACGGGCCCTCGGAAAGAGTGAGCAGAGATGGGCTGAGGCAAAGAGCATAGGAGGCTGCTCATCACGGGGATATCGGATCTGCCGGTCAGCTCTGGCCATTGATTATGTCGATGGAGGCCGCGGGGGCATGCATGTCCTCTAAACAGGAGTCAGATGTGGAATTCAGTTGTTTGCAGGAACAGCTAGCCAGCCGGAGCCATTCTACGTTCGTTTCGCGGGCTTTATGTGAGGAGCAACCTCAGTAGATGTTCATATTTAGCATTCCTCTCGAATCCAGCATATACCATTCCGCAAATATTAGTCATTATCCTTCGAACAGTCACCTTGCGCACCCAGTAGACCATTTTACTCGATTCCACACACTGCACTCGGCCTTAAATCGCACACCTCTCCCTTCGCACCTTCACCTGCCCAATCCACTCCGGCCCATTGCACGCATTCAGATGGCGGAGTAAGTAGAGCTCTAAATGGGAAAAATGATTGGCGTTCTCGTACGCTGAAGCAGTTTACATTTTCTGATGTGTTCTGAAATCCCGCACTGTCCCTCGGGAGAGAACACTTATCACATGTCAAATACCAAAGGAGAAGGCGTCTAGATATCCACCACACACTATCCGTCGGTCATTTGTTTGGATGTTCACGTGGATGTTCTCCTTGGACAAAGAAGCTTGCAGGTCCTCCCAGGTCCTCCTTTCCTTGACAGTAATGGTTGCAAGGATGGTGCCCTCGGTTATGCGGCTATCGCTAATTGCCCCGTCATCTCGCACCCCAGGTGCCCAGAGCCACATCGGCTATCAGTCCTAACTTGAGCGTGGAGAAACCGCCCGGGCCTGCAACCAAGATCGTTGACGCTGGCCTGGAAAACCCAACCGAGGTATGGGGAATCCAAGGATCGACGGTCAGTTGGGTCACTTTCTCTTGCAGGAAGCTAGGGTTTGTTGTGCAACTTTATGCATGCAATCAAAGAGCATTTGCAAGAGAGGCTAAGGTAATCTATGTAGCCTTGTATATTGACAATCCTTCTGCTGTTGTAGATGCAATCTTTTACTCGACGTGCTCTTTGTCCTTCTTCCTTCCATACCCTCAAGTCTTTACCCTTGTGTTGTCAATATGTTGCAACTTCGAGTCCTAGGGATGAACAGCGGCACCTGCATGGACGCCATCGACATCTCGCTGGTTGAATTCAGGCAGGAGTCTCCAGACGCGCCCTTGTATATGATACCTCTGAAATATGACGAGCTGCCTCTGAACGACAAAGACAAGCGTGACACCCTGCGACTGATTGTGGAAAACAGGTCCAGCCCCCAGGAGCTTTGCGAGCTCAACTTCCGGCTCGGCCACATGTTTGCCGATGCCATTGATCGCTTTGCGCGGGAACAAAATGTTGATCTCTTACGAGATGTCGATCTGGTTGCGAGCCATGGCCAGACGATTTGGCATCAGCCCGATCCGGGTCCAGGAGAGACAAAATCGACCTTGATGTTTGGGGAGCCGACTGTTCTTGCACACCGGTGCGTCACAACACCCTTGTTCTTGTGTATGATCTGCGGCTGAAGATGAAAATGCCAATAGGACTGGGAAAACCACTGTCAATGATTTCCGAGCCGCCGAACAACAAGTTGGTCGACAAGGTGCACCGCTGGCATGTTTCCAGGATGCCCTCGCCCTCGTACATCCCAGCCTTACCAGAGTCAGTCAGAACATAGGTGGGATTGGGAATTGTGCGTTTGTGCCGGCCGAAAAGGACGGCGGGATCGATGAGGCCTACGATTTCGATACTGGCCCTGGAAATGTCCTCATAGACGCTGCTGTGAGGTATTTTTCAGGTGGGGAGAGAGAGTATGACAAGGATGGAGAAATGGGTGCCAGAGGAAAAGTATACCAGCCTTTTGTGGACGAGTTTCTGAAGAACCCATATTTCGATAGAAAGCCTCCAAAAACGACAGGTACGCAGCTGCACGTTGTATTGCTAACACATGCCCTGGTCTTGTCTACTAACAAACCTGACTTATAGGTCGTGAATTGTTCGGGGACGATACGGCTATAAAAATGATTGAAAGGGGCCGGTCGCTCGGCCTCTCGGATGATGATATGGTCGCAACAATAACAAGAATCACGGCAGCATCCATAGTGCTATCATACCAGCGATTCGGACCCAAGCAACCACTCGACGAGATCTATTTCTGCGGTGGCGGTTCGTTCAACCCCAACATGTAGGCTTGTGAGCGTCCTGTTGAAAAGTGTGCAACCGCTAACCATATACCAGTCGAGCATATATCCAAGAATGCTTTCCCAACGCACGACTCTCTCTGCTCGACAAATGCGGCATCACCGCGGCATCCAAAGAGGCAACCTCGTTTGCTTTTATGGGGTTGGAATGCCTTCTGGGCCGTCCCATGATCGTACCCAGTATCGAGCCCCAGGAACCAGTCATATGTGGCAAGATTACACCAGGAAGAAACTATGGCGAGCTTATAGTGAAGGTTGCAGCTTTCCATGAAGCCTGGAGCAAGACAGCAAATTCCACAAAGGCGAATGGAATGAATGGGACGAACAGTATAAACAAGAAAGCAGTTGGGAAGAGTCACGCCTCGTGGCTGCCGGCGGTACGAGACTTGAGGGTAAAGGATAATCTAACGAGGGAGAAGGAGCAGAAGGACCTGGTGTTCATGGACGTCAGGCATGCGAAGTGTTGATGATAGTATGGTACGCTACAAGGTGTTAAGCACATAATGTCCTTGAAAACCTGAATCTCTCCTGGCAGAATTGTATCTTTCGTGAAAGCCGTTGGAGACTCGCCGCACATGAGCACCACGAGCTGCTACAGGACTAACACTAATTTCTCCGCCTTATGGAGCACTTCGCAATGAACAGCCCACGGGGTATTTTCCATCGGTGGAACACTGTCAATTTCGAAACCCGCTCTCGAGCCGAGCAGTGATCCTGTACGTCTTTGCGCGAGTCAGAAGGGGAAAAAGATCGCGAACGGTTAGCCGACGCGAGGACGGAAGCGGATCTCACTCCACACATCCGACGGCTACCAGGGAGTGGCAATCTTCTTCGGGATCGGAAAAGCTTCACAAGTTTAGATGGGTCCCTTTGTTTACCACCTTCTTTAGGCCTGATATCCCTGCATAAAGCTTTGCGGCTCGGCATGCTAGACAAGACCCTAAGATACTGACAGCGGGGTGATGGGGGTATCTGGCTGAGGGGATTTACTGCTCGTCCTGTTTGCCGTTAACTTCTGTGCACGGGGAATGGCATGTGGTCGAATTTATCTGCCTGTCTCTCCATCCTTGTGTCCTGCTTCATATTTCTCGAATTTAGTAGAAGCGTTTGTCTCGATTCCTGGTTGAAGGCCGTGTCGTTGTTTCCTGCTCATCTTTGTCGGACCATCCCACATATCCAGATTTGCTATTCCGGACCCATGTGCATAATGGCGATCTCCCCTTTCAAGGTACGTGTTGCAGCTTAGAAGTCCTCTGTGTTCTCATAACCTAATGAACAACAGATCAGTATCCCCGACTCCGAGCTTGACCTTCTGAGCCGTAAGCTGGAACTCGCGCGTCTGCCCACCAACATTGCGAACGAGCAATGGGGCGAGGACAATGGCGTAACCGTCAGCAAGGTCAGCGAGACAGTCAAGTTCTGGCGCGAAAACTATAACTGGCGCAAAGAGGAGGCGCGTCTGAACGAGATGCCTCAATTCCGTACGCCCATCGACGTTGAGGGTTTCGGAACGCTGGACATTCATTTCGTGCACTCCACCTCCCCTGCAAAGGACGCTATTCCGCTGCTGTTCTTGCACGGTTGGCCTGGGTCGTTCTCCGAGATCCAAAAGGCGCTGCCTCAGCTTCACAAAGCGGGCTTTCACGTGGTTTCTCCGTCGCTACCGGGCTATGGCTTCTCGTCGTATCCCGACAAGAAAGGTTTCAAGCATGTCCACCACGCAGAGGTGATGCACAAGGTCATGAGCAGGTTGGGTTACAAACAGTATGTTGTGCAGGGCGGCGACTGGGGCGCGTTTATCACTCGCTGCTTGGCCATCATGTATCCGCAGAGCGTGACGGCGATACACATGAACATGGTACGATTGCAAAGCCGAATCCGCTGCGGAATGTTTATACTGAAAGTGAACTTCACAGATCATGATGCCTAAGCCCGACTTTGACAAGGAGCCCGAATATACACCCTTCGAGAAAGCCAGCCTGGAGCGCAACGCCTGGTTCTCCCAAACACAGACCGCCTACCTGCAGCTGCAAGGCTCAAAGCCGCGCACCCTCGGATTCGCCATGCACGACTCCCCCGTCGGCATGCTGGCCTGGATGGCAGACAAGGTTTTTCTCTGGTCTGACGCCTATCCGTGGACGCCCACAGAGCTGATCACCTGGACTCTGCTGCACTACTTCCCCGGGCCCACCACCGGCTTCCAGATGTACAAAGAGAATGACCCAGACGAGATGGCGGTGGCACTGCAGGGGAACACCTATGTCAAGGTGCCGACGGGCGTCAGTGCGTTTCCGAAGGAGTTGGGGCTGATGCCGAGGAGCTGGGCAGAAAAGCAGGCGAATGTGGTATTTTGGAGGGAGCATTCGAGTGGAGGCCATTTCGCGGCATATGAGAGACCGGGCGAGTTGGCAGGGGATTTGATTGACTTCTACAAGGAGGTGTGGAAGGCCTGAATGGCAGACAGAGTAGTCGTCAAATGATGTTCCAATCAAAGAAACAGTCTTAGACGATTGGGAAAACTCGAAGCTATATCATGTCATGCCTTGGTATCCGTATTCAGGGCGAATCTGAAACCTGGCCTTAGCACCCGGTTGGGAACGTATCTTGCCTTGTGACCTCATGCGGTACTCAAGCATCAGGTCACCTGGGTCCACTCACTCAGCCTCGTGCTCAGCATGAGGTGCTCAGCCTGGTCAGGTCGGTGCTCACTCTCCTGTAGATTGGGATAATGGATAGTCCGAACATTGTCGAGGGTCAAGCAGTGTCCCGGTGCCGCCAACTCCTGGGCCTGACGGGGTTAGTAATTCCTCAATTTTGTACCTTTTCCTTCTATAGGATTCCCATTCGTTGATACCAATGAGCTTTATCCGCCTAAGCAATACAGGTCGGAGTGATGTATGCTCAGTGATTTCTCGGGGCTAACTCGTCTTCCTGACTCGGTTGACCGATACCTAATGCCACGTTTGTAATATCCCAAGTAAATGCAGATGGGTCGTTCTCGGAACTGACAGCTTTTGCTTTCTCTTTGCCCCCAGGCGCTGTCTTCTGGTTTGGACGATCGCACCATTGGAGATACCGATGATTGAAAGACGACCAGAGTACCGTTTTGCATGCTGCCGACCTTCACTTCCAACGAACGGCCTGCAATTCGTCGTGACCCATTTGGGTTCACGTGCCTTCCTCGTTGTCGAGGCGATGACGAAAGCCTCTCCCAGAGGTTTGGTAATCCCAATCATGCCCATAGAAGTCGCGGTTGGGCGGGGACCTTGTTTTGGTCAACTGGATTTGGCTTGCACGCGTCCTTGTTCTCTTCTTCTTTTCTCTTCTCCCATACCAAGACAGTATTTCGACGATGGATTTCGTTAAGCAATATCTCCTTGCTCTTTTCGGCCTTTGGGCCACCCTCATCTCCGCGTTCCTGCCACGCTGGGCTAAGCGCCTGGCTGGCCACATGCGCGACATACCTTTTATAGGTACGTTCCTGCGCTGGGTCGCCCCTCCGGCACCTGCGCAGCCCCTTCCTCCTCCTCTTCCCGACCCCATCAACGTTTCCCTCCAGCAGGAGGATAGAGATCACTTGGCTGCTGCGATCAGAAGCGGCGTGCAGGACCTGGTTCTCATACACGAGCGGGAGTGTGCATTACTGCGAGAGCAGAATGACCACCTGCTTAGGCTCGTCGAGCTCCAAGAACAGCGACCTGACTACACGTACGAACTGGTCCGGCGTCAAGTCCCCCGTCCTCCTGCTGCTCCTGATCCTTCCTCTGGCTGACTGGCTGTAGCTTTCCCTTTCCCCTGGTAACCCATCCGAATGGCACCTCCTGCCAGGGTTACCAGGGGTGTCCCCATCCTCCGGCGATCATCGACATCGTCGGAGGTGGGGGCACACCAGCGACGGGCTCGCACTTCTATGCAGTGCTGGTGACTAGTAGCTCGAAGAGTGAAGCTAGGACGAGTCCAAAACACGCATGTTTCCTGCACTGAGGTGAGTTTTTCAATTGACGTCGCGGACAATGCTAACACAATGCACGTCGCAGACAACCTTGCCACGGGCACCACATGATCTTGAATGCCACCACGCTGCAAGTACTGGCACCACGATCCTCTAGCACACTGGTGAACACCATCAGCATACAGCACCGTCAGCTCAGCCCATGACAAACGCGGCACCTCTTCGGCTGTGTCAGGCTGTGTAACCTCGACCTCTCCGTCTTGCAGCAATGTTCCTGACCAAGGAGCAGCTGGAAAAAGCATGGGACATTGGAGAATACGTGTCAGTCTCCCACGACCCCGTTTTGTACTGGTACTGTTGGGGGCTTTACGGCGACCTCGATGACACGAGATTGGATACCGGCAAGGGCTGTCAAAGAGATGCACCACATGAAAAGCTATGCACGAGGTTCGAACAATGGCTTCCAGTCCATGGAAGATTATCCTTCAATCAGGACCAATGTAGCGACAAACAAACGGACAGTTCGTAATCTCTGGATATCTTGGATAGCTCCAGTCCCACCAATGTAGCCATCTGTGCCGTTGTTGTAGCCCGTTGGTAAGACCGCCACCGTCACCGAGGCTCTCATTGTACTGTAGCTCAAGATTTCGGCTTGGAAGAGCACGTCGATAGGATACCGTCCCGCTCTCGCCCTCGCCCTGGCAAGCAAACGAGTAGCCGAACAGTGTCCGGACTGTGCGGTCTTCTTGATCGATGTCACGCCCTCCGTAGCACTGCCACGTGGTTATTTGCGCTACTAACTGATCACTTTTCGTAGCCAGGACTGCGACGCGCAGATCTGTTGCACATTCTGCGCAATTAATGTAATCGTAACACCGTGGTGCTTTGGAAGCACTGTCGATGTGGTCGATAGCCTCCATAACGAGAGCAGGAAGAGAGCCAGGTGAATGGCTACAGCCAATGTAACTCAGTTGGTCGAGCTGGGCTGCGAAAGATTCCTGCAAGGACATTTGCAAACTGTAGGATGTTCGAAGTAGCAGCTTCCCATTGACGACGCGCGCCTCCGTATCCCTCGATACACCTGGAGTCAAGTAGCGCTGTGGGCCATCGCATTTATGGTAAAATTCTTGAAGTTGTGGGCCGTAAGCAGGGCCGCGCTCGTATCCTCTCAAAAAGGCAGCGATAGCCTCTAGGGGTAGCGCCCAAGGATAATGCTGTGGGCGGATCATTGGCGCAACGTTGTGTAAGTAGCGTGTCCCTTGGTCATATCGTCGTCGAGGACAACTATACATTGGCGCAGACGCTTTCCATCGATAGAGTATATCACAGCAGGGACAGGCGATATACTCGGGCAAATCCACCTCAAGTAGACGAAGAAAGCGCTTTTTGGCAGCCTTGTCACTGAGACCAGTGAGAACATACTGCTTCAAAACCACGTAGTGGTATCTCGATATCAAGGACACCACAGCAGCTGACTCGGCGGGTAGATACTGGATGATCTGTAGAAGTAATTCCGGCGGTAGCCTGGCTAGACCTGGAAGCGCCGCCAGCTCTGGATCGACAGCCGTTGAGGGGTCCTCGTCAGGTTCTCTGTAGGGTGATGCAGGTGGTAGTGAATGACGCGTCATAAGAATGTGCCTCAGGCGAGCAAATAGTGCGATCATGATTTCTTGCGTCGTAATGTATCAGACGGTCAATCTGGCTTTGAGCAGGTCCGGATCGTCGTGCTGTGGGAGTCGTGGTCACCTGGTTCGAAATGCGTATTGACGATAGCGAACGCGTGGAATATTGTCGAAAGAGTGTATTCTGAGAGTGACTGTAGGAGATGTGATAGAGTAGGATAGAAATGGTGAGAATGGGGTGAGAAGGGCTCAAACAGCGAAAAGAAAAGTGCGGTGGCTGGGCGGCCCTGTAGAGTTTGGACATGTTTTGGTTCGGGGTCACCCTTTGGAAAGCTTCCTTGCCTTTTATCCAGGTATCACACGTTGCCCTAACACGTCCCTATGGAGCATATCTATCATCAGAAGGTCTAGAGAACTGCCTGTTCCCCGAAATAGCAGGATTCGAGTGTTTTGGATTGACTTCAAGCCATTGTAGACCTATTTCTGAAGGTAGCCGGGAGAGTTTCTGAAGGGAGAACTCGATCTACAAGCAAGAACCAAGGGGCCAAGGGGGACATTGACAGCCTCGCAGCCTCGTCGGATCAATGTAAATCCGCTCAGCCAAGAGAGTTCCTCCCTGACCTCATTAGGTACCTAATTGTGCTCCCTTCGGGTCCGCCAAGCTGACCTCTAAGAATTGCACAGCCCCAACTTACAGTAACTGTGTCGTGCTTCAGGCCAATGGCGGGATGCTCAAATCTAGATACGGAAAATCGACTCAAGAAGGTCAAGATTCGCCGCTGAGTACTCCGTATGGAGGTATCTGTGGACCGATTTCGCGAGTGAGTATTCCGTACGGAGCCTGTCATATGCAAGGATTTGTCTTCCCAGAGTATCTCGGGGTCTGGCTAGAACCTATTGCTGCCCTGGACAATACCCAGCCCCTTGTCGCTGCTCCAGAACCGACCATGTGGAAATTCATACTCCGCCAGGGCTTTCGCCGTGTACTCGACGCCGTATCCAGGGTTTAGCGGCGTCACAAAGTAACCATCCTTTGTCCGCGTTGGCACTTTCACGCTGTGCTCGACGTTGTCTATGTACTCGAGCAGGCTACGCTGACCGCTGACAACAACGTAGTCGATTGTCGAAAGCTGCTGCGTGTATTCCGTCTGGACACGTCATTAGCGGCTGAACGTTCTTTGGGCGGCTGGCGAGGGGAACTATACCAATCCGACGCCGCCACTGTGAGGGACCACCGGTATGCCAAATTTCTTCGCCATGAGCAGCACCGCCATGACCTCGTTGACGCCGCCTAGGCGGCAAGCGTCAATCTGGCAGACGTCGATCGCACCCGCTTGGAGAAGTTGTTTGAAGATCACTGTTCCAGCACATTGTTAGCCATCCGTACTCCATCATCATTCAAATGATATTTGCTTGCCTCTATTCTGGCAATGTTCGCCCGTCGCAACGCCCACGCCATATTTGGACAACGCTTTCCTGATAGCCGCGTGGCCCAGAATGTCGTCGGGCGACGTGGGCTCCTCGATAAACCACGGCTTGAATTCCACCAACTGCTCCATGTATTCGATTGCTTCAGGCACACTCCAGACCTGGTTCGCGTCGACCATCAGGACGTTGTCCGTGTCGTAGCCTATCACATCCCTCGCGAGTTTGAGTCGGCGCCTGTCCTGTTGCAAGCTCGTGCCAACCTTGAATTTGAAGTGATGGAAGCCGGCAGCCATGGAGTCGCGCAGGAGAGTCGTCATCTTCTCGTCGGAGTACCCTAGCCATCTGCGAATTTGTTATCAGTTTAATGACGATATCCTGGGGACTGAAATAAGAAAAGGTCAAGGCTGTAGCGTACCCTGCACTGGTAGTGTATGCCGGCACTGCGCGATCTTCCTTGACGTCTTTTACGCGCTCTTCTTTCGTCTTTGCCACGTCCTTCAACATCTCGATTGCCTCTTCCGGAGTGATCGCGTCCACGATATATCTGAAATCAACACAGCGAACATATTCTTCCGGCGTCATGTCGACGACTAATTGCCAGACTGGTTTCCCCACGGATTTCGCCCACAGATCCCAAAGGGCGTTGACAACGGCGCCGGTGGCTAGGTGGATCACACCTTTCTCAGGCCCGATCCATCGCAAATGTGAATCACTAACAAGGTATCTCCACGTCTAGATTTCGCAAAGTCTAGTGAGCATGGATCGTAGGCCAGACGAGGCAGGGACTTACAGCTCCCATGTCACTGGTCAACTCACACAGTGACTTCCCGACAAGTCGCTCGGCGACGTACTTGATTGCCTGACACACAATGTCGTTCCCCCGGCCGATGGTGAATGTGAAGCCGTGACCAGCCAGGGAGGCGTCCGAGGTATGGAGGATAACGTAGGCCGCAGAGTAGTCCGCAGCATCATTCACTGTCCTGCATCAGAACACCCTTGCTGCTGAATTGAGGGATGGGAGACATACTGGCATCGGAGCCAGTCTTTGTTAATGACGTGGGCCATCGAAGATCTGAGGAGCTGTGAGCAAGGACCTGTAAAATCTGGAAAGGTCAAGCAAGTACCGTGAGTTTCAAAGGAGTTTATGGTGGTTTGGGAGGCCATTTCTGAGGAAACGCATAGGCTTAGTAGAACTGTTTTCGCTTCTTTGAGTATGATTTTGAGAAACGGAGAGGCTAATGTTCATTTATAAAAATATAAATGACTTTGTTTATATTTACCCCAATCTGCATGAGTTTTCAAAAAACCGGGGGATTAAGAAGGATCTGCTCTGGACGCGTCGCTGTACGAAGCGTTTTGACTGGCTTGCTGGTCCTGAGGTAGCTTGAGATCACACGCAAAAGGCAGAGATCCCCACGTGCTGGGGGACACATCATGGAGTCCCCTAGATCAGCGGAGAGAACGGCGTGGTGTACACCTACTAGTAGTCAGCTCTGTCGATACTGTCTTGGGAGGTGGCGTCGGCCATTTGCCCATTGCATCCCCAGACACCGTCGTCAGCGGCATTGTTCACACTCTCCCTCTCTCTGGGGTAGATCTCCAGCCTCTTCTCGGTTGCATAGCTGATCTCCCCATCAGGTTTTCGGTTAACTTTGCTTCAATAATCGGCAAGACCCCAAACAGCCCCCACGGTCCCCTTGGAGCAGATCTGTCTCCTTTTTCCGTGCGGGGCATGATGGGGGTGAATGTCGAAGAATATGAGCCGAGGGCTGACTACAGCTAACTCAGGCACTCTTGGCCGTAACTGGACGTGCACAAGTTCGCTCGTCCTATTTCAGGGTTCGATACGACGCCCCCCGTTCGCACTTTTGTCCCTTACCATTGACGATGCACAAGGTGGGAAAGGAACGACAACCAGAAACTAATCCCGAGCCTTGCTCTCGCGATCGCACTATGATCCACCCGGCACGCCTTTGATGTTGTCAATGCTCAATCTGGGGATCTCCCAAATCTAAGATGCCACCAAGAAGCCGAACTGGCTGGTAAGCCTATCCTTGGACTCTGTCCTATACAGTACTATCACACGCTGACCTGTGCTCTCTCCCAGTCTCACCTGCCGGCTGAGACACGTCAAATGTAATTTCGCCCTGATGTTGCTCATGCTCCCCACTAATGCCGGCATCCACCAGGTGACGAGAGGCAACCCATTTGCAGGCGCTGTAGCGCTGGAAATCGCGAGTGTCGTCGTAGCGGCACCCTCACATTTCGTGACGGCCTGACTGGGAGGGAGAGTGCTGCGATTAATGCCGCTGGCGACGGTCTCGGAGTTTTCCCCGAAGACCAGGCGTGGGTGTCTGTCCCAAAAGACGGTGGGAGGAGGCTCTGCTACGCTTAGATATGCTACCTATGCTAACCATGGACAGTGACATTCGTTGACGAGACGCAAAATACAGAAGACGGTTATGCAACACCCTCATGGAGTCCAGAGAGTTGGCCAAGGGGGAGTCCAACTCCCGTCACGATCACATCCCTTCCACCCAGCGAGGATGCTGTCCTGGGACTGAACAGGGCAGAGCTTGAGCCTGAGGGGCCGGAAGTCGCTGTTCTGCCCATACACCTTGATGCACACTTACCCATTGATATCGTCTCCCCAGATGAAGCACTAAGGGGTGCTTCCGTACGCCATCTTCTTCCCCATGATCGCACGGTTGGTCTCGGAACAAGAGGGCAAAATGATCTTGGATTCGAGACCGAGGCGGAGGTCCCTGGGTTTCGGATGAAAATTTGTGATCATACCGAGGCCCTCCTGATGAGGCACTACATCGATAATCTTGCTTGCTGGGTATGCAGCGTATCTGCCCCTACACTAATTTTCAATGATTGACCTCATATCAGCTAGACGTATGCGACGTCTCTCGGACCTTTCAAACCATAGTACCCGATCTCGCCATCCAACACCCAATCCTGCTCAACGCGCTCCTCGCCTTCTCCGCCCGTCATCTCTCACGCATCAGCGATTATGATCCTGAAGCCGCCGACGGCTATCACCAAAAGAGCGTCGAGCTCCTAATCCCCGGTCTCGAGTACAATCTCCAGGAGGGTCGAGTAGGTGCCGATGAGACACTCCTCATCGCCACCATCTTCCTCCGCCTCTACGAGCAGATGAACTCGTCCGTGTACGGCATCGACTTTAAGCAGCACCTCTCCGGGTCCGCCGCCATCGTCAACGCGCAGGCCCACCGCGAGCTCGTCCAGGCCAGCGGGGTCACGGGCAACTTCCTCAGCACACTGCACGAGGCGAGCTTCTGGTCGTTCCTGCGGCAGGATATCGACATGGCGCTAGCGAACCAGAAACAGCCCAAGGTCGAACTCAGCCTGTGCCGGATTACGTGGGATTCCGATGCGAGCGACACCACATGGGCCAAGTGGATGATCTGGATCGTGGCGGAGACCGCGGCACTGTGCTTTGGCGGCGAGACCAACGATGTGGAGGGTGCTTCGGCACTGGGACGAGTGGTGTTGCGCGAGCGCTGGGTGCAGATGAAGGAGAAGTGCGCGCGCTGGTGGTGGTCGAAGCCCAATGGCTTCCTGCCCCTCTACTATCAGAAGCGTGATGTTGCAGCTGGGCGGTGGTTCCCAGAGATCTGGCTGGGCTCACCTTGGCACAGTAAGAAGGCCCCTGGTCTTGATTTCCATTTCACTGGGTTCAAGCTAATTGGAATATCAATCAATAGTCACCGGGATACAATACTACCACGCGGCCATGGTGCTCCTGGCCATCTACGATCCCTTCAGGTTGAAACCTGGGCGCGACTATATGCGCATCCACCGCGAGTTACAGCGGGAGGTGTTGCATCACGCCCGCGAGATGGTGGGAGTCTGCTTTGGCAAACGGGCAGACGTCCCGGCCCGTTTGACTCTAACCCACGCCATTGTAGCATGCGGGTCGTGGTTCGTGGAACCGATGGAGCAGGACTTGTTGTTGGATCTGCTTCGCGAGCACCGGACCATGAATGGCTGGCCCACGGATAAGGTGGTTGCCAATTTATTGGCGGATTGGGGACGCTTGGAGTGATGACTGTATCCGTCGTGCTTCATGTCTCTATGTCGGCCTTGATATTCAGTTCTATACTTGTACACGGGGAATCACGACGTCGTGCATTGCGATGCTATTGCGCCTTCCTGACCCACCCCGGCGGAGGTACAGGCCATGCCATCTCATGGTCACCCACCAAAATACTCCTCAAGTCTTCGAAAATCCTCCCATCCACCTCACCGCCCTTCCCACTCTTCTTGTACGCAAGAACAGCATCTCTCGCCTCCAGTGCAGCCTCCAATTCCTGCAGCGTACTGCAACCAACACAAGTCGTGCCCTCAAAACCCAAGCTGTATCTCAATGCCACATCCGCCAACTTCTGTCCATAGACGGACTCAACATGCCTCGACGTCGATATACACGCGGCCTTCAAACCTGGCGATGCGGGATGCCATTCTGGTGCTGGTTCCGCACGCAAAAGTCCCATCGACAGCGGCGAGCCGTTGATGATCGACTCCACGCCTGAGGCTCGGAATTTTGGCGCGTACTGAGCAAGCGAGTCATTCTGCAGGTTGTAATGGCAGTAGCTGAACAGAACCTCGGTGCTAACTCCCAGCTGCTCCTTCACTGCCTGCACATATGAGAGCAGCGTTGACAGGGTATAGCCGCTCAGGCCAAATGCCCGTACGTAGCCTTCCTCCCGCAGCTTCACAAACTCGGATACACCAGCTAGCACTTCTCCGACTGAAGTAAACTCGGCGTCGTGAAGAAGCACTGCGTCCAGATAATCCGTCCGCAGACGCTGTAGCGACCGCATTACGCTCTGCCGGATCCACGAGGGCGAGTAATCGAACACGTCGAAGGATTTGCGCCCGCATTTTGTGATTAGGAAGTATGATTCGCGTGGGTGTTTGGAGCGCAGGTTATGCAGTGCTTCGCCCATCACGGTTTCCGAGTCGCCATAGTAGGGGGAAGTATCGAAAGCTGTGGGCTTCTTTGTCAGTGGGCTTTTATGGCGAGGCTGTGATCGAGAAAGTACGATGTGTACGTACCGTTTGCTCCGGAGGAGATGGCTTGTGACAAGATTGCCTCTGTGTGAACCTTTGAGACGTCTTGGTTGTAATGGTAGGAAAACACTGCCCCGCCGATCATAAGAGGTGGCAAGATCAGGGACGAATCGGGTACTTTTATCGGATTGCCCATGATTCTGTGCTTGCCGCTACCGCTAGAGGTCTGCAATGGTGTCCGTGACAGCCCAACAGTGGTATGTACGTCTGTCGGCGCTCTGCCCTCAAGTAGAAGAATTGCAAGGCAACTCTGCGTCGGCGTAGTGCTGGCAAATGCTGGGCCAAACTCCCCTACCGTCACAGCCTGTAATCTCTGGGATTGCAGCGCGGCGGATTTGCGCGACTGTGCTCAATCTCTGACTCAGTAGAGCTGGTCAAACGACCTTTTCAATGACAGATGCACTCAGAACTTTCACTCGGCGATCGCCAATGAACATCAATGAGGACTTCAACATTGAACAGGTGTCAATCCGATGCAAGTCGTAATGGTAATGGGAATTGAAGAAAGAGCCCCCTAGACTCCGCAGTCGAGGTCCCCAGACTGACCTGGCGCCTCGGTGAAATGGCCGGAGCCAGAAATCTGGAGAAACGGTCCAAGACGGTCCCCATGTTTCGCTAAATGGCCGGTGCCCCTGTATGCCTCGTGTGCCCGGTGGGTGCTCGGTATGCTTACCCTTCCCGGCCTGCGAGTTCGCTTCGCGTCGCTTGCCCTCTTCGGCCACCAAAGTGCTTCTCCACCCATAAACTACTGTACCATGACCCTGACACCAAGGCTGGCCCTGTGGTCCTGAGGCACTGTCATCCAGGTACTGGCATACGGCATGACCCATATTTTGCCAGCCTTGCTCGTCGGACTTTCCACTTCTTGTCGTTCTATCCCGATAGCTGGATGGTTTCCTCATCCTTCGTTACCTATTACTACCTTAGGCATGCGAGGCGCTCCGAGATGTTTGATGCAGTGACCTTGTCCTCCTTCGGCTGAATTCCCCCTTTACACGTCGTGTGATTTCGCTGTGCATTTCGGTTGTTTTTTCCTTCTTGTCCTTTGCGCCCGTTCACGATTCTTGCCATATCGGCTACTTTGCCCACTCTTGGCTACAATTGCTGCTGCTGCTTCCATGATGGACACATCTAAGCGACCCCAGAAAAGCTAGCTGGTGGCGAGGCACACCGCGGAGGATGGCCAAGTCATGTTGTCGAACCCCAGTGTATGTTGGATCGTAAAGATGTTGGGACCCCGGTGACATATAACGTCGTTGCATGCATCAGAGCCTTCATTTGGGTCATCCACCGCCGTGTCTAGTCGACCCAAACTTATCAAAATGATATCCCTAGGTACCATCGGCACGATGTTTGTGCATTGTAGGTGAATCCTCTCCATTGCATTGATCAGGTTGCTGATGACGCTCTACAGTTATACCTGCTGCCTTCGTCGGATTGTTCGTGTACGGAGTCATCTGGCCAATATTCGTCTACTTCTGGGACCCAAAGAATCTTCGCAGATTCCCTGCACCGTCCCTTTGGGGCATTCCCGCATTTGCTGCGTGGTCCAATGTATGGCTGGGTGCAGTTATTGCAAAATACGCCCGATCAGCGCATGTGCAAGCGGCTCACGACAAGTATGGCAATATTGTTCGGATCCAGCCAAATCACCTATCATTCATTGAACCAAAGGCTGCAAAGGACATTTACGGCTTTCAATCCAAGATGCTGAAGGACGATTTCTATGAGACATTCGCAGCGCCGGACCGGGAGGGCCACACCTTCAAGAGCATCGTCAATACCCCCGACCGAGAGGAGCATTCTCGGAAGCGGAAGTATATCTCCAACGCCTTTGCACAGCGAACCGTTGTCAACCTCGATCCTCTCGTGGGTAGAGGTGTGACAAGTTTGGTCAAACAATTCGACAGGATCGCCGTTGCTGGCCCGCCGAAATGGCCTGGCGCTCCTCGTGATGGATTCACCAATCTGTATCGGTGGATCAACCTGCTCGCCTACGACATCGTCGGCGAGATATCTTTCGGAGAATCCCTAGGGCTCTGTGAGCAGGGCGATGATGTGATGGAAGCCCTTCCCTTCGACGGCAGCGCTCCCTACAAGGCCAATATCATCGATGCATTTCAAGGAGGCAACATTTACGACTGTTTCTTCGGACCCTTTCCTTACATGGTAAATGCGCTCAAGAGACTCACCTCCTGGCACCACAACTCCATCAAGAACAAAGCATTCGGCGAATTCGTCAACATGGAAGTCGACAAGCGCCTAAAGCGTGGAGGTCCCTCTGGCTTTAGAGACTTCATGTCATACTTTTTGGAGGACGGGAAGGGCCAGCAACTGAATTTGGAGTACGGAGAACAATGGAGGGAGGCAAGTATCCTTCTGGCCGGAGGAACGGACACTTCAACATCCTCAATGACGAGCACCATTTATCTTCTCTTGAAGAATCCACGATGCCTGCAAAAGCTCAGAGAGGAGCTTGACCCAGTCCTCAAGGATTCCAAGGTGGCATCCTATGATCAAGTCTGCAACCTTCCATACCTTCGCGCAGTCATCGAAGAGGCTCTCCGGGACCGCCCACCGGTTGGTCAAGGTCTTCCTCGTGTCGTACCAGAAGGTGGCGCAACCATCGCCGGCCACTTTATCGAAGGTAAGCCTGACTGTTCGGGGCCACATCTTGTTCCATACTAACATCGTCATTACAGGTGGCACCACCGTTTCCGTTCCCGTGGTGTCTCTTCACCACAACCCGTCCGTTTTCCCGGACCCGCACGAGTTCCGCCCGGAGCGCTGGCTCGAGGCCGACACACAGAATTTGCGTGACTACTGTATCCCGTTCTCTGTCGGCCCGCGGGCATGCATTGGACGTAACATTGTCTACTTGGAGAGTCTGATTATCATCGCAACACTTGTTCACCGCTATGATTTTGAGCTGCCGAGCCCGGATTGGACGATGAAGACAAAGGAGAGGCTGAATATCAACCCCGAGGCGTTGTGGGTGAGCGTTAAGATGAGATGAGGGAGCCGCTGGTTTAGGCAGAGCATTGTATAGATGACAGCTTTTAGGTCGTCTGGGATCCGAACTGCTTTTTTTCTCCCTTCCTCCTTGATCAATCTGTCTACTTAAGCCCGCGTGATTACGATCCAGAAAATGAATGCCAGCTTTGATTGATACTAGTAGTATGCTGTGGTGTCACCTTTCGATATGCGATTTTGTAGTCCCTAATAGCCATGGGTGATACATCCTGTGCTATGGATTTGTGTCCTTTTGCGCATAGGAACGTACTCTAAGGGATACACGGCCGCCATATTCGGCAGGCTCAGCCTAGAATGCTGACATCATCATTGTGTAGGAGCCTTGCGCTGCACGTGATGACAAGGCTGAGCAGCTTTTGTCGGCTAAATGATATTCCGCAGCGGCACGTCAACGCTCGCACACTGGAGCTTTGTAGACTTCATGTCCATCTTCCAGGACACTGATGCCATTACAAGAAGCGAAAGTTGGACATATCAGTACACGCACGAGACGTGAGCTTGGACGCATCTGTCATGCGGTTCGAACTTTTAGGAGGCGCTGCTGAGGCATGAAGATGAAGTGAGACCATGGTACAGCCGAGATCGATCGACACAGGCGCGGCCAGTACCGTCTCAAGAAGCAGTTCCGCATGCTATGCTTGTCGAGTGAGAAAGCAAAAGGTCGGATAATCGAGCCCATCCCAGCCCTTGCCAACTCACGCAGGAGAACATGTACACTGACCTCTCATAGTGTGATGGTCAGAGGTTCGTCCAATGGCTTTTGAGTTGATGAGCTTCCGCTCAAATCCGAGCCCCGCGATTTGAAGCTAGTATTGACTGATGCTGCTTGATGTCATCTCAGACCTACTTGCAGTCGATGCACGAGTCTCTCACAGACATGCGTTTGGCCGAGAAGGCAGAAGAGGTTCGTACTTCGGTGTCCAAGCAGGCCTAGAGCAAACTGTCTTTTCCCCAATTGCCAGCCAGTGTAAACCCAATGCTGACTGCAACTTTGATTGTGTTAGAGGCCCTGCCAAAGGTTACGTTGAAGCACTTGAGAACCGCCTGAAAGAGACCGAACGAGTTCTCTGGAGGGTACTTTCGACCTCAAACTCCACCCTTGATACCTTGGCGGAGGCATTCTCTACTGAGCTCTCCCGTCAAATACCAAGAAGCCTTGCGATCAGCACTCTGGAGACAACCGAGGAGAAAAGGTCTGCCATTGCCTATTGGGAGCAGTTTCCCCTCCAGGGCCCGGATGAAGTGTTGGCGTGGAAGCAAGATCTGGACTCCCCCGCGCTTGTGGCAATTCCAGATTCACATACTTTCGGAGACGGTGCAGCGTACAGGCCATCAAGACATACGTCAATCGAACTCACTTCGATCGAGGGCGACTTCAGTAGTGGCCTATCGCAGATGCAAGCGGAGCAAGCTGGAGAGCCAACGAGCTTTCGCAATGACACTGCTTTGCAGCCAGCGGCCGGTCCCCCTCGGGTAAAGCGCAGGGCCGCTGTTCTGCGAGAGGAGTCCGCGACGATCGATTATGCGATGCAGCATGTTCCCCCAAAGCCGTCAAAACCAAACCACGGCACAGCCACTAAGTTTGGCTTATCACAAGAGTTCCAGGATACGTTTTTGTGGTGAAGCAAAGACTTCAATCGGACAAGTCGAGATAGGTAGCTTGCAACCATCTCGGAGCCGCGAAATGCGTCTCCAGGCTTTCCTTTGGCCCCACTTCACCCTAGAATCTGGTGACATCCCATGCGCTCAGGTCATTCCAGTAATCGATACCATTTGCCATTGCCTCCCAGCTGATGGTGCCAAACGAGCCGGCGTTATTGGCGTACAAGTCATCTGGGATGGGGAAGCGGAGGTAATCAGCGTTGTCGAGATTCGGAATCGATGATGTCCCGGCGCTGAATACGGGGCCAATGTACTCTAGACTTGGAAGTGTGGCATCATGGTCAAAGAAGGACCAGTCTCCCGTATCAGTCTCCAAGCGTTGAGTCTGACTGAGCTTTTGTGTCGATGGCTCGTTCGGGTCATCTAGAAAACCGCTTGAAAGGGCGCCTATAGTCTGTTCTTGCGGATTTGTTTTTCTTCGCTTCTCTGGGGGCGCAGGTGGCTCCGGATGGTCATCTTCACCGACAATGGATGGGTTGGCGTTCGAAGGAGTTGAGAGCCTATTATGGTGCTGAGCCATGGATACGCTCTGCGATTTTCCCAGAAGATGGTCATTATATTGCTGTTTCAGAGTATCCAACATACTTCGCAACGCCTCTGCGCAGTGCCTGGCGTTGTTTCCCTTCCTGTCCATGCCTCCGATCTGGTCGATGCATTCTTCAATTTCTCTGTGCGCGAATCCGATTAGTCCTAATTCTACTCAGATTCGCTTGAGGACATCTCACCTTTGAGCTTTCTTGAATGGATACAACCTTAAAGTGCAGGCGAAAGACAATACCAGCCCCGCCATCCAGCTCACAGAAAGCATCCCTGGCCAGGAGACGGAGAGTTGCCGTTCTGACTGGTGGCGCAGTGTCGTGATAATCTGACGGCTTGCTGTAACGCACGTCTGGAGACTTGACCTGAATTCTAGGGCTTCAGGGGACAGAGAGAGGAACGGACGGTTGATAACGAGCAGTAGCTGATTGTATAGAATGATGAAAAAGAAAGTAAAGGTGGAACAAAGCTCCATTTTGCCGCCGGTGTACTCATCCTGTAGATTCGACGGGAGGCCATTCCACCAAGAATGTACTTCGGCCTGAAGTTCGATCATACTTTCGGTTTGAACCTTGCGGTATTGTAGTGATTTGTGAAACAATTCGATGGCTTGTCCGAGCAATCGGCAGTAAGCGACATAATTGGCAAGGACCTCAGAACTGCTGTTGGTATCCTCAGCGCTACTTGTTCCTCGCGAGCCTTGTCGTTTCCGCTCATTATCTCTTGCTGGTCCGTCAGAAGGATTCGAGCTGGACTCCTCTTCAGATGTGCCTCTTGGGACAGGGTGCGCCCTCGGAAGATGAGCCAGAACTCCATTCTCTGACGTGGAATTCGTGGAGGGCATTTGGTGACTTGGTTTGACGGGTCGATGCAGTTCTTCCGTGCCAGGAATGCAGACATCAAGATCCGAATCCTGGAAGCCCAAAGGATGACCTAGAGCTTGACTCAGATACCGGTCTAACACGTAGGCACTCCAGAAAATCCGTTTGCGCAAGTCACATTCTGGAGGTGGGACCTGTGGATAGCGGTACGGACATCGGTGCAGCCCGGCATGATACATCGTTCTCGCAAGCGTACCGCCGACGGTCGAAGCAGCTCGAAGCGCCATAGTAGAAACAAGATACAGCTGTGCCGCAAGTAGAGCCTGAATTGACTGGATGTCATGATTGTTGGCAACATAGCCAACGATCGACAGCAGCTTGCTTGGAGCCTCGATTCGAGACTCTGAAGCAAGAGTTTGGCCGCGCCGATCGAGGTTGGCAATGTTGAAGACGCATTGGCAGATTATGGCTTGACACAAACGCGTTCTTAGACTGTCCTTGGACACATTACGGTGTTCACTCGTCTCGTAGAGGGCTGAAATCGACTCAAGTAGGGTTGGACCGTGGAGAAACGGAAAGAGAGGATGCCAATTGCGGAGATAGAGCATAAGAAGCTCCCTTGCGGTTTGCTGACTAGGTGCACTTCCCAGTCTATGGCCTTTGACACCATAGGATCGTGCCGTAGCTTCAACGTTGCCATATTCGATGTGAATACTCATCCCACGACTCTCATCTTCCGAGGGTAGCGGGGTCTCCGGGTCGACGAGACGGCTATCGACTGAGCCGGGATCATCTCGCTGTGGTCGAGCATCATCGTCGGCACCAGTAGATGGGAAATCTGAGGTGCGGGCTGATTGAGCAAACGCGCGAAAGACCGTGTTCACAAAGAAGACACCACTTGCGCTGCCAATAAATTCCGTTCGATGGGATGATGATGCCGTAAAGGATCCAACCTCGATCGGAGCAATGGGTTTGGAGGTCATTGTCTGGGAGTCGACTCGATCTTGAGCAGACGCTGTTTTGCGAAGTTGTTAAATGCCATTGGAGATAGTGAACTTCTCCGTAGCGATAATCCGACGGAGCATTAGAACAGATGAACCCTAAAGCTAATCACGTGATCTTCCCCGTACCGCAATTTCTGTGGGGAAGATCAACTGTACTGTAACCTCAATCTCTACAACCACTGTGAACCACCCACCTCGCCACCACCGTAGGGCCGCATCCATCATCCCCGGAGCTACCAACGGAAGTCCTCCTTCATTGGGGAAGAGTCCTGTGATCAGATTGTCTGGTGGAACATCTGCGACCCATTCCAGCTCGGAAAGTCGCGCTCCGGTCCCCTTCTGGTATTTCGAACCTTCCCTACTCTCAAAGTCCAGCATGCTGCCATTCTTCACCACCTACGCCACCAGTGCGCGCCGTAGGGTTGAGCGATCCTAGCTCCGATCTGGCTCTGGCGACAGATAGTCCACGTGGTATCATGGATTGCGCAGCCTCGTCGCAGGGAAGACCCCAAACCGGGTGAATCAGGACGATTGAAATGGACATGTACAGATTGGGGAACACAACGGCCTCCATGATCAGGCTACGCTTTGCCCAACATAGGCCGGAGTGTGCTCGCCCGGGCCTGCTTTGGGAACTGATCTGCTCCGAATGCGGGTGGCCCTGGTGAGGAGCATTTGTCAACGGGATTCAGCTATGATATATCTCGTCCTCTTTCCGCTCCGGTTCTCTGTCGTTCTCAGCACGTATTACCACATCTACTTCGCTTTGGCGAGCTTGAAACATGGCCGACATCAACGTAAGTCTCTCTCGACATACGTCTAGCCTGGCTAACCCCATCAGGACAAAACCGGCGCTCATGAAATCGAGAACACGCCAACTGTGGTTCAAGAAAAGGAGATCAACGTCGTTAATGCTGACTTCGCAGCTGCTCTTGCGGACAACCCGCCGAGCCCTTGGGGTCGAGGCCACCTTGCTCTCTATGGTTGCTGCATCGTCGTCTACCTGTGTTCCACCATGAATGGTAAGATCCGTCAAGGGGTTGATGAACCATGGCTGATAATGTGGACAGGCTACGATGGCTCGCTCATGGGCAGTATCAATTCTATTCCAAACTACCTCAACTACTACAACGTATCAGAGAATGAACAAGCCGGCACGGGCATTGTATTTGCGATATTTCAGATTGGTCAAATGACGGGAGCATTCTTCGTTTGGATGGCCGATTGGAAGGGCAGAAAAGTACCCATCTTCCTTGGTTGCTTTGGTGTCATAATCGGAACAATTGTAACAGCGACGGCGAAAACAAGTGAGTGTCCTTTCCACAGATCCGGTGCCTTTACTCACCAGGTTTCAGTGCCCACTTTTATCGGCGGGCGATTTCTGCTTTCCTTCTTTTGTACCTGGGCAGCGACCGCCGCGCCTATGTATTGCGTGGAAGTCGCTCCACCATTATATCGTGGGACCGTCTCGGGTCTCTACGTACGTGTGCATCGCTTTTGTTCAGTGCACACTGGAACCGCCTTCTGACAACCTGCAGAACACATTGTGGTACATGGGTTCAATCATCGCGACTTTTGGTGAGTTCTAATTCCGATATTGTGGTGGTTGTTGGCTGAGAATGTCACAGCCGTCTACGGTACCCATATCCACTTTGATGATAACCTCAGCTGGCGACTGCCTCTTTGGTTGCAAATGCTTTGCCCAGGGATTGTATGCGCCACTGTCTGGCTCCTCCCAGAATCGCCTCGCTTCCTCGTGGCCAACGATCGCCTAGACGAAGCTCGGAAATTCATCATCAAGTACCACGCAAATGGGGATGCTTCCCATCCTATCGTGAACCTCGAACTCAACGAAATTCAGCAGAACTTACGCGATGTTCCCTTAACTTCCTGGAGCAATTTCTTCGACATTACCATTTTGTTCAAATCTCGCTCGCGCCGATACAGGAGCATGTTGAATTTTGCCTGGAGTTGGTTCGGTCAATTTTCTGGGAACAAGTGAGTACCTACTTCCTTGTGAACCTCAACTTGCTCATCATTACCAGTGTCATATCATACTACCTTCCACTCCTTCTGACCAATGTTGGAGTCACGGACACCAACACGGTGCTCTTGCTCAATGCAATATACGCACTGACTGGTTGGATTGCGGCTGCGACAGGTGCCCGCTTCCACGACATCATCGGCCGACGAAAGATGATGCTGGGCTCGACTCTAGGCATGATCATCTGCTTAACGATCACTGCCGGAACGGCCGCAGGCTACGTCAATACCGGCTCCACATCATCTTCCAAGGCCAGCATTGCCTTCATCTACATTTTCGGGGTCACCTTTGCTTTTGCCTACACGAGCATGCAGCCTATCTATCCTGCTGAAGTGATGTCAAACGAGATGCGAGCCAAAGGCATGTTCTTGTTCCAGATCACTGCCGGTCTGGCATCCTTTGTCAACACGTTCGCTGCACCTGTGGCCTTGAAAAACATTGGATACTGGTTTTATGTGTTCTTTGTCTTTTGGGATTGCTTCGAGTTCCTCTTCATCTACTTCTTCTTCGTGGAGACCAAGGGCAGAACTCTCGAGGAGCTAGACGAGGTGTTTGAAGCCAAGAACCCTCGGAAAGCCAGTACGATGAAGGTGCGGGTTCGCAAGCAAGAAACTGTTGACCGGCACGGAGTGCACAATGTCTCGATCACGGAGAGCAGTATCCAACCTCGAAGCAGCGCGGACTGAAGGACAGTAGTGGAGGTACACGCTGGCCCAAGTCGCCAGGCACGATGGGCCCTGACGTGTTTGCGAAAATTTATGAGACGGATTCGACTCCGGCCCGTGCAATTGGGGATGGAGTTGTCAGAATGCATCACTGAGATGTGTGGTGCCTTTATTGAGGCTGAAAGGACATTTCGGGAGACAAGTCAGTGATCGATATTCTACTGTGCAATGAACTACCTATGCGGCGATCAGCACTCACGTCCTATTGCCTGTGCCGCTTTGCGCGGGACGAGGATCCCAAGGAGCCCATGGATTAGGGATCCAGCACAGATCCGACCAAATTTCGAAATAGAACAGGAACAGGAGCATGTGGAGCCCTTCAGAGTCGTTGCTTGTGGCAGGCATCTTTCATGTACTTACAGCAGACGCCGAAAAATCAGGAGACAAACCTTGGCCATATCATAGATCAAGGTCTTTGGCTTGGGCGACCAGAAGCAGAGGCAATCTTCATCACATCTCAAGCAAACATGATAGGTACTTTACCAGGGTAAATACCTGATGCCTCATGCTAATTGTCACTTTGCGCATCGGATGAATGCAGTAAATTCCATCATATTCTTGGCGATGTTGGTGGCCTTAAGTTTCTCCTGCTCATCTCTCTCTCCATTGCATCATTATTGGATCCAACGAGGCTGCACTGCAGACCTGGCGCACTCGTGGCACGCCTGAGATGTCGTCGTGCTTCTCACTCGGAAGCGAGCAGACTTTGACGAGGCTGATAGATATTTAGCGCTCCTCACGGAACTCATGGGACATTCCAACATGTTTCATCGCCGTCGATCTCAGTCAGTGCCAGCTGTCGATACTGTCGCTAAACGGATGCAGTCTCGAAAAGAACCAGCTTTCCAATTCTCGGTACCTTGTCCCCAGTCACAAGTGATCGATGGGGAAGTCGTCCACGCTCCTTACGGGTATCTCACATACACGAAGAACGACAAAGGCAGTATATGCCCGCGCTGCGTGAAATGGTCGCTCACGGCCAGACGAAGCTCCAGGATACCATTGGACTCCAAGTATGGCAACGATAATGTTCGACTCGCAGAGAAATGGGGGTTTCCAGGACAAATGATTGATTCTGACTGTCCACTTTGCAGACTATTTGCCATGCATGCAGCTGACTACCAATTCGTCAATGGTCCAATGCAAGCTCGCCATTATGATCTACGTGAGCTCATCATCAAACTAAAGCAGCCCCGGTTGTTCGGCACCGGCTTCACTGCCTCGGAGGCAAAATTCTGGTATCTCGATCCAACGTCGGCCCCTCGTGCAGGCTTCTCTCAGATGGCTGGTGAAGGATCGTGCATCGGCTTAGCAGACACCTCTGATCCAAGAGCACACGACTACTTGTCACCTGTCCTCATCGATTGCGATGCTGTCGACTATCCTACCATCCAGTCATGGCTCTCAGCTTGCAACAATCACCATCACGGAGACTGCGATTCGACACCTGAGGAGTCCCTACCGAGCCTTCACTTGATCGACTGCATGTCAATGCCACATCGATTGGTCAATGCCCAGCCACATCACACGTACGCTGCCTTGAGCTATGTATGGGGCCGTGACAGCGTCGGAGACCAATTATCCGGGGATACCCTTATATGGCGATTGCTACCTCAGACCATTCGTGATGCCATGACGGTCGTAAGAAGACTCGGGATGCGTTACCTTTGGGTTGACAGATATTGTATCCCTGCCGCAGCCATGAAAGAGCAGATCAGCAAAATGGATGTGATCTACGCCGGGGCCGAACTTGTCATTGTTGCCGCTGCTGGCGCCGATATAGAATACGGCCTGCCTGGTGTAGGGCCGAGGAAGCGTACGCAACAGCCCTATGCGTTGGTGGGAAAGGACTTGTTCGTATCAACTCTCTCCGATCTCAGCTCCATGCTACACGTCATTACATGGTGGCAGCGAGCGTGGTGCTTCCAGGAAGCCTTGCTATCTCGCCGGCGTCTTATTTTCACTGACGAAAAGATCTACTTCCTGTGCCGCAGAATGCTGTGCATCGAGACTCTGAGCTTACCCTTTCAGGATTCACACCAAAGGCCGCATACGTCTCGTACGGGGTCTTCCACCGATTTCTACAATTGGCTCACAACAAGTGGCTCTGCCAGCAAGGACCCAGACCACATCCATGGTATACTCGTTGCATATGCGCAGAAACATATGAGCTTTGAGTCAGATGGTCTCAATGCCATTGTTGGTGTGTTGCGTGCCTTCTCACAGCGAAACCCCGGCGAGTTTCATAGTTACGCTGGCCTTCCAATTATTGGGTATCCCTCGTCCAAAGCCTTTCTCTCAGCGCTCTTATGGTCCGAACACATACCGGGAAGGAGAAGAGCCGGTGATTTTCCGAGCTGGTCATGGGTGGGCTGGACCGGAGGATTTCGCTACAACTCCATCTCCAGAGACGTTGACGACATCGAGGTGCGTCTTGTCGATCGAGATGGAAGTACGACAAAGTGGGAGGACCTTGTGGTTTCCGGGAGGCTGAAAGAAAGCGCATTCCCATTATCGCAGTACATCCGTCTCTACGCACTGACCGCCATGATCCAAGTCAGCCATCTAGCCACAAGTCGAATCCAGAATGGCGGAGCGTATGTCGTGCCAGTGCAACGGTTTGATCACGGCAGAGTACGATATGCACAAGTTTCGCTGGGCTACAGTACCTCTTCGGGCGGGAAACTGAATCCAGACCTGCATGAAGAGCTTGTTCGTAAACCGTCGAAATGTGTCTTTCTTATATCTCCGGATGACGAACGGAAATTATACGGTATAGCTCTACTGCTGCGCGCCGTTGGCACCCACCTTGAACGGATCGGGAGCTTTCAGTTGGATTACATTGGCGACGTGTACGACGCTGACGGGAATTATGACAGCTTTCTGATGAGTACTGACGAAAGAGCCACAATCGAGGGATTCGACTTTCAAAAGGAGTGGACCTCTCTTGGATGAGCAGGAGCAGCACTTTATCATGGAGTCAGAAGCAATGATATCTCCCTGAAAGCTAGTCGCCGAGAGGCGAAACACAGGCAAACGCCCGAGTCCGAGAAGGGTTGAGGGAAGTCGATGCAGCACGGCTGGAAGGTTATCGTTTATTGTTGACTCGGTGTGAGTCTTGGATTGTTGACTGCCTAAAAGCAGATCTGACCTGCCATACAATAACGCACCAAAGTGATCAGCTTTAAAGCAAAGCTCTTTGCTCGACAGCAGGGCGGTCCTTGACCTTCAACAAAAATGGCATCACCGCCTCCAGAAATTGGCCTGGTTGATCTATATTCACTGCATGACCCGCATTCGGTATGATAACCTTTCTGGCTTCGGGGATCTTTCTGGTCATATACTCACTCGCCGCCAGGAACGGCTTATCGTCAGCACCCACCACCACAAGAGCAGGAACTTTGACGTGCTCCAGTGAATCAATGACCCTGGCATTTCTTTGCGCCAGCATACCCCTAGCCGCAAGTGCCAGTCCCTTGGCATCCCGATGGCTTACAGACGATCGCTCCGCGCTCAAAGATCGCAGGACAGCCAGGCCTTGACGCTCAAAGTTGTCGCCAGTGGCGAAAGCAGTCTTGTTCCACGCGTCGCGGGCGGCGTCTTTCTTGAATCCAGGACCGGTGTCGATGATCAGCAGGGCACGAACGCGCTCTGGATGAAGTCTGTAGAAGGCAAGGGACATGTAGCCACCGAGCGATAGGCCTCCCACGATCGCCTTGCTTCCAGGGCCACACGTTTCTTCCAACAGTGCTATCATGTCAGTGATAGTGTTTTCTTCGCTGTAGGCTGACTGATCGGGAGGATAGTCGCTCTGACCGTGCCCACGCATGTCCCAAACGATGAGTTTGAATGACTTGGAGATGGCAGCCACCTGCCCAGCCCACATCTCAGAAGTGGACGAGTACCCATGAGTGAGGAGCACCGGGATGCCAGTCCCGTGAACTTCATAGTAAATTCTTACGCCGTTGTTATTCAGGTACGGCATATTGGAGGCTGTGGGCCGGTGTCTTGCCGGAGTCAAAGATTACTAACGGCGTTTTTGTAGTTTCAAAGCTGAGGAGCACGACAAAAAGGACCGGTCCCAGCATGAACAAGGACTTTAGTACTCCGTACTTTACCTGAGGTGAGCACCACTCGTCGTTTTACCCCATGATTGTTGAAGAACCTCGGCATTGCGCACTTGGACGGAGCAGTTGAATGTAAGCGCAGTTTTGGTCAAACACCGTGAATACTGACGCTACGCCCCACAGCTCCATGTACACAATACAACTGCTCGATTCCCCCGCCTTGAGACAACCTAAGTCAACCCTGTTTTCGCAGTCCAAGCACGACCGGGACGTCTGGCACGCGCGCTGCTCTTTGGAGGTGAGAACACCAAGTCCTAGGCCTCAGCAATCTCCCCCCGGCGAGCTTCAAAAAGAGGAGGAGAAAGATCACTTGAGCGCAGGGTCAAAACCGGCACTCAAATCGGTCAAAGCGGTGATGACATACCAAAAGGACCAGAGCGGGATGGACGAGCAGATTACATACCAAAAGGGTCAATCTGGACGGGAGTTGACGATCAAAACCCTGGCTAGCCCTGGTCATTTTTCTCGCCCTCAATGCGGATTCTACGACCATGTTCGGCCGGTGATTACCCAGCGCAAGAACCATACGGTAGCCGGTCCGCAGAGCAGAGAAGCATGATATCGCCTGGACGCCGGCGGCTGCCACAGAGAAAGCTAAGAAAGGAGCGAAATGGCTGCGCAGCCTCACACTTCCCCGTCTTGTCGCTCCATCCTCAATCGGTCCCTAACTTTCATCAATGCCTTTCCGAGTAGGTTTCTTCCCCATTCGTCCTCTTTGTTCTCCGCTTCATCACCCCGGAAGCCGATGCCCCTGTTCCGATCGACTAGACTTGCTTCCGCCAGAGTCCTGTCTCCCGAATCGAGCAGTGCCTGCCGACACTCTTCTACCTGGCTGCATTTCAGGTAGTTGCACGTCTCAGCCACCTCGTTCACAGCTTGCTTCCATTTTTCTCCGTTGTAGTTCTTGACCTCACGCCCCAGCCTTCCTGCTTCCCTCGGTGTGGCAGCACTGGCGATCTTGCTGGCCGTAGGGGTGTCGCCCATAACAAGTGCCTTGCGATACATGATGTAATGCTCGCTCAGTCTGAAACCGGACGCCGGGAATATTGGGATCGGTAAAACTTGCAGGATACCAGTTCTGTAAGCGTGCTTCGGGCAATTGGAGCTCATAGCCGTAGAAAAAGAGATGTTTGGCCGTGTAGTGGACAGCAGGACCGTACGGTGGTGGAGTATTCGAGGACGACATGGCTTGATGCTGGAATCTTTTTCTTGGACGAGAAACAGAGATCTGTGAGGTGAATGAGACCGTAGAAGAACAGCGGCCACCGTCTCGAGCGGCCACCACCTCTCAACCCAAGGAAGAGCGATGGGTAGATCGCCTCAGAGACGGCACAGGTCGCGTCAAGAGCATCAGGGCACATCATCCATACCTTTGACTGACCATCACTGCAGAGGCTAAGACGGTATCTTGACGTCATGATTTAGAAGGGAAAGCATTGCAACAAACACCGTCCGAGTCTTCAATGCGCATACTCGCGGTCATGAATCTGCTTTCCTATGTGAACATTGAGTCGGCCATTGCAGTGGTGGAAGTGCATAGAAAATGATGTAGTGAAAGCTTCCAATCGGTAGTGATGCATTGAAACCTGCATTGAAACCTGCATTGAAAATTGTATGGAATTTTTTGGGACGGTTGTCTTGTATTGAAATATGTCTTGAAAATCGCGAGCGATAGTCCAGCATTGAAAGTCGTATTCGAAGCATGACACTCTCTACGGTGAAGTACTTACTTGGCTTCAATAGGTCGCAGCACAAGAGACACAGTGCAAGTAGCACGTCAATCAACTAGTTCCAGCTAAGCCATTCACGGCGAACTCTAGGCTTACAGTATCCGTTGAATTCCGTCATCCATATGATGCCATTTTTATCCGTCATCCCTTGAGTACCTAACTTCTTAGTTCCGACTACTGTTTACGCGTACTTCAAGAGACCACTTCTCATCGATCTTTCCTCCAGTCCTCATTAGAAAGTCAATTTCCACTCACTCCCACCACAACAATGGCTACCGAACTACAAAAGAACCTCATCCAGCCTGGAAACAATACCGACTATCCCAGGCCAGGCGACAAGGTCACCATCGAGTACACCGGCTGGCTACATGATCCTTCCAAGGCCGACAATGGCTACAAGGGCAAACAATTCGACAGCTCTGTTGGCCGTGGCGACTTTCAGACTGCCATCGGTGTAGGCCAGGTGATTGCAGGCTGGGATCAAGGCGTTACGCAGATGTCGTTGGGCGAAAAGAGTACTCTGATCATTCCAGGACGCATGGCATACGGCGACGGCGGATATCCTGGCTTGATTCCACCAAATGCTACACTCATCTTCGATGTCCATCTCAAGGGTATTAACGGCAAGAAGATCTGATTGGGGTTGTCAACAAAAACTTTGATCATTGTGTCGGAACATCCTACATAGATCACGCCATGAGGTTGCCCTTGGTAGCCCTGAAATGCTCCTCTCTCTCAGACCATTGAAGCGGTCACAATCATGTCAGTCGGAGACGGCTGATTTTGAATAAACGGACACGAGAAACACACTAAATCTCAACGGGATAATTCCATAGGGATCGAATTCAGGACCATCCCAGGTCGCTATGCCGATGTGAATTCTTGTCTGCGCTTTTGTTGATTCTTAAAGAGGCAAGTTTAGCCGAAATGGAAAGGCATCGACCTCAAGTTGATAGCAAATCTGCCATGCCTGCGCTGAACCACGACCCCGAGTACGCATGAGATGAATTCACCCAGTGAACCTCAAGTTGCCAGCCAGTCAACCCTCCTCACCTAGTACTCCGTCCTGCTCTCGCTCATCGCTTATGGCTCGTGAAAGCAACTGCATCGACCATTCCCCTCCTTCGAACTTGTGCATTTCACCCAACACAGCTTCATGCACAACTCTCTACCATGCGGCCGCTACATTCGAAACATCTGAACAGATCCTACCCCATTCCACACCCCTTGAGCTCTAGGGAAGGCCCAGATGCGTTACTCAGCAGCGTCCATTCAGGAGGGGGAATAATGAGCACATTGCGAAAGACATGTGCTCCGGTTCGTCATAGGCATACACCCCTTGATAGTCACACCATCATGCTTTGCTAGAAAGATTGATACCTCATGTCGTCTCTTGCTTCTCCACTACCAACTCAAAGGCGGGTTGCTCAAACACTTGGCTCGGCTGTATGGTGTTCGATTAAATGTCGGCTTCGAGGATCGACTCAGGTAAGTCTTGTATCTGGGGGCGTAGTCGCCAAATATTCTTCATTTGAGTAGAAGTCTTCGCAGCAGCTTCGATTCTCCGACCTTGTACGCACCCTAGAGAGCCGCTGCTACTTTTCAGCTATCTTCAGAGGCACAAAGGCCGTCTTTGTTGGTTGACCGACGCTCATCAAGAACAAAGGTCTTTCATTTCCTTGAGGACAACTTTGCGGCACCATCATGTATGGACCTGCATGCTGTATCGCTCAGTCATACTGCCGCAGGATCCTCCCATTCTCGAAACAGTTCCATGGATTCGTCAAACACCCAGTCCAGGAAGATGCCGTCAACCTCATTTGCAAACAGCTGCCACGTGCGCAATTCTTCGAACTGCTTGTCCATCGCCTTCCAATCCAGTGACAAATCTGATGCGAGGACGACGGTACTCAGTTCATCGCTTCTTCGATCCATCAACAGACGAAGGCCATTGATGAATGCGTGTATTTCTTCCACCAGATCGTTATTGTACTCTTTCGAGACGCGCCTCACGCCCTTCACGAGCTCAATCCAGCTCCAAAACGCGGATTTGAACGTTGTGAAAATGTCCGGATCTCCGGTGTTTTCGAATCGCCACAGTCTTCGTTGGGCCTCTTTTCTGGCTCTTTTGATCGCTTTATGGTGTTTGACGAATTCTTCTTTCCAGGGCTTTTCCGAGGCATGTTCGCCAGGGTCGCTGGTGTTCGGATCAAGTACAGGGCAAGAATCATTTGACTCGGTTGCATTATACTCGGCAGTCCCAGGCCCCTGCAGTGTTGGTGCCGGCAGAGACAATTCTCCAACTTCGGAGCTGTCAGGGCTTCGAGCAGCAGAGCCGCTGACCTCTTTCTCCTGCGCTCAAGTTAATATCTTCCATTGAGCCCTCCGCAGCATGCGACTGACGTTGTGCTCGATTGCCCCGTCACTCACATCCGGTAATGGGTCTCTACTGTGCATGGTTGATGTAGTATGTGTATCACTTTCCGATGAAATTTCACAGGCGACCATGATCCACAGATCGCTCGCAGAACCATAAGGACGTTTTGATGCAGTCATATTGGAAGGTGCACTTTCACCCGATGATGCAGGTGTTGCTGGCCAGACACTGAAGATGAGCTGGTATGAGAACCGATGCTGGATATCAGGGTTTGCCTCTTGCTCGCTTGCTTTGATCTGTCTGAAGGTTTGAGCGATAGTGAGGGAGAAAACAAGCGTGATATCGCACATCAGTGAATGCCATCACAGACATGACGGCAGTCTTTGCGAAGCCGTGGCAGGCGGTAAGACAGGTTGCCCAGTTTGCTCTTGGGTGAATGACATGGACAAAGAACAGTGCTGTCCAACGAAGTTAGATGGAACAGACATCAAGATCTGATGAATGGCAGCCATGATAGATCCCGATATGGCATATCAATCCCAGCTTCTGGCAACTTCCTCTGGCCTCTCTTTTTGACGAATCTTTCGCTCATCCCTGCCTGGCGTTTCGAGGCAAGTTCCACGATACGTTGTCCAAAAAGCTTTGTTCGATTCCGCCCAGCACTGGACGCTATAGCTTCGTTCACCTCATCCTTTCAGTCCTATTCTGCTACGTGGTATACCTCATCTAATCTGAGCCACCCCTCAGCGATCTGTCTTGCTTCGTGCTTCTTTGACCTTAAACTCTACACTGTCTCTGATCCTCAACGCGTCCTGCTGGGTGCTTGCCTCCCTCTACCTTGTCTTAACTTCGCCTGCTTGGTCTCACAAGGGCAGTGTGTCCCGACATGATGGCCACTACGGCATGAGCCTGAGGGTCGTTGATGCAAGAGGTCGAGAACGCAGGGTCCCGATCGAGGCGTGTCCGCACGTGCAAGAGCGTCGGTGAGTCCAAGGAAGGTGGAGAGAATACTGATGAGGTTAAAACTCGTATGGCTGAGTGACCGTCACTGGAGAATGCATTTCCGTGCTGCAGCTCGAGAGCAACTCGCAGCAGCAGAGCCAGGCGTTGGTTAGCGACGACGAACAGAAAGCAAGGAAACGTTTGCGCAGTGGGGAGACATTTGACAACACCACACTTTACTCGACAGCAGGCGCCGCCGAGAGTCCTGTGATTGTTGATGTAAGTCGAAGTCGACGTAGGGAGGTTCGGCAAGCCAGAATATCACACAGATTCCGAGTTGAATGAGGATCGCGACTGCGCGTCAGATCAGTACGTCATCTTTGGCACGCGACGCGACTTGGACGCAACCTCGTGGGTGACCTCGACATGTGTGGTCGCGAAAGAATGGCATAAGAGATGTCAAGAAAGCCACAGGATGCCGGTATCGATACAGATCGAGACGGAAGCCAGCGTAACCTCTTGTGAGCCCTTTCTTGTGCCCTCGGCTTGACCCTAGCTGGGATTGACAATCCAAAGGACATTTGGTGGCATCAAAGCCATGATACCGTACGCTCGGAATTGCATTCGAGTCTACCTAGGTAGCCACGGGGGATTTGAAACGACGTTCTCGCCTTGTTGTGATGATGGCTGACCAATTCTCAGTCCTCATTTGTGCTTGGTCTCCGTATCTCGCCTTTCCAAGCCATCACCAATGCTGCGACTACGCGATCGCCCGTAGCACATTGTTGTCCGACTCAAGGCCATCCAGTCTCTTCAGTCCTCAGCTCATGCCTCATCGCCTTCATCGTCGAGCTCCTCCTTGACAGCTGCATCTCCTCCTTCATCTTCAGCATCATCAGAGACTTCGATCTTTCTCTTCTTGGTGGTCTTGCCGGTGCCAATTTTGGTGGCCGGCGTCTTCCTTGTTGCACCAGTAGCACCTTTTCCACCAGCCTTCTTGACTGGCTTTGACTGGGCGTTACCGGGTATGTCTGCGCTAACCTGACCTGATCCACCGACGACACGACCGTCAACAAGATCGAAGCCTGCGGCTTTGACGATCGCACGGAACTTCTTCTGGCTGTTATGGAGAATCCTGGTTAACGCCAGAGATGAAGGTGGGAAGTGAATCAACTTACGCGGTGTTGGGATCTCTGACACCAGCCTCTCGTGCGACAGCGTGATAGTCCGGCTTTGGCATCTCGGTGTTCTTGAGAACGGTCATGATGTAGCTCAGCTTCTCTTCAGGCGAAGCGCCGGCCATGGCGAATTGCTGGGGTCGGGGCTTGTTGTTTGGAAATCTGGTTGTAAGTGAGATGTGGTGTCTGAATACTGGAGATCTTCGAAGCAAGAGATCATGACGTTTTGGATGCGGAAGAATGAAACGGGAAATCGAAGTCGAAGTCGAGTAATGAGTGAAGGGACTGGATATTCGCCTGAAGTTTACGTGCCAAATAGAAAGGCTTTGCTTCCAGTTCATATACTTGTCGCTAAGAAATTTCCATTCTTCACTGCACTCTCAATATCTTTCGCTTCGGTGACCTGGATGACGAGGACGGCTGGGCTGATCTGCCACACTCCCGGTTCCTCGTTGAAAGACCACGGTATCTAGCACATAGTTTTTCACTTCACTGTCAATTCTGAAGGCCGCGATGCAGTTGTAGCCGGTTGCTCTCCCACTTGTCAAACGGTATTTTTAAGCAGACCTTGTTGTCTTCGTCATGGCCGTAAATCTTCTGCTCACCGCCTACCTGCCCGTGATCTTGACATGAACGTCAATTCAGACCACACAGCTGGGAACGCCATCACAGGTTCGGCCTTTCAGACATCTACCGCAAGCTGTCTCTCACAACCAGCATTTGGAGCGTTTGCTGGATTGAATCTATCTGTGGCTCATGCACCAGTGCTCATGTTAATATTTGGCAGAGCATGATACTGGAATAACGGCCGAGTATTCATACATTAGCGCAGTGGCCAGTAAAATGTCCGACACTTGTTATCTGTCGAGAGCGTCGACAAATTCCAACTCCAATAAACATATTATGAGAACATCAAATTCTTTTCAAGCACCAACCACGCCTCCGATTTATGTATGTAGCTTGAGAGGCTGAACAGCGAGAATGCCCGAGACATAAAAGCGACTCTCAAATGCAGTAAGTCCGGTGTTCCGCCCGCGGCCACGCCACATACGGATCAAGCTCCAAATCGTCTCTAGGACTGAGATTCCTGCCGAAGCTCCATCTGCTTGATTGCGCCGTGAGCGTGAGCGAGATCTCGAGCGGCAGTCTTCGGAACAAGCACACAATGCATTCCATTTCTACAGATCTGTTGCAACGAAGCATCTCTTGGGCCTGAACCCAAGAAAACCCCGCTAGAATCCCGGCTGGATTGCTCATCGGCTGTTTGAAGGATGTATGCTGCGAGAATTCCGGACAATCTGGTAAAACCCAAACTTCCACAGAGGCTTCCAGAATCAGGGCAGTGCGAATTGTATCCTGACACAAGGTCTTCGCTGTTGAACGGCCCGGAGGTCGTTCCAGACCTCTGGTGCTCGCCGCAAGAACCGGTGCCCGTGGTCAATTTTCGCCAAAGTCACAGATTCCGACCAGTGACGTCCCTGCGGCAGCACGTGTGGCTTGAGGTTATGTGACATCCGGTGCACAGAACCCACGGAAAATGATCTGTGCACGACCACATGGCGCCGGAGGTTTTACTACGAATCAGGAAAAAGGTGGATGTTCTTCCACGATTGTGCACCGTGCACGTTCCCGTTCAGCAAAGAGGTCAAATGTTGATGCCGCCAGCGTACCATGCCCTCGGGTCACCGCCTTAGCGAGGCAACTGGCTTCATTCTCAGTCAAGACGATTGATTCCCCATGATCACTTACACAGCTTTCAGCTCCCGAATGTGACGTGGCGCAGAACCCAGAGAGCCCAGATTCCGGCTGGCTTCACCAAACTTTGAACCCTAAGAACACTTCCAGAAGAATTTTGGAAGCCTTGGGTATTGCTGTGCCGCCAGTGCCGAGCAGCCAGACGCACTTCAAGAGCGAAGCTTTAACCATGTACGATATGTGGTTGAATGTAGGTCTCCCAGCTCACAAGGCTAGTACTAATGCTCAAGCACATAAGGAAGCTGGCCTTTCCGTTCAGACCCGACGGCAAACCAATCTCTGCGTCTCTCACTTGAGAAAAGTGCACACTCTTTTGATCTCTGCTGCTTGACCTTTAGCCTTTCATTACGATGGCGCAAACCACCATCAGATTCCTATTGCTAGCCGGTGGGGCTAGACTGCTGCAATCCGCATGTGCTGCACCAGCTTCGACAAGGTCGACAGATCTATCATGCGACCAGGACGACGGCAACACCTATAGTGGCTTCACTATTATGTGCGGTGTCGATTATCTCGGAGGTGACATGGGAATGACATGGACAAGCTCATTCCAGTCCTGCATTGACACTTGCTCTTCCACGTCCGGATGCATCGATGTCTCGTATGTGGGCGGAGCTTGCTACTTGAAAGACTCTACCTCAGTTCCCACCATGAATTCAGCGGTATGGAGTGCTCGAAATGAAGAAGACGATCCTGTCGGATCGCTCTCATGCCCTTCTGCAGATGGTACGATCTACGACGGGTTCACTATTGCTTGTGACACGGACTATTACGGTGGGGACCTCTCTAATCAGGAATCCCCGTCCTTGGAAGACTGCATTGCTGCGTGTGCCGAAAACTCTGCATGTACGGATGTTTCTTTTCATACTGGCGGATGGTGCTATCTGAAGAATGTCCAAATGCCCGGTATAAGCAATACGGCTATCATCGGTGCGAAGTTACCATCTATCAGCACATCGTCTACCACGACCACAACCACTAGCTCAACCTCAACCAGTTCAGCCGTTATAACTTCTACTACAGTCTCGACCACAAGCAGCTCGACAACCACAACCTCAAGCTCGGCTACAACTACTTCGGCCGGCGGCGCCAGCAGTGGTCTTTCTTGCCCTGACGCCGATGGGCAGAGCTACGATGGCTTCGTCATCGCTTGCGGCACGGATTACCTGGGCGGTGACATGTCAATCATCCAGACTTCAACACTTGAATCATGCATCGCAGCTTGCAGTACAACCTCTGGCTGTACCGATATATCCTTTGACAATGGCTATTGCTACCTGAAGAATATCCTCATGCCTGGTCTGAGCAGCTCAACGGTGACCGGTGCAAAGTTACCAGCCGCGACAAGCACCTCTTCTTCCACTGCTACGTCTACTACGGTCTCTAGCAGTACGACACCTTCAGCGTCTTCGACGACATCTCAAGAGTCATCGAGCACCAGCACCACCAGCACCACCAGCACCACCAGCACCACCAGCACCATCAGCACCACCACGACGTCGTCAACTACAAGCACAACTTCAGCAGCAGCCACATCTTCAACCGGCGTGTGGACCACTTCTTCTACAACGTCCACGACTGCAGAGGCTACGTCGACTCTTACGACCACTACTGCTTCAACCACACGGCCCAGCACCACCACCAGCTCCGCAGCCACTACCAGCACCACAAGCACTTCGGCTCGTTGCCCGGGTATTGAGGCGAGCTACATCGCCAAAAATGGTGCTGTTTGGTCGATTTGCTACACTTATGATCGTGCAGGTGGAAACCTCCGCACAACTTTTGGCCAGTCCAATGTCGACTGTATCAATCAGTGCGAGCAGACCACAGGATGTGTGGGCGTTTCATATGCACCATTGCTCGCCACCTGCTACATGAAGTCTCGTTTAACTTCGGTTTATCGTAATCTGCTGGTAAATATCATGGTACCAATCAGCAGCGCATCATCGTTCACGACCACGTCTGGAAGTGCCGCCACTTCATTGACGACTACTGCGTCCGCTACCACCACCACGCAGTCTACTACGTCGACAACAGCAGTCGTGCCAGCCACTACCTCCACGGCCACTACTACTTCAGCTGTCGCCACGGCGAGATCTACGACGTCGACCACATCAGTCGTGTCAACCACCACGTCCCGCACTACAACCACCACGAGCACTACTGCCAGAAGGACCACGACCACGACATCCTCGAGACCAACAACGACCACCACAACATGCACAACAACTACGACCACGAAGAGGGGACACTGATAACTGGAAAGGCTGGCCCAAGAATATTTCAAGAACCGTGAACTAGGAGATGGTCAGCATATGCCGTGGGAACATTTGCGGCCTAGTAACACGATGCCAGCAGATCTGGCTTGTCGTCACAGGCTTTGACATTTATCTGGCACGCAGTTTATGATTGACCAAGTCAACCTCTCTGCTAGTTCGAGGACAACATAGACTCGTCGTTCGCAGTACGTATAGCACGCTTAGAATTTGATATTGATGGAGCTATTTCGATTCCGAATGAAAGCCAGGGGGGATTCTATCGATCAATTGTCCGGAAGGACTTCGCTTTTTCATGATCAGGGTTGGCTTCTTTAGAGTCGACTCTTTGACAGCTGGTCGGAAACCTGAGAGCTGAGTCTCCCCAATGTCGATCGCCCTTGCGGTTCCTGGGAAGATGCAGAAACTCTGCTTGGATGGGCGCTATCTCGGTTGTCCCAGCAGCGACCCCAGATTCCGCTTTTCCCTGGCGCGTAAATGCCATTTGGATCGAGCGTGTCCTTAATCTTGTTGTTCATTCTGAGCAGGGCGTGGTTGTTCCAGCTGTAAGTCCCCATAACTTGGTCTTGCAAGGCCAGATGCGTTCTGTACTCTCCCATACCAACTTTGGCGCCTTCTGCCACCAATTCCTCCATCAGACACCGGGCTCGGTGTTTGGAGTCTGGATCTCCTCGGTCGTAGATGATCATGACAATATGATGCATCTCCCTCCATCCGGGGCAAAAGGTCGGGAAGTAATCGAACCCCCATTTCTGATGAAGTCGTTTCGTCAGTTGGTACTGTTTCTCGGCGTCCTTGCCGGTGAGAGGGCTGATGGGGCTGAAGGCGGTATGTGACCCATTATCGAGCCACATAACCCAGTCTAGTTCTCTCAGATCCGGCGTGCCCGCGTAGATATTGACTCTGCTCCTCAGGTAGGAATAGTCGGGCGTCTCCTCGGGAAACATGACTTTGGCTCCAGGAATCTTGCTGAACTCTTCGGTGATGACTTGGATATTGGCCTTTCGGACGACGTCTGGCCCATAGACACAAAGATACAGGATCCAGCGGAAGTTTCCGATCCATTCAAATTTGGGCACAATGATTTCGTCGATCTTGTCATGCGGAATAGGTCCGTCGTGTGGCCAATACGATTTCTTGTTACCGTAGACGCTTGCTTCTTGCATGATATGTCGGAGATGTGGTGTGTTTTGGATTATGTTTTTGATCCTCAGAGGTCGCATGATCTCGATGATATCGTGAAGGTCGTCCTCTCGTGGGAATGTGATTTGGAAGGTTTGGTGACCGCCGGGATTGGGCATCAGCCAAACTGAGAAGCACAAAGTCAGCTTGACAGCAATGGCTCGAGACAAGGAGAGACTCACAGCCCATTTTTGTCACTATGCCATAGTTCGACTGAGTGAAGATACCATCTGAGTAAGGTCCAAACCCATATGGAAACAATTGCCAGGTATTCGAGCTTCCGTGTTCAGTGGTTTCGTCCGGGAGAGCACCCATCCCTGTTCTGATGACCTCTCCGTCCGGGAGGACAATTTCCATGCCGCAATGCATACCAAAATGGTCTGTACTGGAGTGTTAGTAACCAAATAACTCACCCGTTGGCACATAGAGAGCCTAGCACTCACCTCCGTAGGGAGTATAGCCCACGCCTCTGTCGAGAGAGTTTCCCATGACACTCCCACCACCTAGATCAGGCCTGATGAGACGCCGATTAGCGTTTGCCGACCAACACGGCCCAGATATCAGCAGCTTACACGTCGACCCAAAGATCTTTGCCCGACTTTTGAATCTCGTCGTAGAGCATGTAGTAAGTCACTCCAGGTTCGAGCAAGCAAAAGGCACTCTTCTCGTTCAGCTCCAACACACGGTTCATTCTCTTGCCCATGTCAAGCACGACTGAGCCCTTCACTCTGGCAGAAGAGCCACCATACCCTGGAAGGAGATTAGTACAATTGGATGTTTTGAACCTGTGCCATCCAAAGATTTCTAGATTCTCTTACCAAAATTGCGTCCCATTGAAACGGCGTAGATCGGAATCAGCCATTGATTCGCCCATTTCACCACCGCCTGGACTTGCTCGACGCTTCCAGGAGCACAGATGGCACTGTTGACAAAGTAGTCGTCTTCATCCAGAGCGAACACATCGTGGGTCAGCGGCCTGTGTAAGTACCATCCATCATCCAAATCATGATCCACTAGTTCAACGTGACCGTCCACAATGCTTTTCAGTTGCTCAATTGCGGCATTGAAATTCTGCCTGGTAACCCCAGGAGGCAGAACAGGTAGATCTTCGCTTGCTTCCTTACGAGGCTTCACCGGAGGGACGGTTGCGTTTTCCTCAAAGCGCTTCTTAACACTGTCCGCGTAATCGGTGACCCGCACTGGGATGCCGGGAGCATATTCCTGGCTCATGTTTGGGCCTGCCGATCGTGATGTGACGCCCCTGGATGTTCAAAAGATTCCCCAGATTCTGATATTGTCCCGCAAATGATGTGAAGGAAGTGTATGCCAGTAGTGGTACCCGGGTAAATTATATATCCATGGGCTGGACCCGGCTCGCAAAAATTGCCGGCAACAAAGCCGCCACGGGTGGATTGTGCTCTGTAGCAACCGAGGGGCACTTTGTCCTCAGGGTCGAGAAAGAGCGCGGGGATGCCATGAGCGAGGACTGGGGAATAGTGGTGCTGATCCCACGGAGGCCCAGATCTGTGCGGATAATCCTCCCAATATCCTGAGCATGGAGGAAATTGCCCACGATTGCCCCACATGCTCCATCTTCAGTCACAAGATTTACTGAGAACCAGTACAATACCGTCGTGCGTCGGACTTTCAAAGACGCAAGAGACAATAGAGGGGAAATTGCTTAGGGACATCCTCGACAAATATCACCTGGCAAGCAACAACCTCCTCATCCAACCTGCCAGTATGGCACTCGGCGGAACTCTGTGATTATCAGCGGCCAAGCTTCTCGCATCTCTCGGCCTCAAAGCCCCAGTATGCCAATTGAGCTACCTCTTGGGAGAAGGCTCATAGTCCCACTACGCTGGTGGAATGACGAAGATAGAGACTTTCAATTGCGCACCTGCGCGACATGGGCAAACCACAAGAATTGTCTTGCTTGGGGTTCGCCAGCAGGGCAATATAGTCATTGCATCATCTTCTGCAATTGATCACTTGCAGATGGCTATCGGTGTCCAGGGACTGCCTGCAGAAAAAGGCTCAGGTTTGACCATCATCCATACCGAACTTTGCCGGTTCCATACTCATATCGCTCAGGACACGCAGGACCTTGCATTGCTTCTGGACATTCCACTTGCCAACATCTTCCAACAAACTCGAGAATTCCAAGAAAATATGCTGAGCGGACTTAAGACCACCAGGGAGTTTCACTCCATCAAACGACAAATTGCCCCCCTCTTCTACGAATGCTTTAGCCGCATTCTTCTGAGCATGGGCTCCGGAGATCGTGGCAACTGGACCGCCCAGGCCGACGAGTCCCATCCCAGTCCAGTCCACGTCTTCGAGCAGTTCGAAATCATCACGCTCATTTTCAACGACCACAGGTTTCGGCAAGGCGTATAAGTAGAAACCAAGGACCAGAGCCGATGCGAAAATGGCCAATTCGGAGTGGAACATGATGCGGTCAGAGGTCTTTCGGCGGGACATGATCAGGTAAATTTGTGCAGCATGCAGACACGCTCGCCGGGCTGATACAGTCTGCGACCACCGTGCGACGTGATCTAGCGCGACTCGAGCTTGTTCGGCTCCTTGGCAACCAGCAGCATTTTCAAACACTCGGTAATTCGAGGTCAACTTCAAACAGGTATCATTCCAGGATACAAGACAGTTGGGGTTCATGGCGGCAAAGGTATTTTCGTAGACCTCGTATATTCCTTGCACTAACGGAGCAATATCGCGTGCATCGTGTTCTGCGAAGACCTCACCAGGTGCTGTGAAGTACGGGCAATGAGAAGCAGACGCGCTGGTGATGAGAAGATATTCCGCATCCAAAACTTTGGCCCAAATCAGTGAAAGAAGGCCATGCATTCCGAAGGTTTCGGTCCGAGGCAGCGAGACAGCGTCTCTGCGGAGGACAGCCTTCGACGAAAGGAGGTCCTTTTCGACTGTACACAAAGCCCTCCATCTGCTTGCGGTAGGCGCCTCGAACAACGATGACGGACAAGGTAGGTTGAATTGAGCCAAGTCCGAGCGGACAACGGGTCTCATACCGTATACATGAGCGTAGAATGCGTCGACCATTATCAGGCAGATAATGAGGCTTGAAACAAGTCAGAGAAGAAGTGAGCGATTTCGGCCAGGAAAAAAGATGTGAATCATGGGCAGAGATGATTGCAACATACCGTTTAGTACTTTCCACTCTCGCCCACGCTTGCCAATTCAGTGTCTCATCCGTACTGTTGCCAAACGCGTCTTGCGTGATGTCCAAGTTCTCATACGCCCGGAAAAGCCCGTACCTTTGGACGATCTAACATTGTAGCATTTAGCACAACACATTCCATAGCTTGCCAACGCAAGCACTTACAGTCAATGTTTCAACACAAAGCATTTGGATAGAATCGTCGTGGACCATGTCCTACAGCGACAGTAGTCAGCACAAAGTAGAAATCTCAGTCTCTGAACTTACGGGAACCATGGTGGCCAAACTCAAGTTAAGCACCGCCGAGGTCAAGGCAGCGAGGAGACGTGAGCAGCTGTCGACATTTGACGACAAAGACGCAAGAGCAGACCGACAGCTGTTGATGGTCACCTACTCATTGGTGTTAGTGAGTTGAATTTGTGTTCAGAACATTGACATGAGCGCACCGGTATCTGGGCACTGACAAAGCGTCTTGCATCCAAGTCGTTCAAAAAAGCGAAACCAATCAAGCACATGGGATACAAGACCACACTGCTTGTGGCAGGTGCTGCAAACGTTGGTTGATGTATGAATGGCATCATCGTGTGGAAACGCCGGAAGTAAAGATCGAGGCTTGATCCAAATACCTCGGTAGAAGGAAAAGTTGACGGAACCTTCAAGCTGCACAGGTCTACGGCATGGATGGTGCTACTCCTCAGATCCGAGTCTTTTCCAATGTGAAAAGCACTGTCTTGGCCCTCGACATTTGCCCAATCTGGCGTAGATACAGGCGGACCGAAAAGTCTGGTGTCATCTGCCAAGCGAGCCCGACAGAGGTCATCAAAACCACACTTGAATGTTTTGCCATTGTGAGCGCGAGTTGGTGACTGGTCGGAGTGCGCTCTGGAGTCCGCGACGACATTGTTGTGCTCCAAAGCCATGACATGTTTCCACAAGTTTACCGGGAAATCCGAGAACTTGATTGCAGAAGGCCATAGTTGTTGAATGCGCGTAAATCTCTCGTTTGGGATTTCGTGTCGTGGACGCGTAGTTGCTTGAGAGAGTTGTGATTGAATACTCGGTGTTGGACTAGATACCGGCCAGAAATTATCGCAGTGGACTATATCTTCGAAGTTGAAAAATTCAGGATCCAAGCTTTCAACTGCTGTAGGTGGCTGATTCGCATCCAGAAGATCAAAGAGATGTGCTGCGTCTTCAAAGTCCCATCCGTTTTCGAGATAATCTCTAGTGCTGATCTCGTACAGCTGCGTCTGGCTCGGCTGAAGGGTTGCCGAGTATGCCGTTTTCCCAGGCATTGGGAGCAGCTCTGCGTTTGTCCATCCTGATGCGTGGCGTAAAGCCTGAAGAGAAACCGTAGGATCAATAGAATGAGGAGCAGCGGCGGCAAGGGGCTGGCCGGTGCTTGTTGAGGGTCGATCGGCCGTCGCATTGCTCAGTCCTTGACCTGGTCTGGGAGAAGTCGGTTGACCGGATTGCCATGCTAATGACACATCGGCTGAGGACTGTAGCAATCTCCGTCTCTTGTGGCCATTATTGGAGGCATAAGCCTCTGGCGAAGTCCCATCTTGAGCCTCGTCTGGTGATTTACTCACAAGATTCTGTGGTTGAGAGTTATCAAGCTGCTGCTCCTGGCGTATCAACGAATGACTGCTCGATGGTGAAAACGTGATCGCAATATCCATTTCAAAGTCACCTGAAGTCTGTGCCTGGCTGTGCGAAAACTTTCATGGGGTCACCACAGACCCGGCACGGCCAGGTTCTGGTATTGCCCGGGTTGACAGGCTCGGACACAAAGATCATGACATGGGGCTGTTCACGTGCTCGATTAAATTCAAGGCCGCCCGATAAAATAGGAGCAAAGCCGCATAAAGAGGAAGTGACGATAATGGAGCAAAAAACGAGGAGCCTGAAGGTTGAAGCGAAAGGACGCGTGATGCAAGAAGAGACTGTGGGGTTTGTGGGGGCGGGGGATCCGTCGAGCCGTTCAGGGGGGGGGGAAAACTCAGCGGAGTAGTTCAGCTTCCCTGTCAAAGGGGAAGAAGGGGCGAAAGATCCGTTCACAGTTATCCCTTCGGTGCCTCCATGCACTATTCTATTGGCTCATATCGTTGTCGACTCCCATTCCGGCAGTGTTCGGATCAGTTGGCAGGAACCGTATTCAACGAGAACTAAAAAGGGAGAGCTACCTGATCCAGACATCTCGATGGCCCGGGATATCTTCCACCTCTCAAGCCCCAACGCCATGAGCAACAACACGACTGTCTAATGCAGTTAGAGCTTGATGTGCTCATCCAGCCCCAAGGGAGAGTTTCCCCAGGCTATTCTATATCACATCGTACGCCATATCATGTGGGGCAACAGTCTACCTCAGTAGGTCTCTCAGGACATCAACCTACGGCACCACGGCAGCTGAGATGGGGACGAGTCCTCAGCAAAGGTCTGCCGAATTGAGGTCTTTGATGACCAATTACCGTCACTGGGATCAGGGAAATTATCCCCGGATCTTGGCCGGGCTGTTCAATATATGAAGCTCGCAAGGATGTGCAAGAGGAGTGCGGCCTATCTGCTTTTCTTCCAACTTCAGTAAGTCTGATTCAGATTTCTTCAAGTGGTTTCCGCAATGATTTCGGTTCGAGAGATCGATAGCATCAAAGATGCAGACCTCGTGTTGCCTCCCGATGTGACGGCAGCTGCTTTTAGAGATGCTCTGCGTGCTATGAGTGCCATCGTCGGGCCCGACAATGTCAGCGTCTGCACACGCGAGCAAATGCAGCCAGATGAGGAAGGACACTACTTCAACCATCCAAAGGAACATGACTTGTTCTACATCTTCGAGAAAGACACTTTCTTGGCTGGTGCTGTGGTCTGCCCTGGAAGCACCGAGGATGTGTCCTCGATCGTCAAAATAGCCAACAAATACCTGACCCCAATCTGGACCACGTCCATAGGACGCAACCTGGGTACGTGGCCGATACACATATACTAGTAGTAGCCGAAAAATTAACATCAAGTCTAGGTTACGGAGGAGCGGCTCCGCGCCTCAAGGGCAGTATTGTCATGGACGTTGGCGCTCGTATGAACAAGGTGCTGGACGTCAATGGCCGCGACTGTACCTGTCTGGTCGAACCCGGTGTCACATATTTTGCACTCTATGATTACCTGCAGAAGAACGGCTATCAACACTTGTGGATCGACAACCCAGACCTCGGGGGCGGATCTGTTGTCGGCAATGCTCTAGATAGAGGAGCTGGTTACACTCCCTACGGCGATCATTTCTCTATGCATTGTGGAATGGAAGTTGTCCTGCCAAATGGCGAGATTATGCGGACAGGCATGGGCGCCCTTCCGGGGAACAACACCTGGCAGACGTTCCAGTACGGCTACGGACCCTATCCAGATGGGATATTCACTCAATCAAACTACGGCATAGTCACCAAGATGGGTTTTTGGCTCATGCCAGATCCTGGAGTACGTTCTCAAATGCGGACTTTGCAGCCGGACTTGACTTACCTGTGTCGCAGGGCTACCAAGCATATCTTTTCTCGTTTCAGAACGACTCAGATCTTCCAGCCGTTGTGGAAGCCATCCGAGGTCTTAGGATTGGTATGGTCATTCAGAATGCACCAACTATCCGATCTCCGCTCATGGACGCGGCCGCATACGGCCCCAAGTCCTCGTATACAGATAATACGGGGGTACTCACGGACGCCGAGATTGATAAGATCGCAAAAGATATCAAGGTTGGCCGCTGGAATGTCTACGGTGCGGTACGTACATCAGCTCAACTTGGGCCGAAGATTGGCATTGTTCTGGAAGTCGACAAACCCCTGAATATACAGCGTAATGATCCGCTGCCTTCTGGATACTCATGCTGACTCTTTGTTGACATTACTAGATGTACGGTCCGAAACCCATGCGCGATCTACAATGGGAGGTGCTGAAATCGACTTTCATGAAGATACCTGGAGTATGTTAAGGAAGCTTAATCTTCCAGGCACATCTGAACCTGGGCTTGCTACTGATGTCAACCCGCACAGGCTACCTACGAGTTTCCCAAGCCACGAGCCGAGGGAGAGAAGCGAACCGTTCTTCACATGAGAGAAGAGACACTAAAAGGTCTACCGAACACCTACGAACTCGGATGGCTGAATTGGACTTGTGAGAAAGGCTCGTTGCTCGGCTTTTCTCCCATCTCTCCGGCGAGTGGCGCCGATGCCAACAAGCAGTACGAAATGGTCAGACGTAGATTCCACGAATTTGGCTTCGACTACATTGGCACATTCGTTGTAGGGTGGAGAGAACTCCATCACATCGGTAAGATTGCGTTTCCCGGACACTGTCATGGTATTTCGTGCTGACTCGTGTCTCAAGTATGTTTGACCTTCAACAAGGAAGACCCAGACTCTCGCCGTCGAGCTCACAGATGTATCGAGCTTCTCATTGACGATGCTGCAGCAGAGGTGAGCTCTCCAGATCTCAATCGTGGGACGTGCCTAATGGATTTTCTAGGGCTACGGTGAATACCGCACGCATCTATGCTTCATGGACCAAATTGCAAATGTCTACAACTGGGGAAATGGTGCTGCGTTGAAGTTTAATGAAGAACTCAAGGATGCTTTGGATCCCAACGGAATTCTTGCGCCCGGTAAGAGCGGCATCTGGCCTAAACGTCTCCGTGGCCGTGGCTTCGAGCTCAAGCGAAGCACCGAGTATCAGCAGACTTTAACCTCCAATCTGTAAACTTTGGATGTTTTGAGATAGAGCTTTTTCAATCAAACGTCAGATCTTCCGGCTGTCCATTGTCTATTCTGGAGCTTTCCTCATTCGATTTGGTAAATCACTGGAGATGTCACAGACACTAGATTTGGAAGCATTCCATCGTGCTACTATTGCCATTCAGTAAATAAGGAGCATGACTGAAGCCCCGTAAGGGGCCGACAGTAGCTTCAATCTGGACTGGGTGACTGGTTAGCGTGAAAACATGGGGCAACGGATATGGGGCACCTGATATGGGGCAGACAATATGGGGCAAACTCAGCTTGCTTGTGGGGGTCTTCATCCAGCTCCAGACGCGGTTTCCCACCGCACGTCTTTGCTCTTCTCCACGTCCCAACGTCAGGGGACTGCTGGTAGGATCTCTAGCCCAGCGGTGATTAGACGCTGCCTAAGCCATCCAAGGCGCGATTGCCGCCCAATGCTCGATGTCAGTCCCACTGGCGAAGATCGAAAGACTAGGCAATGATTTAACTTAGGGAGCAGTCCTCCTCCATATTTCCCCATGAATTGAGGTATGGGGTGCCCATGGCACATGTGCCTCTCGCCAATGGAGGTCGCTGTCCCCTTTGCTAGCCCTTTTTGAAGCCGCTACGCATGTCGTTGGCAGAAGAAGGCTCGGTATATATGAGAGGTAGGCTACTATCCCAACATTCCTGTGTGAAATTCTGACAACCTTTTTCTCTCCTCAACCTTCCTCCTACGTGAAGCGATCAGCAGATAGCGAAGACAATGGCAATCCTCACAAACCACGCGCTCGAGTCTATCGGACTGGGGGCTGTCCAAGTGCCACACGCAGTCAAGCTGCTAATGGTTCTCTCAGTGGCGGCACCATTTATCTGGCTTCTGGTCGACTACATGCGCATCCTGCGGATGAGAAGAAAGATGCCCCCAGGACCCTTGCCGCTCCCAGTCATCGGTAATTGGTATGACATCCCCAAAGTCAGGCCGTGGATCGAGTTCGAGAAGATGTCGACACGATATAACAGCGGCATGATCACCCTTTGGAATGGCAGACGGCCCTTTATTGTCTGCAACGATGCCTGGGCGACATCCGACCTGCTCGAAAAAAGGGCCGCCATCTACTCGTCTCGCCCTCACATGGTCGTTATGGGCGACATGATGAACCAGACGGATGCAAATCAAGTCTGTCTGATATATGGTGACAAGTGGAGAGTGCAACGCCGCCTTGTGGTATGTCCCCTCTAAAATCTGATCCTTTCGTGTCGTCGGGGCTGACAGAACTAGCACACAGTGGTGGGCTCGCAAGCCGTTCGTGACCATAGGACCTTCCAAGGCAATGAGTCGAAAGTCATGCTCCGCGATCTGCTCGAAAAGCCCGACGACATGGTCATGTCTGTTGAGCGATACTCCTGCTCTGTGGTCTCCATCATTGGTTGGGGCCGTCGAATCGACCGGATGAACGACTACGTAGCTCAGTGTGCCCTTGGGTTCATGGAAGGCGTCGACTTCGTGGTCCCTGGCATCTACCTTATGGAGACCATCCCATTCCTCGCCAAGCTTCCAGGCTGGCTTTACAAACTACCGAGCCAGATCTTGACTCAGTCCAAACTGTTCCAAGCATACTTCTATGCCTTGTCTAAGGAAGCAGCCCACGCTAAGCAGGACAACTTCTCTCAACTCCTCCTTAAACATCAACAAGAACATGGCTTGACACCAGAAGACATTGCCTGTCTCACCGCCAATCTTATTGGAGGAGGAGTCGATACCACTACCAGCTCCACTTTGTCGTTCTTTCTCGCTATGTGTGTCTTTCCAGAGGCTCAGAAGAAGGCGCAAGAGGAGATCGACAGGGTAGTCGGTGAAGACCGAATGCCAACATGGTCCGACGAGACCTCCCTCCCTTACGTTTCTGCTTTAGTCTCGGAAGTCCTGCGCTGGCGCTCCGTCACGACCCTCGGCGGTATCCCACACGCCCCTATCCGAGATGACGAGTATAATGGCTACTTGATCCCCAAAGGCACTGCTATCACAGGTAATCTTTGGGGCATCCATCGTAACCCTAAAGACTTTCCTGATCCAGATGTATTCCGTCCTGAGCGATTCTTCGGTGGCCTCGAGAGACCATATCCATCGAAGAAAGGTCATAATTCGTTCGGATGGGGTCGCCGCCAATGCAGTGGTCAGCCTCTGGCTGAACAAGGACTATTCATTACCATAGTTAGAGCATTGTGGGCATTCCAAATGCGACCGGGCCTCGACGAGAATGTAAGTGCCGCCGCCCAGCATTCCCTGCCTTATCATCGAACCGTGCGCTGACCAATTCATCAGGGCGTGGAGGTCAAGTTGGATATTTTCGCTTACACGGACAGTGAGAACATGCGTCCGGAGCCCTTCAAGGCCCGCTTCACGCCTCGGTCCGAGAAGCGTCGCCAGATTCTCCTCAAGGAGGCCGCCGAAGCTCGGGAGGCGTTGCGAGTTTATGATGGTGAGACCAAGATCACCATGGAAAATGTCATGAAAAATGCTCTGGAGTAGTCCCGCTCCCGTGTGGTTTGTCGCTAAGGACTCTTGATTAACCGCAGGGCACAAATGGGCGAAGAGGGACGACAGGGCAAGAGAGCAGGACAATAGTAGTCCGCAAGATGCAGCCTTTGGTGTCATGTCATCTTAGATTCATTGAGCATCTCTGGATGGCGTTTCTTCATCGTTATCCTTTATGAATCCTTGAACGTGAGGGAGAAAGTAGTTTCTGGGTACAGAAGAGAGCTTTGCTGTTTCTTCCTGCTCCAGCCTTCCATATCACTGCCTAGTTCATTTGACAAGCCAGGATTATAATTTATCACAGCTCGAGTTTGCTCGACTCGGGCCTCCATCGGTCTTGCATCTTTGCCGTATATGCCACTGTCCTGAAGCCCTGGCTGATGCTCCTGATTCTACCAGACCTCCATCCAATTTCAGATCCAATTTGTGACCCTGAAACTACGAGAAGCATGACTCCTCGGGGACAATGCCATCCTCCATTGTCGTAACACTCAAAACGCGCAGAATGTGGCAAAATCTCTGGACGTTCCACTTTCCGATGTCCTGGAGAAGTCCCAAATACTCCACAAAGACAGATCGTGCCGATTCAAACCCACCGTAATGCGGCGAACCAGAGAAGGTCACTGTGCCTCCCTGCTTGACAAACCTAAGTACTAGGATGTCATGATCTGCGACTTCAGGCCGTGCAGTCGGGTTTGGGCTAGATGGCATTCCAACGCTGCCAACTGCCTTCCAATCGACGCAATCAACAAGCTCAAACACTTCATCGTCCTCCACTCCCTTTCCTTCTCCTTCATCTTCATGTTCATCTTCTCGATCTGCTTCTCCCCGATAAGCGCCGCCTTTATCTCTGCCGCCAGCGGCTTTGTCAACCCGTGACTCAGGCAATAGGTATAGGTAGATTCCGAGCACCAATGCCGACTCAAATGCCGCAGCTTCCGATTGCACAGTGATCCGATCGGACGCTCTGCACCGGGAGAGTATAAGAAATGTCTGAGCAGCATGAAGGCATGCTCTTCGAGCCACAGGGGTATGCACCCAGCTCTGCGAAAGTTGATTTAGTGCGAGATTCGCCTGCTCTGCTCCGTATCGCCCGACGGCTACTTCGAACAAGCTGTAGTGCGTGCACAGATGGAGGCATATGTTATTCCACATGACGAAGTTGTTGACGTCCGTGTGGGGGAAGAAGTTGGCGTACGTGTCGAAAATTGCGAGGAGAATATGAGCAACATCCTGCGCTTCAGGATTGCTTTCGTAGACGTGCGCCGGGCTTATGAAGGGCGGAGAATCTCCACATTTTGCGCTCAAAACAGCTGGTTTCAACCGAGAGCGCCTCTGCAACAACCTCAACCAGACAGATCCGAGTATGCTCTGCAGGCCGAAATCCGTCAGCTTGGGTGGCAGACGCAAATGCTTCCCTGTCAGCTCGAACGAAGGAGCAGAGTCGGCCGCCCCATTCTGAACTAAAGCTCTCCATCTCTTGGAGTTCCTCGCATCGAACAACTCTGGCGCACAAGGCAAGACAAAGCTTATTGGATCGACGTTGATGATTGGCATCGTATCGAAGCGTCTCGCTTGGGAGGAGTCAGTTAGTATGATGCTTATGATCAAACGCTTGACACTTTCGATCCGACTCCAGGCCATCCAGCCGGCTTCAGAATCACCGTGTTTGTTCCAAAGTCTTGTGTCAATGCGGTGATCTGAGTCCATAACGAACAGGCTATTCCGCTGTGCCAGGCCAATTGACTCAATATAAAGAAGATGGACTCGCTCGGCTTGAACAAACTCAGGCACCATTGCCGACAGATGTAGTAGAAGGACTGCCGCAGCTAAAGCACAAAGCGTCTGTGACAGGTGGGATTTTCTGATTGACCTTGAGGCCAGCTCCGACCTGGACCTTTCAATAGCACCGGGCATTTGCTCACGAACAAAGTTTGTAGCACCGGAGTCCTCCAGGGAAATCAGCCCCATGAGACACATGGACAGAAGCAAGGAGTCAGAGGTTGCTGATGCAGAGAAGGTAGCCTGATGAATGAAAGGGACCATTGCGTGATATCTTCGGAAATAGAGACCGATGCTGATTTCAAGAAACCTTGATTCTGGAAAGTCGACGGTGCTTGAGGCAGCTGAAGCCATACTATATTCGGTTTCGCTGCCCACTATCGAAGCAGGGGCACCTTGAGAGGAGCTGCTATTATCCTCGAGAAGTTGTGGTAACACGGAGCTTTTGCAATATTTGTAGAGTCGCTTGTGGCACACATCGTTCCAGCCATGCTCGTGGCGAGCATTTTGGTTTCCCATGGCTTCAGCGACGCTAGACGGCTGCACCAACCCAAAGGCGTTGTCTTCCTTTTGGTCAGCCACGTCTGTCCAAAATGCACGCATCGAGCGAGGAAGAGGCTGCCTGGGCGCCGGCCATAATTTTTCGACACGAGCGAATCGTTCCGGTGCGATCTCCTCTCTTGAAGTGAGCTGATGCGAATGCCGCGTCTCTCGACAAGTCGGAGCTGTCGGCTCTTGACTTGGGCGTGTTGGAGATTGAGAGAGCGACGTGACTGGTTGGTTGCATTCATTCAAGTGGGCAACCAACCCATCCCCATGGTCAGCCAGGGAGGTGTGTATGCCCGCATCAAACCGGCGGTCTTCTGCCTTGGCAGTGGCTGCGCTCGCGGTCGAATCCATCTGAAGCGGACTGACACCAAAGTTCGAGTTCTCGTTGAAAGGAGCCGTGACCGTGTCAGTCGGTCCACTTAGGAGATCTGGCCAATAATGGGAGTCGAGCCCAGAAACTGTATCGCTCGTCGTGTGCGCAGAGAGTATCGGAAGGCCGGTTTGACATTCAGATTGCCGGCCTTCGACATCTCGTCGTAATGTCTCTGCTGTGGCTGTCACAGAAGCAGAAATTGGGTAGTCTCGCATCCTTGCGGACCCGAGCAAAGAGGTCGGATATGGATGGTGCCCCGCTCCGAAAACACCAATAGTCGTTTCTGATGGAGGAAGAGAGTCGTGGAATGGACCTCTGGCCCCAACGCTCGCGCTCTGGGCTGTGTCTTGCGCATCGATGCGGCGCTGGATTCCCTCGCCCTGAATTTTGTTGACGACGCTGTTGTTACGGATGGCAGCGGCATTTTCGCTGTGGTGGCTTCGGATGTGGCGAGTAAGAACATCGCTGGAGCAGGCGTGGCATCAGCTGCTGTCCACAGATGAGGGTTCGCGTCCTAGCATTGCAGAGAAGCAGAAGCATACGGACCTCCTGACATATGAACACCCACAATACTTGCACCTGAAGGGTTTTTCTCCTGTGTCTATTGCAAAATGTCAGTGGGGGCGCGCACATTGAGAAACCGATATTCCACTGTGCAGCTTACGAATTCGTTCGTGACGGTTGAGATGGTCCTTTTTGGCGAAGTGTCGACTGCAGAAACGACAAATCAAGTCCGGTTTTGGCTTCGCGAAGGCATTTGATGTGAATACTGCCATTCTAATCTTGATCACTGCGGGAGATATGAACCTGGATCAATTTTTGAATGTAGAGGTGGTTGCTTGGGAAACTTGAGTGTGGATGGGTTTTGCGGAGGCTGGCTCGACTGGTGTCTCTCCCCGCACTTGCACCCAATCTCGCCAGTCTCGCCAGTCTTATGGGCCCCACGGAAAACGGGCTACCTGCCGTAAGTAAGTCCAGAGTACCCCAGATATGCCAGCACGGGTGGTTCGGCTTCTGGACGCCTGATCTGGATCTTTGGAAGCTTACCAGATCGCTGCTGGATGGGAGTGGGAGATGATGCAATTGGTCTTTTGGAGGTTGACAATTCTCTCCTGCATAATTGGGGGTATCATGCTGCTCTGAGGCCACTGTAATATCCACTGCAATTGTGGGAAAAGTATCCATCACCTCTGATCCGAGAACTCCAATGCTCAAGCACTGTAAGATCCAGTCCGAAGGAAGCTCAGGAAGCTCACAGCCCACTCCTGCATGGTGTATCAGTAGCCCAGGTGCCACGCCATCACTATTCTGCACACTTTATTTCGCCGAGTAACTGATTCTCTTACTATTCGTCATTGGAAGCCGCTCTGGGAATTTCATGTTCGGATCTGCAAGCACCCTTGTGAACATTCCAGTCCTGCTTTTGGCACTCCTTGCTGCAGTAGAAAACTTTCTTGCATCGTCCACAGCGATTCAGAGGCTTAACGCCCGGAGTGCTGGTGGTATGTGTGGCACCGCATTTGATACAAGCGTCGTAGTCTTCCATTTTGCTTCGCAACAATCGTTCGTAGGTGGTCCAAGTTGAGGCCCGGCCTGTTTGAAAATGTTGATTAGTATTTTCGTACAGTGATGGACGGTATGAGACTGGGTTACCTTCCATTTCACGGTCAAGACCTCGTAGGATCTCAAGAGCTTGAAGCTGGTTATAGGCCGGCATTGGTGGATGCTGATCCATTGATGCACGAAGGATCTTGCCAATATGGGTTTCCATCGTTGCCTTGGTGCGCCACGAATCCAAGAGCTCGTGGTGAACTCCTTTGCTCTTGACACGTCTGTAGGCCTCCAAAAGGCACATTTCTTGCACCCGAGATTCGCAGCTGTCGAAGCCGAACACGTTCTTCGCTCGATGGTTGCTGGGGATCTGACCGCAATCAATGGCTTTATATAGCAGCACCGTGGCCGCTATCTCTTGCTCTTCGCTGGGTTCTTTTTTGGTGGGGAAGAACATGTCACCGATCATGGGTGCAGACGTTATATCTGTGAAGCCACCGTACGACGAGAAACTGTAGAGGGGATCTTTGGTGTGGGCTTTGTGTGCGACAAGGTGGACATTCATTGGCTCGCCCATGAATGGGTAGGGATTGTCCATGGTTTTTTGCACTGCGAGTAAAAGTGGAAAGATGGGCAATGAGAGGATAAGATGAATCAAAATGATGGAAGAAAATGCTGGGTCTGATGGGAGAAATTTGATAACTTGGGAGGTTAGAGAGGGCGAAAAGAGAGAGAAAGTGCTCGAAGGCGCAACCCTGAATGCAGGAGAAAGATGGATCGTGACCACCAGCTAGAGGATTTTGCACCTTCTTATTGACTGCATTTGCTCCTGTCCGTTTCGCACTACCATGGATGATGCTCATGCAATCCAATATCATACCTTGCCTCGGGACTTTCAGCATTACAACAGCTCGATCCGTTTTCATTTGAGGGTAAGCCTTTCAAATCTCTGCGAAAACATCGAGCTGAAGCAGGGAAAGGGGACAATGATCACGTCTGACTCGAAGAATGGGGGCCTTCAGCATCATGGAAACTGAGATCAACAACTATGAAGTGATGTGCGACAGAGTGAAATGGACGGTCTTCGAGATGCGTTAGAACGAATGCAGTTTCTTACAACGGAACTACTTTTCTCCGAACTGCGGCTTTTGTTGACTGTCGATGCATGATGATGCTGTCCCCGTCTATGTCTTGATATCTTGTCAATGCAAGCCTGATGTCTGCGTTCAACTCGGCAATTCAGTTCGGATCTTTCAGAACTAGAGACCAGCGAAGCAGCATCAATCTGGCCTGGCCGGCGTTTCAGGGCAACATGCCTGGCTGGGTCGACTCCCAGGGTCGTGAAGCCGGACACTGCCCATTCCAATGTGCAATGCTAGCAAAGTCCATACTCTTCAGCATGCGGCATCTAGCTGGGGACTTGAGCTTGCTAGATCACTCCTCTCGTTCCATCTCTCGCGAACGCAGCCGCATACAGATGGGGGCCCGTGTCTTCGGCATCCTGCTCGGATAATGGTTCGCTTTCTCAACCTCTGTGCCATGCTGACTTTGAAATCTCAGGACTCCCCAAAGCTCTTCCTCCTGCCTTCCATACCTCAATTCCGCCCATCTGGCGAGCGTCAAGCACCTAAAATCAGCTGAAAGAAGTTGATGGAGGGAACATTTGTCAGCTAAACCACTACACAATCCCGCCGATTGTGGACATCCTGACTGCCGGAACCAGGGAGAGACTTCGAGGATATATGGCCCTAAGCAACCTTGAACCCTTCGTTGGGCCAGAAAAGCTAGAAAATCAATGGGTCAGTTGGTCGAAACATCAACAAATTTCAAGGTCGACCGCCGAAAAGGGCGACTGCAAGGCCGTCCTGCGTGTGTTAGCGCTTCGGGATAATACCCATGGCAACCTTGATGGTTGAATCAGGTATTCTGAAGCTTGTTGGACATGAACCTGGGCTTTCAATCACGGTATGAAAGAGAAAGGATAATCAATTGAGGAGACACTCCGCCGGAACCTGGCCTGATGCACTGAACCAATACGTGAGTGCGAAGGAGCGCAGGCGAATCACACTTGCTAGTGTAAGGGTCGGTTGGCGCGTCTAAGGGCTTCACATGGCTGTCGATTCATGTCGAACAACGACCTCTTGGTGCACCGGATGCCGCGAGGCACGTTCTCGATTTAACTTTCCCACTTCCATTTCAACCACCACCCTAAATACACCAACAAGTGAGAAGTCTCCTCATTGATCACTCCCACTACTATTGAAGTCGGGCAGTATATCTCCATCCTTCACATTTCCATCGTCGTGCTCAAAGTCTGCCAGAAGTCAGCGGCAGAGGGTTTCGCCAGCTAATCGGCATTCAAGGAGTAGAGAGACGTCGATACCTCCACACCTGACCCTGCTCCTTTGTCGCGATTGTCGCAATTGTCGCTATTAGGCAACAGGTCCTTGTTCTTTCAGAAAAGCTCTACTTTATCAATCCTTCGAAAGCCCTGGAGTCTTACTCCCGACACTCAGGGCATGCTGGACATCCGCAGGCGACTTGTTGATGTGCTCCGTTCTTTTTGATCGGAGTGGGTGGCTGCAGAATGCATTCCAGCTCCTAGTCCGACCGATCAGGCAACTGCTTGAATCCATAATCCTCAACTGGCACGGCATTCGCTGGCGGTCCCCAGCGCATGGCCATCAGAAGGGCCAGTCCGGAATAATGGATGATGACGCAGATTACATGCATTACCCAAATCCCCCAGGCCGTTTCTGGTGCAAAGATGTACGGAGCACCCGGAGCCAATTTCTGTGCGCGCTCGACGACCGGCCTCATCTTCTCCTCGTATTCAGCGAAGGCAGCTGTATGATCACCAGGGTGACGCGTCAAAGCACCTGCAAGGTTGTATGCCCCGTTCAAGGCCAATGTTGTGCCCATTCCGGAGATAGGTGAGGCGCAATAGCTTCGTGCTCTGTCAGTTGTATGTTCAAGCAGCTTCACAAAGGTAGGGACACTCACCCAGCGTCTCCAAGCAGCACGACTCTCCCAGTACTCCATTTGTCCATTTTCACCTGCGCCACCATGGCATAATAAAAGTCATCGGCAGCCTCCATCTCTTTGACAATCCTCTTGCTTTCCCAGCCCGCATCATAAAAGTACTCCCGGAGCAATTCCTTTTGTTTCTCGACATCTTGGTGCCCGCTTGTCGCAACCACTCTCAATCTCTCATCTTTCTCATTGATGACGCTCATGAAGACCGTCGACCTGTCGCTCACGTCAGACGGCCGCACCATTATCCCTCTTCTTCCAGGCGCATGGAACCAGCGCCTCCATTCGCCGTCCGTCGCGGCCTTCGGCATGCTGAAGAATCCACCATACATTCCCAGTTGCTTGATCCTCTCGTGGTCACTCTGCTCTCCAAATGCCAGCCTTCGCGTCCGACTTTGGAGGCCGTCCGCGCCAACCACCAAGTCGAAAGTCCTTCTCTCGCCGCTGTTGGCGAAGCGTACATGCACCTTTTGGCTGTCTTGCTCCAATTCTTCCGGAGAATCGCCGAAGATGAACTCTACACCTTCTCCGCCATTCTTTTGTACTTGGTGGCTCACCTCTTGACACCTTTGATACAAGATCTCCGCCAGACGTCCCCTAAGAATCTCAAAATCGCTCGTCCCTGTTTGGACACGGCCAGACTTATCTGCCTCGATAGAAGCCCATGCTCGGTTGTTTGCATCGACGAATTTCGTACCCTCTTCCCCAGTGGTGGCCGAGCGGATAGCACTCTCGAGCCCGAGTTTGCAAATGATCGTCACCCCTGCGCCGCGAATATCGATATTCTGGCCACGTGCTCGTGGTACAGATCTCTCGAGGATGGTGATCTTGGGTTTCTCTTGGCTGGGTTGCGAAGAGAGGAGTAGGAAGGAAGCAAGGGTTGGGCCTGCTATGCCGCATCCAACGATTAGGATGGATAATGGTGCCATGGTCTGATGTAGAGAAGCGAAAGGACTTGTAAGTAATGGGGCATGCAATTCGAATGACGATTCAAGGCGCCAGGCGATGCGTGTTTCAGAATCGAATAATCCTCTTCCCTACCATGAGAGAGTTCATCTCACATGGGCCAGACCTGGACAGCTTTATATCTGGCAAACGTCGTAGGATACGTATTCGTATTTTCTAAATATCTAAGCGTCACTAGTATATCTTCGGACCATGATGGGCCTCGAAGCCTCCGAATACAGTCGCCTGTTCACAAACAGAATACAAGACAGAAAGCATTGCACGTCCATGGTTGGCTGCTCGGGAGGAATGTTTGCTCGGAAACCCGAAAAATTCATTGTCCGAAACCCTTAATCGCTCATCCAATTCTGTCACGTCACTGGTTCTCACCCGCCTGCATCTGTACATGCAGGTGAGTCTGGAGATATCTCGAGTTGGGCCTGAATGAAAGCGCCCAGAAGAAAAATGATTGCTACCGTGCACCTTTCTCGAGACCAAAGGTTCGCTGATTCTCGTCTTTCAGGCAGCGCTGCTCATCGAGAATGAAGTTCTCCGAGCAGAGTTGATCCGTGCTCCGCAAATCCGACGACATGATTGGCGGAGCACAGTCGAAGCCCAATTCAAATGTGACGGACGAACACTTTTCTGCCCGAGGCTTGGCCGTTGCTCTTTCAGCGCAAACTCTTACATGTTCGTTACGCGGAGTCTGGCTCAGATATATTCGGTGACTGGTGTTTCAGACTCTGCATACCAAAGACTCTGGGGATGATCGGTTCGAGGCTGATGAACAATTCGGGCGCCGTGGTGTGGCTCCGGCACCGGAGGAAGGAAATCGTACGGTCTGAGCAGTGCAACAAGCTAAAGTATCGTCAGTGACGAGCAGCTTGCAACTGTTGAAATCAGATGCCGGTATTTGATGCTTCGTTGGGTTCCAATGTCCGCCCTGTAGGATATGAAGCTGCTTCTAAGAGGCGGCGGCACAATGGGATGTTGAATTATTCAAATTGGGTGTCTGAGCGAAGGCAGAGGATCCTAGGCACGGCCGCCAGGCCGCAACAATGGGCTGCAGACGGCGCGGTCGAGCGTGTCCATGAAGAGGTGGATGTCGCAGTTGACCAGCGTCGAGACTTTTAGAATCGTACGATATGCTCTGGGGACAATCTTTCCGCAAAGCTGCAATTGTATGATTGGGCATCATGTTTGATTTTGTAAAAAGCTCCCGCACGCTGGGTTTTGAGAATAAAGAGCAGCTTTCGTGAGCAGTTGGTTGAATAGTGAAGCGTGACGTGTCTGGGAAATGGGATTGCATTGTGGTGTGTGAAAACCTGAGTATAGACATGAGTATGCTTGGGTGCTTGGATGCTGCCGAGGTCTTGCTGCTGCACGATCCTGGTGTCTTCTCGGCGTGTCTGGCATGTGTCGTGCCCTTATTGCGAGCAGGAGGAAGGGAGGAACACCATCGAGGAGTATGATAGATTTAGTACGTTCGACAATTCGTATCTGGGTCTTTGCAGCCGACAGTAACCCCTCCTTTGCGCAAATTGTGAGGTTTCTCGATTTCTTCCGCTTCAAGCACCAGCCGTGCAGGGGTAAGAGCTCGTCACCGTGGTTCAGAGAATCCAATACATTCGTCGCATTGGGAGGAAGTGACGCAGGAGGAATGATTGTCAGATATCTTCGATGTAAAGGCCTCTGGCAAGGCGCGACTTTTGTGGACAGGGACTGTTGAACAAATTGGCTTGACTCGAGGAGGTTGTCTCTTGCCCAAAAGGAGCTGTAGCCTGCCGAGGCCAGGAGAGACGCTACAAGAATAATACCTGCTCGACCTCTTCGCGTGAGGACTCAAGGTGACGAAGCGTCCTTTGAACTCGCAAGACAATACTAGTACTAGTGGAGTCATGCCAAGCCGATAGGCTACCCTCGCTGTTCTACTTTTCATCACCAGCGCTTCACAATCCTTTTCTTTCTTTTCTCTGTACATGGCAAATTTTTTTGTTTCCTTGACACAATGGCAGTTATTGTGACTACTACTATCGTGTGCGATAGATGCAATGCGGTGATAAAGCCAGGCAGGACGGCCTGTAAACGATGCGGATTGCCCGTGAATGGCTTGACGCAGAACAATGGCACCAGCACAGTGGTGACCAGAAAAGAAAAGTCCCGACCAAAGAAGAAGGTTCAGGTAAAAGATCAATTGTTCTGGGGAGAAGGGTCATCTTCTGACTCATCTTCGGACGCATCTTCAGAAGAAGAAAAATCCCGACCAAAGAAAAAGGTCCAGGAAAAAGAGAAATTATTCTGGGAAGAATGGTCATATTCAGACTCATCTGAAGATTCGCCGGAAGAATCATCAGACTCTGATAAGCGAAACTACTTGCGTCAGAAGAAAAAGAAGAAACAGAAAGAGAAAGAAAAAGAGAAGAAGAAGGCGAAAAAGTGGAAGAAGAATATGAAGAAAAAGTTGAAGAAGAAGATGGAGAAAAAGTTGAAGAAGAAGATGGAGAAAGAAGACACTTCGTCAGAAGATGATTCAGCTTCTCCAAGGGACGAGGAACATGATCAGAATCCAAGTTCACAAGTAAGAGCTCGGACACAAGATCTTCTAGAAAGACGGGCTGCCGCTCAAGACGAAGGTGAGTCGTCCAGAATTCCAAGAAGAAGAAATCGGCGCAGACAAGCCATGCGCCATGGGCCAGGACCAGACAGTGTCTGGCGCCGTGAGCAATCTCCTCGATCGGTCTCCAGAAACACCATTCAGGCATACGCTCTTGCTCATGAAGATGGCGGACCGCAATATCCTCAGTCGGATGAAAGAGGCACGGACTATCTTGAGCAAAACGATAATGACGAAAATGGGCAAGAAGACTCAAATCGCAATGTTGCGTCAGTTGGCGAGACGACGCGAGATGTTGCTCCGGCCTCTGCTGAGGTTGATCAGACTTCGTCGAGTGACAACTCAGACTACACCTTTATCAGTGTCGATCTCGATAGCGCTGTCCGCCCTTTTGAGTACGGAATCCTGCTGGAATCGCAGTCGGAAAAATCTGAGGAGTCTTCCACGGACTCCGATGGAGGTGTAAGACTTGAAATGTCTGGCCTTGACATCAATCGCAATGATGAGGAGCCTGTATCTCGCGGCGCTGGCTTAGCCGATATCCTCCACAGAATCGTCGATGCAATGATTGTGAACCTTGATCTTGACCAGTTGAAGGATGATTTTATCCCGAAGAGAAAACAATTCCTTCGGTACACGTTTCTGAAGCTTTGTTGCATTTTGGCTGCTGCAATTGATGATGATGTGCAACGGGGAGTTCTCATTTGTGAAGCTCTTTCCACTTGGGCGCTGTCTTGCCAATACCTGGAAGAGGAGTTTGTGAAGATGTATGATTCCATCCACGCTGTCCTGCTCAGTGTTGAACCGGCTTTTCTTCAAGCGTCTCCATGTGTACCAATGAGAACAGATCGGGTTGTTACTTGGCTCAGAGACTATCTCAACCCGAAACTCCATGAGATATATCAACGATACTATTTCGCCAATGGCGGCGTAGACCAGATCTACGCTGAGTTTCAAAATGGTATTTATGTACTGGCTGACATTGTCCAGACCCGTCTTCCAGCGAGGATGAAGCTCCTTGAGATACCTTTCAAATTACAGCCACAATGGGGACTTTATCCTGTTTCGGCGAAGGTTGATCTACCTCAGATGCCAACAAGACAAACAGTTCCAGTACCTCCAACCATGGCAATGTTCATGAAGCGACACATGCTTCCTTTCGACACCTATGAGAAAGGTGAAGGCTTTATGCAACAAAAGTTCACGCTTCCCAAAAGATGACCACTTGTCATTGGTGGTTGGTAGTATCTGCCGAAAAGATCTTGCATTTCCAAACTGGGAAGACACAGGGAAGAGATTGAAGGCTCATGAGAAGCAGAATAGCTGGCTGGATTAGCAAACATCAGTGCTCAATGAAATTATGAATTCTTCCATGCATCGCAGTTTGGCTTCCTCCTTAAGTCGTCGTGTTGCAGACTCTCGTTATAGAAGGTCTTCCGGTCATTGACATCAAAGCCCAGCTGGACAGGCTGCTAGCCTGGTAGATGTAGTACATCGCAATTATCGACCTAATTATTGTTATTAACAAATCAAAATGTAGTTGAAACACCGATCCAGGCATTGTTGTGCATGTTTTAGCGAGAGAGATTTGCTCGTCTGATCATTCTCAGCTCCGCAGTTTCGACACGAAGTTCTTGACGAATAAGTAATTAACTGGAAAACATCGACATCATGTTCTTGTCGGCTCTCCTTCAGCTGCATAGCTGGCCGGAGCATAGCTGGAGCTCGGAACGAAGGAGGCAAGCCCGGGCTTATGACGAGGCCAAGTTACGTCTGATGGAATTATCTACAAAATAATACCTCTAACGTCGAACTGTACCTCTCCTGGCTCGTCCACTTTTTACCTGCGCTTTTTAAGCACCCATCTGACCTCTTGGCGGGCTATGTCCACAGTTCTTGGTTCTGCGCTCGGATTGTAAGTCCTGCCATCGTTCTCGTCTGCAATGCGCCCATTGATCCTTGTACCAAATCCCGTGGCAACGCCGGGTACGTGCTTTGCCCAAAGACAAATCCTGTGCTTTTCTTTACAGTAAGGGCAGCTATTCTGCGTCATCTGGTCAGGCTGCTTGACGGATTTTCCCACCAGCTTGGACATCAGACAGAACCCTGGCTCTGGGTTAGGCTTGTTGAATGGGCCGATACAGTATTTGTCAATAGCCTCAATCTTGGCATCGACAGTGGCTTTGTGCCCAAACAAAGAAACGAAATAGGAGAGTATTGCATCCATCTCCTCCTGAGTATGATCCCACACCAATACAAACATGCCCAATAGCTGTTCAGCTTTTTCTGCTGCCGTTGGTGGCATTGGTAACATCGCCGAGGTTGTCGTTGTCACTTGTGAAGCCCTGCCCAATTCTTCGACTCCTTGACCCTCTCCATGATCTTGCCGTGCTCCAGAGACTGGCGAAGATTTCAACGGATCTACTTCACCACGATTGATGTCTTGCTGTTGCCTGACTCTCTTCCGCATTTGCACGGAGTCGAGTTCTTCTGACCCTTGGCGCTTTTGAGGCAAGCTCATCAGGATAGTCATTCGTAGACTTTTGCGGCTGGCTTTCATTGCTCCGACCTGCTTCGATGGTCTGCAGATGTTCCAGGTCCGATTCTAATTTGGCGCACTGGTCTTGCGTATGAGCGAGACTCGACTGCAAGTCTTTCCTCTCTTGTAAAAGCTGGTCAACCTCTTGCTTGAAATTATCTCGTTCTTTCTTGAGCTGGGTAACCTCCTCTTTCAGCTGTCTGTTCGAAGACAGCAAGTCCTCATCGACGTCCGTCTGAAGATCTTGCGACTCTGATGAGACGGCTTGGATATCATCCTCGGTAGCCTGGTTCCCAGGGCCCTCAGATCCCTGTATATTGGAATCTTCCTGTTCTTGAGTTGATGGCATCGAAGCCAAAGCAGCCACGTTCGCATCTTGCCTCCCAGCGAGTGCTAGTGGTGTGTACCCTCAAGTCCCAGCTTCTTCTACGGATCTTTCAAATGACCACGATATCACGGTGACGATCATGCTCAAACATCCACTCATCCTGCGTAAAGATGAATCCGACGCGCCGATAGTAATTGCTCCCAGTAGGAATAACTGCAATACCACACAGCCAGTCATCTACTGTCAGGAAAGCATACTTCCATGATAGCGGAAGCATGAAGACCTTTTGCGACGCACCTATGTCGTCGGTAGGCGAGTCGAGAATTAGCCCACCGGATACCTCCGCTTTCCGTGATGCATCAAGCAATTTCAGGTAATGGTACCTATCAATTTGCCCATGCATCGAAGTGACGACCAGCTCCTTCAGAAGGCCGACAATCCTGACCTCACCTGCTGTGACCGGGCCATATGGGAGCACTGTTGATGCCAAAGAGGTCACGGCACTGCCAAGCTGACAGTGCCATGGTTCCGAATGCAATGCATCACTTGGAAATACCACTCGACCATTGATCGATGCCCATGACCAGGTTGGTCCAAGATACATTGTTGGTCGAGAACTTCTTGTTGTATCCACAGTATGCCAAAGGAGACTCTTCAGAAGGTCGTGCTCCCAAAATCCCGCGAGATACTTCGGATTCAAAGATGGGTCATATTGGCTCAGGACAACTGCGAACTCTTCCGCCAACGCAGCCAAAGCGACCAATTTGTCCTGAGCGTTAGTCACTTTTCGGCTAGAATAATCGGAAACTAAACTCAGCCATGCTACTCGAAGATAGACGCGTTTACTTGCAAGCGCTTCTTCACCGTGCGTCGAGTCAGCTGTCGGCCCCTTGAGGGCGTTCCTCAAAGTCAGTGGATGTAATTGCTTCGAACCATACGACAATTTGCTGCGCGCGTACCATGTTCCAGTCTCGCAGCTGTACTGCAGCGTGTTCGAGGCAAAGATGAGCGATCGAGGTGAAAGTACCGCTTCTTCGAGTGTCCAGGCTCTGCTAGTAGTTGGTTCCACCGACGGCCTATATTGACAGCGATCTAGTCGAATAGACACTGTCGCAGGTGGCGTACCGTCCCCGACTTCTTTCAAGGGTAAGCGCACCCTCGGGCTATAACTGGGGCGCACACCGAGGAAACCTTCGGTTGAAGACTTTGCACAAGCAGCAATTATCGTCACGTATGCTCCTCGAAAGTATTGTCTCAGTCTGGAGATTTCTTGCTCTTTGTCCGCTCTGGAGTCCTGGAGAATGCACATCGAGTCGACCCAAAGATAAGGGATCTGAAGATGTTGAGCCACAGTAATGGCGTCAGTGATTGTCTGAGGCAGATTCGACCAAGCTATCTCGTTCATGTATGCCTCCTCAGTTTTGCTGGTCGTCTTGAAAGGTTGGGGCACTTCTCCCCAGCAGTAGCTAAGAGCAGCGTAGCGGCCTTTCTTTGACTTTGGCAGAAGCAACTTTGGCATGTCAGTGCTCCCTATAGCCGGAATTTCGATCAGTCTTGTTGGTAGAGCACTGTCGATTGCTTTGGAACAATGATGATGGCTTTCGCATTCGCATTCACTGAGCCAACACCGTGCGTGACGAAATGCTTCTGGGGAAGCTACGTCGAGCAAGAATTCGCGTGCTTGGACAAGCTCTGAGATTGATTCATCTTCAGATTGTCAGCCTCATTGGCGGGTTTTGTTTGTGTAGTCCACGTTTCATTAGCTCTTACCTGAATCCGCGAATATCTCAAACTCATAGCTATGCATTCGACCTTGTGGCATAACATGTAGCTGCACAAAGAGAGTTTGGAATCCATCTCCTGTACGCCAAGCGCTGACTGAGACAGTCGCTGTGCTTGATATTGCAGAGGCAAGTACAAGCACGTACAGAAGTCCGCAGAGGTTACAAACTTTTGAACTCTCTTTGAGATCCTTTGCTGTTGTCGACAAATCAACGCTCTAAATATAGCCTTCTTTCACTGGCCCTTGATAGCTTTCCCAGCACCTCTTACAAACAAGGTCTCTGGGATGGGTGTAGTGATTCTCATGGTCTCGAAGTGTTCTCAAGGTAGCCTCAACCTCGGGATCACATCGTAGCTGTTCCGGACTGAGAGCTTCAGCCATTATATTCACTGGGTTAATATTTCTCTCGCAGCTTGGAGCGATGGGTCGGGTATTTTCAGAGAGCTGACAATAAGTCGCTGGTGTGACCGGCCTGATGTGCTTCAGCTAGATCGGCGGGGAGGAGAACGACGTGGGCTCTTGAAAGGAATATACGTCGTAGTCTGTCAAAGTCCTGAATTGCCAGACGAAAACTATCTCATCGTCCCGACTGTAGTCGATCATTTGATCTTGTCGTTCGCATGGCCATCATTCGTTCCTCGGCGCCGCGTAAGAAATGCAAGTTGAATACGATACCTAGTAGTCGGTCTTGTCCCTCCCATCTGATTTGCGAAGATTGTCCAGCGCCAAGGGACTTGCGCTGCGTCCAAGGTACAGCTCGTCTTGGCCACATTTCAGCTGTGCAAGAGTTACGAACCGAGCTGAAGTTGTAGCCCGTACGAAAGACCCTGCAGAACGATGTATGATCCTCCGTCCAGCGCGGCCACGTGCGGCATCCTGCACCCAAACATCACACCGCAATCCTGAAGAATGAGAGTTTTCTCGCGCGACTTCATATGGCTGGACCAATTGATACCGTGACCGGTCTCTTCCATTTGACATCCAGCAAGCGTCTCAAAGCAACCACGATTTTCGTGGCTAGTTACGAGACTATTAGGAGCTATTGACATGTTTCTACATCTGCTCGCCCTTGTCGCGTACTTTTGGAAACACTAAAGAGACGCGTGATGTCACCTCGACGCAAATCGCTGCGAATAATGTCACACCATAAACAATTCCCAGGATCCCGCCTGCCATAAGTATACCTAGGTAGCCTTGATAGGGAGGATAGGTAGCTTGCCATCAAAGCCTGATAAGCAACTACTTCACGTCCTCGCCATTCTTCTACATTTTCCTCCTCTCTAGGCACCGAACCATGGTTACTCGCCGGTACTTTGCTCTTTGATATTTGAGGTCTACATGTCACTCCTTTAGAATCTATGGCATAGGAGAACAATTACCGCTATACAAGCCGTCCTGAGCCTTGACGCTATTGTTACTACTGTTCGCGCTTTGGTACCTCCTTGGTGACGATTTCAGCCAGGCCTCTCCATCTACAACATCTGTAGTTCAGATCTCCATCTGAGGTCGTCCTGACGTCAAAGCTCTGAACAACATATATCGACAGATAGGACGGGCCTGCAGCAAGCCTCCACGAGCCTTGCCTCCGGCCTTCTCATCTTCCACTCCTGGATTCTCATCGAATACTGTGCTTGAGTTATTCAAATGGTACTTTTTGATTCCCCGATCATCTCTCAACTTTACTTTGTTTTCCACTCACTTCATCAAGATCCCGCCACTAGACTCTCTCGACATAACTTCATATCAACTACAATCGGAGCATCTGAACATGAGTCTAGCGATCAACATGAGTTACTTCCGTCCTTCTTCCAGGCAGTGGACCGTTAGCCATCTTCGCCGACCGAGTCGGCACCTGGGATTACGTGTCTCCTCGCGACGCAACAAGGAAGAGTTATGCCGGGCTCTCAATAGGCACTTCAATCCTCAGAATATAGGAACGGTCCTCAGTTACGACGCTTCGCTCGAGTCTATAGAGGAGTATGGCGCTATAGTTGAGATTATTCCAACACGCGACCGGCCAAGGCGACGACGGAGACGAGCAGTGCTGTCACCACCCACTGAGTCTGGAACGGCCCTTTACTGCGATGGCTGTACAGATCCTTTACAGCTAACCGAGCTGCCGAGAACTCATTGCGGTCATACTTTCAATATGTGTATAGGATGCATATCTCAATGGGTAGCGAGCGAGCGTACGAGCAAGAGGCCTGGCGACATCCGGTGTTTAGCGGACGAGTGTACTGCAGCCCTGGTGTATGAAGATATCGAGGCTTATGTCCCAGAGGATGAAAAGCAGCGTACACTAGTACAATTCCTTACAGAAGCAATAGGAGGGTTTAGTTGTCCAACACCAGGCTGCGGAACACAGATATTTGCTGATGAGAGGTTGAGCTATGCGCAATGCAACGCGTGTCAACGACGAGCTTGCGTGGAATGTCACACCGAGTGGCATACCGGCATCACCTGCAACGAGTACCAGGATCAGCAGCACAAAAAGGCCGCACAAGACGATGAGAAGTCGGAGGAATTCAAAAGAGCACATTACCAACATTGCCCCAAATGCCAGACGTGGATCGAGAGGATTGCGGGCTGCGACCACGTGACGTGTGGCAATAGTATGAAGCCTTTCAAAGTGCTGGCGAGCCTGAAATGTACTGACTTTTGATCACAGAAGCCTGCAGACATGAGTTTTGCTACAGGTGTGGCGCAGATTACAGGACTATAAGACGGCTCGACAATTCGCACCACCAACAAGACTGTACGTACTATGTTGCCCCAGGCCTAGCCAGGGAGGATAGCGTGGATCCTGAGGATGACGATGAACTTGACACTCTGATTCTCGCCGATCTCCATCCGATGCACGACGAAATGTTCCTCGAACCACACGCCCTAAAAATTAATTTTAGAGGTCCAGAGGCGAGTTCCATGATCGCATACAAAAAAGGCGTTGCCTTTACTTCACAAGCATGAGCATACTCAACCGGACGCCGAACCAGCCTAGGTACCGGTCGAAGTCAGTCGGCGAGGCTGCAGCCCCTTTCGTCAGTCGACCCGTGATAGACTTCCGCTTATTCAGCAAGTCTCCGCTCCTAGACGAGTACTTTCAGATACAGCGGAAAGAACGTAGAATTGGCCAGGGAGAGCTCGTACTAAGCTCTAGTGTTGTGAGAAGAGGCAATGGGGACGATTAATGAACCCAATAATATAAAAAGCAATGATCATGATTGGCTTGCGAATCTCATATAGAATTTCTGGCCAGCGGATTTCGAAATCAGGGCTGGAACGTATCCGTACTGGTCAAGAAATTCCAGTCTGTGTCCAAGGAAGACACCACACCAAGGTATAGTACCCTGTCAGCCGATTTCAGGAGCACCAGCTAGTCTCGAGAAGATTGCCAAGAATTTTGTGAGCAAGAGTCTCTGGTACATTTGCATTCGCATCCGCATTCGCATCTCTACAGCTAATCTTCCCTGCGCTCCACATTTCGTTCATTCCGTGTCAGATCCCAAAGTTTCACAACTGAACTGGATTTCATCTCCGAGCCTCGGGACATCCATTTTACTCCACTTCATGCTCACAGTGAGTAGATCTTCCCTGTCGAGATTGAGAACGTGAACAGTTTAAGGAGAGGTCTCGTCCACGGCAAGATTTGGTTCCCTATTATCACCATTCTCATTTCAATCTGCTCGCTAACACTTGAATATCACCCAGCGGCATCAAAGTCCTGCTTCCCTCCTCCGAAAGAGCCATATTCATTCTTCCTCGAGTACCCCTCACAATGGCTCATGCCACGAAAGAAGAATCGGCGCGATGCATGTTACGCAGCAGACCTGCAGCCTGGTTCCGAGACTGTCCAATCGAGCAGAGAGACCTTGATCTGATCAAAGCCAAAGACGTGCCCTGGGTGAATCACAATCAAGCAAGTTATCTGCGCAAGATCGTGAGTCTGATTCAGAAACATAAACACTGATCTCATGTGAGAGCGTTGTCTGACTACTTCCTCCAGTACCATATGAAGGGGGGTGAGAGCTTCAAGCAGGTACGGCATACAGACTCTTGTTCCATCCTCCAGCCCTCTCTACATTGCCACCGGACCATGGCTTACTTGCACCTAGACAAACTGGATCGTTGAGACCGATGTCAAATGCAAAGCGCTTGTGCAATCTGCGGGAGCGAAGCTCTATGGATTCAATATCGAGTCATCCCCTCCTACACACTGGGCCTCTGTGACTGGTGAGCCACCATGGTGTCCCCAGTAGAAGGGATAATACTGAACAAATATATCCTAGTCAATGTCAACATCAGCGGCACACTTGGATCTGGCTTTGACTGGGGATTCCTCTCCACAAGACCCGAGAACATGAGGATATTCAAAGGACCACAGGAGACTTGTTCAGCACATCCGTGGGACGCCATGATCTTACGTGACTGTACCTCGAACACCGACACGTTGGGCAACATCGGAAGCATCTCATCACGCAAATGGGACATTTTGTGCATGAAGATGTGCGAAGACTATGACCGTAAAGCCCCTCCAAACTACCTGAGCTGCTCGTTGTTGCTAGTACTGACCTTTGTCAAGATCCCTGGGCCGTGATTGCCGTGAGAGACGCTGGTCCTATGCCAGAGTTGACTTCAGGTACCTGCAGTTGCAAGGACCCGTCGGTCTGTGGCTGCATTATCGACGATGAGCGACCATCACTTCCAGTGGCATGAGCGAACGGACGTATGGGGCTCTGACAAGAGCATCACAATAAGCGTGAAGTGTCTGAGTTTGCCCGGAGCTGAGGGAGCACAGAGAGAGAAAGATGAAAAAAAAAAATCGAAAACAGAAATCATGCTTGCCGCAATTTGGAGCTGATGCCAGTCTCGACGATCTCGACAGCTTCGAATATTCCCTTGTCCAGGCCCAACTTTGCTGAGAGAGATATGAGAATTTGAAGGGCTACTCTGAGATCACCAACTCGAAATTGCTGAAGCATCCTTTCCTCACAGCAGTCAAAGCAGGGTTTCCCGCCAGTACTACTAGTGACACGGTCTCCGTTGCATGCAGCTTGACATCCCAGCCAGGAAAATATACGAGGCTAAGAGCAAGGCTTCGGAATACACCAGTGGAAGTAGTGTCTAGGGCACAGAGCTCATACCCCTTGAGCTGGTGACCAAACGAAGTATGGGAGGGTCTAAGAGCTGCGCTTTTATGTGCTGGTGTCGATGCGCATGAGTCGGTCACGTATACCCTGATATGTAGACGGCGGGATGAGCCAACGTGAAACTCCCATTCGACGTTCTCCATCATTCCTTCCCCGTTCTTAATTGTAGTGAGTGCTGACACCATTGCATAACTGGCTTTTCTGCGTAGAGACTTCAATCATTAAAAGACGGTGTAACCAGCTCCTGGACACCCCCCTATTCGCGGTCCCAGTGCAATAAGATTCCGCCTGGTCCGGCATAGAAGTATCTTTTTGCAGCATTCCTCTTTCACAGCTCCCAATTCCATGTCTGCATCTCAACAGTCGCCTTCATCTTCTGCTGCGCAACTCTGAACACGGAGCCTGGCCTTGATCAAGTATCGACGTGTCAACTCACGATTTGACGCCTGACTCTTTCCTCCCGATGTCCATCCTTGTCAGTGATTGGCCTTCAAACGTTCGTCATTCCATAACCGAGACAGATGGCATTTCCACGTCTGAATATTCCCTTTCCTTGGCTTCCCAATGATAATGGTGGCACGCCACAAACGAGCTTGTGTCCTTTCCAGTTAGCTCTCTGACACTCTTGATTGCAATACCAAGCCCTCTTGCAACGACCACAAGTCTTCACAGAACCTGGTTCGGGGGTCGGCCTTGATCCGTCCGCAGTTGAAACAACTGCTCCACTGTTAGCGAGCGGAAGCATAGTGGTCTGATTGCGGGATACTTTGGCGTTTTGAAGTCTCGAGGCTTGTCATCTTCGTAGTACTCGAGTGCTGCGAGGAACTGTGCTTTTCCAGGATCACGGAATCCTGTGTCCGCCATAGGGTTCTGATAGCCCGGGTAGCTGTGGGTTCTCTGAGCTGCCTGACGTAGATGGATACGGTCTTCTACCGAGATCCTTATTCTTGCTTCCATCATGACAGCTCCACAAATAACCATGGTATATTCGCCGAACAAGCAGTCTGGATTGTTTCGAAAGTGTAAGAAGAGCTCTCCGCCGATGCGGTTGAGGTGGTCACGAAGCTGCTGGCTAGTGATTGAGGATGAGGTCGGTCGGAAGTCGGGATCTTGCATGTTGTCTAGCAACTCTGTCAACTGCTCATTGTCGACGTGAACTCCCTCGGCCTTGAGTCTCTTCGAAACCTCCTTGAGGACGTCGGACTTGAGATCGTAGTCGTTGTCTCCCTCGAAGACGCCTTTCGTTTCCGTTAGTAGAGTCACAGAACAACATAGGGGTAGTAACTGACGATGGCCCCAACGACCCATATTGACTTGAGAACGTTCTTTAGTTGGATGTGAGCAGATACCAATCAATTGACGATGTCATAGATGGATCGTGCTTCGAAGTGAAAGTAGCAACTCTCAAAGAGAGAAATGTCACGAGAAAGAGTGACTCAAAGTGAGAGATGCGTGGAGACTGACTGCGCTTTCTTTGCGCACTTGCGCTGCCGGTTGTCGCCAGCACTTACTTCGCGAGCAATATCCCAGCAATCTAGAGACTATGGCGATCAATTCTCACCTTTAGCTACAGAAGGCTGGCAATGCAGGTGTCCGGTCCAAACAAAGAAGTCTTCAAAACACGAGCCACTAATCTCCCAATGACGACAGCTTCTCAATCACTGTCATTTCTCCATGCGCCTACTTCGTCCATCGAATAGACAAAGGCGAGGAAGTGAACACGGCACATAGCCTTCATATCAGAATCGCGAAGATCGAGATTTGGGTTCGTGGCACGCATGCACAATTACATGGTCGAAGGTCAAGACAACGGAAGAGACAGGCTAGAACGCCCTACTCATGCCATACCCTGCGCTGCCAGAGAGGCAGGCGTAGGTAATCTGGCTGCTTTTTCGAAAGTGAGCATGGTCCCGTCTGACCTTGCATGGAATCTTTGGCGGTCAACCTAGCTGATATCTGGAGTTTCCCAGTCGATCCACATCGTCATGTCAAAATCGAAGTCGGCCTCGGTCCTGAAAACATCTGTCTGGCTCTGGTCACCCAGCAAGTACTTCCCTACAAAAGCATCCAAGTCGGCACCCTGGTCCTCAATGGGAAACTGACAGTGAGTATGATTGGCAGCTTCGGTATAACCCATTGCTTGCTGATCTCCGAGAGCTTTGTAGATCTGTCTTGCTACAGTCATACACCCATAGCTACTCCATGGTGACAGCCATTCATATCCTATATTGTCAATGACCAACAATCCCCTTGGGGCAACGAGACCGGCGAGCATGTGGTGGTCGAAGGGAAGTCTCTGGGTGCCGTCGACTTCGCTTGCAAATACTTCAAACTCGGTACTGAACCAGACGTTTTCTGTGACAATTTCGTGAGCTGTCTGAACGGTATCGGTGCCGTTCACGCTGACGTTCTCGACATCTGATAATCTCCAGCACGCGGCGCCGCCTGAACCTGACTCTTGAACAATGGTTAGGGCAATCCTTTCGTCGAAGGCTCCAGCCACGAGCGATCCTTTGCCCCACCGAGAGCATCCAACGACACCAACCCGTGTTGGATCAACGCCGGTGTCGCTGCTATTGGTGAGAGTGTCTATGATGCGCGATACGCCCCAGGACCAAGCCATCAATGCGCCGGCAGCCTGAGGAGAATTATCGGGATAGAGCTCATAGAATAGGCCTTTCCCGCGGGAGGTCGTATTGTCTTGTTGTGCGAATTCTGAGACGAAGAATGTGATTGTTGCGACTCCATCGGGCGCGGGGATTGTCAAGAGATCAAGCGCGATCAATGCTGGATATGGTCCGGTATGTTTTGTCGAGTTTGGATAAGTGATGGTGGCTGTCCAAGATATTGCCGTGTCGCCGTTCGATGCAGTCAAGGTAAGATTGCCACCCGTGTCATTTTGATATCTCTGGAAGTCGGATTGCAGGTTTTGAGAGGGACCGGGTTTGATTCCAAGCTCGTATTGTTGGAAAAGTTGCGAAACCTCGTTACGACGGCAAGACCAGTCCTCCTTGCTGGCAACGCGTGCTCCGGACAAGAGTTCAAACGGGTCCGGCAAGAGAGGGTTGTTGGTAGCGAACGATGGACTAGGGGTTGTAGGAAGACATTCCAAAGCAGGCGCGCCTGCAGCTGCTCCGAGGATGGCTGCTGAAGCCAGAGCAAAGCAGATGAAGGTCTTCATTGCGTGCTTTTCTCGACCACGAGCGTAGGCTTAGTTGTGACTCGCACTGTCAATCTGGAGGAGTATCGTAGAGTAACATATTCTTCTGATACTATGACGCAGAACTCTTTCCGGCTGAATTCGATGGATATGGTCACGAAGTTTACGTGCCTAGTATCGATGATGGTGACCATTGACTCGGCTGTCGAGCAACTAATTCCAACGTGAGCAGTTCAATGAGCACGATGCTGCCTCTCCATCGATCGCAACCACGACCCCCGCTTCGCATTTTCGCATTTAGGCTCTTTACTCGGTAGATATCAGGCAATGCGGAGAACCGCTCGTTCCGTGCTAGGTCTGTACGACGATATCTTTGCCGCTTGTCCTGGAACTATGCTGAGTAGTTTGGGAGGAGTTGATAACTTATTGTCAGAGACATTGCGCGTTAGTGCAAGCGAGGAAATCGAAGGTCAATGCGTCAAGCAAGTTGGATGCAAACTCTGCTCCAGGCGAGGCTGAAGTCCAGCCTCGCTTTCCCGTGATTTGACGAAATAAGAATATGGGACCTCGGCAATCAAGAGACCACAGTAAATGGAGATCTTTCATCCACGCAGAGCGCAACTTCATTGCTCCCGATGAACACCATCCCGGCAGACTTGCAGATGGATGCCATAGCCCAATGCTAAAATCGCAATTCAGGTATCGATAGCGGCCACACACAGACTGTGCTTGTTCGCTAACGGCGGGTTTACGCCATCATTGGCATGTCCTTATATGGCGCATTTGGGAGCTTCATCATCAGGCTTTACTATGTAAGTCAAAGATCAAATTGCGCTGACACTGGCCAGGAGTCTGGGTTGTAGCGTCGGAGGAGAAGTCGTTACCGTCACACTCATCCGAAGTTTCGAAGCCAAAGGTCCGTTACCACATAACAAGCTAATACCAAGCTAGGCGACAAGATCCGTGATCTCCTCAATTGCAGGGATCTTGGAAATGATATCAGACTTTGGCGGTTCCAGCATCCAACGAAACCGGTCAATTATTGTATGGGGATCCCCCGTCATGTACGGAGTAGCGATTGTGGCTTATAGCTGAAACCTGGGCCTGTCCCACTAGGATTCTTTTGGATTTCTGTACTCCGTACCAGGATTCTCGACCTTCGTCCAGTTGCTGAGCCAAATACCATTGGGCGATAACCACAGAAAACCTGATCCAAGCTGATGCCAGTCGCATTCAACTGTGTGCCTATCTTCCCAATGGATCACTGCGCTCATCCTCCAATGCACGAACAGGCGATATGCACTCCAAATATCGTCCCGTCAGTGGCACCCAAGTGTGAGAAGCTTTCCAAACATTCGTATCTTTGATCTCAGGACGGCACATCTCTACGAGCGCTATGCATTCCGTTTTGCAGCGCCATCACTCAATCCGGTGGTCAAGTGATTGGGGTCTTTATGGGCCAAGCAATGGTAAGTTGAATGTTCAGCCTCATGCTTGTCTTTGCTGACCATCTACGCCGCTTTGCGTACCATGCATGCACTTCCGATATATGTCAGGCTATTCTTGCCCGCCTGCAAAGGTTGGGCCCTTTCCTGGCGCAGATCCCCTGCCAACGTAGCAGTGACGACGGGAGCGAGAACAGCAGCCCAGTATTCACTTCGCATGAGGCTACACAGTGGCGAAGCCGGGTGTGGGAAATGGGCCTCGTGTAGGCCAATGATATCGCCATGATAACACCTACCTATCAGCCACGAAACCCTGGCGTATGCCTGACTGCACTTCTTACCGCCTATATATCAGGGATGAGATCAATTCAGCCCTTGACGGCCAGCCTTCTTTTCATTCCTGGTGTTCTTTTGACGCATAACAGGTACAAGTCTCTTCAGTTAACAGTACGCTACTGGACACCAGCCCCTCTGACAGTCGGTTTGCACAACTTGCCACCATGCGTCTTGCATTCACGAAGGCCATTTGCCTACTGTCAATTGCTGGATCATTCTTTGCAAGCACAGTTCTGGCAAGGTACGATGACGCTAAATGCTGTTTCTCTGCCAAATCCTCGAATGCCTTCTCGCCAATTCCAACAAATGGTATCATCTGCGGTCAAGAGTACAACGCGTCAATTCCAGCTGCTCCGAAACTCTTTGTTCCATATCCCTACTGCGCTGAACATTGCGGTGGTCCTGGGGTCTCCCAGTGGAACAAGCCAAGCGCATGGGCGGCACCCATCGTACAATTTATCCTGCCCGCTGTTATCTTTAGCATGAGTATTCCCCGGCGCAAGATGCTCACGCTTCCTGTCCGGGGGAATTCGGATGCACCGACGGCAGGATCTCCGAGCGTTATCAAGGGCAAAACAGCATGGCTGACGGATATCTTGCGCAAGTTGACGCCCGTACTTCGCCTCTGCGCCATCATGCTCGATAGCGTCGGTTGGATTGCACTTATACTTATTTTTGCTGGACCAATGATGCTGAGCGGCCTTTACGAAGCTGTGCTGGACTGGAAGATCTTGTCTGCACTGAAGAGCGAGACCGGGAAGAAGCTCAAGGAAGAGGCTGTGATCGAACTATTGGCTACCGTGGTAGCGGGCAATCTCCAGCATCGGACCAACGAAGTCCGACCACAAGTGGAGATCAAGGATGCGCTGCTCAACAATGCAAACATGGAAGCCCAGAGAACACGCCTGCTGGGTTTGGTCGATTCTCAAATGGGGTATGGTGCCATCATTGGGGCTCCAGTTATGTTCTACCTTGGAGCTTTTGTCTACACGATCCTGGATCTGATGAACAAACCTAGTGATCAGGATGCTGCCATATCCCTCGCGTTTGGAGTGGAATGGATGATCCTCGTTCACGTCGCCATCATAGGGTCATGTCTTTTGGCCACGAACAACCCAAGTACGGCCTCCGTTCTGGTGGGCCGTCAGCCTTCTCCATCTTCCCACAGTATCACAAGATCAACAACACAACAAAATATTGCCGGCCGCCTGCAGCCGGGATTGTGGCAAAGAGCACTCAAAGGAGATCTTGCCATCTTGGCTGATATTTATAAAACCCGGTATCAACCAGTCACCATGTGGAGCAGAGGACGAAACAAAAGACAGTGGGTCCAAGACTCTCACGCGTTTCTTAGCCATCAGATCCCTAGCAACGCCTTGAATATAGGGTGGAGAGCACACATCGTTATATTCCTGGCAACATGTGTCCTGATTAACCTACCACCGGTTGCTGGGGCTGTGGTGGCCTGGAGGACGCCGCCAATAGGCTGGGGTTGTAGATCACTCAGTTTTGTCTGCTATGCTGGTGTGGAGCTGCTCATTACAGCTCTTTTCCTGTTGATGCATGGCATCAAACCGTCTGAGGAACTTGGGAAGCGAGCAGATTCCTGCAAGACGCCCGCCGGAGCGCTTGCCTGGCTGTGGTATCACTGCCGCCTGCCGTCGTGCATTACTGTTTATATCCTGTACGCCCTCTCCTGGCTTGGCTGTTTGTTCGTCGTTCTAGGCAGCACGTTGATGCAGGTGATCGGGGTGTATCGCAACTGTTTTTGCTACGTCAACGCTCCTGAATGGTACCACCGTGATTCGGCTATTGTTCAAGTCGCCACAGACACACAAGAGCAGCGCGAGTCCAGTCATAATTGGATAATCTTTGGTGGCACGGCTACGGCATTCATGGGCATTTGCTGCTTCGCCGGCTGGTGGTATCAGATGGTCATCCGGGAACGGTACAGAGATGTCGTCAACAGTCGTTTTGGCCACTGACGAACGAGGAATGGGTATCAGACGGCATTTTAAAGGTGATCCTGATATAGATGTTGGAGGAGGGCCGGGTGTTGAGGCATTAGCAGTGGGAAGGCTCAGGAGATTTCGGTGACGTTTCCAATGTACGAGCACTCATAAACCTGGTAGATGCCTGTCCATGTCTGCATTTTTGGCAATTTCGTTTGGTCAATATATGAGAAAATGAAAGGTATTCGCTACGGAGGCCTAAACTGGAGGCTGCTGAGCACGTGGCAGGAGAATCACGAACGTTGCTATATATTTGAGTCCACTCCGGTAGTGATCAGGTCACTAAAGCTTCTGGTCATGCTCAGAACTTGTCGGGAGAGTCTTTCGTCGACAATAGGGTTGTTCACACTGGGTTGGCTAAAGACTTCTTTCCATGATGCTCAGGGCCTCACTGACGAATTGAGCATATTGACCTCCCGGTTACGTTTTCTGCCGTTGATGCTACAGTCTGTATTGATTCCGAGAGGTTCGGTCCAGGACCGTCCGCAGCATCAATGTCTTGGTGATCAGATCTCCGCCTGTCGAGCCATGTACAAACTAGCCAGCGCAGGCTGGAGAACCATGTGCTCGCCCGGTGCCGGCACAGAAGTCTAGGGAGCAGCGCGCTTACTAGATTCAAGAGGTCCAATGTGGTCCAGCAGTGTACCGTGGAGATCATCTGCGGCGGCTGCGTCTGCCTGTCAGAGCAAGACCCTCCTTTTCATTGATTCTTTCCGGCTTTTGAGGTGGTATTTCCGCAAATCCACTTATGTGTAGGTGCAAGAAAGCTTGTCCTAGGGCAAATTCGAGGAGAAGGAGGCGCAGAAGGAGTGAATCAGGAGGCTTGACGCTCGGTGCGCCTGTTGTTGCCTTTGTTTGCGAATAGGCCCGATCCATTGAGCAGAGGGTACAGCAGCAGCCGACACGATGAGGCATCACATCGTTGAGAACTGTCGTATGCCATTGCGCTTCAGGAGGGGAAATGGAGAGAAGCTCACTGGCTAATGTCATCAGTGAGTGGTCTGTCTACCTGACAAGCTGAGTGTTGGTCAAGCGCAGGCAAGTGCGAGTTTACGCTTACCCATCATGGTTAGATTCTTCTTCGCCAAACAATGATGTAATTTGTTTACTTTTTCACATGTCGTTCCCGAAAGAGAAAATAACTCGGTGGGTGCTTGGGGTTTTTAGGACTTCCAGCGGACGTACCTGCGCCCCGTCAGGACTAGTCAGAGGTGGATATCTCAATAAAGAGTTCGCCTCGAACATCGAAAGCACTACTCAGGTCATTTGGATTGATTGCTTCTCTCACTATCAGCAGAACTCAAACCCACGGGACAAGGCAGTTCGGCGCTTCTCAGCACGGCTTGCCAGGAAGTCAATGGGCATTCCTCTGCCATCATGATGCAAAACGCCAGGCAGCATTTGCATCAGCGCAAGCAGCAGCGACAGCTGATACCTTATCCTGCGGTTGATTGAGGTCTTGCCACAACCCTCCCAACTCGTTTGCTTCAGCAAGCAGGCCACCAGTTCCATCGATCCTAGCGAAAGGGAAAAGGTCTTGCCAAGGAGGAGGGAAGAGGAAGTCACGCTGGTACAACAAGTCGAAGACATCGAATCGCAAGGAAGGCTGGGTCCCTGGAGCCAGCGAGGAACCTGATCTTTTTCAAAAGGCAGGAAGCTGCTGAGGTTCTGTGCCATGATACGGATGTCGGGCCTGTTGTCAGATGTTGAAGGAGGTGGGTATCGAGCGCACTGAAGGTACCTGTTCTAGTCGCAGATTGAGAATTGATTCCCTGCCGGGCTCACATTCATGATGGATTGGAATATTCCGTTTCTTGCCAATTTTATGTAAGTGGTAATTTGGCTCTGCGAGACCCTTCTCATTCATCCTTTATGGACATGTATGTTGAGATGAATCATCGCGTTATTTTGACACAGCATTGTGTTTGAACGCTGTTGGAGTCGTTAAGTGACATTGTTTTTCATCTTAACTGTAGGTGATTGCTCCTCGTTCCTGCGCAACTCCGAGGCAGCTTCCCAATGTTACTTTTCTTCGTCACTTGACTGCGACGTTCACTGCTACAGCAAACATGACAATCTCTCCTCCCAAATCCGCCGCCTAGGTATGAGAACTTCTCTCCTCTTGAAAATCTTCTGCTTAGGGTTGTGGATAACTATACTCGTCGACAATGGCGCTCAGTACTTCTCACAAGCACAACTTCGATGCCCTTCCTCCCGATCTGCTGGAAGTGTACCTACGATACAAAAGAAGCACGCGTGCCATTTTACTGTGGTTACTAGAGCATGGCCCAGAACCCGACAAGCCAGTCAGGAGCGTCGTTCTCCGAGAGCTGGAAACTATGGCACGGACAGTGAAGGAGAAGATCAGCTACATTCCTGACATTGTGCATTTCTACTTTCGCGAGACCATTTCAGACCGAAGCAAACTCAGCAAATACTTCCGCATCCAAAGCTCTGCAGCCATCAATGACCAGGCTACCATCAACCATGAGCATTTCACTGCAACGCAAGCCTCTCTCTCTATCTCTTTCTCTCTCTCTGTCGTCAGTGTTCAGACCACTTACTTTTCTGACAGTTTGACCAAAATCTACAACGACCTTTGCATAGCCTTTCCCCTACCGGAGCTTCCAAATCAGCGACTATCAGAATTACAGCCATCAAAATGTGGCCTGACTCGGATGTCCAACCGATACGACGGTCTAGCTGTTGACGAAGCCGATACCCAGGAAGGGGAGGGCAACAATCATCTGACTATAATTGCACAACCCGTCTCATCACCTGTACCCCCGACATTCCCTGATGCCACTGAAATGCAGATCCGACTCACCGATGATGATCTCGGCATGGCATTCGAGATAGCAGCTACAGTCCAGGTATGCAGACCCTGAAAGAGCCGTTCTATGATGCTGATTTGAGTAGCGCATACAAGAGATCTCAAGCTCCGTTGAGCATTATTGGCGACTTGCCACAAGACGCACCGTCTCATTCCCAGTCGCTTCTTTCACCACAAATGCCGCCTTCGCGTCACTGCGCCAGCTTGTGGACGGACTCCTGCAACGCGAGTCAAACCTCGGCCTCTCAACCATTTACGACACGCCTTTCTCGTTCAATGACTCAAAGCAATATACAGACACGTCAAAAGTTCGCGGTGCCAGCTCGACGTTGCTTGGTCGTTTACGGCATATTGTGGAGACACTCTCCGAGTATCAAGATGGCGATATGGACGTATGCGACCCTTTCTGCCTCAAATGCGGTCATAGACTTGCGAAAGAAGTTCAGACCAGAGTCATTCTTGGTACAGCCGGCAGCAAGTCTCTCTCTGAGGCTCTCATTGGAAATATGATTCAACTAGTGATCTTTGAGATGTTGCCGCCCGGTAGAATCAGAGGGAGTACACCATTGTATCAGGATTTTGAGGAGCTCATCAGGGATGTTGATCCTGTTGACCTCAACGGCCATCCCTGGTCGGTCATTTTTGGATTGAACATCTTGACTCAGAGCTACAGAGTCTTCCTTCGAACCCTCAAGCGGCCGAATTTGGTCTCGCAATGTCGTGTCAATGCCTTGAAACTTGCCCAGCAAGTCTCCTCTGAAATCAAGTTGACGCTCGCCGACAGCGGCACATTTCCCTGCCGCTGTGCCGGAACGATAGGGCAGCATTTGCACCGCATGGAAGTCGAGTTGCAATGGTATGTGGGCCACAACTGCTGGGATCTTGTGAATCAGGCACCTTGGGTTGCTGGCAACCATGTCTTGGAGATCCTAGATCTCTGCAACTACTACGGCAACCATTTGCTCAAGTACCGACATTTCGTGGGCGCCGTTCTTCACTCGTACAACTGTTTGACCAAACTGGGTGGACTAGAAAAGATTCCTATTTTGGAGCAATTATGTGTTCAATTTTGCGGAATTCTATTCCCAGGTGGCACCCTCCCAGAGGCCAACTTCTATGCTTGTTGGGCACGCTGTGTTGGCGCCAGACTGAAATTTGACCAGCGTCACAACGGAAAGCACCCGCATGACAATTGGTGTTTTACTATCCCCGCACCAGCGGCAAAGGCAGCTGCTGGAATTGACATACCAGAGCACCGACATCATGGCAAGGCCGAATGTTTGCTGTTCCAGATCAAACGCCAGGGATACCATATCTCAGAAGATCAGTGGAAAGACCTCGCCCGTGCTTCCAAGAGCCCTGACCAAACACAAAAGGGCGGAGTCGAGAAGGGCGGCATTCAGACGAACGCCAAACTATCAGCCGGCGTTACCCATACGGATATGCTGCTACATCTGACTACAGCCATTCAGGAGACTTTCACCCAGTCAGCTGAGACACCACTGCCCAGTGCTCGACTGAATGTTTTCGCAGTCTTCCGGAAGTGCGCACATGTGATGTCGCAAGTTTCGGACAATGTCCGTTGTAAAGAAGTTGAGAAGAATGGAGGCATCTGCATTTGCTTCTGCCATGCTATCCTGGATGCTGCTGAGCGTATTGTTAAGAGCAGACGGTTCGGTGAGCTTGAAGTATGGCAGAAGGATGAGCGTTTTTGGGTCGAGGAGATGAAGAAGGCAATTCAAATGTCCTTTGGCGACGTCAATGCAGAAGACCTGTTGTGGGATATCTAGGGCAGGCTCGGGTATCACGTCTAGGAGGCAGCCGACGGAGCTCCAACCATATCGGCTTCCTTTCAACAGATCACTTGGAAGGGGAGAGCACTACGGCTCATGATGAAGAAGATAGGTCACACAGTCCTTGTCTGCCGGTTCCTTCGAGTGTCTGTCACAGGTACTGACTCTGGTCTGTGTAAGGAAAACTAAGATGAAGTAATCAAGTATCATGCAGGAGCTATGGCGCCGCGATGGGAGGGCGTACACCTTCGCCGTGCTTGACTTATTGATGCTGCAATGTTTTTTTTTTGTGTGGAGGCGCACGAATTTACAAGAACTGAAGACAACAACGACGCCAAGTTCGAATGTTGTAGCATTCAAGGCGGTCTACTTTGTACCTAAATAGAAAACTATCGCGTGTAGTAGTAACGGTTTCGACATGCTCGCATGGTGCCGAAGTCTGAAAGCCTGAGAAGTCCAGGTCGGCTTCCTAGGCAAGTCTTCCGAGGACAAGTACTTATGGTGAACTTCTGGGGCAAGCCGAGGCCATCGTGGTCCTCTACTACCTGCCCACGCCGCGCACTTCCAACTTGTTCGATGCTGACCGGCAACCTGCAATCAACTTGTTCTTGAGATGTCTGGTTGCGCTTCCATCCAGCCGTAATGTCGGACATCTGGTATCGCCGGTACTGTTCACCCTCCAGATGGAGACGCTGCTTAGCGAGAGCTGAAAGAGTAGGCTCAGTCATCCAATCAACAGAGCGACATGAGAGACAGGTACCGCCAAGCGAGGTTCGCTTAGCCCCGAGCTTGCCATTCGGTCGGCCGACGTTCCTGCACCTTCTCTTGAGATGTGCTTGTTCATGCGACATGAGATGAAGATTGAAGTCGAAGTTAAGCTTTACTGGAGGCTACTGTGTGAACGTCGCTCGAGTACCGGAAGTCTGCAGCTATCTACCTTGTGGTGGTACAGCTCAGGAGGGCTGCGACACAGTTGCCCAAGTGCCAATAACTTGGTGAGGCTGGCTGATTGTGGGGGCCACCAGAACGCTCTGGCTCGCTGGCGGCGTGCGTGACACTGATCTGTGAGCACGGCTAGTGTCGCTCGTTCAAGGTCATCCATGCACAGCAGGGCCAGACTTAACTTGCATGAACGCGGGTACGTTGCAAAGCTTAGTAGCGGCTGAAATTGCCTGATCCCAGTTATGCCTTGCATCGGCGAACTCTGGGGTGGCACGACCACAAGAGTGCGCATGAGGGCCACTAAACTCTCGCCCTTGCACAATCCCAAGACCCTTGACGCCAAACGGATGCCAACAAATCGCTGGTTAGGACTCTGTCATCTTCCGCATCTGCGGCTGAAGTGGGGAATAACGATGTGCTCCAATCTCATATGAAGCCTCCGCCCAAGGATGAGAACCTACAGTTCCTCTCAATACTGTCGCTGCAAGTATACGTCTCCAAATATTCTGAGCCACGAAGAGCAAGTTAGAAGGCACGCCGGCAACTTCTGTCTGGCCACCACTTTTCGCCAGTCGACGATTCTCGGGGTGCGATAACGAGCCTAGAGCAATGGCGACAGATATTGGTCTGATTTGGAATCTGGCACTCGACCACTACAAGGACGCTGCAGGTTTTGACAAAGACTTCGACATCAATACGCTATCACGTGCAAAAAGCGTCAGAGATGTGATCAGCATTAGTGACGGTAGTCTTAAGAAGTTTGAAAATTTTCGGCACGATGGTGGAGGTTGTGACAAGTTCAGAACCTTTGTCGCAGACCATCTTGAGCCAGTCGAGAAGGTGGCAGAGTACGTGGCTGATGCTGCATCAGGAGCATTTCCTCCCACTACCGCCATTTTCAAAGTCATTGACTACTTCATCAAAATCGCAACAGAGGTTCGAGCTGACTACGAAAAAGTCAAGGAATTCTTTGAGAAGTTGGGATCCTATCTTAAGAGCCTGAAAATCCTCGAGGGTCATGTTCCAGAGATTGACGAGCTACGAGAGGCACTTATGAAGGTCATGTCTTGTCTTCTTGTAATTTGTGGGATCAGCACAAAGTTCATTAAAGACGACAGATGGAAGAAGGGTGTAAAGAAATTTCTTCACCTTGATAGTGACGAATTGAAAGACGCCTACGCAGATCTTGAAAAGAGCTTGGCGGAGGAGGCGAGGGCTGTGAATCTAGCTCAATTGCGAATCGGACAAGAGATCAAAGTTGATGTCCGCCAGGGCCGAAAAGAGCAGCAAGAAACCCACGTTGCGGTGTTACAGGGCCTAAAGATGGACCGAGAGATCCTGGGAATAGTGCAACGTGTGGACAAGAAATTGAATGAACAGTCAGAGACAAATGACCTCGACAATATCAAAGGAGCATGGAAAAGCATCATCTTCGATACGCCCGAGTATGATAAAATCGAGTCAACTTTCCTTGAGGGCACTGGAAAATGGCTCCTCAAGGAAGGTGCCTATCAGAGGTGGGCCCAAGGAGATACTTGTTTTTTGTGGTTGTCAGGGCCTCCCGGTACAGGTAAATCATACCTAACCTACTCGATAGCCCAACGTCTGGGCAACGAAAGCACATCAATTTCGAAAACAGCCGCAGCAATTTTCTACTTCGACAACGCGAAAGAAAAGACTCGATCTGTGAAGGTCGCTTTATGTAATCTGATTGTGAAGCTTGCCGAAAAGGATGCAGTTTACTGCAAGCGTGTGTCAGCGCAGATCAACAAGATTGCTGTCAATATCAACGAGGCATCAATCGAAACTGTGTGGTCCAAGTATGTGCGGGATCTGCTCCAAATGGCATCTCCGAGCAAAATGTACTTGATTATGGACGGATTAGACAAAACCAATCGAGATGAATGGACGACCTTGCTTCGGCTACTATCCGACATCCCAAGATATAAGCTTCCTGTTCAGGTTTTGCTCTCCGGCCGCCCAGAACTTGACTTTCCTCTGAGGTCTATCTGTGATCCTCAGAAAGACATGATCCAGGTTACTGAGCGTAAGAACCACGAAGACCTAAAAGCTTTTGTGCGAGATCGGTATGAGCAAACTATGCAACTCAAGCATATAGCTCGAGATGGTCAGAAAGTCATCAAAACACTGCTGCAGAATGCCGGAGGGATGTTCCTGTACGTGGATCTGGTCCTGAAAGAACTTGACAGCATGAGCCAGTGGCCCGCTATTCTCAGTGCTTTAGAGTGTCTGCCGCAAGGACTGACCGACTTATATGCCCAATCTCTCGCTGGGGTTGCGGGGAAAGCTTCTTCCCCAGATGAGGTCTCCTTTCTAAGGACCTTGTTTCAGTGGATTACTTATGCCGAATGTCCACTGAGTTTGTATGAGTACCACTGCTTGCAGAGTCTAGGTATCATTTGCAAGGACTACAGTGTCGAGAATGAAGTTCAGGGCAGATGTGCAAGGTAATTCCAGAGGCTGATCTGAGATGAGCGTGAAAGAAATACTGACCGCTGTTCACACAGTCTATTGCGCCTGTCTGGGCACGGAGCCGTACAAGTGGGAGACTCAGCAGCTTTATCAACTCCTTCAAATGCATCTGAAGTCTTGTCGATGCAAAAGACGTCAGATACAGCTAGTCCGGATGACGATTGGGAGAATGACGACGACAGCAGCCAAGGTGAACAGGATGACACAAGTGACGGGGGAGAATATTCTCGTCTATCCAGCATCTTTGTCCAAGCAGTCCATCACTCCCTCATTGACTATCTTCGCGATCCGGCCACAGCTCAGACATCATTCATGACTAAATCGGCTGATGCGAACGCTGACCTTTTCATGGCTTGCAAGGACGTGATATGCAACAGCGACGATGATTTTGAAAGTCCCGAATGGGAGGCCAAAACTGATCTTGCAGGATATGCTGTTAATTCATTGTTCCGACATCTTGAGAACATAGATGTCGATGCCATATCCGACCACCTCCTCGCGCGTGTTACACAAGGATTGAAAGAAGTCTTCTCGAACGCCGAGCAAGTCGCCACAAGTCTCGAACGTCAGATCCATCATGGATACTTTGGTTTAGAACCCCCACTCAAGCCTGACTGGCCCTTGCAATCCGTGATCCTGAATTTACTTGCAAAAGCAAGCCAACTCAAGGACGGCAAGCTTCAACCAGATTGTTCTCAATGGGTCGAAAAAATCTGGAAAAAACCATCGGAATTGTTCCTTCCCCTAGCGAAGAAACATGTTGAGAATTGGCTCAACGACTTTTCGGACGATTCTGCGGCTTTCAGATGTGCTTTGGCGGCGTTATCAACGGTAAGCTCGACGCATCCTCTCCAGGGACAATATTGATATGTAGCAGACGAATTCTATACAAGCCTTGTCGAAGCCAATTTCCGATTACATAGCACCAACGAAGGAAGAAATCATGTTTGTGGCTTCTGCATTCCCAGACATTCCAATTGATGCCGATGCCCACCGCATGATTGCCCTTACACTGGCACGTTCGCCTCGTGTTGACCCGCAGGACGCAATCGTTGAGTTAAACCAAAGTCTGAAAGCGGCGACAACGAAGCTGGAGCAGTATCGTGCGCTGGTAGCTCTTGCAGAAATTCAGAACAGGCTTCTTCAATACTCTCAAGCTCGCGACTCCGTCAAGTCCGCGCTTTCAACGATCTATGAAGGCAATATCTACCCCAGCATGGAAATCCAAGCAGATCTGGAATCTATGGACATACTACAAGCCTACCTGGTGCTGGCGGAGGCACTTTCAGGCTCGAAAGAGGTCGAAGATGCAATTGCTGCCTTTCACAAGGCTTCCGAACTCGCTAAGGATAAGGATGATTTAGAGCAGCAACATGAAATTCTTGGTGAGATTCTTGATCTAGCAGGAGCGAACAAAAGGTATAGTATAGTGATGCGAGAGATTGAGAATGCTGATCCCAAGGTTCTGTCTGTGTGGTTCGGTCTTCCAAGTGTCGGGATAAAAGATGACCACGCCATCGTGCAAGAAGCAGCGAGACGAATCAAGCGCGAGGATTCCTTGATACGCTGCTATAATAATGCAATCACACTCCGAGAACCAGATGGCACCGGCTGGATTATACGATATCACCTTGCCAACTTTTATCGAAGGGTCCTCGGCGATAATGACAAGACACATCAGGAGCTTAAAGCCATCCTCGCCGAACTATCCACGGATCCGGAACAAGAAGATCGCGGTCTTATTTTTCAGCCATTTGCTTCAATGATGTGTGAGATCCTTTGCGACAAGATCAAAGCCGCCAGAGATCCCACTTGCAAGAAGACGCTCAAGGAGGAGCTCGAAGGTTTTATTGAATGGATAGACACAGGGGACCGTCGCTTCAAATGGATGGACACAGAGGACCATTGCTTCAGTGAGATGATATATTTGGTTCTCGTCAAGCCGTATGTCGAGGCCAAACTTCCCAACAAGGCCAAGAAAATCCTCCAGCGAAATCTGCAATTCTGCAAAGACGCACTCAGCAACAGCATTGGTGATGACGACTCGGAGGCATTTATGCTTCTCGCCAAGGTCCTGGCTCTCGCTGGAATGAGGCCCGAAGCAGAGATAGCATTGTCATGCACCTTCTCGGCCATGAGGCCAGAATTTCTTAGGAGCGAATCGGAGGACGACCCGTTGGAAGCCGCCATTAAAGCGACGCGAGGAAGGTCTCAGTATGAAGAGGATCTAGCCGATGTCTGCATTGTATGCGCTGGGAAAGATAACCGCTGGCATTGCTGGGTTAAGCCCATGTATCTCTGTGTTGACTGTATTGACGTTTGTCTATGTGAAGGCTGCCATGGAGTGAGGCTTATGCGGAATGCGCTGGATGGTGGCGATTCATCGTCGATGGGATGGATGCTGTTTTGCGGGAAGGACCATGAGTATATTCAAGGACCTGTTAAGGGTTGGGGCGGTATGAAGGATGGTGTTATGAGAATCGGGGAGCAGAAGATCAAGTTCGAGGATTGGTTGAAGAATGTTGAAGCTACCTTTCGGAAGGTAAAGTTGGCATAAGTCCAGACAGCGAAATTGTATGGCCTTGTTTGACAACTCTCAACAGTCGTACGCACGACAAGGACGTCTGAACTCAACATTTTGTGTCCATCCTCGGATAACGGAGCATTACCACTGGCACCAGACGCGAAGAAAACCAAGCTTAGGCTATCAAGTGGTGAAGCCAGGGTGGTTTTCGGACTGTTAAAACAGAATGCAACATGCTAGGATTGTCCATAGCGGACATAGAAAGAGATCTCCTCTCTAGTGCCGAGCTTCATATCATGTGCTGATGGCTTAAATGCTCCCAAATCTTCCGAAACCATTGTGTTGGACATGCCAACCCCTGAATCCAAATACAAATCCTATCTGTGCGGTCCAAACTTCGCATAGGTTAGTCTGTCTTTTGGGGCCAGGAAGGCGTGCCGCCGATCGGCAGTAAATGCTTTCCTTTCAGCGACAATGGTATTGACCGCAAGTACCGGCCTGAGTGGAGAACGGTCGAGAAAGAAGTAAGAGTATAGAAAGCCACTCAACGGGTTCGTTCTGTACCATCACTCAGCTCACTCCCAGCAGGCAGCCCAGCATCCATTTCATATGGCTGATCGTTTGGCTTTTCTGGCAGCTCCGAACGGTGACTTTCTGTTCCGTGCAGCTCGACAGGTCCGTCATTCTTCTCAGTCGAGTCGAGCTGGTGGATTGACTTCTTCTTGGTTGCTCTCCTTCGCCGCTTCGAGAAGAATACTGCCAACCCGAGAAGGACTATGGTCCCAAGAGCGGCGCCGATAGCTATTCCAGCCTTGGCCCCTACACTTAGGGCGGAAGTGGGATGTGACGAGCTCGTAGCTGAGGCCGGTAGTGTTGGCTACCTCGGGTCTTGCATCCGTGTCGTTCGGATCCATGGCGCTATATCCATCAGTAAGAAGTGAATAGAGTGTCAGAGCCCATACTTGTCGATCAGATGCAACACGCCAGTCGTGATCATATAGTCAGGATCAATGACTTTGGCGGCATTGATATAGATGGATCCATTCAGCCTTGTAACCGTCACATCCTTGCCCAGAACAGTCCGCATTTTGAGCCCATTCGTCAGATCCGTCGAGTACTTGACTTCGCCCTTGACAAAATGATATGCTTCAGGATCAAAGATATCTTGTTGTAGCATGGAATCGAAATACTCAGGGACGATGCGGGATCATGATGGGAGATTAGGTTCCCTTGTTTTGAAGATGGCACTTGGTCCCCCGAGCCTTGACAGATATGGATGAATTTCCGGACATGTGGGAGCCATCCTTTGTCGGAGAGGTTGAGAGCTACCTCGTGAAACGCTTGCTTTGCTGCGGGATTCCTTGGAGTGAGTCGGCCAAAGTCGACATCTATGCTGTTAGCTTCTTGTCCGTGCGACAGTGTTGCATGCTCCGTCGAAGTTCATCAAGATCAAACAGCCCCTGTGTATCATTCAGATCAGCTGGCGCAGCCATGGTACATGCTGGGGACAAGGATATTCAACAGAAATCATCGAGCCTTGTTCGGCTCGTGGTTGAGTTCAGGCGAATCTTGGTCGTTAGCAGCAGCCGCTCCTCGCAGATATGATAGATATAAGGATAGATCATAAGTTTCAAGTTTACAGCTGAGAATCATCTCTGAGAGCAGAGCATCGAAGCACCATCGCGCATATGGCCTTAGCGGTGTGTTCCTCAGCAACGTTGGGCTTCGATGAAGTTTGGGCTTACCAACCTTTGCGTTTGTTTCGCCGTAGTGTGGGAACCGTAAACTACGGACAAGTAAGAAGCCATCCAGGCACTAATTCACATGAAAAGGTAAGTAAGCCGGGCCCTGTTATGAATCTCCCTGATGAATGTCTCGTCCAATTCCTCTTCAGTAAGGTGGACGTTCGCGTAGTATCGCCAACGCCTTCCTCATTCCCTTCCAGCCTCGGATCCGATCGGAGTCTTTGATGAAATTCAGCTGAAAGTGAACCACCTCATCACAAAAGAACGGATCTACCATGCAACAGCAAAGCTCCGGGCCTTGGCCGACGGACTACACTCATCTCATTCTACCAAGCAAACAGGCACTGCCCATGTTGCTATGAACGAAGATAGTTGCGACCGATCTTCAGGCTACCCAGATGATGATCTTTCAGCGCAGCAGGTTTACTTCCGCACCTATTGGAGCAACCTGCCACCAGACAGACCTCCTTCTCTAAGCCCCACGCCGCCGCCAGAACTTTGCCTTGCTCCATCTGGGCATGTGCCGCAGAAAATATCGAGAAACGCTGTTGAAAGCCACACGAAGAAGAGACGGACAGGGCGGACAAGCAAAAGTGGAAAAGTGGCAAAGGCTAGGTTCCGATGCCACGAGATGATAACCAGGTCTCGAGCCAGACTTAACGAACGATTCGTCAGGTTGATTGAAACTAAACGGCGGCCTTGAGAGTCCTCGCCTGGTCTGACCACAAACCAACCACGGTCAGCAGATAGTCTTCGCTGAGTCTGTATCGACATAACTCGTACATGTTCCATCTCAAACAAAACCCCGGCAGTGAAACCAAACGGACAATGAGGTCTCCAACTCTCAGTCGCTTCAACGTTGGCGCTGCACCAGACCTGCGGCCGACAAAGCAGCTCTTGCAGATCTGGCGACTGCAGAAGGATGCGGTCGGTTTTCGGACCGACCCATCAGGACCGCGGTTTCGATCTGGCTGCTGCCGCATTCGATGGCCGCATCAGACGAGTCCCGCGGTAGCTGATGCGGCCGACATTTGCGCTGTGTGTCGCCTGCGAAACGAGGCTACGAGTTCAAACCGAAGTGCGGAATTTCACCCCACCGCCAGTCACGTACCTATGCAATAACCCAGCCTGGGGCGAGGAGCACCGGTAGAGGGCTGGACATCATCGAGCAAGAATGTTAACCAATTTCACCCTTGGCCCGGTGAACAGGACTGAACAGGTTTGCGTCTGATCGGGCACTTGAGCAACCATTACCGGATGTTTGATGGATCTATCAACTCTGGCCCGCAGAGAATCCAGCAAGACCCGTTGGATTGAGGAACATCATTATCCGCCAACATCAGCGCGGCTGGCACTCTACGATTACGTGCTGGAACTCCTTGGGCCGTTGTGCTGCTGGGTGTTTGCGCTCGTCGACCGATCCTATTGCCGAGACATGAAATACACGGCTCCATATTCAGGCAACATCGGCCCAGTGTAGCACCATAAAGATACATCCTATCCTCCTCCAGGGTTCCCATATCAGCGGCTATCATGTTGACTCATCCAGACTTCGACACCCTGCACACCCAGTCGTTGGCGAAGTTTTCAGCCCGGCCTCAATCCCCCATGATCGTTTTTTGAAGAGCAGTAATGCGCTAGACCTTGCCGAGTCAACGCCTAGGGCATGACTCAGGCTCTGGAGCAGCCTTTACCACGACTGGCACATCTAATCTGGATGTTGAAATTGGGCTCTGACTTGCTCTATTTTCTCTTATGGTGCCGCATAAGGGTTCTCAAAAATTCAGACTTGGCGCAATGGTCTAAGCCGTAGGGCTGATGATGCAAGAAAGATATCTTAGGAATGTGTACGTACATTCCAACGTGGCGGTATTCATGATTGGGTGTCAACATTCCCTTTCAAGAATCTTCTTGAAGCCTACGCAGAGCCTTCCAGATCCTCAGATCGAATGGACATACAAGTCGCTGATCGACAGCATAACGGAGGGTTTTGCTTGACTCTCTCGGAATTCTAGATGCAATAGCATCGACGGATCTACATACTCTCCCAGCAGCAAATAAGAGTACGACTGCTGTTTATTGAGGGTGGCTTCGGCAAATCGACACCCTAATATCGCCGCCAGCGCTCCACTTCGATCTTCAACAGTGGCTACTAATCATTATGGCCCCCGTCACCCGCCGTCGAAGTGCCTCGTCAACACCCCGCACGAAAGTCATCACCAAAAGTGCCGCTGATATCAATACTGCGAATACTATCGATGAAGCATTCTCGGAAGAAGAAGTAGCAGCGAACGCAGAGCATATGTCAGGAAGTCATGTTCTAATCGACATCAGATCCGCAGATGGGCTTTTCAGCAGTGGAGACTGGTTGTCGGAATCTATTGCAGCACTATTCTTTTCGCTTTGATATTTATTGCTCTCGGCCTCTTCGGTATCTTCACCACCGTCAAGCATTTTCCAGGCGCCCTTACGAACTCAAGAGGCACTGTTGGTTCTCATCACAATGCTTGGGACCTTTCCAGCAGATTCATGGCGAAACACAACCGTAGCGACATCCTGCCCGAACTTGATAATTCCATTCTGGATGTCCACAGCGTGCTACTGCAGCTGAACGAATCTACTGCCGACCTAGTCCATTGGGCTAGCTATTATACCACGATCGGCATCGCAAAATCAACCCGGAGACGAATCCATTGATGGCTTCATATTATACCAGTGCATACACGCGATCTGGAGACACTGGAATGTCAGATAGACGACCACATTGTATACTATCATTCCAAAATCCACCTCGCTGGAAAGAGATTGGCCTGGCTGATCAATGACATTGTTTTTCAACTACAAAGATCGGATCTTGCCATAAACGCGCTGGTCCTCACTGGCAAAGAGTCGACCAATCCTGGCTTCGAGCGCAATGGCGTTGACAGATACTTCCAGTGGATGATCGCGGAGACAAGCAGTCTGTTCAACTCTTCAACTCTATGTCGCCTAGAGCTTGATTCATTGGCGCCCATCTTGGAGGATATCGACAGTGCACGTCCGAGCATCCTGCAACGGCGGGGAATGATGCCCTGGTGGTCGTCTTATTGGGATAGACTTTGGCAGTCAGGCCCTCGGCAAAATGTCATCTTCATTACGGTGATCGCATGGCGATTGAGACAAGACAAGCTGTTCAAACTGTCTCACACGTCGCCAAGATATTCGGCACAACATTACAAAAGCTGGAAACTGCGCAGTCAGTCTATCGAGAGGGCAATCAAGTAAGCTACGACGGTGACAAATCGCGAACCATTTTTGGACGCTTCCCTGTATCCATCAGAGGTCAAATGTTGGCTGGAGAACTACAACAGCTACAAGGACAGCTATTCGACGTTTTACGTCGCTTGGTGGCACTCGCACAAGGGGGAGAATCTACACAGAATTTTCGGAAAATAGCTGCTTTTGCATAGCATCAAATCCGACGGCGTGATATGTGCAGTCGAAGTACTACTCTGGTACAGCGCGTCGCTTTCGGAATGGGTACATGTGTTCGGTCCTGGCTTGTGGCTCACCGACCAACGCTCACCCTTGACTTCTCTTTGTTTGCAGGCTTTGTGCTCCCGCTGCCTACACAGGCATGGTACCTTGATCATTATGACTCCTGCTTTGTTCCTCTGGTTATCTTTGTTTGTCATCCACTCATCAAGGGCAGCTACAATGGTCTCACTGCTACCTTTGTTTCATACGACAGCCTCCCTTTCCAGTTGATCATTGCTGCCTATGGAACACCCAGCAAGAACATGACTAGTCAAAAATTCAGCTCTCACTTGCCAACTCTCCAGATTCTACCATTTCAGCCTTCGAGCGACTAACGGCAGGCTGTACCGGTACGCGACCCACCGAACAAGAAATACCTGAACCGACACGACAATGGTGGCGAGCAGAGATCTACTAGATGCTTATACATTACCAGGGCTCCCTATCACAGCTGCCGATGAAGACGTACGACGCCAGTGGAAGAAATTGGTTCTCCATTGGCACCCAGACAAGAATCCAGATCGTGCGGCAACTGCCATGACTCAAAGACTGTGCAGTTCACACGAGAGAATCATGGAGCGCCATGAAAGATGCGACACAAATCACGATCCCCGGCCTGAAGATTTCCGTAACTTATACTACGCCTTGCGTTCATCACCCTGGACTGGAATCGCACTTACCATGATTCCCTACCTCATTGTGGAATTCTTCCGCAGCAATTATTCATCGGTGGCAGACACTACTGGCTATTTATTTCAGCACAGAGTTGTACTATGGCCAATACTACCGCGTCTTTGAGGAGATCCATGGCTTGCTCATCATCTATCGAACAGTACCAAATCAGAACCTTGCTCATCTCGAGCCAGGGCACTTACCTTATGGCTACGACTACTTACTTGTCCTGGAGGATCATTGACGCCATACAAGGACATCCTTTCGGCAGTGCCTGAAAGGCACAATGCCCGAGACTCTTGGAGCACACTGATTCTTGCGGAGGCCATTCGCCGTCGCTGCCACCCAGCCATGTGGCTACAGGTTATGCTGGAAGATCGGACACGCAAGTGTCGAGGCGTGCGATGTTGGAGGTGACGCGAGCACCTGCTTTGGATAGATTAACCGAAAGATATTCAGCACAAAATCGAAATATTACTCTACTATGGGGTATCAAGGCTATCATTCATATGTATAGTTGTGTCATCAAGGTTCGCTGTCTCACATCTCGTCCTCGTCTGATTGGACTGTGCCCTCCAGCACTTGCCATTACGTAGCCCAAGTCATGCAATTGAAGTTCTTGTAAGATGCTTGCTCGGTTCCTAGCGGCCCTTCACAGAATGTGCTCTTCCTTTATCTCGCAATCTCCGTACACAGTGTTAACTTGGTTTACCGAGGTAGAAAAAGATTTCGTATTCTTGCCGCTTCGTTGAAGTTTCTCGTGCCCGCGGCATCGCTAGCCGCGCAGTCCAGCAGTCCAGCACTTTCGCATCCAAGCGCATGACACCAGTCCCAGAAGCTGACAGGACTCTCGAAGCAGAATGGCTATCATCTTGAAGATGTTTTCGATCGCATCACAGCTACGTATCGTGTCTGAGCTTGACGCGAGCACCTCAAATTGCCTGGATTTCGTGGCGTTCAAACCTTGATACCCGCTACTCTCGAGCTCTTCACATGTGAAGTGCTACAACCAATTCGGTGCACAACTTCTTCTCTCTCCCTCTCCCTTTTGCTCGGACGCTTCAAGTCACCAGTACTTCACATTTCGTCTTGGTTACATAGCCCTTCACCAGTTTCATGTTTGTGCGCTAATCGGCTTGCGTCGAGCCATAGAAAAGTGGCCGCGAACACATTCCCACCCAGTGACTGCACGTTTGTCATCTAAGCACCACCCAAAGTCCTTCCCATTTCCTCGCCTCGACTCGTTGCTGCTTTCACTGCCTTGTCTACAATCTCCCTGAACCCGGACGCCTCAAAGCTCTTCAACGCTGCATCGGTGGTTCCATTCGGACTGGTCACATTCTTACGAAGCTGAGCTGGTTCCTCAGGAGACTCGACCAGCATCTTGCCAGCACCAGAGCAGGTTTGTATAGCAAGACGTGTGGCCTGTTCCGTCGAGAGCCCTAGGCTGGTTGCACTGGCTATTAGGTGTTCCACCATGGCAAAGAAGTATGCGGGCCCAGAGCCTGATCACACTTGCATAAGTATGTGTTACATCGTTCCGTGACTTGATGACTCACCAGATAGTCCAGTAACGACATCGAGCAGTTCCTCCTTGTCTACCCATTCGGTTGCTTTGCTGACACTACCGAGAAGTGCGGTCACCAAGTCTTTCTCATCTTGAGACACATCATGGCCTGCAAACACTCCTGATGCACCTTCTCCCACCAGAGCGGGCGTGTTCGGCATGACACGAACCACATGTGGTGTACGTCCATCCGCAAGCTTCAGCCACTCCTGAAGGCTCTTCAGTGTAATGCCCGCGGCAATGGAAACAATCAGCGGAGTGCTTTTGCGCTGTGTCCAGGCATTGCCGAGCTCTTGACACACACTCTTAGCAACTTGTGGTTTGACGGCGAGGATGACTATATTAGCGGCCTCTGTCGCGTCGACATTAGAAGTAGTAGTTTTCACCCCAATGGCCGTCATCTTGTCTCGGTTGACGTCCCAGGGCTCGGAAACAAAGATGTTTTCCTTGTTGATATCCTTGGCCAGCAATCCGCCAATGATGGCAGCGGCCATGTTGCCACCGCCAACAAAGGCTATCTTCGACGCTTGTAATTCCGAAGTCATCTTTTCAAGCTTGGTGCTTCGTCTTGTTGTTGGGCTGTTGTTCGCTCTCACGGACAAAGATGGCGGTTCTAGCTGATCCGTGCATGTCTCGGCGAGTCATTGGTGCCAAGACCATCCTCATCGGCCCCTTGCAAGCCGGCAAGAATATGGGTACGTCTGAGCGCATTCCCATGCTTCTTGCCGAGTAGAATAGGACATGTTAGAGTCATTGAACTTGACGCACTATTCGATGTCTCCAAGTACGACGGTGCGCTTGCCTGGAAAGGTTCAAAACGGAAGCCGGGGTAGCAGTAGCAAAAAAGGAAGAACGGCGAAACCAAGTCATGAAGATACGGGTGAACACGAAGTTATGTCGATCCGGGAAGAATCCGAAGAGAACGGAGATATCCAACCCGGACGAAAAGATAGAACTAAGGTCCGAGATTACTGACACTGTACACTGAACGCGAGGGAGCCAGTCAATGCGCTGTCAGGCAATTCCACTTCTCCCACTTCTCCCACAGTCTTGTGCGTGCAGAAGGGCCAACAGCCTGGGTAAATGAGACTAAGATCTACCCTCGATGGCTGCCAAACTCGTGAGCGCAAAAATCTTCCCAACAAAAATGCTTGTGCCTATGTACCAGCATGCTCAACCGGCTATCACGACAGCGAGACTTCTCATGAGTATGCTCATGAATATGAGCGACCAGTAACTGTTGATTCTAGAAGGATTGCTCGACTTGTCCAAGATCACGACGATGGACGCAGGCAGCCAAGGAACGTCATTCTAGGCGTATTATGAGTTGCGCAGCCTTTGCAAGGCCAAGAAGCCATGCCGGGCGTGCTTGGCCGTCCGTCAAGATGTGAACGTAGTCCCGTATTAGGTCTTCTCTTTCTTCATGAGATTGGATCGTATCACCTTTCCAAGGCATGAAGGACGGAGGTCGGTGGTGGTCTTGGTACCAAAGGCAGGGCGTCCAAAGGGCAGGAGGACATCGGTATGCTGTTGCAAGCTGACAGTTTCTCGTAAGGAAAGTACAGGCCAAAGACAAGATGTAACAGTTGGTCTGCGGCCACAGCTTGTTTTGGGGAGCTCGTCACCTCCATGGCGTGTGACGCTCACGAGTCTTTCTTGTAGGCATCTTGGTGTTAAGCAATACAAACCCCCATAACGGGTCTTAGCTTTTCGAGATATCCTCCACTGCACCGAGTGGAAGGGATGCTCTCAGTGCGAAGGTTGAGAGTGGTCAACTTCTGCCAGTTGTGGGCTGTGGGGATCGAATACTGGTTGTTGTTTGCAGGAGCGCAGGTGGGCCAATTGAACCGCGCGACTCGAGGGTCTGACTTTCAGACAAGACAGATACTTCTGGTCCAATGTAGCTCATCGCTAGGACATGGAGACTGAACGCAACATTGGACAAATGTGCCGTAGCGAAGTGTGGCAGTTTAGATGCGGGAACGCGAACAACGTCCAAAGAGTGCAGCTCAGTGTTTTGGGAAACTGCGCCTCGTCGGACCTCGGCTACCGGAAATCATTTCCAGCCGGTCCCCTGCGGTGCATCCCAAACGTTGGGCTGATGGTTCGCCAAACTCCAAACACTCAGTTCTGCGATGCAGTTCGATGAGGGACCTACAATGTCCCTTCTAGTGGCATACGGTCCGCGTGAAGCACGGCTACGCGAACCAAGGCTTCGCGACTGACCACTTTTTCTTCCGATTGGTCTCCTCACATACCCTCCTACTCTGCGATTCCTTACCGAGACACTACCCCGAGGTCGGTTCGCAAGCTCATGGTGCGCCACAGAGACCCAAGCTGAAGCGCATGATTTCTCGCGGCTCGAGCACATAGAGACATGCCCAATGTTCCAGACTTCTCCGACCCAGAGTTCTTCCTGCCGCCCTCTGACGAAGAGGTGGATGGTATTGTCATACTCTCCCCACAACGAGACCGAGAAGTCTGAGCCATTCCGCAGCGCAGTGAGACGAGCGAGGACGTGAATCTCCTCGTGAATGTGGTAAGCGGCGGCTAAAGATCATGAGAAGGACTTTCCCATTATGTCCGCAGAATATGGTCTCTAGCAGAGCTATTTGCCATATCCTTGGCCGCACTGAAACAGTTGACGTTGAGCTGAAGTTGCAGGACCGATCATCAGCACATTCGCCAACAGGATGCACACCATCTGTGCCGTCCCGTACCTGCGACTTGCACCCACCCTGACTCCAAGCCTCGTCTCCCCGCGACGACACCACAACCGAGCGCACGGCGAGACCAACTAAGGGGGCCATGCGTTTGCGCGAAACATCTGAGAAGAGCAGGATCAGGAAGCGCTGTCCACACCTCGCTTCCACATGGTTCGGCCTACACTTGGCCTCGACTGCACCCACTTGTCAACGAGTCACCATTCCCTGTCAGAGCCAGGCACGGTCCCTGCTTCGGCTCCAGAAGAGGTGAACTGTGATCACATCCGAGAGTGGAGGTCTCGCTGACCTCTTGTCGTACTTCTGCATACCTTGCTCGTATGCTGCCTGCCTGTCGTCTGCTTGCTTTCATACCGGATCCCGCTCACCAGGTTAACACTGACTATGACGCCTTTACCATGGATGTTGGTGTCAACCTTCCCTGTGTCAGGTTTGCAGACCACAGTGTTCCAGCTCAACCCTTTGCCTTGCCTACTTGACTAGCTGCATTGACTCATTATGAGCTGCATGGTCCGATCTCGCACCTCTTCGGGCGCTGTCTGCGAAGTTGATGTTCAACATAGCATCAGCTTTCAAACTCTTGTCGTCGTGACGGCCTAGTAACATCTCACGCGTACTGTGTCAGCTCTTGTAATCCGTCATTGTTACCTCGTCCACTGTAGCAGACATGGAGGAGCAAAGCCGACCGATAACATCGGAGTATGGTCTACGCCAAGCTCATGATGGCGCTGACTAATTCGCGGCAATGTCCAGCATTCCGTCCAACATCCCCCTTCCACCATCGATGGACATCTACACAGTATCTTTCAACCACATCATCTATTTTCCCAAAGATCAACACATCACTGAAATCTTGAGTGCTCCCGCCATCGAATTGCTGGTTTCCGCTATATCGGTACAAGAGTTTAGCAGTTTGTGGAATCAATTGTATCTACCATGTCCTCACCGCCATTCCACGATTGGAATCTCCAGCTGGGCACTTCGTACGTTCGGCAGGCACTTGCTTTTCCTACAACTCCTGCATGTCTCAATGGTTTCCACTGGAATGCCACTCCCTGGATCCAGCCTGTTACCATCGAGACGCTTCCGTCCACATCTACAACCGGATACGTTCACAGGTGCGTCCCGACATTAAGTTCGGAGGACCTTTGCCCCAGCTATACGAATTCGGTGCGGATGGAAGATATGGCAATCCAATCCCACGCGAGGTCCGGCTGTTACTGGTGTTCCCTTATCTTGAGGACGAGTTCTTTGAAGAAGCGAGATTGCGTAAATGGATGGATCAAGTGGTGATCCCTGCGATTTCGCAATCCATACGGGGATCAACATACCAATACTTCCGTCACAGCAGCGTCGAAATGATCCGTTTGAACAGTCAGGCCGCTCGTGTGGAAGGTATGAGAGACGTGCCTGATACGGAGCTTGACTTTCGCCTCCAACCGGAAGAACTGGAGTCCGCGTGGAAGGAAATTCAATGCAAAAGTGAGACGCCAGGATTTGAAGAGTTCCGCGGAGTTCGTCCAGTAATCTGGGCAAACTACTATCCGCTGAATATTTATGGAAACTCACCAGAAGCGGCTTTTCAGCAGTTCCTTAAGAGTTGGAATTCAATAATGAGAATGCAGCATATTCCTCGAGACTCATTCTACATCGAATTTGATACGGACGGACGTCTACACCCGGAAGTTGCTCCTTCAGACAACCCAAGCATGCCACAGCCTTTCTCCGAGCAGGTCTTAGGGAAGAGGAAATCAGAAGATGTGTGAGGTGCCTAGGAGGAGCTATGAGAGAGGTATTCTGGCTCAGATGTGAACGTCGCCAAGACATTCCTGATATAAAGAAATCTGGCTCATAAGAAACCGTGACGGCCTTACCATCTCGAATGTCATTATCTGCTACACCGCCATCCTTTACTCTCTACACGATTTACGCGCTTCCTCAGCCCAATCAAACCCTCAATTTCGGCAGCAAGACCAACTCATCAGGATTGGCATTCAACCTCTCCAACACACGATAATGGTCCACGGTCGCAGGATCAACAAAGTCGAAATCGAAATAATGTACTAGTACCGCCACCACCAACGTCATCTCGAAGTATGACACATTCCTGCCTATACACGCGCGCGGTCCCGTACTGAAGGGGACGTGATATTTCTTCATCAGTGCTAAGTTGTCAGCACTCTCTGGATCGGTCCATCTTTGAGGCCAAAACCTTTCCGGCTCGCGGAAAATTCCCTTGTCATGGAGTATCGAGTAGGTAGGCACGCTCACGCTCGTACCGCCTGGGATGAATTGCCCGGCAATCATCTTGCCACCTGCAGGAACCTCGCGGGGGAGTCCGAAGGCGGATGAGGGACGCAGACGGAGCGTCTCGTCGATACAGGCCCGCAGGAAAGGCAACCCGGCCAAGGAGTCGAATGAGGGAACGCGCGTTTCCTTCAAGGCTGTGAAAACAGGCGCAATTTCCTGCCGAAGTCTGGCCAGAAATTCTTGATGTCTTGGCTGACTGAGGAGCCAGATGCAGTTCGTGAGCGCTGTCGAGGTAGTGTCAGAACCAGCATTAATCATCCCTGAACACTCTGCAAGAATCTCGCCGATCGGTAAATTACGGCGTTGGCCGTTCTTGTCATGTTCGACCTGTGAAAGGAAGTGTGTCGGCGGTGTTTCGCCGGCCTCGAGGTTGGTGAAGGTGCTTAGACCCTGGTTCACGAAGTGTCGGACGATGTCCTCGAAGCGCTTGGCCGAGCTCGACAATGGATGTAACTTGAAGATAAAGCCGCGGATGGAATGCAGTGCTGGGATGTAACCAACGGGAACCGTCATTCGCATGCTGTCGTGCAATGACTGGATCATCGGTGCCGTGTAGATCCGGCCGTCAATGGTTTCCGCTTGAACGTTGTCATTACCTTGCTCAAGTGTCCTAGCTGGTTGTCCGAACATGATGGCGGTGATGACATCGATGGTAAAGTAGTTGACATATCGCCGGATATTGATGGACGATGATGATTGAGCTGCTTTCAGTACTTGCTGGAAAAGGCAATCAACGCGCTCGGATATCAGAGGCTCCAGCTGCGCAATGCTCTTCTGCGAAAAGATATGCGCCATCCTTTTCCGTTTGGATTGGTGTTCTTCTTTTGAGCGAGTGTCGGCCATGGTACGAACTTCACCAGCACCACCGTCGTACCAGTTGTCTTTAAGGCAATTGGCGCCATGGCCGTATATTTCATCTACCGCTTCTGGTGCAACGATCGAGATATGATTCGGTGCTATCCGGACATGTGTGCCTAGTCTATCGTGTGCTTTGTGAATTTCTGCAAACTGGTTCAGGCGAAAATTATGATACTGGAGAATGTTAGCTTCAAGCAGTCGGAGCACGTTTGGAACCGGTCTTACAATTCGCCATAACGGGCTCAGAGCGGCAATGAACGAGGGAGCCGGAAATCTGCGGAGACCCCTGAGGGCAAAGAAATACACCCAGAAGGGATAGAGAAGTGAGAATGAGACTAGGGCGATGATGAATGTTGGGAGCAGCATGTTGATGGAGGTTGATGATTGAGATGGTGGCTGACCGTGGTCGCAACATTCAGAGTTCAGGCATTTATCCCAGGGCTTGCCTACTGTCTGTCGGACATCTTACTGTCCCAACATCCGAAAACTACAGCCTGTTCCACTGAAAGCATCTCACTCGGCGCATTCAAAGGCCCCGACTTCCGCAGAAAGCAAATGCCGCCGTCGTGGCATCGGGCCGGCATGGACAAAGTGTGTCAAAGAGCAAAAGGCATACCTCATCACCAAAGGACGTCGGATATGCACATCCATACTGGGGAAGCATCCGAGCTTCGGACTTCCATCCTCATCGGTTTTCGGATTCCCAGTTTAGGTCTTAACACCCGATCGGAGATCGCAGTCTGGATTTGGTCAAGATATGGTAGATTTGATCCACACATGGTTGTGGGGTGGTGCTCCACAGCAGCTATCGGTCGCATATTTGAAGGCCTCGTCCCCAGAGATTTTATTGAAAGCTCCAGGGACGATTTCACACCACTCTTCAGTGCAGTCCAAAGGCATCATGGACTTTCTCAGACGCAAAGACGCACCCAAGCTCCCGGGGTCCAAGAGACCAGCAATTCTGGTGGGCGCCTTTGCCGCTATCGGCGGTATTGTAAGTTTTCAATTGTGTTGGAGAGCGTGGATGAGTGACTGACGTTGATGCTCAGCTTTTCGGGTATGATACAGCCTCCATCTCTGGAGTCGTGGCCATGGATGCGTGGATCAAGACCATGGCAACACACACCGACGCAAACGGTGACCCTGTGGTGACAACCGGCGAGATATCACTTGTCGTCTCGATCTTGTCAGCAGGCACATTCCTGGGTAAGTCAACAATGACACCAAAGAGTCTCTACTGATATCAAGTCAGGCGCATTGCTATCAGGGCCTCTGGGTGACAGACTTGGTCGTCGATGGGGGCTGATTGTGTCCTGCTTCGTGTTTTGTGTCGGAGCTGCGCTGCAAACTGCCGCCAGTGGTCTTCCCCTCTTTATTGCCGGCCGTGTGGTGGCAGGTTTGGGTGTTGGCCTTGTGTCAGCTCTTGGTAAGATCCCTGCATGTTATTACATCAAATTTTGTGCATTCTGACCAGCCGCTACAGTGCCACTTTATCAGTCAGAGTCGGCTCCGAAGCAGATCCGCGGCACCATAGTGGGATGCTATCAACTTTGCATCGTAAGTACTTGAAATCCGTTAGGCCGGAGAAAGCTTACACCGAGAAGAACATTGGCTTGATTCTTGCTGCCGTAGCCAACAACTCGACGGCTTATCGCGAGGACAAAAGTGCGTATCGTATTCCGGTCGGTATTCAGATTATTTTCGGAGTTGCCCTGGCTCTGGGCATGGTATTTTTGCCAGAAACACCAAGATATCTTATCAAAATTGGCAAGACCGACGATGCACTTGCGTCTCTAGGCTTCCTTCACGGCTTGCCTATCGACCACGCCATCATCAACCAAGAATACCGAGAGATCTTGGCCAATCTTGAGTTGGAGCGTGCGAAAGGAGGAGCATCCTACCTGACTTGCTGGAGGCCACCGTTCCTCAAACGTCAAATCACTGGCTGTGTGTTGCAAGCACTCCAACAGCTATCAGGCAGTAAGTGATCCCAGAGGTTGGCAGCGTGTATGCTTACTAGTAACAGTCAATTTCATCATCTACTACGGCACTCGATTCTTCCTTACCAGTGGCATCAAAGACCCCTTTCTTATTACGATGATCACAAACATTGTGGCCTTTGTGTCAACTATTCCAGGACTTTACCTTGTTGAAACCATGGGTCGACGCAACCTTTTATTGGCTGGAGCCGTGGGCATGACTGTGTGCCAGGTGATTGTCGGAGCCGTTGGTGTCTCTACAGATTCCCAGGTCTCCAACATAGTGTTGATCGTCTTCGTCTGCTTCTATCTATTCTTCTTCGAATTCTCCTGGGGACCGTAAGTGAGCCTACAAGATTGGCCAAGCAGCTGCTGACACTGGTTTAGTTGTGCTTGGATTGTGACGGGAGAAATCTTCCCATTACACATTCGTGCAAAGGCCTTGTCGATGACAACGTCCAGTAACTGGCTGTTCAATTTCATCCTAGCCTTCGTCACACCTTATATGGTCGACTCCGGCCCCGGCAATGCTGGTTTGGGCGTTAAGGTGTTCTTCGTATGGACAGCTTTCTGCCTTATTGCAGTCGTTTTCGTTTGGGCACTTATTTATGAGACGAAAGGTCTCAGCTTAGAACAGGTTGATGAGCTCTACAACCTTGTCGATAAGGCGTGGAAGTCACCTGCCTACAAGAGAAGAGGTTCTCTAGCTGTTGGGTCAGAAGCAACATGGCAAGGAGAGACCAAGGAACACGGTGACGGGTATCACCAGGAGATTGAGGAGCCGAAACACTGAGCTGGGCGTAGAATCACAGAGGGGGCAATAGTGTAGAAGGAAAATTTGATCATAGATTGATAGTACGATGGGAAAGTCGATAGGCTTGTTGATGCAGAGATGATGAAGAGGGCTTCTCGTATCGTAAAAATGAGAATGAAGTGCAGAGTGCAAGATTTCAGATGATTGTTTGCTCCTGGCACTGGCCTGCATCGACTCTAAAGGCCAGCATCAAAACGTCCAAGGTGTTACTAAGTTCAAGTTGTCAAGGCACGAAGCAATTTACCGGTTAGATTTTAAACTAACATAATGGTGACCTAGGCCAAGCCATCCTCTTCTCCCCATGAGGGTCAATCCGAAAGATGTTCGGATATAGCTGTCCTATTTAAGATCTTGCCGACATCCAGACAACCCCGAGTAAATCTCTTCCCCAACCTTCCAACTTTCCGGGGGATGAAAATGAAGCACGTTTTTTCGGTAAACAACTCGGACTCTATCAGACCGAAAAGGTCGCTCAAGGCATGTTTCCAATGCCGAAGGCGAAAGCAAAGATGTATTCGACCCAGCGACGACAAGAAAGCGTGCAAGAATTGTACGAAGCGAGGTATCGACTGCAGGTATGGCGGTTCCAATTCTATATCTGGCAGGAAAGTATCCTGATCTTCTTCCAGCAGCAACGCCCCTCCCAGCAGATTAATCTCGACTTCCCCGACGTATAAATTGCGTGCATCGAATTATGACTCTTTGTCCGTTGCTTCGGATGTACAACCAGTAGACCATCTATCGCCAGTCGAAGAGGATTCTGGTTCCGAAGAAAATGACTCAGAACGAAGAGACGTCAATCGATCTTCACAGATGTCTCGATTTGTCGGCCATCTCAACCCAGAAACGCATTTGCTGGCTCGAACTCGACCAAATTCTCCGGACTCGTGCCAGCAGATCGACCATTTGGGAATCTGGTTCTCGGAAGATACCAACAACTCTGCCAGAGCGTGGCCTAGAGTTGCAGCCTCGATGAAACGCTATCTCAGAGTTATCCACGACTTTGAAGTCCCGGACGACGGAGTCTGCGAAGCTTTGAGTGATATCTACTTCGCAACGATTCATCACTTCATCCCGTTGGTTGACGAGCGCGCCTTTCGGCTGGCAAGAAGGAGCAACAGCTTGTCGATTGCTTTGATGCTTGCGGTCATACTTGCAGCATGTAGAGACCATCGTGCAAAGCCATTCCTACGGTTTGCCAGTAAGGACCAACTCCTGCAACCTCGGGAATTTGCGCAGCGGGTTTATACGCATCTGACAAGCCTCCTCAAAGCCAATGCCGAAAAGGACAAGATTACTCTGATACAGGTCCACGCACTTATGTCGCTACATTGCGAGGGACCAACTGGTAACGAAACAGCGTCATTGAATCTGATGACCGCGATCCACCACCTTCAGGTACTTGGTATGCATCTTCCTCGTGCCGATGAGGCGGACAAGAGTGGAGCTTTCTCTCGAATCTTTTGGTGCATCTGGTCTCTCGACAGACTGAATGCTGCCTTCAACGGTCGCCCGACTATCATACACGAGCGCGACATGGCTCATAGAGCAGCATTCACCTGTACGGCACATGAAAGGCAGAAATGGGCTGCGTTCCTGATCTGGCTCAAACTGACTGATCTTCTCGACAAAACAATTGCGTTCTACAGACCTGGCGCGGATCCCACATCTACAGGCTGGGAGACAGGGTTCCCCAGCTTCGAAGAACTCATAGCTGAGGACGCTCAACGCATTCCATCTGACATTATCTGTAAGTCTGGGGTCTTAAAGCGGTATATGCACGTGCTGATCTTTCGTGGACTCGCTTGAAATCTACTACCACGCCATTGCAATTCTTACATCACGATATCGAGATTGGAACCCTGTCACAGCCTCAAACGCTGCTTCAATCCGGCAGGCTCTTTCCACCCTTCGAATGCTGCAGCTCGTTGACGAGGTCGCTCTCTCGGAGCTCCCTCCTTTGCCCATCATACCATATACAATGACACTCTGCCTCAGCGTCACGTATCGGCAATGCAGAACCCCGGGCAGCATTCCGACGTTCAATCGAGCCAAACGACAACTCAGCGCAGTGTACCATGTACTGGAAGAGCTGGCTGCTCAATGGTGGTTTGCTGAGGCCATGGCAAAGCTGGGCAGGAATGTGATGGCCAAGCTCCGAAGCCACAGCCATTACAACTCTCAAAGGTTGGAGAACAGCCTAGGCGGAGATCAGATCATATACGACGCAATCACTGCCGAGCAAACTAGATCTCGTCACACTACATTCGAGGGCCACGCGTCAAGATCATCGGATGCTGGAATTGTCAACAATACTGAACATTCACTTCCAAATGATATCGGCGCTGTTCAGGGTCTAGATACTCAGATTGTTGATGGTGGAAGACCCTCCCGCGATTGTCAAGAGATACCATTATCAATCAAGGAACCCACGGCCCAAGTAACGCAGGGAATTGTCGATAATGACATCGACTACGACTGGTTTCTACTAGACTCGATCCCGAACTTATTGTACCCCGAGAGTGGGATGGCAGACACGCTATTTAACGACGTAAGTATGTTCGACGGTTTCGAGACCCTGCCTTCTACTTAGGGATGACTGGAGTGGTCAGCACTACGTGTCAGCTATTGCGCCATATTACGACTCCGGAAGTGGATAGGACGTGGTACCGTGTCAATCAGTATACTGTGAGGACTGCAGAACGTAGTAGTGACATAGATACCGCATAGGCAGGCAGACCAGGCTCCGACGCTGCGCTGCAAAGGGATGCTTGGCTCCCGCTCGCGGCTAAGTGCACGTTGCAGGGTAAGGAGGACGAGGCTGCTTGTGCTCAGGCCTCGATCAATAGATTGGGCAGGCGATGAGAGCACGCAAAGCTTCTAAAGGCGGCATTGTCTAGGCAGAGACAGACAGATCAGGTTGGATCCGGAAGCGTAGGTATCGCATCGTGATAGCTCCTATTCGTCATTAAGACCATTCTCAGTGACCAGGAGATCCTGCCCAGTACTGTATAGAAGCACACAATCGATTCGGCCATTTGGAAGGGGTCCGTCTCGGAGATGCTCCAGCTCTCTGCACCTCCAAGGTGCAAAGCAGGACCTGATATGCCCTTGAATTTCTTGTGTTCGTTTGGGTATGGAGGGAATGGCAAGAGCTAGAAGTACTGCCAGCGTTCCGTGCATTCTAAACCGAAGAAGGCAAAAAGCTTCCGACCATAGCGCAACCACACTCTTGTCGATCTGGACGCCTAGATACCTGACCTCACGGACCGAATGCTTGCGGTATGCGAGGCGATTGTTGCTGAACAATCATCTCCCCTTTCGTGTGGGTGGTGGGTTTGTGGGTCAACTAAGCCGCCTACCGCGGCTATGAGTCCCTGATCGAGTTGATTCGTCAAAACCATGCACGTAAGTCAAAGTTTGCCTCTTGACACCTACTCAGACGAAAAGATTATTGCTCCGAACTTTGGCCAATGCAGCAGGCTTGCGTATTTGAGGCGATATATCTGCTGATGAACCCTTGGTCCTCAGTAAGCGGTACCGGCGCCTACGCATGTCAGCTGGCCAAGAACGTCTTTCACGCTGGCAAAGTCATAACGACAGTGTCCACCGCCAAAATACCCAGAGTCCCAGAACTAACTACTCGGCAAAGGCGTCGTCGACCAAGGCACGTTTACAACAACGACGGTTATGTCTGATCGAGTGGATCGTGCTGACGCATTCTCACAGTGATTGACTATACGAAAAATGACCCCATGAAGGTTATTCCTCCCGGCTCCGTCGACTTTATCCTCGACACCACGGGCGAGTCAATGCGCTTTCTATCCCTCATGAAACCTTCGACCAGTTTCATTGCCTCAATAGCAACCATGCCGTCAGGCGATGTCCTCCAGAATTCGCCCCTGATGCGGCGACCAGATAGACCACAACTGCCCTGGCTCGCTCGCATCGGTCTCAATGTTGCCGACTTCATTCGAAGAGCTCGGGCGAGACGGTGGCGTGTCGAATATGAGTACTTTTTCCTTGAGCCTAATCGTGAAGATCTGGAGACTTTGAGCAATCACGTTGAGCAGGGCAAAGTGGTTCCGGTAATTGGATCCAGAGTGCTACGGCAGGATATCGAGCAAGTTCGGGAAGCGTGTAGACTTGTGTACAAGGGCAAAGGGGGGATTGGAAAGACGGTCGTTGAGGTTGTGCGGACTTGAATTCGCATTGAACGAATTCTTTACATCCTTCTTATAGAGCAAGAGGTGTGTCCTCCACCGCCCAAGAAACACTCTGGCATACCCGTTTCCTGGTAACGACGGCTCCTAAAACACGGGTCTAATAGTGATGGTGATCAAAATCTGATCACGACTACTACTTCGTCTCTCTACTCAAAACGCCACCTCCACCTCCATTAAATACATCAATAAGCACTTGTTGAGCTTGCCCGCCAGGACCAACACTGAATGTGACGGTTGTAGGGTATTCTGGGTTCTCGGCCACGGGTTTCATGATGAAGACATCTCGGTCCCAATGCGTTAGCGGCAGCGATCTACCACCAATTTCGATGGTTAGGTTTTGATTGCTTGTGCCCTTGACCTGTACAATTCCCACGTAGTCGTTGCTGTACGTTCCAGCGTACACACCAGTCCCTTTCAATGGCGCAGAACCATGCACCGGCGTGACAGCCAAGCTGGGGTCCGTGGTTGCATATGCCTCATTGAGCTGCTCGTAGAGATCGTCCCAGAAGGATACCCAGTCCGTGGTTTCGTTCTGGCTCCCTTGGTATACCCAGTCCATGAAAGTATACGCAATTCCGTCTGGTGTCCCTGTTGGCCAGCAATTACTCAACACAACTATTCCAATGCCATCGGCGATATTTAGTCTCACGTACGACCGCGTGCCAGAGGTGAATGCACCAGCGTGTCCGACAAAGACGCGACCAGAGGGTTGATAGTCGATATTCCAGCCCAAGCCGTAGAATGCTGTGCGATTCGAGGCAGGATCGAGACCACGGTTGATCTGGGGTTGGTGAGTGTACAGCAAAGCCTCTGAAGACACGATCTCTTCGCCATTCCAAGTTCCGTTGCCGAGTTGTAGCCGCATCCATTGTGCGAGGTCGATTACATTGGCTGCCACACCCCCTGCGGGAGCTTGAGCATCGGGATTGCGCTCAGGAGCGACAATGTATGGCGCGCTGAAGTTAGTTCCATTCCCAGCACGGACGTGGAGCGATGCACGGTCGGACTCTCGGCGAAACCCATCGTTTTCTGAGCTGGTAGATGTCATGTTGCATCGTTCGTAGAAACGGGATGCAGCTTCTTCCCAAGAAAGCCCTGCAGCGGCAGCGGCTGCAACAGCGCCCATAGTGATCCCGTAGTTGCTATATTGATATGTAATTCTGAAGGAACCTGTCGGTTGCAGGTACTTCATCCTTGACAAAATCTCCGAGCGGTTGTAGTCGAATGATTCTAGATCGTCGCCGGCACCACCAAACAACCCACTGCGATGAGAAAAGAAGTCCGCGATAGTGACCTCCTGTGTGATCCAGGGGTCTGAGAGCTCGATCGTCGAGTCAAGCTCATTGGCTTTTGACGACCAGTCAAGATGGCCATCGCTAACGAGCTGTGCGACTATGGTCGAGCTGATTGGTTTTGAGAGAGATGCCAATTGATACACGGTCTCTGGTGTCGCTGACTCGTTACTTCCTACTTTCCGCACTCCGAAGGCGTTGGCGTAAAGGATAGAGTCATTGTAGACGACCGCAGCGGCGATGCTGGGGACCTCTGTTCTATTGAGCACAGACTGAATAAGGTCATCAAGTCTATCGACAGCTTGCTGCACATCCTGCTGCGAAACCGCTCGCACCAAGCTGGTGAGCAGCAAGAAGCCGGTAAGCAAGGAAAGCTGGATTGAAGCCAGCATGTTGTCGGCGGTACAGTTGTGCAAGACATTACCTGGTATGCACCTCAGCGCAGAGTGTCAGCTAAATACACTGGCGGTACCTCGTATTCAGTGATTTGAAGCCAATGATAAGTATTTCGAGGGGAGGGGTAGGGATTGCATTATTGAACTCTAACCGAAAGTGGTCATTCGAGGCCAAGGTTGATTTTAGCCCTGGCCCAGCTGAGACTGCCCACGGAAGGAATAAAAGAGGTGTTTCTTCACGGCTCGTCACCTTTCTTGGTGCACTGCAGCAGTTCCAGGCGTCGTGAATACCTCCGTCAGCGCTAATCTCAAATTGCCGCACTGGTATGGGGAGGAGTCCGGACCACCATTTTGGCAGCCAGCAACCTCAGCCCGCCCGACGCCGATGACTTACGGGGAAAAGGAGAACAACGTTGGTTACGTACAGAAGGTGTGTGAAGAGCGTGTATATATATTTCATGGATCTGGTTGCTCGGCTGCTCTGCTGCTCTGTTTATTATTAGAGCAACAGACCACACAGGGCACGTGAAACAGGAACGTCACCTCCCTGTCACCTGGTGCTCCTCGACTCTCATATCTTAGCGGGATCTCCTTTTTCATACCCGTATGCCCGCCAGTTGCCCAGGACCTTTTGCTTGATTTCTTCCGGGTAAGACGCACGGAAAGAAGCCTCAACCCATGGCCGGTCCAGTGTCTCAAATTCGGCCGGCAGCATGCACAATCGGACGACCTTGGCTTGTGGCTCGTGCGGGTTGGGGCCGTAGGTGGCGTATGGCACTAGCTTGTAGGTGGGATAGTTGCCGACGAAGAAGAAGTCGCTGTCTTGTGGCTGGGACTTGGTCGCTTCCGCCCAGACGACCTCATGCAAGTCACTGGGATCGATGTTGTCGCCAACAACGAAGATCTTGGGCACAAACCGCCCGGGTTTGGAAGAGAACACGACCTCTCCGACTTGGCGGCAGAATTTCTCCGGCGTGGTCTTCATCTCAACCAGCCTCTTCCGATCGACCTGGACCACGTACCAGATGGCCTGGGACTCGTATGGGCACCAGGCCTTGGTGATCGGGAGGCCTTCTTGCTGCAACAAGTCGAGAATTTCGGCGCAGATCGACATGGCCCAAACCGTGTGAGTTTCGTCGGGAGCACGACCGGCGACAGTGATCGGAACGATGGGGTTGCTGCGATAGGTAATCGCATTGACCGTGAACACTGGGGCTGGTGCTTTCTTGCTCGGGAAGATGAATCCGTGATATTCTCCCATGGGTCCTTCAACCGCCGTCTCGTTTGCGGAGATAGTTCCTTCAAGAACCACCTCAGCCTGTGCCGGCACGAGAAGATCATTCGTCTCACACTTGATGACCTCCATCGGAACTCCTGTGATGGCCCCAACATAATCCGGCTCGTTCACGAATTTGGGGAGTGGCATGCCACTAGCTACGGCCTGGGAGATTTTCAGATGTTAGCGTTCTGGATCAATGTTCAGGCCGAGACCCAATTTGGACAATGGCGTCTGGCGCCAACCCAGGAAAGAACAGTAACCAAAGAGATGGGAGCTTACGGCGGCTGGCGGAACACCAAGGGCGCAAGCCCAGGGGGTGTCTTTTCCCTGGGCCTTCCATATCGCCCAGATGGCCCCAATGTCCTGCTTCACGTCGACGAGGCCGGTCAATTGTCGTTTCCCGATCACCATACAACGGGTGATGGACCAGTTGACCCATTTCCCGTCTGGAGTTTGAACATTGTGCAGCCCATAGGTGAGAAAATATCTGCCTCCGTCGTGGGAGTGATTCTGCGGGACCGGCAGCTTCAAAAGGTCGATGTCATCGCCAAAGATCTTGTACTCCTTGAGTGGTGCATCGTGCACCTCGACGGAGGGGATCGGGTCGGCTCTTTTTGAGGCTATGAGTTTCTGGATGATATCATGGCCGCTTGCGTTGGAGGACAGTCCAATGGACTTTGCGAAACGCGCATATTTGTGTGGTCGATCACTTCGAACGCCCACCGGAGCACCCAGAATGCGGAAGAGACCGTCCGGACCATCTTTGCCCTTGGGATTGTTGATGAGCGGCATTGGACTGCCCGTTTCGTATGCACGGCGCGTGATGGCACCAGACTCGAGATGGGGATCGACTTCGATATCGATTTCCACGACATCTCCCTCGGCCTTGCATTCGTCAAGGAAGACGCGCAAGGACGACGCGGCAGAGAGCTTTCCGGTCGACATGCTTCGATCCGAGTTCTGGGAATGACAGAGAGATGGATGTCAAGAATGCTTCTTCGTTGCCGTGGTGTCTGCGTATCGTGCTGGGTGCCGCTGTGGTGGCAATAATAGTTGATCTCTGAAGCCGAGTCAGGAGACTAAGCTTGTTGTGTCGTCTTGATCTGTGTTGAGCTCCTGGCTTAATATATTCGTCCTGGTGCTTCTGTACCCGGCGTAAACTATCCCGTCGGGGAGATAGGGACATGGTGGCGTTCGTCTGAGATAAGCCTTGGGATTCCAGTTGGATTCCGGGTATCCGTCACTGACGTATGTAATTACCAGCGGACGTGCGGTGTCACGCTATAACCACATCCACGGCTCCGTAGTTCTTTCCTATATCCCCGAATCCCCCCTTGGGACGCCATTGTACGAGCTGTACGCTAAGGTTATACTACCCGGTCCTGCATTGTCATGCTGATCTGCGTGGGTTGCATGGGTGCTTTGCTTCGTGCGCGTATTAAGTAAAGTGATGGTTGACAGAGATTTCTTTTGTCCATAACCCTGATTGTCCATTTCTCACTGATAATTGAATTGGTTATTAACGAGATCCAAGAACGAACAGTGCGTCTTCGTGTCTCGGATTTGGCGAGCTTCCCGACCGCGATTGCTTGCCAGGTTCTCGTTCTCAATACCAAGAGCGCCAAGTGCAGTTCAACACCATGATGATCTTTGTTGTCGTTGTTGTGTCGGGCCTGGCATGGCTTCTCGGCATCAGTATGAGGACCATGATGGTAAATGCACTCAAATCTTTGCACAAACCCGACGCCGCGATGAGCCGAGCGGCCCTCGTCACCTCTGCGGCCAAACCCGTTGGAGCCTTGGAACCAGCGACCACTGCTAAGAACGAGAGTCGGTCGAGGTCGGCCAGCGAAAAACCGACTTCAAGGCCGGTGCGAATCATTGTCGCCGTAAGTGCCCCCCGAACGAACCTCTTGATGTCGAAAGAGTCGTCGTCCGTGTCGTGCAAAGGGAGAACCCCTTACTGAGAAATGTGTGTAGATGACAGGGGCAACAGGCGCTATCCTGGGCATTCGGATTCTCGAAATCCTTCGAGATATGGGGGTGGAGACCCATCTCATTGTCAGTCGCTGGGCTGCCGAGACGCTGAAATATGAAGGAAATTACTCGATCAAGGACGTCAAGAATCTTGCGACCTTTTGCTACGCGCACAACGACGCGGGAGCCCTTCCATCAAGCGGATCTTTCCAAACGGACGGCATGATCGTTGTCCCTTGCAGCATGCGAACCCTCAGTGCCATTCGAACAGGGTTTGCCGATGACCTGATTTGCCGGGCTGCAGACGTCACCATCAAGGAACGGAGGAAATTGGTCCTGGTGGCGCGAGAAACCCCGTTGAGCCCCATCCACCTGGGGAATATGCTGGCGTTAGCTCAAATGCAAAACGTCGTTATCTTTCCGCCCGTGCCTGCCTTCTACACGCGGCCCAAGTCCCTGTCCGATATCGTCGACCAATCGGTGGGTCGTATGATAGACATGTTGGGCCTCGAATCTGACCATTTCCCGAGATGGAACGGGATGGATCAGTCCAAGGCATGACCGCAAGCAATGTTTGGGACTGCCCCGGCTCTTCCGCCCTAATTAATGGCAAGGGTATTTGAATGGAACGAGTTGTGAGTTATCGCTGCGGCAGACATTCGATTGTTGACCGGCCTGTATGAGTACCCAAAATTATTTGACTGGGCCTATAGACTAGTCAAAAACAAGAGGATGCATCATTTGGATCAACGGCTAGGATTTCGATGATTTTTTTTACCTACATTCGTACTTGCATTGCAGATATAGATAGAGTCAGTGTAACGCTTGCATGGAGTTCGCCACAGTTGCGTAGTACCTACACCCGGTCTCAAGACGTTCAGAGCTTCGCGACTGCTCTCTGAAAGCTATTGGCGCATCTCTTTTTGTTATCCGGAATAGGTGTTGTCTCAACACTTTCCTTGGAACGTCAATCGAAGGCTTCTGCGTTGCGTGCTATTACTTCCAGCTTTATAAGAATGCATTTGTATCCAAGCCATCGGGATCAAATTGGGCGAAGAGAGAATCCAAATCTACATTCGGCATGAATTCGCTGAGAACACTCTCCATCGGGAACGCCTCCGGCTGCTCGCCAAGCGCTTGGTATGAGGCTCCTGTTCGGGCTTGCTGGGGTCGGAGATTGTTACCCGTTGTTGCGAAGGGGTCGTATTGATTGATATTTGTAAAAGTGTACGTCGTGCCGAGGTTATTGGCAACTAGGTCTCCAAAGTACGGTCAGCTTGTCCCATGCCAGATAAGTGGCCTTAGCCTTAGGAGGGAGAATTTGACGGGACTCACGTAAGTTTGAGCATGCCACTGCCAAATGGGATAAATAATCGACGATGCGTTGCACGACCCGGTTCCCACGGTCCAGGTTCTGCAAAGCTTCGATGGCCATGTCGAGGTACATCATGGCATTATCCAGAGATTTCCAGGTGGGCAACTTTTGCTCCCTTTTCGTGCCACTTCCCTTGAGAGCAACAAGCAAAGCTGCAACCAAGACTAGCCCGGCGTTGAATGCTTTTCAGGTGGTCAATAATCTACTAAGCGACCCATCTTCAAGGGTAATAACAAATGAAAATATAGACTTACTGTAAAACAAAGAATAGTTCCATGCTCCTAGCAGGTCACGGCGCCAGCCATGAGACAGCACCACGCTGTGCACAATGGCAATAACACTGATGGACGAGTCGAGGCATGTTTCGATGCTGCTGACGTATACTTGATGCATCATACTCGCTTCAATGCCGTTGATACCTTTGGCACTATCAAGGAACGTCTCCAGTATATGGCGGTGATTGAGAATACGAAGGTTGTGAAATCGAAGAGAGAGGACCACGTTGAATCTCTCGGCGATTTTGTCCTTTACCTCGATCTTCTCGAGGTCCTGAGAAACCACGGGAGTACTCCTGATCCGAAGGCCCAAGGCAGGGATGATCTGGGACCTCCACTCGTCCAGTCGCCGGTCTCCTTTGAGCGTCATTGAAAGAAGTTCGGCGTCTGGAGGCGTTTCTGCCAGACCTAGATTCTGCTCATAGCATGCGTCAATAACTTCATACAAGATATTGCTCAATTTGCTGTTGGACAATGTCATCATCGTGCCCCGTCCGACGTTCGCGCTGGTGAGACTTACATTGTGGCTTGAAAGTACCTCGCATCCATACGCTGGACGGCGCCACTGTCGGGCGTTTGACCCATGATCTGTATGTCAGCAGACGGAAGTTCAAGCTTGACATATTTCTCAGGAATAATACACGGACGACCAAAAGTCATGCTCAACGTTCTGTAGGTTAAAATCGTCAGCTCCCTCGAGTCCACACCGTGAGGGTCTGCAGACTCCCTACCGGTCTAGGAGAATGCAGCCGAACCAGACCCGTTTTCGAATTTCGGCCTCTACGGGTGGAAAGCCTTGATTAGTCCTCGGAGAATGTAGGCCTAGTTGAAAGGCCGTCGATATCGCCAGGCCATGCACCGTCCACGCCTGGACGGATTTCTGCGTTCCCTGAAGATACTGGCCCACCAACAGCAGATATTGCACTGGGGGGTGTTGTCAGCGGCATTGTGCACGCAACCACGCAACGGGATCCCGAGTCAGAGGTAGTCGCTCACCGAGTTCCAGACTGATACTTCTCCGTGACTCTCGTTCACACAACCCATTGGCCCTTTGAAAGTAGACGTCTGATTCGGCAATCCTCTCCTCCGCGGTGTCGTAGCCATCCACGATCAAGGTGCAGCCCAGGGCGAGAATGATGTTCACCAAGCCCAGCCACGTTCTACGGGCCATTGTGAAGTTGGTGCGCTTCATCTCAAAGTAGGTCTCACGAAACGATCCTTCATGGATGATAGGCAGCAGCTGACCCGTCTTTTGAAAGTACTCATTGATGAGTTTCCAAATGCGCGTTTCCGGAGGCAGTGCGTGGATGTTGACCTTGTCGTCCATCCGATTGAAGGTGTTGCAAATTTTGTCGCCTGACGGGCGGCTTGCACGCATCGAGTCCGTGGTCGTATTTGAAGCATTGAGAGGGGCCTCGGTCACCTGGCGCTGCCCCGTCGCTTGTGCCAAAGCCACTGAAATGTGGCGGAGGAAAGCAATATTAGACGACGGCCCTGAAGCGGAGGTGAGCATGAGCACACCTGGCCACGGGCAACGGACAGGACAGAGAGCACGTACCAAAGTAGCCGCTATGCTGTTCATGCGTGAATTTGATGGCACCCATGCCATCGATCGCGTCCTCGCACGTGTCGACTTCGTCCATGTCCGTGTTGGTCGAGCATGTGAGCTGGGGCGATTTCTGTGAAGACGCACCGTCGTCCGCTCCCGCCGACACTTGCATCCGAGGTTGGAAGGCCACAGCAGTCTGTGCTGAATGATAAGTGCCCGCCGGGGTTGCACTCGGGGATTGCTGCAGCCGCATCAAGCTGGTCTCGATGTTTTCGAGTCGTTGCTCCAACCGTGACAGATAGCTGGGCAAAGACGATTGGTCACATTGGACGTTGGAAATTGGCAGGGGAGTGAGCGAGACATTACCTTCTCCCGACCGTCAAGCTTGTCGTCGTCCCCGCCTGCTCGTACAGACATTCACAACCCTGTTCATCGCAGGGAGAACACTTTGGTCTGCCCCCATCACACTATGGCACGTCAAGTCTGGCTCTACAAACCGGCAGTATGGACTCTCAAGGTAGGGCATACACGTGCTTTCCTGCGTCTGCAGTTGCTGCAGGCTAGCGCAACCCTCCGTCTCTTGCGAGGGCGGCCGGCCACCGAAGACGACGGAGCTTTCAGTACGCTCAATGCGCGTGTTTCCTCAGATGGCAAAGCGCGCGGCTGTTCGGCATCTGGCGTCTCGGGTGTCATGGCGGGCGATCCAGCGCGTGGTGCGACCGCCGAGTCGGGATCACACTTGGTCGGAGATAAATATGTGATGCGGAAAGATTTAAAGTCGAAGATTGTCCCACGAGTTTATACCAGATCGTCTAAAGCGAGCGTGACCGGTTGGCGTCCGGGGTAATTTCGGGATTTCACGGAAATATCTTGAGATAACTGTATTAGCACTAAGCCTAAAATAGCTAGATTACGCTGAGGGACTTTACGTACTTACTAAGCTAATCCGGAAGGCGTGCCGAACACATGGACAATATTTCCGACCAGAAGAATATCTAGGCACTAAAATTGGTGGTGATATACTTAAGACGAGTGGTTACAGTATATAATTGTATAAATCTCGTCTGTATAAGGAATTTAAGATTCCTCTTTGGGCAATATTTAAATATATAACTAAGGTAGTTATAGGTTTCATACGGGGTTAGGATTCTGGGGTCCTCTTAGATAGAGTTAGATAAAGGCACTGGCTAACGCAAGTGTATCCGACCTGATGGCAGAATCTCTTACGGCATGGTTCGCTGCAATATCTCCCATTGTAAAGTTTTGTATAACGGAGATTGGCGCTGTTGTGTTACTATCCCAAAACCACAGTTGTCGCTCCCCTTGGTTCTGTTATGCTGCAACTAAAAGGCTCTTTTACTTCATTCTTAGTTGTCATCGTCTTCCTTGGGCCCTTGATCAAATTCCTCGCTGTCCGTTCCGTTTTCGTCTTTGATATCATTGCACGGATGCTTCGGTGGCGTTATGAGAATTGTGGGAAGGTTCTGGTCTCTCCAGTCCAAAGAGAAATGTTGGAATTCTCTCGAAATTCTATAATACGATGATCGCTATAACTCAAACGAAGTAAAGTCCAACTCCTGTAACGACCAAGGGGTTATCTCCGTTAAGGATTAATTCGGATCTTTCTCGCCGACGGGTTTAGCAAATTCGAATAGGAATCGTAGCAACCATTTATCCATACGAAAGGAGGTCTCTTTATAGTTCTGGCACGCCCTGTGGAATTCTCGAAAGCGTGCGAAACTGATATCCAGCGCCGGCCAGCGCCTTTGTAGGCACGTCAAGAGTTCGAAGTTTTTCTCGAGCCGCCCTCGCGCGGCCTGTGTTTGCTCTTCATCCGAGCTAAACAGGAGAATATGGAGCTGGACCGTAGAAGCGATGGTCAGTACATGGCCGACCATGGTGTAATAGACTTCACAGCCAGGAGTAGAGAATGCACGGTAATGATCAGCTTCACTTCCTGCCAAATTGGTTGCTGCACCTTACGATATGCGTAGAAATTGCCCAAGAGATTCGTGTCGTATTCTTCCATGATAACGCATGTAGAGATGACCAAACTCCAGAAAATTGCTTTCTTGTTCGCCACAATGGCTTCGCGAATGGTCATCTCTTTCTCGTCTCTGGTAAAGTCGTGCGCGGCCACGCTCAACTTCTTCTCGCTCAATTGCTCCTCTCTCCATGACCGATCGAAGTTGCCATTGGCTTCCTCGGCGTGGCGAATTTCTTGAATCCTGTTGTCCATCTCAATCTCAAGGGAACTCTGCTTCGAGTTAGTGGTATCAATCAGTCGAGGAGAAATGTCTATTCAGCTGTGTTCCTTGGAACGGCACAGTAGTGATTTCCTGCGTCGATGAGGAACATTATATATCTGTCTTCCATACTGTGTAGTATAGTATCATGGCACTCAACGTATTTAGCGGCGGGATTTGGAAAACGTTTCTTGTTGCAAGTTCGAAGAAGGAGCCCTATCCCACCTCACTAGTCTGGGCCAGATAGGCGGGTATGGGCATGCGGGGGAAGGCGGACGCAAACGCCTGATGCATGTTCAGGAACCCGATTATCCAAATAGCACTATGTTCAGCAAAGAACTGATCAGCCACACGAAACAGTTCTTGACAAGACTACCGGCTACTGGCGGCGCCCGGCTTAGCTTGTGAACTTTGACAAAGTATCGCTTGAATCAGTGTGATGATCCTGTCCATCAACGCAAGTTGAGGTAGATCAGCGTAATGGCGTGTGCGTCATCTTGTCTCGAGGAACATCAGAGTAAACTCATAAGTCCATTGCGATACACGCCTTTAGGGTCGGTCAATCGCTCGCTAAATTACTACGGTGTCAAGGGCTAGTTTTACACTGCAGGGTTCTAACTTACCAGAAAGAGCACTTGCTGTTTTCAACTATCAAATCAATGAAAGCACGTTTCAACCTGACAGCGGCTAGTATCAAGTAAGTAGGCGTCAAAAAGAAATGCTGCTCTTACTGAACAATCGGATACTGTAGGTGCTCGCGTAAAACTTACCCCTGACACCGTAGTACACTATAGAATCGGGCCGAATACTGAAATGCCGACGGATCGGACTGGCCGCTAATAAGCGGGGTCAGCTATTAGCGCAATGGCCCAACCTACCCACGCTTACCATGGTACATCACTACCATGGATGGCACCGGAATCCATTACAAGGACTAGGGAAACAAGACAGCCCAGATCATCACTTTCAGTCATGGGTGGCCACTAAGCGTTTTCGAAGGCTTCGATGACTCTCTCTGCTTCGAGTCTTTGCCACAAGTCACGCTTAGTCGGATCGATGAATTTCGGGAGAAGGTCTACCAGAAGGTCGCGAAGCCTTGCTCTGCGTGCAATGCCTGTGCACAAGCTCACTTGCAGGCCCTATCCAGGATCAAGATCTGGCCGGAGCTCTACCTCTTAGTCGTCCTTCGCCTCCACCTCGACGATGAGGCGCATTTGATCCAGGAGTGTTCGGTACAACCACTAGCCCTGTCACTCCCTTGAGACCCATTTTGCCTATGGTAGACTTCTCCAGCGCAGGCACTTCAGGACAGTCAAGACCGTCAAGTGCGAATCGATTCGCTTCGCGCACAAGATCAGCCGATGACCATTTCAACACCTTCAAGAATGTCTTGTAATAACCCAGCCATGCTTGATAAACCTTCTGCTTGGTCTGAAGATCGGCCAAGGCGGGCTCGATGTCCTCGATCTTGTACTGGAGAGCCGATGGATAATTTTGAATCCTGATTCCCTTCAATTGATACAAGAAACTTTTTTCGGCTTCGCTGAGTACCAAAATTCCCCGACCCCCAGCCCCCGCGCGTGCTGTACGTCCCAGCCGATGAATGTACGACTCCTTGTCAGGAGGTAGTCCAACCTGAAACACGTGACTGACACCCGGGAAGTCCATGCCACGAGCAATGACATCGGTGGCCACACATATCGCACTCGTCGCTTGTCGGAAATCTTGCGTGGTTCGGGTCCGCTTACTCTGCGTCATGCGAGAATGTAGGACCGAGACTTTGGGCAGGGTACGGAATGAAGCAAGGACTTCGGCGTAGAAGTCAGCATGAGCAGCTGTAGGAGCGAAGACGATAGCCTTGAATTGGTCTGTGGTAGCACACTCTGCCCCAACGACAGAGACCATAGCAGGGGCATGATCAATCATATTTGGTGTCAAAACAAGATATTGGTCAACACGTTCGTGGGTATTTGCCTCGCCCACCGGGATGGTTGAGATGAATTCATAGTCCTTGTTCAAGAAGAGGTGTGCGACATTCTTCACTTGATCATCAATAGTGGCTGAGAACAGCATTGATTGTCGAGGGAGTTTGGGAAGATAAGTTAGTATCCTTTTGATGTCTGGCAAAAAGCCCATATCCAGCATACGGTCCGCCTCGTCAAGTACGAGCGTCTGCAGCGAGCCCAATGTAGCCTGCACATTCTCATCGCTGAGATGATCCAAGAATCTACCGGGTGTAGCAACAAGGATATCACAACCACGGAGGATATTTCTAGCTTCCGTGTTCTTACTCGTCCCTCCTATAGATGTCGCAACCTTGCATTGAGGTGATCTCTGTAGAACTTTCGTGGCCTCGGCTGCAATTTGTAGCGCAAGTTCTCTTGTAGGACAAAGGATAAGTGCGGACAATCGTGGAGGTCTGTTCTTCAGGATGGTGGCTATTGCAGGGAGCAGGAAAGCTAGTGTTTTGCCCGTACCCGTCTTCGCCTGCGCCAAACAATCTTTCCCCTGTAGCAGGTATTCCAGCGTTGCAGCCTGGACTGGCATCATATGATCAAATCCAAGATCATTGGTAAGGGTGTTCAGGATGGTTGGGTCAAGGACATTCTTGCCATGGAGCTCTGCAAACCGAGGCGTATCTTTTGGTACCTCGATGGATGGTGGAGGGAGGTTGGGAAGAGACGATAGAAAGGCTTGCTGCTGGTCAAGACTCGTTGGAGTTGCGACTTGAGGTCTACGGCGCTGTTTGTAGCCCATATGGGATCGAAGATTCTTGTTACGAGTAGCCATGTTGCTAATGCGGGCGAAGTTTGCGCAGCGCTGAGAAGTTTTGAACACAGTAGACTTTTTTGAAAAGTAGTATGGTGGACGACTAAGAAGGGTTCCTGGAGTTATTTGTCTTATGGCTGCATTCAAGCAGGAAAAGATGGTCACCTTATGCATACCATTTCTTCAGTCGTGGCCGCTGTTTCGGAAAATTCACGTTCGAGAGGCGCGACTTTTACGAAACGCGATTTTTTCCAACTTTGATTGCGAGTGACGTCAATAGCACAATATTTTACCAGATTTATGCTAGTCATTTTTTATGCATTGGAGAGTTGATATCACGTGCACGCTATATCCTGATTCGGCAAAGTGTTGTGTTTTCGAAAACAACCTAGTCCGTTGCATGGGAGGATGCACTTTTCATCAACACAACTCAAGACGGTGCATTTTGCAACCTTTGGGGAACTTCAACTGCAAGACTAGATCAAGAGCCTTCGCCAGTATCAAGCTGTTCCACCTCGATGCAAATGGAATCTCGAGGACAAAACCTCTGCCGCAGGACGACAGCATGCTAAACTCCGTCCACTCCAGGTTGATCAACACCCCCCGATGCCCGCGAAACACTTCTGCCCATTCTCTCTGATCTGCTCATGCTAAACATGAAGCACCTGCAGCAAGCTGTTATCCCAGATATCCTTAGTGCCGAGCTAGACATTGACCAGGAAGATGATCAGCGATGGAACAGCGAGAAGAAGAACACCAGTGGATTGGATAGCGATGAGTTCAGCCTTCATTATTGACGTCCACTACACAGCTTTGGAAGAGATCATTCAGGCCAGGACGTGAGAAGGATTATCTCACGATCTCGTTTGTGTGTCCATTCCTTTGATCCATCATAGACACAACTCAGCTCCCTCGAAGCACGAAAGCCATCCCATCATCTCGCCTTTCATGCCTCGCCGTCAGATACCTGAACCTCATTTTCTCTTCCGGACGAAGGACCTAGGCTGGAATGGTCTGGTAGACCTGGAAGAGAGTGGAATATCATTGAAAGCAATACCGAAACTTGCCTGCGTCCCCTTGTCAAGACTGAGCCCTTCGTATGCCTCCTTGAGCCGATGCTCATGCTTGCCCGTTTGCACCATATCTCCAATAGCGTCGATCGCTCCACATTATGTCTTCTGCGCCATCGCCAGCAAAAATCGATCTAAGACATGATGCCTATATCCCCAACATTGATGCCCCCTTCCACCTCACCTGCCATGATAGTTCACATCCGTTCGAGCAATCTCCAACGCTTGCCGGCGGCACCCACAGCGAGGTCCTTGGACACCAGATACGTTGCTGCGGAATATTGCCCACTTCATGTTCTCGCCGGCTCCAACATCAGGCAGATTCGCCAGATAACTGATGGCCAGCTAGTACGAACTGCAAACATAGCAGCGCAGCCGCCATTATTCTCGTCTGCTCCCATTTTCCCAAGTCTTGTCAACATCGAGCCTAAACCACTTCGAATAGGCTGGCAAACTTGTCCATGCTCCCCATAGGAAGTCAAGGTACGTTTCCATGCGGATGGCCTGCACGTATGAAGGACAGTCCGCATGAAACCTCGAGCCGCATACGTGGTTCTGAACACAGCCGATCCATCAGACTTTGAATGGCGCCCAGGATAACGCAATTCGGCACGGTTTCCGAAGGTTCCACAAGCTTTACAGAGCCGGTGAAACTCCTGCAGCTTGCCATCATGTTTGAATAGGAGGTGGGGGAAAAGGCTGTAATCATCTCGGCGAGGATGGTCCTTGGTGAAGACAGTGTCTTGTGAGATTTGCCGGGTTCGACCAGACCAGACTCGGTGAGAGCAGGCCCGGAGCGACTGGTGGCTCGAGTGAATCACCGTTACGACGACTGAGACCCGGTTTGAGCTGATGGAGAAGAGCACGTCGACCAGATCGTTCGACCAAAAGTCTAACCCAGTCGGTGCCACATACCCTCGCTGATTGTTACCAGAGGCGACAGGTTCTCCCACCACCTCTGAAGCCACTAGCATTAGGTCCGTTTCCGATGCGCCAGGATTTCTGTACCGTGCTTGTTTGGATTCTCGCCTCTCGTAATCTCCAGCTCTGTCTGCGCAGGGGAGGCTACACCGGAAACTCCGTGGATTCATTAATATTATAGCTTTTACTGGCACCCACTTCAAGATTCTGTCGTAAGTACAAAAACGTGCCTTGCTATAACACTAATATCAGTGCCGTTGACTTACGAAAAGGATTGTTCTTGTTCCAATATGGTATCTCCCCTGCTGATATGGCTGCGAAAACTAACGGAGCCAATGGAGTGGTATCCGTGGGACGTGGTAAGTATTTTAGCTGTCGGTGAGAGACGCTTCAACATTACTGACAATATATCTATAGGTACTGGAATCGATAGTAAGTCAACGCAAGAAATCTGACGAATTAGACAAGAAAGGCTCATACTGCTCCTGGCCCAGTCCTGGTGCACGCACTGACAGTGACAGCTGGGTCTACATTCTTAACATTTCTAAGGAGTTGAACGCTGAGTGGACGTGGAAGGAACGGTATCCTGGTCAGGACGAGGTGCTAGAGTATCTCAGTCATGTCGCGAACCGATTTGATATACGCAAAGATATCCGATTCCACATGCTGGTGAAGTCTGCCACATGGGACAATACGCAAAGTCTATGGAAGATCAACACTACACAGGGCGAAGATGTCACCTGCAGATACTTCATCCCTGCAACTGGCGCCCTGTCGGTTGGTAAAAGCCTCCCTTTCCCTGGCGTCGAGAAGTTTAAAGGAGAGTCATACATTACATATGCTTGGCCTCATCGTCCAGTCGACTTCAAGGGGAACCGGGTTGGCATCATTGGAACGGGAGCAACTTCTGTCCAGATGATTCCAACGATAGCTCATGCGGCAACGTCGGTCACCGTCTTCCAAAGGACTGCAAACTATGTGCTTCCAGCCCGAAATCACCCTTTGACCTCGGAGCAGCAAGAAGCGATCAAGAGGAATTACAATAATATCTGGCAAGAAGCAAGAAGACAAATGTATTGTATGGCCATCAAGGACTCTACAATAACCACAAAGGACATGAAGAACGACACTGCGATTCAACGAGTCCTGGAATGTGGATGGGAAATATGGAATTTCCACCAGACGCCCGAGACACGACAATCTTGGCCGTGGGTGCAAGATTTCAGGCCGCCTTCAACTTTACAGTCACATTGCCGGATCTACAAAGGCGGGTATTCTTTCCGTGGACCACGCCGAGACGCTTCAGAGAGGCGAGAAGCCGGCAGACTTGAACGAGGGGTGCAGCGTTGCGCACGATGCGGCTTCATATCTGTTGAAAACGCCCGGCCCTCTCCCGCAAAGGCATTGGGATAAATTGGTTGCGATCTTTGGCAGGGATGGGACCGTTGCTTGGATACACCATGTAAGCTTGTATTGCTGCGTTTGCATGATTTTGAACGCTGTCGATGCTGCTGTCCCCGTCGAGGCGAAATAAGATTGAAATCAATATAAGACAGATGAGGGACGAAGGCCACAAGACGTCGTTTGACTACAGTTGATGCCTGTCTTCCTGAGGCTGCTTTTTATACAAAGCACTCATACGTTGTCAGCATAAAGTTTCTCTTGTTGTAGACCAATTTTACTCATACACGAGTGTACAATACAATTGTACAGGATAAGCTGTGGTTCCTGGACAATGGGTTCGCTCGCTGGATGGTTTCGCTGATACCCCGGAGTTACATGTTTCAATGAACTGGATCTATACATCTACCAACTCACTCTTATCCTTCTCCATCTGCCAATGCATTCGGTACCACTATCTTGTCTTCTCTCTGCCATATCGCGACTATTGCCACTGCCGCTGCCGATAAATACTGCAAAAGTACCGGATCAAATATTCTGCTGGCATACTATGTAAACCTGTCATATAAATCACTCATATTGTCGGGCAAAAGCACCTTGTGCGGGAATTTCACGTATCCTTTCCCCGTCAAGAAAGTGATCTGTCACGGCACGTCGCCCGCGGTCCTATCGGCCAGTGCCAGGAACATGTCGGCGTGGGCCTGCGGACCTGCACCAATGAACATGGGCGTCCCATCCTCCATCCTCTTATCGACGAAGAAGAATCGGATATTCCGGCTTCGGTAGAGGTTATCCCCCAGTTCGATCATATGCGCCGAAGCTATCTTTCCCACACCTAGGGTGAGGGACCCCGGTATCGGTCCCTCATTGAGGATGTTGCCGGTATAGATGAAAGTCTTCGGCACCGTGGAAGGGAGAGCCTGGAAGCTGATCATTGCTTCGTGTGCAGCCGCGTAAGCCGAAGTGGTGTTAATGGCCAGGTCCTCCTGAACGTCTCCAGTGACATGGAAAACGTTTTCTCTGGTCTCGTGAGGTGCATCCCGTACGCTGTGTTTCTCATGCGTTAACGTCAGGACTCCAAGCTGACGAGATATCGTAATTGTGGTTTGGTTCTTACTCACCATTGTAGATAATCAAACTTGGCTCGCCCCATGTTTTGCGCACTTTCTCGAAAACACTGCTCACAGAGACGGCCGCGTCAAGTCACAAGGAATCGAGAGTATGCCATCCGATTCCCCTTCCTTGACCGACCGAGACACGCGTGCAACTTTGAACCCCTTCGATCGGAACGTTTGAACACTATGCTCACCGATTCTCTTCCCAGCCCCAAATACGATCGCGACTTGGCTGGCCATGTTTCCTTATGCTGACCTTAACGAGGTTAAATACTCAACGGCTACCTTGCCCCATTTATAGCCGGGTCTTTTGGATAGCAGATATGAAAGCGTGTATGAAGCCACTGACAACGAAATCCGAGAAGGTGAAATTTCCCCATGGAGTTTCCGGTATACACTTATCAGCTGCATCAAAGAATTCCCTGTATGCTTTGCTGTGGCCCGAGCCCGGAAACTCCGTGGGGTTTAGCGCCTCCGTGTTGCGATTTACGAAGGGTAGTCTAGAGTGTTATAGACTTGTTAACTCCCGGTTCACTCCTATAATGGGACCATGCCGTTTTGAGATCTGAAGAGGAATTACGAATTTCGAACAACCTTCTACCCTTCTTATCTGATTTCGAGGGAAACGCCAAAACATTAGCCCCTCCTCGACCTCGACGGCGAAGTTCACAAATAAATATGGCTGACAACCAGAATTTGACGTTTGCGAATCGATTCTTTCAGGCATACAACAATGTCGACTCCACAACAATCGGCAGCTTGTTTCCGAGGATGTGCATTTCGAGCACCACGGCCGCTTCAAAGGACAAGGAAAAGAAAAGCTTCTTGACCAGATTCTGACCTTCAGCAAGATGGTACCAGGGCGATATTTTGGGGGGCCTACGAGATGGGCAGTCAACGGCGACTTCATCTTCATCGAGCATAAAGCCTATGGCACTCCTGCTGTGGATGTAGCGCTATTTGGGTGGAAAGCTGAGGAGCCAGTCACAATGGAGTGTTGTACCCTTCTCGTGCTGAAAGATGGCAAGATGGTCGAGTGGAGCGACTACGCTTAAATGCAACGTCCACGGTGGATAGCAGGCCTTCATCCTTTGGTACACCTTAAACAAGTTGATCGAACAACTCGTGTCACAGGTTACGTCGTTCTTGGAAGAAAGCCGCCAGTGCTCTGTGCCTGGGCAGAAATGGAGTGCCTCAAAGTAGGACAGACCTTGCACCGGTTGCAATATAAGTCTTAAATCCACTTGTTTCTTGGAAGTCTGGGAAACTCAGCCTTGCCAGCCTTGCCAGTAGCTCTGCGTAAGGTACCTGGAAGGCACTCTGGTAGTTACCGGATGAAAGAATTTCCGGCCGGCTTGGGATATGACGTCTGGAGTTGGCCGAGGCGAGTTTTTGGTGTGACACGTGACCACCTGCTGGGCACGTTGGGCAAAGAGTTCGCGTCAACACCAGCCGATAATTCTTGGATCATCCGTCCTGCCGTCATCACCAACATGAGCATATCGAAATGTCTTTGTAGGGCAAGGTCTCATCTGGTGTGGATCAAAATGACAATTTGACCACGTCTTACGTGATGCCTCCTGCGACGATACTACCAGCCTCCTGCGGTCCTGATAACGTCACCACTAAAAAGCTCACTTGGTACAACGCCGTGCAGCCATGTCCGACACTTTTGGCAGTATCATCAACGGCGCTGCGGGCACTGCGCAGGGTAGGGAGGGAACGACAGTCCAGACATTCGTCATCTCACTTGCTGCTGGTTTCGTCCTGTTTGCCGTACAGTTCGGAACATTCCTGATTGTACGGAACTACCTTTGGGCAAAACGGATATACCAGCCAAGATCCTTCTTGATCCCGTCCAAGGACAGAGTCAAACCACCACCCAACAATCCTCTCAGATGGCTCTGGCTGTTGTTGAAGACCCCGAGCGACCTAGTCTTGCGTAAAGCAGGCATGGATGCCTATTTCTTTCTCCGATATCTGGCAATGTGTCTGAAGATGTTCTGTCCTATGGCTCTCATCATCCTACCAATCCTGATCCCGATCAATTATGTTGATGGAAAAGGCACCAACACCATAGGCGCGACTAGGTACAACGTCACTGGCCTGGATACACTTGCTTGGTCTAACGTGGCACCGCAGCACACCAGACGCTATTGGGCGCATCTGGTCTTAGCGGTCGGTGCCATAATCTGGGTCTGTTATTTGTTTCATCACGAGTTGCTGCATTATGTCTGGAAGAGGCAAGAGCATCTCAGAAGTCGACGCCATCGACTAAAAGCTTCGAGCACGACAGTCCTCATCATGGACATACCCAAGGATTTGTGCACAACTGAAGCACTGATGCAACTCTACGACGATTTTCCTGGCGGGGTACGAAGGATATGGCTGAATCGGAATCTTGAGTCACTCGCCAACAAGGACAAATTGTGGAGGGAGTACGAGGATCGTCTCGAGAAAGCCGAGACCGATCTGATTCGGAGAGTGGTCAGGCAACATCGGAAGGGAAAAGGAATCGACGACGTGAACTCAAACGAGATGTCGATACTTATCGAGGGTGCGACAGCCTCAAGGCATACTGGCAGCGAACCTCACGCCGATGAGGAAACAACTGAATGTACGACGCAGGCAGCTTGCGAACGTGATCTTCAACATGACCTGACGACAAAAGCTCTTTGGACCAAGTTTATGACGCCCAAGCAACGGGCAACTATGCGAATACCTCGGCTCAATTACGCAAAGACATGCAAACTTCCCTTGGTCGGTCGCTTCTTCTCGCTCAAGGTAGACACTATCTATTACTGTCGGCGGGAACTTGCGCGGCTGAATCGGGAGATTGAGGCAGATATCGAAGAAGCGGATCATTGCCCACAGAACGGATCGGCCTTCATCCAGTTTAATACTCAGAAGGCGGCACATATGGCATGTCAGACGGTTGCCAATACAATGCCGGGGCGCATGGCTCCACGAACGGTTGAGATGTCACCAGCAGACATCAATTGGTCGGCGCTAAACTACACCCGGCGGAACAGAGCTATACGACTTATCATCTTCGTAGTACTGTTCATTGTACTGGTGTTCGTCTTCGGTTTGATATCCTTCTTTACTGGGTTACTCTCGAGAGTGTCAACACTAGCCGGCTCAACTTCGTGGCTGCACTGGATAGGCACGCTGCCTCGCTGGCTCTTGTCTTTCGTACAAGGTACTCTCCCTCCGGTCATCCTCGTCATTCTTTTGAGCGGCCCAACGCCGATTGTCCTTCGAGCGTTGACAAACAGCACCCGTGGGGCTACAACGGGCTCTCGAGGCGAGCGCTCCCTCCAGCTCTGGTACTTTATTCTTCTCCTCTTCGAGGTCTTTATTATACCAACCATCTCATCCGGACTCACTAGCATTGTGCAGGAACTCATACACAACACAGCGTCTGTTCCGGAAATCCTGGCCACAAACCTACCGACTGCTGCGAATTACTACTTTTCATTCTTGATCCTTCAAGCCCTATCAATAAGCTCGAGCTCAATCTTGCAGACAATCCGTCTGCTGAACTTCTACGTCTTCTCCAAGGTCAATAGCCCTGATGATGTCTTCGGCAAATTGAGCTTCACCTGGAGAACTCGAATCGGATCGAACATTCCGTGGTATACGACGTTCGCCGTTATTGGGCTCGTCTACTCAGTCATCGCACCGCTTATGTTGATTTTCATGTTGCTGACGTTCAGCCTCTTCTATGTCGTTATCAAGAACAACATCCTCTATGTCATTCGTACGGGGGATGTTGATAGCGGTGGATTATGGTTCCCAAGTGCAATCAATCAGACTTTCACAGGCCTGTACTTCATGGAGGTCTGCCTGATCGGCTTGTTTTTCCTGGTCCGCGATACACACAATAAGGTTGCGTGTGAGGCTCAGGGCATCATCATGTCCATCGTCTTCGTGCTCACGATGATGTATCAGATCTGGCTGGCAATTCACTTCAATGGACTCTGTAGGTACGCTCCTCTACAGCTGACGGGCGAGACGTTATTATGTGACAAAGACCAAGCACCGACTCGGAGTTCGAACGTGGAGTACACCGGACTGGCGAGCGGCGAGACGGCGGCAGAGAAGGAGAAAGTACTCGAAATCGCAGGGAAGATTTATGCCCCTCGGGAACAGACCGAGCAAACCGAACAAGCTTCACGATCCCTTTCGCTCGCCGAAAAGCAGCGACGTTCTTCTTTACAATCACTGAGCACGGCACACCTGTCTCGCCGCGGAACAGACATGGAAGCGCAAAAGGAGCACGACAAGCATCAGGCCAAGCGCATCCTAGAGCGCTTGCATCGACCTCTCGACGAAGCCCAGCTTGCAAAGCTCGAGTCAGACCTCTCCAGAGCCGAGGCATATGTCAGCAATAGCCTTATCCCACGCAAACGCGAAGTCACGGCACTGATGATGAATGATCCCATCAGCAGAATCATTATGCAGCACAATGACGACTTGGAGGCCCTCACCGCCGAGGAACGGGATATGTTGGTTAGTGTTGCGTTCACGCATCCCGTGCTGCGACACCCGAAGCCGAGCGTGTGGATTCCGAGAGACGATGTCGGGGTCAGTGATGATGAAGTTAGGAGGACGAGAGCGTTGAGTCGGCACATTACGATTGGTAATAGGGGAGCCTTCTTTAACAGGAGGTTGAAAGTGGAGATTGATAAGCCGCCACCAGATATGAGTGAGTTTGCGCTGGTGATGGCAGAGTTGTGAGCTGCCTGTCCATCGGAAAGCATTGTGAATGGTCTGGAACTTGGATTTTGTTGCAACAACCCAGTACGTTATGTTACCACCTAGAGCGATTGCGGGATGGAAGCGATACATAGACCATAGCAAGAGTGACTTGTTCTCCATACCGATTGGGCGAGTTCAACGACGACAAGAGTTCGAGCAGTGGATGCAAGTCAAACGGTTGAGTCAAGACCATACGTGGTCTCGTTACCAGACTTGGTAACCTCGTTTTCGGTCCCGAATGGCCGGTGGTGCAGACAGGCCGGGAGATCTCCTCTCTGCAAAGTCTTCATATCACCCGCAATCCCATTCAAGCCAATAGACTACCACTAGGCGTACTACCCTCACCAAGCCGCCAGATTCCTAGAATTCTATCCCCAAACCTCCGACCTATTCTCCCATCCTTAAACTCCCATGCTCAACTCCACCCATTACCCCGGCCTCGAAATGGTTTTGCAGCATCAAACAGGCCTCATGCATGAATTACGCGCTGGCCATTCTGAATGGGGAAAGTTTGGCATGAAAGGATACATCGCAGAGCATGATAACGCCAGCGAGGACTGAGGGTCTCCGCCAATGAACTTGTCGGATTTGCGGAGTTTGAGGAAGGATCAGAGAGAACGGCTAGCAGTCGAGTGGTCACAGTGGTCTACTCCGTACCAGAAGTTGACCCGTGCGAAAGACCTTCAATGATAGATACAGTAGTATTGAACAACTTGTCTCATCCTTGCTTGACGCATTACGTTTTACGAACATTGTGTATAATACCACCTATAGCTTCTTCAAACTCATGCCGAATTCGCTAGGTGCCACCACGGAGAAGTCGTAATACTTGTATTTCGGCCTCCCGCCTATATATGGCCTCCCATCCTTTTCGAGTGTCAGCTCATACCGGGTCAACAGCTTCGACAGGTACAATTTCATCTGGTTGACGGCGAGGAATCGGCCGGGGCACGCTTGACTGCCCAGCCCGAAACCCAAAGAATCCTCCGTGGCCATACCCATTTTGAAGGAGCTTTCGCCAGATCGGTTGCCTTCGCGAAGTTTGGCGAATCGACGCCCGTCGAAATCGTTGGAATCGCGACCAAAGGTGTCGGGGTCCGTGGCGATTGCTGCGGTGGCTGCCGTTGTCATGGTTCCTACGGGTAAGCTGAGGCCGGAGGTGTGGAAAGTGTAGGGCTTTGTCACAATCCGATTCATCGTTACTGGAATCTCGGTCAGCGTGTACTTCCACCCTCGAGATTGGGTGACTTGCATAGAAACACGGGCGTCAGTCTCTGACTCTCTTTCAGAAAGCAATCCAACTTGAAGAGTGCATCAATATTGATGCTACCGTCTGACCTTTGAGCATCGAGAGCTTCTTGACGCAATTCCTCTAGATATTCAGGTTGGCTCAGCATGTCCATCAGTGCAATGCTCATGGTCTTGGCTGTAGTGTGGATCGATGCAATCAAGGTCCTCATCATGGTGTCTGAGAAATCCTCGAGGGTGATGTTTTCTGGCGCACCACCCCAGAGCCACTGAAATCCATATGACTGTTTCCGTAGCTTGGCCTTTTCGTCTGAGCCTAGCATATTGCGGCTCTTGAGATCTTCGTACATGGGGGTCAATTGTCGCTTGACATACAGTCGGCTTTGGCGCAGCCTCCGCACGCTGGGGATTAGTGGTGCAACAAAAGTTGCAATGAACGGCGGCCAGGCTCGGACATCGTCCGCGGACTTGTAGCGGTTGACGGAGAAATCGATGGTTTGTCGGATCCATTCTGAGTCTGAAGCCAGTTCCTCGCCGCAGAGAAGAGCGTTTGTGACGTTGGCAATGGCAGGCACAAAGAAGTCCATGAAGTTGATGGAGGTCGTCGACGACGGGTCTTGTGGCAGGTACTTTCCGAAATATTCGTCGATTCGATCCGACAACTGTTTGGTGATGCTCTCGAGGTTTTGATGGATGCCGACTCGTAATGCCTTTCCTGACCAAGGCCCACGGTGAGGAGCGCCCGTGTAATCCTGCGCAAAGATGACGGCGGATGCCAAAGCCCAGCTGAAGATGTTGTTTGGCAGATGTTTCATCTCCTCGAGATGATCCTTGGGGAGGACCACGCGATACTTGACCGAGTAGCCACCGATTGGAATGGGCACTTTGAACGCAAGGCCGGCTTTGTTGTATTTGCGATAGCCAGACTCCAGCAAGTCCTTGAGGTCGTTGATATATCGTTCTCGGTCATTGCGTCCATCTGTAAAATCGTGGGTGGGGATGTGATTCCAGGCTCTTGATGTACGCCAGCTCTGGTAAAGACTGGCAAAGACGATGGCGAGGGCGACCGGAATCAGAGCTACAAGAGTAATGCTTTGATGCATCCTGACTGAGTCTTGACAATTTGACAATTCTTGGATATGCAAGCCACGAAGCCATGGCAGTGTGTCGGGTCTCCTCAGGCTATTATACTGGCGATACGCGCACGAAGGCACCGGTACTGCAAACGCTTGTGGCAATGCCTCGACGGAACAGCCGTGAAAGATAGTGGTGTCGGAATTGGAATTGGTATTGGGATACCCCGCCCCTCTGGGACTCCCATTTGTCACGGAAGAAGCTGATCGGGGCGCTAGCAGGATGATGGGGGCTTTGCGGGGTCCTGCCGCGGAATCAAGACCTTGACACTGAAAATTTGCTTCCGATTCCGTGGCGGGGAATTCGATCTTCACTCTTCAACGTCACCTCCGGTCAGAAAATATACCTGGTGCGGCCTGGTGAGCCCCTGCTGCTTCAAACTCAACCCATTGCGTACGGCCCGCGGTCGCCCAAGTCGCGGTCCAAGGAGCACATGGCCGATGAACCGACAAAAGTGCAGCGGCTGCCGTCACGACATGCATGCAAGGGCTGCCGTAAGCGAAAACAGCGGTGCGACGGTCAACGGCCCCAGTGTGGAGGATGTCGAAGCAGACGGCTAGAATGCCACTATTCTTTTGAGGGGCCGGCAAAGCCTAGTAGACGACAGGTGAGTGTTAAAACCTATCTCTAGCAACTGTTCTCGTACATGTACCACCGCTTTGCAAGATTGATGACTGTATGTCAGGCACCGCGCCGATTCATCCTCAGAACAGCCCAGTCTGATCTCGACTCCATCGGCAGAAGAGTCGGGTCGTAGTGCTCCTCAGGCCCAATGGAAGGGCAATGCAGTCCCAACAGGGTCTTCTCGGCCAGGCTCTGTTTTTGCATTACAAGGTGTACCTGTCGTCCCCGCAAGAGCGTCATCGGATGTTAGCCTCGACAGCCGGACCCCTTTGGTCAGCACGTTTCTATATCCAAACACGTTAACGGCCGATCCAACCTGTTGGCAGCGAGTGACGAGTTCAACCACCAGCGACGCGCCCGCTCATGACTCTGAGTTGGCCGACGGGTACTATGGCGGCTCATCAGCATTTGCATTCGTGTCTAAAGTACCACGAGAGACGCAAAATCTTGAAGGCGTCCACTTGCACCATGGTCAAGCGGTGGGCTCGGCATCGACCAGTCCTCAAGGACTCCATGATAAGACTCGCAACCAAGGTCCTGCCAATGGCGCGTGGGCAAAGCAGTTGCCAGAACGCATACTGGCCGACAACCTGGTCGATGCGTATTTCGACCGAGTACACCCGCTCTACCCATTCCTGCATGAAGGGAGTTTCAGAGCCGAATATGAGAACATGTGGGGCAATGGCGACCAAGCGCAGTGTCGGCGTTCGTGGTTTGGCCTCGCTAATGCGGTATTTGCTCTAGGCTGTGAATTTTGTGAGGATGTTGTGGCGAACAGCTTGGATGTAACCGTCACCTGTTTCCTGGATCGTTCCCGCAGCGTGGTCTTACCTCAAATCTCAAAACGGGGTAGTTTGGAGCATGTCCAGGCTCTCTTGTTGCTGTGCCACTACCTGCAGGGCGCACTTGAGCTCAATGAGTGTTGGACGCTGGCCGGATGGATGATTCGGACGGCGTACAGCATTGGTCTTCATCTGGATGCCGACTCGCTCAGCATCTCGAGCGTTGAGAAAGAGGTTAGGAAAAGAGCCTGGTGGGGCTGCTTTGCGCTGGACCAAACGTTGAGTATGAAGTTTGGTAGACCGGCGTCCATGCGTCTAGAGGATGCACAAAGTGTCCCTCACCCACTGGCCGTGGACGATCAATACATCCATCACGAAGCGAGGCTACCTCGACAGCCGATCGGCCGTCCTTCGATCATCGAGTTCTTCAACCACACCATCCAACTGACATGTCTCATCGACGACATCCTACGCAATCTCTACTCCACCACCAAGAGGGTCGCACGTCGAGGTCATGTAGACTCGATGGTCCCTGAACAACAACTTGCCGAGTTGATTGTCCTGGACGAGCGGCTGAGATCATGGTGGCATCGCAAACCATCACATCTTGCTCTCAATTCGCCAAAATGGGACAGCCCAGTGTACCGACGACAGCAGACCGTCACGCGGATTCGGTGAGTGTTGCATTCCCATCCCGGGCGATTTTCCTGTTGATGGCCCCGCTCATTCTCGCGCGAGGTACCTACAAATCATGATTCTTCTGCAGAGACCACTGCTGTTGATGTTCAGTCGTGAGTCTGTTGAAGATGAGCTCATTCACACCATTGCTCTTGCGGGATCGCAGACTTGCTTGGCTGCGGCCCTGGAGAGCATGCGCTTGATCTCAGAACAATATCATCAACAGCGTTTGAATTCCATCTCCTACAATCTTCATTGTAAGTGTGCTCAGGTACTCCAGACGAACGACGCTCCAACTAACTGCTGTGCTACAGATGTTTTCACTTCGCTGGGTGTTTTGTTGCATATGCAGAACATGGACCGATCTAAGCTGACGCTGGTAGACCCAGAGCAACTGATGGCGAGCTCGGACGCCCTGGATCACGGCATGGAATTTCCTGAGGAATGCTAGCCATAACAATCCCTTGGCATCACGATATCTCGCGATGCTGCAACATGTCCGAGACTTAATAGGCCGAAACGCCTTGGATGGCATGGGCAACGATAGGGATGCGCGGAATCTACCTCACCAGCAGCCAAACCACACCGCTGCGGTATCGGCAGATTCTTGGCTTGACCTAGCATCCTGGCAGACGCAGAGATACATCACTGGAGATGAATTCGATCTCGACGGTCTCGACCTCGATGGTTTCTTCTTCGGACCTTGAGCCTCCGTGACATCATGCTTGTTGAGCAAGTCTTCCAGGCTGGCAAGAACAGCATGACAGCCATGTGAAGCAAGCAAAACAAAAAACAGTGCAACGTCCCTCCGGTGTGCAGCAGCGTTTTTGGTGCATCTGCGATCACGACATATCCATATACGTCTTGCGACGTCCCCATCTGTAACTAGGGCAGGCTGGTAAGCCATGAGATGTCTTCGGGATGGTGCTGGAATTCTGTCAAATCAAAGTGCTCGAGATTTGAGGGACCGTTCGGAATAAAAGCATCAAACCCTGTCATAACAGTGTTGGCATTGTGCAAGGCCCAGTGACTTGGATCTTTCGAGCCGTCGGCTGTCGTGGTAGCATGGTGGACTATGGTGTCATTCGACTGTACTGGACAATTTTCTGCGAAGAGGACGCGATCGAGGGTGCTAGGCATTCCAGCGACACGACGGCTTTCGTAGCCAGTCTGCACGTCTTGTGTATACGCCTGCTGCTGCTGTTGCCTTGAGAGGTCGCCCGATGACTGTGCGGCTTGGCTTTGTGTCTGACACTGGAGCTGTGGTTGACCAAGATTTTGGTGTTGTACCTGTTCGAAGATGGCATGAAGAGCAGCGGCGCATTTCTTGGCGTGTGCTCCGAAGCACTGAAATCGTTCAAATATCTTGATGACCGCGTGACAAGCGTTGCTAATGACACTCTCCTTGACCTCAGCAACGATGGAAGGATGTAACCGTGCTGCAACCATGACTGTGGCCGCAGTGTAAAGATAGAAGATACTGTACCACCAAGCAGGTAATATATCATCAAGTTCATTCAGTCCCACGTCTGACATGTTTCGCTCAAAGAAGGTTATCGTGTCTAAGGCTGTCCGCACACAGGAAACAGAACAATGCAGCGCAAGCTTGAACGGCAATCGGTCTCCTTGGCTCAGGGTCCGAGTTTCGTGCTTGGAACAAAACCTCGACAGGACAGGTCGAAAGAGAAGAATGCGGACATGGCGGTATTGAAGCCATATAATGTTGGTCTGACGGCGGTGCGTCGTAGTCTTACTGCCATTAGATGAATTTCGTAAGTGCTCCGGTAGTTCGTCCACCCAAGAGCTAAGTTGTTTGTTAATCTGGAGGATGTTGCCGACAGCTCTTGCGCCTAAGTTGCCAAAGTAGGTAGCATACATCCCTTCACTTTGCTTTTGCGAGGACGCTGTGCTGTACAGCGCCAACAGCGTGTTGCTCATGATATCGTGCAGCTTCAAAGATTCGAGAAAAAAGGGAGATGCGGCTTGCTCGGCACCGTCCATGTATGGCGTATTGAAACCGTCGCAGTCGGAGCATTTGTGAATTGTCGGAAGAGGTACGGCAGATGCCGCTTGAGAGGTTATCATGACGGGTCGTCCAAATGTCATCGACAAGGTGCGATCCATCAAAACGCAACCGTGCCAGACCATGCGGAGCACGTTTCCTCGATGCATGGATTTGACATCAGAATTTGTTGAGGGCAAGTCGAGTGCTAGGCTCTGCGCAATACGTACGGCTATCCCGACGAAGATCCAACATTGCTGGGGATTGTCGGTACTCTGAAGGTACTGTCCCAGAAGAAGGAAACACTGCACTGTGAGAACGGACCGTCGCTGCATGAGCTCCAGGCCTAGAAGGTCTTGAGAACGTTTGTAGAAGATGTCTGCCGCTTTGACGCGTTCTTCAGCGACGATGGAGGAGTCCAGGAGGCAGGCAATGCTGAATATCACATTCATCAGGCACAGGAATGTAAGCGCATCCTCACCAAGGTCCTTTCCAGTCCATACCCGTTCGTACATGACTTTGACTTCCTGGATGTCCAGGAAAGTATGCAAATTCCCCATCAGCCGCCAATAGAGATTTAGTAGGTAGTCTGCTCGTTGCCTGGGCGGGAGGACATAGTCTAACGACGGTCGTGCTTTGCTCGATTCTGGACCTTCCGATGGTTGAGTATGGCTTGGTGTGGCTGCGGTGCTCTGAGAGTCTGGAAAGGCCCCCGTGTGCCGGTCAAAGACGCTTCTGATATGGTTCATAAAGCTCGAGGCGCTCGAATCGCCATGGTCACCGACTGCCTCCTGGTCGTCGTGTTGCATCAGGCCTAGCATCGCGTTGTTTCCAACACTGTCGGCAGTTGGCGGCCTGGCCATGGGATCCTTTGTCAACATTCGGGTATGTGGCATTGAAGGCGGCTGCCCATATCCCTCATTAATTTCTAATCTTAGTCCAACACTCTGCTCTTTCGATCTACCGCGGCCACGATACTTTCGCAAACCCCAAGTGCAGACATTGATGGGGGCAGATCTCTTTTGGCAGGGCGCACATACTATTCGACGATACAATTAGTTCATGAGCACGCTGAGAAGAGTGCGGCCAGAATAGTGCGACCCAGAGCAATCGATCAAGCCGTTGTAACCGCATCAGAAGAAGATTAAGCATGCTCACCTGGTCGAGTACCATCACATTTGATCTTCCTGCCCCTACATTCATCGCAGGCCGCACTGATCTTTCGTCGCTTCGTGGATTGCACTGCTTCCCGAGGGTGGTGATCCAAATACCCTGTCACAGACCCATCTAGGAATGATGGGAACATCTCTGACCAGAGGGCCCACCTCATCATGGTCAATCTTCAAGCAAGACTGGGCCGGGACCTGGGTCCGCAACGCAAACAGGACGACGGAAGCATCAATGCGAACATCACTAGTGGTTGGGTGTGTAAGGTGGCAGAAGCGGATGAGGAGCTCGGGAGGAGGGGAGAAAGCAGAAGGCCGAAGGCAGAAAGCTGGTGGCCGTGATGGCCGGAATCTTTTTGGTGGTTCGCAATTGCCGTGCCGCGGGTGAACTGACTTGCTAAGTCATCCGGGCTTTTCCCCAAATATCATTGGACGTCGATCCCACCATCGCCACCATACAGGTCGTGATAGGTGCAGTGCCTACATCATGCGGATGCAGATTTTAAACGTGGAGCCCCGCGTTTCTGCAATACGTGTAGCACGACGGAGCGGGTTGAGAGCTGGATATGCCAGGAATTCGCTATTGCGAGTGACTGCGGGCAATGACAGACCCTCGCATGCTTCTTATCGTCCTCGGCAGCAGTGCGTCTCAGCAACGGTGAAGGTCCTGCCTTCAATCCTATAAGACTACGATATTCCCCTCCGCCATTTGCCAACCTAGAGGCCCAGCGACGTGTACTACCATGTCTTCTGAGCATATCGACCCCAAGGCCTACGCCACCGAGCATGATATCCTATCCCACAGCGACAAGGAGGTGGGAGATCCGAGTCCAGCATTGAAGCTCGATCCCCACGGCTATCCATTACGTCCACAGCCTTCTGATGACCCGCTGGGTGCGTACACTGCTTTGCTGAAATCTCATGTATGGCGGCGATGTGCTGATATCGGTCTAGATCCGTTGAATTGGAGTCGCACATGGAAGCTGGTGACATTGCTTCAGGTGTCCTTCCTGTCATTCCTCGGTCCATTCACACAAGGCTTCATTGTCAGTTCTCGGTCGTCCCTGTTCCTGGTGGTCGCGCTGACATCTGGTGCAGAATCCAGCTTATGCTCCATTGGCAAAATCCATGCACATTACCATCACCGAGGCATCCTACAATACTACCCTTTCCATTGTGACTGCGGGCGTGATAGGATTGTTGCTCTCGCCGATCTCGAATATTTATGGCCGGCGACCTGTTTACATTTTTACATCAATCATCGGCATTGTTGCAGGCGCTGGTTGTGCCATTTCCAAAACATGGGGAACCCTGCTCGCTGCGCGTGTGATCGTCGGTATAGGGGTGGCTCCAGGAATGGCAATTGGAGGCTCCGCGGCCTCGGACCTATATTTCATGCATGAACGTGGCAAGTAAGTAATATGGACCTCGAGACCAACCACGCAAGCTAAGTTACATTTCAGGTTCATGGGTATTTATGTGGTCTTGTAAGGAAAATCTGCGTTGCACCTGCTGTCCTCTGGCTGACTCGAGCACGTTAGCGTCACAAACGGCGCCCATATCGCCGCCCTCTGCGGTGGTTTTACGGCACAGAGCCTCAGCTGGCGTTGGAGCTACTGGGTTCCCTGCATCGCTCTGGCTGTCAGCTGGATTATCAACATTTTCTGCCTGCCCGAAACACTATATCACCGCAACAATTCGACAGGTGAAACATACAAGCGTACGAAAAATCGGTTGGCCCTCTTCACCTTTCGATCGACTGCTGGTAAGCGGCGTGTGAAACTGTGGGACATTACACACTGCTTCGTCATGCTCAAGTATCCATCGGTGCTCTTCTGCTTCATCTACTACAGTTATGCCTTTGGTATCGGCACGGTACTGTTCGCGGTCACCGGTGCCGCGGCCTTCGGTAAGATATACCATTTCGACGTCGCACAGGTTGGCATGGCTATCGGGTTGTCGACCACGATAGGGTCCGTTATTGGTGAACTTGCCGCTGGTCCGGTCAGTGATCGAATCCTGTATCTGTTCATGAAGCGGAACAACGGTCGAATTTCCAGCGAGGCCAGACTGACAGCGACTTGGCCCGGGGCCTTTCTCCTGCCCGTCGGCGTCATCATCGAGGGAGTTTGCCTGAAGTACAAGACGCATTGGATGGGCCCGGTTATGGGCATTGGCATCGCCGCCTTTGGTCTTCAGATCGTCTCAACCAATATCTACGCATACTTGGCGGATTGTTACAAGCCACAGAGTGCTGAGGTCTCTACTCTGCTCAACTTCGGCCGTCTCAGCTGCTTTTCATTCACATTGGGGTTTTACATGGTCAGTCATCGCTAAAGGCGCGTGAAATTGATTGTTGCTAATATCCCTGTTCACAGAACCCGTTTGCTGAGGGGACCAGTTACGCGATCGCCTGGTGTGTGATGGGTCTGATTGGTGTCGTTTTGTATGGTGGTATCGTTTTGTTGATGTGGAAGGGTCAACACTGGAGGGAGAAATTGGGTGCACCAAATTTCCACCGAGACTTGTGATTACTACTACGTTTGTCTGTCTGTGTTTCCTTGACACCTACTCCTTGATGATAGAAGCATTGATGTGTTGGAGTCTGTGATTACTGTTGTACGCACCAGATGAGCGCAGATGTTCCGAATAGTACTTCTGACTGTACTTCTACAGATTGCTGCTCGTGTCTGCAGCTCCGCCGGCACCTTGTATCTTGCGGCACCAAGCATGATCTGTTCCAGCCTCCGGCCATCATCGCCTCCTAGGTTATGCACGAGATTCGGGAATTAGGAAGCTCATAGCCGCTGATAGAGATTAAGGCATCCGAGAAGTGATGATACTTTTACTGCCCAATCGAATCGAGACTACTAGTAGTACAGCTAAGCCAGCCATATTTAACCAAGGCACGGGACTGTAGACGTTGTCCTTCGATCTGTTGCAGAAATAGGCCATACCAAATAGGCCGCGCGAAACCGAGCGTCAGACATAGTGTTTTCCGGCCTTGGCACTATTGAGCGGTGGTGACCGAGCCAAAATTCATCGAAATATTGGTCAGTCAATATGAATTTGAAAGTCAAGTTGCGGAATACGAAACCCGCTCGTTAATAGCTCACCATCAATGTCAGTGTTGTCATCCTTGCCTTCTTGCCGGCCGGCACTTGGAAGAGCTGAGTACCCAGCAGCTTTGCACTAGTTAAGAAATCAACAACGTCAACGCCATCGGCTCCTGGCGAGCCCATCTCAATGCCATACAGAAAATTGTGCGTGGAAAAGTGAGCAAAAGATCCTTGTAGTCTCCTCCACTTCCACAGGGGCTACCGCCATGAGGAATATATGGAATGACAGTCTGTCGCCGGATCTGGTTCGATTCGTCCGCCAGTCTCCGGGGTATCTGCAGGTATGACCGCATCCTACTGCTAGCAATTTGGGTCACCGGGAGGCTTTTATTGGCTTGAACCGTATCTGGTCTTCTCTTGATCGCTTTTTCCTCCATGAACGCCAGTCCATCTTTGTTCTTTCCTTGCACGATGGCAAGCATTTGAGCATCCCTATGAGATGACGGATCGTCATCATTCTCTCCTCTTCGACAAGCTTAGGCACTTCAAGTTGTCCCTCCTGTACCCTCTAGCCGGACCTCAACATCCGGTACAGAACGACTAATGTTCTTGATGAGGATTGCCGACCTTTCGTCTACGGCCTCGACACTGGTACTTGAGTAAATTTCCAGTTATCTCCCTCTTGCAGGTTTGCAGCTCAGAGCTTGTGTAAGACCTATGCTCGAATTTCTGAGCACGCCGTCAATTAAGGAAGACCACGGACACAAACCATACAGGGAGGCTACCCCTATAACGATCTTGCCGGTAACCTCAGGGTGACTCGACTTGTGCACGCAAACGCGATGAAGGATGACTTCCGGGAGAACAGGAGATTGGAGCGGACGCGGATCAAGATTCTAGTTTCTTATCCTCCGCGATTGTTCAGCAGGATTCGTGGCTCCATTGGCCAGAGGACGAAGAACATTGAGAGGTTCACTGCTGCCCGAGCACTGTTTCTAAAACCAAGCATCGGCAAAATCGTTTGCTTCGGCACTTTCTTTTGGCTCCGAGTCTTTGACAAGGTCTTGGCAAATAACTTGTACGGAATAGTAAAATAAATAATATAATAAAGACTTCGCGAAAAATCTCTTAAATGAAATGATTAGTAAGCAAGGAATCAAGCAAGCAGCTGATCCGCCTCCGGGGATGTGGTCTAGTGTAAGTAATAAATTTCACCTACAGTAGAAGGTCAACACCGTCTAACATACACTAGGGTATGACGTGTAAGCATCGCAGCACACATCTGATCCGGGCAGTCATCTGATATAGCGACAGTTCCTTAGCAGAAGTGGAATCCTGAAAAGGGTTGTCTACAACATCTGGAAAAGGGTCAGTCTGACTTCTTCTACCATCATTCCAAACATTCAACTAACATCAATTAGTTCTGGGTTCGATTCCCGTAAGTTCACCCACAGCTACTAATATCAGTAGTAAACAGGAAATTAACAAAATCCGTAGAGCTTCTCCACTCAACAACTTTTTTCCCGCACAGTTATGATCCGCAATTACGAAATTCTGGTATTCCGTTTCGAATCACCTTTTTATTAGACATCTCTGATTGAACCTACCCTGAGACTTTTGCCTTGAGTAGGGTCAAATTGGCTTCTCTGGTATTAGGGATAAGCGGCTGGCGGATGGGGAGGATTGCAGTAGCAGCCTCATGTGTCGCTTTTTGGAACTCAGCCTTGCGGCACAGCCCTGCGATGCTAAAGGCTCGATCCAAACCAAAAAGGTACCTAGCTAGTGAAATCGTTTCCATTAACTGTAGGGCAACAGGATGCCCTTGCACAGATGGCCGAGGGATTTCCGAAGCCGACACAGTCGCTATCCTCGGTGCAAGATTGGTAACAGAATCCAGTCCAGTCAGACTGACATATATTCATACCGTTTACCTTTTCGACACAGTTGCAAAAGGTTCCCGGTGCGGCGTCTGGGCATTGGAGTACACTGCACCGAGGAATAGGACCCCGTCCTTGGCAATTTGTCGGCGTACATGCTCCAGAACTACATTTGTTGTTTGTCGCACATGCGTGGTTGCAGCTACCGCAATTTTGTGCATCTGACAGGGTATTCAGTGCCTTGCCGGAGCAGCAATTTTGGCCAGACGGAACAACGGCTCCACAAGCACCACAATTGGAGGGATCCGTCATGGTATTCACAGCTTTGCCGGAGCAGCAGGTTTGGCCCGATACGATCTGGTTGCCGCAGCTGCCGCAGTTGTGAGAACCTGTAACAGTGTTGACGCACATGAGATTGCAGACAGCCATGTTGCTATTCGGAGACACATGGTCCTTTGCCTCGGGCAGCCAAGCTGGTACAGTCTGATCCAGGGGAGGGGAAATTGGCAGCACACCATTTGGCGCATTTAGAGTTTCCTTGAGAAAGAACGGCCAAGGGAAGACCTGTCGACGTCAGTATTACAATACAATTACCTCGCCGGGGGCAAATGAACTGGCGACTCACCAACAACGATCCAAACAAGTGAATTGGAGAGCCAAATCATAGTGCAAATAGTCAACGGTGGAATTGTTTAGGAGAGGAAGGGTGAGGAAGCTACGGCAGGAATGCAACATGACGAAAATATGCTAGCTTGAGAATTTTTCCTTCGTAAACGAAGCAGACGAAGCTAAGAAAAGCGATGATTGAAAGGGTGTCCCTTTATACGCTCGAGATTTAGGAATTTACCTTCCATACTCAGATCCCTTTGCATGCAAGCGTCGAGAACATGGTATTGACGGCTGTAGCTTCAAACTTTCCCTTCACCTCCTTAAATCCTGTGCGTTGTTAAGGCCTAGCCCCATCGAAAAGGTTCGGTGGTGCTGCTGATGTCTTTCAACAACACGACATGGTCAACATCCAGGGGACACTTCGCCGGACTAGGACACAGTCCAAATCCGGTACCCCTATCCCTAGAAGTAGGGCAAATATTTCGTGTTGCGAACACGAGCACGAACCAGGTTCACTAAGTGACATTCTCGCCTCATTTCGCGGAGTAGATACAAGTAGCTTCTAAGCGAGAAATAGTAGGTCCGCAGTCCATTTTTCCCTACCTCCCCGAGTTACCGCTAAGTACAGCACTGGTGTAGACACTTTGCTCGTGTGCGGCTAAAGTTAACGCCTTCCGCATTCTGTCGCGTAACCAACTCTCAACAGCCCTAACACGAAGTGTTTCCGCGGATGTTGTAGTGGAGCACCTTGGGATACGCATTTAGCCACAGCTTCGTTGCGCTGGGTTCGCTGCCTAGTGGGCGATTCTACTCGGCGGCGATAGACTAGGGTTAAGCCACTTTATATCGGATCGTTATCGGATCGTAACGCTCTTGTCGAGCGTCGTCGACTCCCGTAGCGGTTATCCGCGACGACTAGGTCGTCGCTAACGCTGCCCGAGCAGATCCCTCGCTCTGTTCTTGTGACCCACATACCGAGCTTCAGGTCGTCGAAGTCACACTTGAGATGATGTCACGCGCGAACCAAGCAATGGCATATTGCGCAATCAACTTTGTGGGTATAGACCTTCGACTCTTGCCAATATTTAAGGTACGTGACTTCGCAACTGCGTCGTCGCGATCCATAGTACTTTGCCCATGTCCTCTATACTAATGATCGTCAAGTTTTTATTGATTCATACCTCAACAGCGTTGCGGCCTTCGATTGCTAATATTTCGTGGTCCTCGTCCAGTCTGCTACCAAGAGCGTCTTCCTCAACTATACCAAGAAGCCGCCGCCGCCGCCGCAACCAATGTCAAATCCCCTCTATCACAAGCGGGAGGCCAAGTAGCCACCCCCAGTCTCGGGCTTCTTTTCGACGTTGCGGTGGAATCTGACCAGGACGCCGCCCTTTCCGAGATACCGTGGCCTTCACTACGGACGTGATGCTCTTCAAATTGAAGTGAGGCTAGTGCTTGGGGTCCAAATTCTGTACCGGTTCCAGGCGGCTGCGGGCATACCAAGAGGTACACAATTTTGACCCCAAGCACTAGGCTCATATTGTGCCCGAGTTCCGCCAATGGCCTGCGTATGCTTTTCGCGCAAGTCACCCAGCGTTTGCTGCGCCTCAATATATTTCTCGGGCATCTCTTTTGCTGCGTCTGGCTCTTATTTCATAGCCGCCAAGGCAGACTCGCGTTCCTGAACAGCAACGGCCATAGCCTCTTAATAAGTCTACTCGACTTCAGTGTGCGGTACCCTACATACATTCCTTTAGTCCACCGTTACCAGGTAGGCCAATCATCCTTATCATACCTGATTTGAGACCTTTGCAACAAGGCAGTCTCGATACAGACCACGGTCCTACACCGGGCAACTTTATAAGCCACCTGCTTCTGTCACTACAGCGTGACCTACGGGAGATACGGCTGCAAACATTTCGAATGATCAGAACGACAACTCGCCCCCTCAGGCGGTCTACAAAACATCAATACAGTGTCGAAAGCGTAACGTTTCCCCCAATCCAGACCATCCTCGCAACTGCCTCGAAAGCCACAGCATGTGCACTATCTCACGGATTGCGGAGAAACATTTGTCTGCGGAGCACTAGTCAACCATACCTGCATAGCAAGGAGATAGCTGCACAGCAAGGAACAGCGCCACAACGTAATGTTATCGCCGTCTAGAGTCCTATTATTGTTCTGGTTATTACTTCGTCGATGAAGTATTAAGCGTTGATCAATCTCTACCAATTCACTCGCAAGCGTGACAGGACGCTACATTCCGCACATAATACCGTGATGTCCCCTTGTGCCCCGCGAAAGAGCATCATATACGCCGAGGCACAAGATTCAAAAGTAAAGATATTGTCATTCCTGCTGACGCGAAGCACATTCGGGCCGTCCTGTGTGGAAGCATCGATGGCGGTTACTACGTCTATCGCGTCGCGGATCAACCACCTCTGCGCCCGGCAGCTGCGTTCATCGTTAAGAATGCTGCTACAAGATATCTCGTGGCAGTTAACCTCATTGGTACCTCGACAAGAGGTGGCCGGCACCCATCGCTCAAGGGAAACGTCGACCATCGTCCACGAGCCTCTGTCCCGTTGATCGGTGACAATAGCGATCATTTGCCGCCTGAACGGGGTCCCTTTATGCTGCCGAACCACTTTCTCAGCGAGACTTTGACGTCTCTTGTTGGTTCATCCGCAGCAATGGCAATATTGCATGGTAGGGCTGCAGATAAAGGTTCCCACATTAATGTACAATTAAAGTTGACGTGGTAGCAGGACGGATTTCTACCACGGTAACCTTCATAGACTCTGAGTCCGTCGAAGAGTGCTAGAAAAGCAACAAAGCTCACGCTGTCGTTATAGGAACGGCCCTCGCTGGTCACGTCAGGAATGGGAAACAAGGCAATGCGCGTGGGAGTTCCTGGCCCACGGCAAGGTTGGTCGCCCCTGGACTTGCAAGAGCTTTCCCCCAATACACCACTTGCTTTTCTCAACTGTAGGTCTCTAGATGCGACGGACCCTCGTCAGCCCACCGACCATACCCGCCTATATGGGACTTGGAAAGCTACGTACGGCATGAAGCCCTCCTTCATTCTGACCGGACTTGGCCCATGTTCGAGGGACTCCGTCAGGCCGCTACCTTGCTTCGTCAACAACCCTGGGCAGCGCTGGTCTTCCACGCTTGAATGAATGATCTCTGCAGGTTGGTCTGGGCAGTGCCGAGCAGGGAAGTCCCTTGCACATGGGTCGAGGAGAAATGCTCGACGTCTATCGCACTGACCACGTGGATTCCCAGCTTCGACCTATTTCCGAGCAGTTCTAGTACGTTCAGGAGTTGTGCATGGGCCACCTACTTCGAAGCATGACCGGCCAGCAGGATAGAATCCTCTGCCTTGTCCATATACCCCAAAATGTAAGCACTTTCCCCCCCAGAGGACTAGCCTCTAAATTGTAGCGTTATCGACTAACCTTTCTAGGGGCTCGCCAGTCTAACTTCAAGGCCATTGTTTTACTAACGAATTGCCTATTTAGGACAAAGCCTAGTTTTCTAGCATTCAAGGCATGAATGTACCGCGCTGCATAATTGATTGTTGCCTAACATCCTAACCGAGAGCAAGTTGACAATCAAGGCATGCCCATAGCTGGTATCCCTGGTCCAATTTAGAGCATCTTGCTCGATTTGCACCGTCCTTGCGAGATTGTTGCTATTCACAACGCTGGGGTGGTCGAAGTTATGTGCAAGTAGGGGATGAATAGGATATGGAATTGTCTCATGGCTAATGTCATGCAAGAGCGATATCCATAGTCATTCCCTCCTTATGCCGGGACAGCTCTCTGATGCTGCGTATAAAACCTACCTTACTGGACCTTGACTCCTACAGACCGCACCACCGTGTTACGCCTTGTTCATGTCCCGTGAAGATGGCTGCAATGTTTTCAACTCTATTGCTTTTCATCTACAGCACCGTCTTCTTTCAGTGCACTGTTCGGGCTAGTTGTGAACCAGAATATGCATTCTATCCACCAAGCTACTCCCAAGACACGCTGACAGATACATTTCTCGACATCCAAGAATCCCTGAATGCATTGATCGCCCAGCAAGAAGCAATCAACGATACCTCACTCGCCATCCAAATCGCCTCTTCCAAGGAGACGCTTTTCCAGTTCTATCACACATCGCTGAAGGCCGAAGAAAACAGCCCAGCAAATATAATAAACGGTTCGACCGTATTTCGGATCGAAAGCAACACGAAACTCTTTGTTGCACTTGCAATACTGCAGCAAGAAGCAAAGGGACATCTGAACCTGGATGATTCAGTCTTACACTACCTGCAGGACCTCGATGATGACAAGAGCTCTTTTGACTTTGAAAAGATTACTATCAGGTCTTTGCTATCACATACAAGTGGTCTTCCCGACACCCGTAAGCTGGGCAGCAAAGATTGTGAGACGACAACGGACTCTGGCTAACAGGCATTTAGCCGCTGATGATGACTTGCTGGTATCGCTTTCAGATCCCACAGTGTACGGACTACCTCCTGTCTCAAACAAGAGGATCAACTCTCTCCCTCAATGTGACGCCTTCAGCAATTACACAGTACCATGTACCGAGCAAGGTAGGATGAGACACTCTAATTGCAGTCGGCATAGAATTAACTAGAAGAAAACAAGACCTCCTCCGAATTCTGCCACAATATGGCCCTGTCCTCCCTCCTCACGTCGTGGCATCTTACAGTAACATCGGCTTCGATCTACTCGGTCTTGTACTTTCGAATGTCACCAACATGTCCTACCAGGACTACATCTCATCCTCAATTACCCGCCCTCTTGGTCTGAACAACACTTCCTTTACCCCTCCGGCTCAAAGTGCAGCGAAACTTCCCTATCCGAGCGCCTGGGGTGAGGTCCCGGGTGTTGATGGCGCGTGAGCCATCCCCCCGTAGCCCCTTCCCCCTAATATGACTAACTCCTTCAGCGCTGGCGGACTCTACTCTTCCCCCACCGACATGACGACCTTCCTCCAGCACTGTCTCCTCGCCCACAACAGCATAACTCCGTCTCTAGACTGGTTCTTCCCCATGGCCTATTCCGTGGGTTCACACTCCTTCTTCGGCTTTCCCTGGGAGATTTTCCGCACGTCTGGTATCCTCCCCGACAGTGAGAGGCTCATGACATTCATCACGAAAGGAGGTGGAGGAACCGAATATTACAGCTACAGCATCATCATCCCGGCATATGACCTCGTGGTCTTCCTTGTCCTCGCCGGCGAGCTTCCGGCATTGAACGCTGTCTTCGCTGCAGTCCGCGACAGGCTTGTCATCGGCGCAGAACGTGTTGCCCAACAAACCCTCCAATCGACCTACGCGGGGACCTATTCCGCCTCTCCGTCCTCTTGCACGTCCACCCTCTGCGCCCAAAACCCACAGGGTATCAATTCCTCTCTCACAATAGCCCTCTCCCCTTCTCGCTCCCTGTATATATCCTCCTTCATTTCAAACTCCACCGACACTTTGCAAGCCCTCCTGGCCGTTGCCGGTGCGCAGAGCGGACAAACAGGAACCGTGTATTTCTCATTTACACCTATGTTCCGCACCCTCACCGCCTCGGACCCCGCCGACGACAATCAGACACGGACGGGGGAAGTATGGCGCTTTATCAACGTCATCGACGACACCGGTTCCGGTAACGCGACGAACGCGACCAACGTATGGGACGATTACTGTGTGTCTAACCTCGATCCATTGAGGTACGGCGGTGTAAGCGTGAATGAAGTCATTTTCTGGCGCGGAACGGGTAGTGCAAGTGCAAATGTTGAGGAGATCCAAATCCCTGCATTTCAAGTCGTTTTAGGCAAAGAAAAGAGCGGCTGATTACCGGGTTATCTGAGTCGGAGGATCAAAAAAAATGGCTTTGCTTGATTTGTTTTAATTTGTCTTTGATTGAACTTGGATCTTTCAATCTGGACCTAGGGACGTTGGATGCCGGACCTGAAGAGCTTTTGCAAGGCCAAGAGGGGCCGGCGTGTGGGAAACCGCCAGTTTGATTGCCATACTTAAAATAGTCGAAGAGTCTGTACTTTCGGGAACTATATTTTGTAATGTCCTTGAGTAGAACGAGAGTAGACGCGCTATCAGGGACTGTGGGCGAATGCTATTCACACTGTCACTGCCCTTTTTTACTGTAGGCCTATACCTACCTAGGATGGCCACCGCCAACTAAGCATAGAACACAGTCTACGATGTATTTCTGCACCACCAACAAGTAATAAAGCCTTCTCCATATTCTGTGAACAGCCTCTGTGTGGCCCTAATAGGCCTTTTACTATCCTTGGCCCGCTGATGCTGATGGACTGCCAAGTTGCTTGACGAATATTATCAAAGAGCATACGCTCGAAGCCGTTCAGAGTGCGCAAACATGCTCGGTGCAACGCTTCTGGTAGTGTCCTGTCGCCAGGACCAAAGGATTCGCTCTCTAACTAGTCGTCGACTAAACAGCCATCAAATATCGCCATATGGTTCTTGGCTCTTCTGAGCCCGTCGACCCTCACGGAACCACCCCGGGCGAGCCTATCTCGAACACATAAATAACTCCCTTAGCTTCTTGGAATTTTCATCAAGGCCGTTGCCAACAAGTTTCGATTCGCACCACATTGCTGCTTTGAGTCAGGATGACGAGTTGCTTCCACCAGTTCACGTGCCCAGTTGCATCACGGGACGTTTCCACCATCTCCACCATCGACTTTTGGTCTCACGGGCTGTCCGCAGCGGAGCAGATTTATCTTCCTCTAGTGGGCATAAGGCCTGACCAGAGATACAAACCCACGGCATTGAGATTGAAGTTCGAAACTCACCGGTGGCTACCACGACGACGTCGTCAGATCCTTTGACCGAGGGCTCTTTGGATTTGAGAGACGCAAGGCCCGCTGGGACATGGCGATGGCCGTAAGCGCGCTGAACAAGCTCGGCAAATTCCAAACAAATGGTGAGCAGGAGCATTCTGAAGAGACTTTTGTGGCGCGAAGCTAGTTATTGCAAGAATGCGGATGTCCTCTTTCACAGTGGCCGGCGGCGAAATATACCCTGTGATCGGAAAAATGCAGCCTGACGACGCTGGTATCGAAACACAAGAGAAACCTTCGTCGTGGATTATAGCATGTCCTGTTTAGGCAATATGCTCGAAAACCATGAACCCTAGTTTTGAGGGCTTGGGGAACGCATCCTGCCGGTGTCTTCCGGCCAGCGGCTTCCTGGCCTCTTTTCGGTCATGGCCCTATTCAACATAGATAGAGCGCATGGAAACTGTAAAAACGTCAGCGGGCTGGGGCCTACAGATAGGTTAGGGAGCACATACTGAGCTGGAGCTGTGCCACTCTCCGACAGCTGAACGATCACCTTGGAAAGCTGACGGTTATCACAGACTTCTGCAAAATGCTCCAACTGGCGCCTAATTCTATCTGTCAGATCCGTTGCCAGGACACCTTGCGACTCAAGTGCCTTCGAAAAAGGCCAGAGGAAGCTGCAGATCCACATATCGGTGTTCGTCCCCGGAGTTGCTTGTCGCTGACCCTTTTTCAGGAACGGCGGTATACTCTCGTATATCTCTTCGACAACTTCCCCGTAGGCCTTAGTAGCTCGGTTTGCCTGCGTTTCCATCCACATTCGATCTAAGGCGTGGTATTCAGGACTCATTGACACGTACCGCCTTCCATGGACGCACAAGAGCTCGTTCAGGTCCATGAGGATCATGAGTAGTGTGTTGCGTGCCTGGATTCGACGGTGGGTTTCGTAATCACACGAGATACGAATATGTCCTTGAGCATGGGCTATGATGTCGTGGGTCCGTGTCAAATGTTCAAGCAAAGAGCGCGCTTGTCTGTGGAGAATGAGTGCTTGCTTGAGAACATCGAGGTCTTCCAACCGACCCTCGATTGCATCCTGCCTCAGACCTGCCAGAGTATCTGTCACAGTCCAAAATTGCAATTGAAATTGGGTTGACAGCAGAGAGCGACGCCGGAGGAGGGACAACGATAGCGGCAGGGCCTTTCGTTGTGCATAACAATCCAGGTAGACCGAACTGACAATATGGCTCAATAAATGTTGGTCCGTGTCGCTGCTCGAATCTCGCGATACTCTCAAGAGCATCAATTCCATCGCCGCGCTGACATGCTTTGACCAGACGGGCAAGGCCTCGGCTGCATCGCATGACAAGGCTGTGAAGAGAGCCAGAAGCATCACAGAAGCAACAGTGTCGTCCTGTGCAGCTTTCTTCGGCGTAGAAACGGCGTGATTGGTCTCTCGCAACGCTATCGAATACCTCTCCATTGCTTGTCGCATCAGACTGGGGCAGCGTCGTCGAGAACTAAAATAGGAGATGGCCACTGCTTCAAAGCTAGCCTCGAGCAAAGATGACCTGTCGGCAGCGCCGTATAGCCTTGGTAAATAGTCAAGATATACTCCTCCGTTGAAATTGAAAACGAAAAAGGCAATGGCCACGTCGCTGCTTGGCTGAATGATAGCTGGGGTGATGCTGTCCACTTGCAATCCAATATTGCTTACACGATGGATCTTCAGTCTATCGCTCGCGGCATACGGTGAGTCTTTATCACCCGAACGCGAGTTAGTGGACTGAGGTGAAGGAGAGGCGGCGCTCTTGCGCGGGGAGGTGTTCGACTGCATGGCATGGTATTTTTGGTCGAGTTTGTCATTCTGATGCCGCATCAACAGATCCATATTATCTCGGTAGCCGGAACATGTCCTTAGGCTCCTCAGGCACTGTGAGCACTGAGGCCGGCGCCGGTCACACTAGTCATTGGTCATTTTCAACCCCAAATAAATGGGAGTTGTTAAGTACCTTTGCTCTTCGCCGGCGGCATGGCTCACAAGCTGTCGATGGCTTGGTACGATCAACGGGGGCAGCCAGAACCTTGGGTGGCATATCATGGACAATAAGCTATCAGAACCAAGCAAGGATGATGCGCAAACTTGGTGGGTGAAGGTACACATCGCCTTTCGATACATTTACGCTTGACAATGACATTGCCGTACGTAGGATGTTTCAGCGTTGCCAAGCTTGTTCCTGTTGACGTTAACCCCGGCGGCCTTAAATTGATGACGCTGTATTTCGTGCTAGGTGCTGCGCCTCCGTTGCGAAACACAAGTACGCCGACAAAGCCGTTTTAGGTAATTCCTTCGACATTTCCCCGCAATGTAGACTATCGGTAAGACCAATGCCGATATCGACAGAACAGTGTGAACTAGGATAGGGACATTACCTAAGAAGAAATGATTGATCTGGTTAAGAACGTCGCAGAAGAACGTACCGCGGTCTAGGGCGGGCGCGCTGACGAGTAGACCGAGGAGGCTGTCAAGAGACCCTCCGTTGTTTAATAGTCCTACGGAGAGGCTCCCGTCGGTGCTCGCTTGTAGACTGATTAGATACCTGGCCACTGGAATTTATACAGCTATAAATAGTGATGCCGTTGAGATGGAGCTATCTACTGCTTTGGGGATAATGCCTTTAAGCCTTGCGTTTTATCCGGAGTCGAGGGAGGTTTTCGGAGAAGAATTTGAGGCTGCTTAGATCTACTGTAGTCCCGTATCATCGTGGAGAAAGGTTTACAGAGCCGGATTTTGGTTCGGCTCTGCACTAGAGCCTAGCGGGTTCATTGAGAGGGTAAGCGCTATGGCCATCTGGATGTTGCCATCAATCTCCTAGTACTGCATCACCCTTAAAGATCCGAATGAATCTCGAGTGTTAAAGCGTCAAGAGCGACGAGCTAGAGTCTATTTCTGGCTCCGTTGGAAATGTCAACTATAAACGTCGGAAGACCATTGCCAGCTTTGGTCTGTAGTACCTTAATCATAGTACTAATAAGTCGCGGAAGGGTGGACAGGTCGACGACCGCAAACGCGGATAGGACATCGGAGATGGGAATTGCATTGTTCCCGGCCGTCTGCAGACCAAGTAGGACGACTCAAGACTGTCGTCTAGCTGAACTGCCGACGTGGTGAAGGTGCTGCGAAAGAAGGTGTTATTAGAATACCTGATGACTGTGCTGCTGCCACTCACAGTCACAGTCGGCTGGGAAACGAGCTGTGACTGTGCGATGAAGTCGTTCCAGGCCGATTCCAAGTTGTTATTGCTGTCAAGGATGTTCACGGCCGGGTCGTTGCAATTTTCTCCGTCGCCATCGACCATGATGGGCTGCCAACGACGTAGTTTCAAGAGGTGCGAGCGAGGTCGACCTGCTCAAACTTGACATCAACATTAAAGACCTATGTTAGTTGCGCGCCCTCCTAGACCAGCTTATCTGAGAGTGGCTACCTCGGGCGACAGAGTGATCTGTTCCAGGTTACCAGTGGAAGCAGACGCTGAATTCCTGATACAGTGTCAAAATCGGCTCTGCAAGCACCTCCATCCACTGCATGTGAAGTCATCACATGTGTACAGTACAGAGCAGGCTCTTACTACACGGACCATGCGGGCTCCAGCTAGCCATTGAACAGATGGTTCAGCCGTTCCGACACCAACCCCAGTTGGGCACCCTGCATGTCCGTTGCCTGGTTCGGGCCAGGAGTGTCAGCTGAGCTTCCGTTGAGCCACATCCCGAATTCTTTGGGGCTGCATCAGCGGCCAGAATGTCAACAATCGACATATGGGCTTCTCAAAAAGTACCTTGAGAGAAAGCCATGATCGCATAATCAACCCTGTCCGACTTCAGAGATTATTCCAGCCCGCCTCTTACTCCAGGTGCTTCCTCTAAGCAATCAACTAAAGAGGGTAATGAGCGAGTCAACGAAACACTGTTCGCACTAGAAGATTCGCGGCTAAGACCATCATCAGTCTTTTCCACTCCAAAGATGGCCCAGGATGAACTGCTCCCGGGTGGTGAGGTGGTGAAGACGACTACCGAAGAGATTAGCCTATATATCTGGGATGATAGACTGTAGCTCGTGGCAAGGCCAGCTCCCTTGGGCCTATCTCCGCAGATCGTCCTGTCATTGTCCAGTTCAAACGACAATGACAATAACCTCAAGGGAACGCAGACAACCATGGCTGTGCAAATGGAGAACATCGCTATCCCCATCGATCTCTCAGCGTTCGTCCTGACGCCAGAATGCGCTGACAGCGATGGACCTGCTCGCATCGGCATCATTTCTCAACCCAACTTCTTGGGCATTAAACATGCTTCCTCCGACTTGCGTCCTTAACCAGAAGAACAGGAACTACACTACCACCTCGGCCAACGCGTTACCCTGATCTAGTTGTTCATGCCTTTGCTGGTTACTTCTTGCCCGAGAATTCGCGGTGGCAGGGGACCTAAGTTCCTGCTTATGGAGGAACCTGTTCACGGGCGACTCGTGGTTGACGGATATGGCGTCCACTGGACAGGCGATAAGCGTCATCGGCAAGGACTTGGGCAAGTTCTCGTTCAGGAACAACTATCCGTCCAACTTCCAGAAGAGCAAGAACATGTGGATTATGGTTATGTTATTGGTCAGCAACGTCCATGCCATGACGAGCGTAGAGAGAGAGTCGTGCGAGCTCAAGTTCAGACGCAGCTTCAGAGGCAGACACGTGTCGTTCATGATGGACTCGTATAAGGCCGTGGCCGAACCACTATCTCCTCATGCACCACCGCTCAAGGCACCTGGTCAGGAAGTAATGGCACTAACATGGCTCAAGAGAAAAGTAGCCATTAAGTGACAGTCGCCCTGACTCATTACGTCCCACAGGCACACTGATCCTGCGGCGCGCCACAATCTGGGCAGTGCCCCATCTTCTTGTGAGGCTTGGGATTGCGAAAGATCAGCCAAAGCATCCCAGCGAGCGTCAAGATGCCGAAGATGATCAGTAGTGTCAGAATAGCAATGGCATACCATGGGCTATCGTTGTATGAGATGATTTGGCGCATATCTTGATTCAATGAGGAATCCTTTTCCGTGAATTGAGTGTGCACGTATCCGTACATGACGTCTGAGATCGATGAGTTTAAGTAGTGCAACGAGGATTCGTCGAGCGTAATGTTGGTGTTGTAGGTATAGTTATGGAAAGCTGCAAAGAACGTTTCGTTGATATTGGTCAGGATATCTTGGTTGAATGACTTGGTGATGGTCTTGTCGATGGACTGGTCTATAGTGGTAATGAGTGTATTGTCAACATAGCGCTGAAGACTGCTGTCCATGGAGATGTTGACGCTCTGAGTAATATTCTCCTCGAACTCAGAGAACGTAGCGCTGATATCAACGAACTCCTTACTGATTGCTTTATGCACCGAATTGTCGATTTCAACGCCTACGACCTTGGTGAAAGTGTTCGAGATCGATTCGACCAAAGTCGCGTTAAGTTCTTCAATGAAAGTTGTGTCGAAGTACGCTTTTAGGGCGATGAGAAGCACGTCGAAATTGATCGTGCCATTGCATGGTGCAGGTGTTGGGCTCGGTTTACAAGATGTGGACACAGTATGAGTGACGGTTTCTGTGTAAGTCGTTGTGCTTGTTACGGTCTGCCCTGGTAGAGTGGTCGTCGTATCGATCGTACTTGTCACGGTCGAGGTCGCATATGGCGGACATGGTGGTGAGACCGTGCAAGTGACTGTAATCATCGAGCATCCAGAGCTTGAGGACAAGACTGAAGTCGTTGACGCCCAATCACTCCAACCAGGTCCTTTATCAGTACTCTCACCTCCATAGATGCCTCCCTTGTAGTCGACATTGGCAGCAAACGTCGTTGCGCACAAAGCAGCCAGCGAAAAAAGAAAAAGCATCTTGAGCTGCTGCGGCGGCGATGACAAATTGAAACGGGGAGAGAAACTGTGAAGGCGGATCAGAGCTTACCTAAGTACTTACATGATTGGGCGTACGCTGGAACTCCTTCTCTGCGTGATGGACCTGTCGCGCGATGGAAAGCATCTGCACACCGTTCATGCTATTCGCAAAGCTGCAGAGCTCCAAAAGATTCGTCAATGCAAGAGCGGTGGCATGCAGAAGCGAGAAGTATCCTGCAGACTTCTGGTGTTCGTCCATCAGCTTTTCGAAGTAAGACGAGTTTCAGCTGCCGTAGGCCAGACAGAGGTGGTCACGGATTCAGCTGACGCCACACCAGTGACGAGCTGGCCACAACCTCGCCCCGCAGGAATATGCACCTCTTCTAGGCTTAGTCCGTCCATGTGCAGTCCCAATGAAGAGGCTGCCTAAGACTTTCAGCTCAGCTTAGAGCTGCTATCGCAAAAGCGTTGTGGTATAGTGCTTTGAAGTCGGAGATGATTGTCACTGCTCATGCTGGTTGGCCGGACGTCATGCAGGCTCTTCCCCGTACGACCTCAGCTACACGACTAACTCTTGACTTCTCGCTTCTTCCTGCAGCATCATGACAACGTGCATCAAATACAAGGGCGGCCAAGGATCCAAAGCAGAAATTTCAGCTGCGAGCCGAAGAAAGGCGTGCTGGAGGGACGTCTTTGACCGGTGATCGCATGACACGGGTTAAGCACGTTCATGTCTTGTCACGAACTTGTCCGTCTTCGTCAAGGGTAGGTAGGTCGTTCACGACGATCTGGAAAGTTATCAGGTTGGTAGACACGTGAAGGTTGATGGAAACGCGAAGAGCTCCCTGATCCCCCCCTACACCTCTATTCTTAAGCATTTGCTTGTCCTCTTTGGTCAACTAGTTCCTCCAACACATCTCAGCATGACTATCGACGTCGATTATATCGAGGAGTCCATAAAACGAGGAATCACTGTTGGTGTTGTTCCTTCCGGCGGAGCAATTCGCACGCGCAAGGAGATTGATGAGTTCATCAAGGATACGGATTGCTTCAATCTGTACCTCCTGGCATTGATCGACCTCCAAAGACTGCCTGGCGCCCGCGAAGAAGAATATTTCGGCACTCGCCGTCCTAGATGGAATGCTGCCTTCTCGTACTTCCAGATAGCAGGCATCCATGGCAGGCCTTTCCACCCATGGGATGGAGTCAGTCAGGAATATCTAGGAATTCGGAAGAAGGAAGGAGAAGATGCAAGGCACCAACCAAGTGTTCAAGCTGGATACTGCTCTCACTCCTCTGATCTCTTCCCTACTTGGCATAGAGCATACCTCGCGATGTATGAGCAAAGCCTCTTTCTCCAGATGGTCAGCATTGCAAAGGCATTCCCCCCGCAATATCAAAAGAGATACCTTGACGCCTGTGAAGGTTTCGGTATACCATATTGGGACCCATTCCTTCCCCGTCGAAAGATTCTGAACAAGTATGGGTATCCGATCACCAAGTGTGGCATTCCCGTCATCATGTCAACGAAAGATGTTCGAATCAGGACTCCTCGACACCCGGATCCCCCCATTGATGGCCCAAATCCGCTGTACAGCTACAAGTTTGCTCCCGGGAGTTTGGACTGGGCCGAAGTAGCTGGTCATCCTTTCAGGGAGATCTTTAGTGACGTAATAAACAATCCAAACATGACGGTCAACACGATACGAGGACCAACACCTACTGGATGGACCAGCCATCAGTATGTGAATAACACGTTGACAAACGCCGTTAGCACTGCAAATGGCCCAGCTCTGCCCCTTGGATCGAAGATATATCGCATACTCCAAGGGCCGCCTCTTTCGTATACACAGATGGCGACCAGCGCGTACGTTGCCCAAGCTGGTCCGTCCACAAACAAGGAGAATTCTTTGGAAGGCCTCCACAACGACATTCATACCATGTGTGGGAATGGTGGTGACGGGCGGACTGGACATATGGGTCTCACCGAATATGCTGCTTTTGATCCAATCTTCTGGCTCCATCATACCAATATCGATCGCATCTTTGCAATATGGCAAGCACTGAACCCGGATACTTGGGGTTGGGATCAGACACTGCTGGACTCGCCGACATATGTCAAGGGCATTGGCGATCGCGAGACATCCACGTCTTGGTTGATTCCATTCAGGCTCAAGATTGAAGAGAATTTCCATCCTTTCGCTGATCCAGGTTCGGCCTCTAGAGAGCCACCGAAAGTAGAGTGGTGGACCAGCGATGCATTGAGAAGATGCAGCGACCTGGGCTATACGTACCCAGAACTTCAACTGGTGAAGCGTGGTGAGAAGACAGATGACCTTCGCCCATTGCGGCAATGGGTGACTAACACATACGAATGGTCCACGATATATGGCGAGCCTCCTCCTTGGCGATCGCTGTTTGAGTCGGAGGGCTTCTCTCGAGTTGAGGCACTGCCAAAGGTGTCTAGGATCGATGGTAGTGGCGAGCCCATCTTAATGGCAACCGCAACCGCAGCGACTACTAAGCCCAAGCCCAAGCCTAACATCTCAACCAGGATGACAAACTGGTTCCGCGGACGTGATGTCAGCAAAAATGTCGGACGAGGTGATGATATCGATTGTTACAAGCATATCCGCCCAATCATGAGAGGTCACACATTGACACATTGGAATCTCACTATCACGGTCAGAAAGTAAGTGTCCAGTATTTCGAGCCTGCGACATAGGAGCTGACCAATTTCTACAGATTTGCGCTGAACGGCTCATTCCAGATCTACTTCTTCCTAGGTGACTTCAGTGATGACCCTCGCACCTGGCCACACGAACGCCATCTGGTGGGTATCGATGGCATCTTTGCTAACCGCGACATCAAACACTGGTATTTCCCCCTGTCTTTGTCTACAGCAGTTCCTCCGAATATACTAATAAGCAGTTAAGCGAGAATTGCAGACGTCAGGACTCGCTGGGCCTCGATGACTCGGACACCATCGCTTTGACAACGAATCTTGTAGCATATTGGAAGAATGAAGAGATTCACTCCGATATGCGCCTTCGTAGTCTAGAGCCAAACGATGTGCTACCTTTCTTGAAGTACAATCTACATTGGAGGGTGCTGGATGTAAGTACTCCTTCGGTGACTTTAAGGTCTAAGCTAATTCTTCGAATAGTCCTATGGCCGGCAGTACGATGCGCGAAATATCGAGTCCCTTCGTGTTGCTATAGGCTCTCAAGAAGTGAGGCTACCCACAGAATATGGAGGAAGGCCTGAGTATAGTATTGAACGTATCTGGCAGGACGTAGCGACTGGTGCTTAACTCATATACCTTGTCTACTATATTATAATTTCGGAGGGAGTTAGATAGAATTGTCGAAAGCATAATGATTCACTCTATTATTATTAGCCGACCTAACGCTGAAGTAAACTACAATAAGGTAGACTGTCGAAAGTAAAGCCTAGTTTATAATAGATGATTTCTTTATCAATAACCTCCGAGTTGGTTGGCCTTCGAGTCCTCCTTCATCAGATGATTGTCGGCTTCGCCCGGGATCTCTGCATCCCGGCCTCCTCCACCGCTTGTCTAATGATTCACATTGCCTCTAACCATAAAAGACGCAAGAGATCACAAGCTGCTGTACAGCGTCCCGCTCATACGCAGTCCTGTCGGAGGACCTCCATACAAGGCGGATTCGGTTACCCAGGTATGTTCAATATCAAACGCGAACTCTCGACATGCTGAAGGTATCCATAAGTTTAATTGCTCTCCTCACAATGGATTCGAAATTGCCCACCGATGCCTACGAGACCTTGATCAGCTGATCCTATGCGGCCAAAAAGGCCCACTGAAGAGCTGCTGTTCCCATATACTGCGGATGGAGGGGACTCAAACTCGAACACGCGGTGCATGACCGGTACCACCACCTATGCACCGAGCGCCGGTCGAACGCGACAAGTGACTGATTCGAAGGACCGAAGAGGTGGAGTCAGGGACGTCGAAGCATCGTATCAGGATGAGAACTGTCGTCGAATTGAGACGAGCTGGAGTGCACATATGCTGGCGCTTCGATTGCAGCGGTGCTAGCCTTCCAGAACTTCACTTCCACATGGTTGAACACCATTTCCTCACGTCGGAATTGTCTCCAGTTTCCGCGTCCGGTCAGTTCTCTATATGTATCCTGGTCGTCTGGGAAGCTCGCTCACACCTAGGGCAGTGGAACGCGTTGAACAAGGCAGAAACAAGAAGTGCGAACTCTGGGAAAACGCAGTCAATGCTTTCGCCACCGGCTTATTCAGCACTGCGCGTACTTTTTATGGACACATCACTTCCACAAATAAGCGACTGGAGGTTCACGGGCTGGTATCGCTATCGCGTTCAAACCCTGGCATGACCGACTCAAAAATATTCTAGAGGATTTCGGAGCAAGCGACCGGGCATGAGCTTGAGCCAGATGTCAGATGCCTACACCAGCAGCGTAAGACTGGGTTATAGCGTCGAAATTAAAGAAGCAGGGGGGTTATAATGGGGCCATCGTGTAGCTTAGGATTTTGTGTTGTGCCGGGCTACAGAAGAGACGAGAAATGAGCAAGAGAGATGTGTCCTCGTCTCAGAAACCCTTTGTTGGGTTGGACAGTCATGGGACATAGATGGAGACTCCATATTTCATGGAGGGACGACGAGACCGGTGATGTAGCCAGTCATCCTCATCGTCATGTGTAGGCGTCGGCTGATTATGCGTACAGGTTGTGCTCGGTCCTTGGACATTGTCAACTGCTAGCACTGTCAGTTACCACGACATTTTCTCGATCATTCACGTTGTGAGCAGAGTAGACAAGTGGCTGTGCGACTGCTACTGGCCATGGCATGAGGAGTCGATATTGCGACATGTGTGTTGACAATGGCACACCTGCACACCGTCGAGGTTATTGCAGATGCCAACTACTCAGCACCTCGCCAACACCAATGCAGCCTTCTTTGATTATGGCTGACATACATTGTCTCAGCACGGTTTCATCCTGGCTTGGTGCCTTTTAAATCCCGAGATGAATATAGGGGGTCCAATTTCAGTGCCGTCTTCTGCCACCTCGAGCGAATCTGGAGCACCGACTCGTGAACCGCCAACGCCACCTATCGGTCGGTCTCTTCCCCACCAGCAGGCTGCCGCGTGCTTAGAATTCTTGTGCCATGTCTACGCATATCTCGTCGTGGGACGCCCACATCGAGGCCATGACATGCCCGAATCCAGCCACTTGGAATGCGCTCGCCGGATGAATCACCTCGTCCACCAACTGCACGGTACGGGTTCCGCCAAAACGTCGAGTTCGATGACCACTCTCATTCAACTGCTCGTAGCCCGGGGAATGTTCTGAAGCCATAATCTCGCCAGCCTTGGGCCTCGTCTCTGTAGCGTATGTCATTCGTTTGCGTACGCTGCTTGAACCTGGATCTCCATTAAGCATTTCGGGGGAAAGAGAGCCGCAACGAAGATGGCCGCCCACGCCCGCTTATTCTTCCCCAGATACTTCCTCGCCACTGCGGCTATCTCCAGCTGTTCCTCCTGCGAAATCACTCCGACATAGAATGAGGTAAATATTGAAGATACACTCCCAAAGCTCTGTGGGGCTCAGATCTGGGAATGCAGCGGCGAGGGACTTCTGGATATTGCATTATGCTGCATCAAACTGCTTTACATGGCCGCCCTTAAACTGCTGGCCATCTGTGCCGTTGGGCGAAAATGACGAATAATCGCTGATGTCCCCAACCTGTCCCGAAGTCGCCACTATTCGAGCATTTTCGGTTTCAAAAGATGCCGCTGCGCTAATGTTGAAGACGTTTCCAAGGATCTCGTAGCCTAGGTAATCGTGGTTCTTGATGAATGCCACTGTATCGCCGAGTCGCGAGATGTTTCTGTGATAGTCACGAATAGGAACGCCGACTTACTTCGATGGACGTCTGGGCCTGAAGCTATTCGAGGCCTTGGTGGGTGGGAGCCAACTCGGTTATTTGTACTGAACCACACATGCTGGATGCTGCGGATAGTCATCGGCAGGCCTCTGGCGAAATTAGCATAGCACTGCCAATCAGGAGTCCAGATTTTGTCTTTAGAGATGAGTATGCAAGGGGGAGAGAAGAGCTAGCAGGAACCACACATGGTTTAATATCAATGAAGGTTGAAGAGATCTCAGTTGAGTGCCTAAGAGTCCAGGGGACCCTCTAACTATATAGCTTCTAGGTGGTTGGGAATACCTATTGTCTGACAAGCTCATGTAATTCCAGCGAGAAGTGGTGCCTGCCCGTTAGGCTCGCCGTCGGGGGTCATCGTCGGTGTATGCTCTTCATAGTATAATCATACCAAAAGTTACTCATGCCTTTCGGGGATAAGGTGCGTTTAATAGTCGTGACCAGCGATAATATCTACGTGATCGATCGTGATATACTTCTTTATTTGAAAGATATCTGATCCCGGAGTTTCGATATACTATGTTAGAAATTCTGCTCTTATGGCTACTTTTTGGATAGCCCTAGCAATTTGTTGGCTTGGAGCCTTTGGAATCTCATGTCCCCCGTTATGCTGGATACTCTGTAAAAGCTTCTCATTGCAAAGATCCCTGACAGCAAGGCTTTGCTCTTGCGATGGGTCACTTAAGCCGTACACGTGAACAGTCGGGATTTGCAGCTGCTCCTTTGTAGTATCGTAGAGTAAGATTCGGAAGTTATCCAGTTCAGTCTTATCTCCGAACGTATCTTGCAGTATCCGTTGAACACGGTTTCTTGTGTGCGGTGGTAGCTCCATGGCACTCTTCTCGCTTGGGCAAGGCTCCTCGAAACCTCCTCGTTGGAAGTCTTGCAGATCGGACACAGTATCCTGATCGTTCAGCGTCGCAGAAGCAACTTTGTAACCATGCTGAGCATCCCAGGAGAATGGAACAGCTGAGCATAAGAAGATGCCGAAGCGAAAGGCTGGTGATTCGAATGGTCTCTGCAGCTGGTGTCGCAGTATGTAGCTCGTGGCTATTGCACCTCCCTTATCGATGTCAGTCTCTCTTGCAAAAGAAAGAGACTGCAACCGATCATCCATCTACTAACCTGACTAAAGCCCATGATGGCATCAAAAGGACCTTCTTCGTCCACAATATCGTCAATTGTATCAAACACCTCTTGCACATTCCTCAGTGAGGGTTCGGTATAATGACTTAAGTACGGCCCCGGGAAAATCGAAGCCACTCCCGGTGCAGGGTAGGCATCTTCATCACCGTCTATGAAGTGCCACTCCCAGTCTTTGGGCAATAATGATCGGAATCCAACTGTGACATCTTGAGTGAGAGTTGGGAGAATAGTCCTCTAGACTTACCAGTCTGGCTTTCAAAGATGGCACCGTTTGTGCCTGCTCCGTGGAGGCATAGAATACGCATTCTTGCTACAAAGGAAACGATGATGTACGAAGGTTTAAGGGCCTGTTGTGGTCGTCCTGATTGTACTGTAGACGCCGATTTCGAGCACTTTTGCGGCTCGCTGGAAGCGCACCTTGGGAACCCAAAGCCAGTATTGCACGGACAGGCGCTTTGTCTGTGGCGTCTGCAACGATCTAGACAATGCCTAGGAATTTAGGATGTCAGAGCTTGAATCAGCCCTGAGGGTCTCCCTACGGAGTATACTTCTGTCCCAGGGGAGTGGAAGGAGATTACCGGGTTGGTGTTTGTGGCCGTGTGTCGATTGTAGGCTTTCAGGAACTAAATAAGTTAATATATACGGTTGATACTAACTGCTGGCTATTGCCTGTGCGGATCAGTGCATGGTCCAGCCACGCTCGCCGTATGCAAACAATTGTCTTGTTGCAATGCATGCATTCCGGGTGGGCCCGTCAGCTGCCTCTCAGCCCCAGAAAGCAAGGCAGAAAGCTAACTAAAGCCCGCCAACAGATTGAAATGCGCTAGCTACAAACCCTAAGAATGGGTAATGTACCACGACTCCACTCGGACCGCAAGAGTACTGACTGGCAGGGATCCTTCAGCTCAGCCGCCTTTCGTTTCGAATTCACGTCTCTTGAGCGGCCTAGATGTGCGTACGGAGTAGGCGAGCAGAACATGTCCTTATCACAAAATGAAGATACGAACGCGGCTGTGCGGCCCAAGCTGGCGCATGTTACTGGTTCGACTTCCCCTTTACCTTTGTTGCTATTATTGCTACCGATTTAGACTTAGCCGTCCGGATTATATGGCGATTTATTGATGTTGCGGTATGGGAGTCCGGTTCCGTGTCCAAGTCGCTATGCCTACCAACACCGTCGCGATAGACACATAGCAACATGTTCTCATCTCCGTGTTGAACGAGTTCGCAAAGGCTCGTGCCACGAGTTCCCTTTGTGATGGACTTAGTGTTTCGATACTCCCCAACGAGTGACGGATACTCTGAAGTTGTGCTGAGGACACCAGCCCCACCAGAACCTTGGTGATATTGTTGTTCAGGACGATAGTGGCAACTGCCAGACCCGTGCAGCCACCAAGGACTCTTGCCTGGTTGATTGCACCTTGGACTGCCGCTAAATATCCAGTCAGAACTAGGACAACCAGCGTCGCTGTTGAACCTACCGAGATTACAGGCCTTGTTTTCAATATTGATCATTTGCGTCAACGAGGCAAAAAAGAACCCAAAGCCTGAGCCCAAGATAACTTCAAATCCGTACTGCTTGGCTTCGATATCACGGCCGCCAGAAAGCGTGGACAAGAGGCCACAACCGATAGTCATGAGCATTGCCCCTACAACCAGTACCTCTGGCGTACGATTCTTCTTGGTGCAGAGAGATCCACCGACTGCAGTCCCTGGGTGCTTGGTTAGTTGCAGCGGACCAAATAGTCCGGGACTGCTCACCAACGGCAGTAAATGCAAGTAGTGGCATAAGCCGAAGACCGGCTCCGATGGGGGTCAATCCATTGACAAGTTGAGATCGCTCAGGTAGATTGATGACGGCAACAAAGTAGGGGAAGCCGGCAAGAAACGCGACCCTAAGCGTCCAGGTCAGTGCAAAAACATGGTTATGACTGTGAGTAACTTACACTATCGCTGGACCCGAAGGCCGCGTTGCGGCGATTTTCCCAGGAAAGATAGGATCAATGTTCCATAATGACTTGCGGGACAACACAGCAATCCAAACGACAAAGGAAACCCAGCATAGCCCAGAAATGGTCAAACAAGAAATAATGACCGCATCGTTCCACTTATAGAAAGCCGCACCGACCTGGTTAAGGACAAATACGATGAGGCACGATCCGGCAATCGAAAGCAAGGCTCCGAAAACGTCAATATGCCTCCATTGCTGCCGGTTTGTCGTCTTATTGTTGCGCGGCCAGAGTAGAACCAAGGGAAGGACGGCTATCGCAGCGAAGGGTGCATTGAACAGATAGATCCATCTCCAGGTGGACTTCTCGGTGATGACACCCCCGAGAATAGGACCTGTGATATCAGAATAGAGCTGCAGAATTGAAGCAACCAACGTACCACAAATTGCTGCTGTGCCAACAACCACTCCCACCGATGTGCCCATCAAAGGCCAACGCTTCACTGGAGTGATCTGTGGCGATATTACCATCGTCATCGCGTACAGTCCAGTGCCTCCGATGCCTTGGAAAGCACGGCAAACAATCAACTGGGGAAGAGTCCTGGACAAGCCTGCCCCGAGTGAAAATGCTGCGAACAGCACCCATGCAAGCAGGACTGCTGCACGTTGGCCGATTATGTCACTCAGACGTGGGAAGACGATGGAAAAGCCTAGGAGTGTTAGATCTTGCATATAGTCAAGCCAGCACCGGCTTACCCGAGTACCCAAGAAGGTATGCTAGAATAACCCATGTTGAGTCTGGGAAGTCGTCGAAATAAGCCCCAATTGTCACCAACGCTGTTGCTGAAATCGATGTCTCGATAAGAGCCAGCAAAAGACCTAGACATAGACTAGAAAAACGTCAGGTCATACTATACGTACTTGCCATCGAATCCTACCTGGTAAATAAAGCCGCCCAGCGCCAACCATACACTGGCGTCAGGCCGGAATTTTCGACTTCCTCGCCGTCATGTGTTGCGGTCTGGTCAGTTTGAACTTCTGCCTCATCAAACCTCGTCAGGGTCTTCATCATGCACTGGATTCAAGCGCTAGGAAAGCCGTGAAGTCTTTTCCCTTCGTCGTAGTTTTGGGCTTCAGACGTAGTCTAGAGTTGAAAAGGGGCTCATATCATGATCGCAAGTAAGTCGGAGTATCGAGTAGCTGTTCGAATTTGCGGCAGAGACTTTCTCGACAAAGACGGCTGATTTCAGCTCAGCCACGAGGTGCATAGCCTGTGGTCCATGTCTCGTCCCCATTAGACTTTTACATGACCGCCTAGACCTAAAACAATGGCGTACCAGTGTTCATGAATGCAGAGCGACGCGCGACTCAAGGTTTTTGACGTTTAATTAGCTGAAGTCTCAAGAAGGTGGGAAGATGGCTCGCTTCCCCTGTCCCAATTGGAAAAGAACGTGCCTGACTCCCCATGCTTTCTGACGACTCTGAAGCAGCCAATTCAACAATATGGGATGATGGGTCCGTGCTTTGGTACCCCACGCAACCACAGGGTTCCAGCCCTGGAACCATGCTGGCAAGATCGGCAGGGCCAGGCCTGCAGTTGTGATTTTCTTCAGACGATCGAAACCGATAAGCATAAACATGACGACAAAGCTACAGGCATATCATGATACAAGTGACCGACAAACATGGTGGATAACGACTTCCTGAAACCCTGCTCGATGCCACAACTTGAGGAGCTGAAGGCTCAGCTCTAGAGCGACAAGCCACGAATAGGGCTGATGTATTGGGCTGATGTTCTGTTTTTTGTCGACCGTCAGCCCCTTCAATACAGTTCAAGTGACACTAGACTTCAATTAAGTCACCCACGAGGCTGGTTCTCCACAAGACTTCCAGGGACATCTAGGCTCGACCAAGAAGGCTTTTAACGTGGCAGCTGTCAAAGCCCAGAAGTACAGGACTAAGCCCATTATGGTAACCGTTCAAGAAGCAGCATCGCCCTCAAGGTTGGAGGCTTTCAGATAAAGTTAAAAGCTTGTAAAGCTTGGCTGATCTCCGGTCAACTTTCTCACGCGCCATTAACCTCCCAACCCGCCTTTGATTCGGCATATCGTAATTGTTCAGACGTTAAATCTTGGATTGTGCTTTGCAGTCGCTGTCATCAGCACGCGTTCCTCATAGGGAGTGATCAGTCCCCAAAAAGACACCAAGAGCCCATGGCAATGTCGCACATGTCCCATTATTGGACACCTTGCCATCAGGATTTGTCTTTGGCCCCACGCTCGCCCACTCCGACCGGATACAAATCGGAATGGGCGCTGCTCGAATTGACCAGCTGTGATGCGCCACAAGGAATGCCAATATGATACGGCTGAGTGGTGGGGGCTTGCTGGAATTCTGTGCTGGTTACTAGCACAGAAGGTCTCTCGATTTCCGGCTTTCTAACTCTGTCTGCTCAGAAGAGGAGGCAACATCATATAAGCCAAGGCCTGGCCCACCTGGAGAGAGACAACATTCTCCAATTGTTATGGTGAAGAATACACTCTTTTGATTGAGAGATATCAGGTGGTTGCATCAGAAAGTCCGCAGATTGCGCACCATCACATCAAAACAGACATGCACTCTCCATCGAAAAGTCACGATGCTGACGTCGCCATTATTGGCATGTCATGCCGGTTTCCAGGCGATGCTACCTCTCCAGAGGCATTCCTTGATATGCTGAAGAAGGGTGGAACTGCCTGGTCAGAAGTTCCACGAGAGCGTTTCGATATCGATGCATATTACCATCCCTCGCATGACCATCGGGGAACTTCAGTGGCCAAAGGCGGCTACTTCTTGAAGGAGAATCCAGCCCAATGGGATGCCCCCTTCTGTAGGTTGTCCAATCTCTGGCCTTTGGTAGACACTAACATTATTCAGTCTCTACAACCGCCGCCGAGGCAGGCGCCTTGGATCCTCAACAACGGTTACTCCTCGAAATCGCGTTTGAAAGCTTCGAGAGTGCTGGGGTGCCAGTATCCAAAGTTTCCGGATCCGAAATGGCATGCTACGTGGGTGCGTTCGGCAAGGAGTACGAACACGTCGCTACGAGAGATCTGAAGGACAAACCCCAATACTCGGTCATTGGAAACGGCCAGTCAATGCTTTCCAACAGAGTATCCTGGTTTTACAACCTCAAGGGCCCATCTGCAACACTGGACACCGCTTGTAGCTCCTCGCTTGTTGCTCTACATCTTGCTTGTGAGACAATCCGATCCAGCCGCAGCAATACGAGGACAGCCCTTGCTGCAGGGTGTGGATTGATCCTAGGTCCTGAAACCATGACTTCTCTGAGTGCCCTGCATTTCCTCAGCCCTGACAGCAGGTCTTACTCGTTCGACGATCGCGCGAACGGGTACGCGCGAGGGGAGGGTTTCGGCGCTGTGCTGCTCAAACATATGGATGATGCGATCCGCGACGGTGACACCATAAGAGCTGTCATTCGAGGCACGGGCGTAAATCAGGATGGAAAGACCTCCGGCATCACGTTACCGTCGAGCGATGCACAGGTCAAATTGATCCGCGATACCTATGCATCTTGCGGCCTTGAACTTGGGAGAACAGCATATTTTGAAGCTCACGGAACAGGCACGGCCGCCGGTGACCCGCTTGAAGCCCATGCTATCGGCAACACATTTGGAGCCTTCCCAGGGCGAGAAAGTCCGATCTACATTGGCTCAGTAAAGTCAAATATTGGCCATCTGGAAGGCTGTGCCGGAATTGCTGGTGTGGTAAAGAGCGTTCTTTCGCTCGAATCGGGATACATATTTCCCCAGCATGACTTCAGAAACCCAAATCCGAAAATTGACTTGGAAAACTGGAAATTGGCAATCCCGTCAGCGCTGATACCGTGGCCAAGGCCGGATATACGCCGCATATCGATCAACTCATTCGGTTACGGCGGCACGAATGCTCATGTCATCTTGGACGATGCGCTCAATTACCTTCGTGAGCGTGGGCTAGCGGGGATTCACAACACAAATAATCAGCCAAGAAGCATTTCGGAGTCTAGCAGCTTTCAAGATTCAGCGATTGTTTCTTCCTATGAAGCAGGATGGGACGGCCGTCCCGAGTACTTTTCCGACATTTGTACTCACCAACCGAAGATTTTTACAATCATGTCTCCCGAACAAGCAGCAATACCAAGGTTGGCCTCGAACCTTGCAGCCTATATTGGGCAAAAGATCGCCGACGGTGAAGTCGATGCTAACCAGTGCCTTGACGACCTTGCTTACACCCTTAACGCGCGTCGCAGCACCTTCCAATGGCGATCATTCGTTACGGCATCTACAGCAAGTGAGCTACAGCAGGCACTTGAGGCGATTACAAAGCCATTGTCCAAGTCAAGCAAGATTCCCAAAATGCTCTGGGTCTTCACAGGCCAGGGCGCCCAATGGGCTGGAATGGGAGCGGAACTCCTCAAGAATGAAGTTTTTGCGAAGGTTGTCACTGCCGCAGACGAGTGCTTGAAAACACTTGGTGCGCAATGGAGTGTCAAGACCGAGCTCCTCCAGCCGTCGGAGAGCTCACGCATCAACGAGCCACAATACTCTCAGCCACTCTGTACAATCGTGCAAGTGGGTATCATTGAGCTACTACGACACTGGGCCATAGAGCCGTCTGTTGTTGTTGGTCACTCTTCCGGGGAGATCGCCGCTGCATATGCCATCGGCGCCTTGTCCGCAGCCGACGCATATAAGGTGGCCTACCACCGCGGTCGCCTTTCTCAGAAGGCAACAGGCATGGTAGCAGGCAGGTCAGGAGCAATGCTTTCGGTAGGTCTATCACGCCAAGATGTTGCTCCATACTTGAGTGCCATACCCAAACATTGTGTTGCGGTCGTAGCTTGTGAGAATAGCCCCTCAAATGTGACCATCTCTGGCGACAAGGAAGCATTGGATGGCTTGAAACAACGGCTAGAAGCGGACGAAGTGTTTGCCCGAATGCTCAAAGTCACCAATGCCTATCATAGCCCATACATGGAAATTATTGCAGAAGAATACCTCGAATCTTTGCAAGGCATCGCCCCAATCAACAATCAAGGCAACATCAAGATGTTTTCCACAGTAACTGCGACCCTTGTTGATCCCACGCAGCTTGGTCCCAAATACTGGGTGCAAAACATGACTCAGACTGTGCAATTCGTCGGAGCACTTGAAGAAATCTTCACGTCCGCTTTGCGAAAACAACGCAGGCGGCGGAATCAAAATGAAGAAGTGGACACAATCCTAGAGGTCGGACCCCACGGAGCACTTCAAGGACCCTTGAAACAGTTCTTGGTAAAGCATTCGCTGGCTGACCGCGTCACGATGAGCTCGATTCTGTCCCGAGGGCAGAACGCTTTGACCACCGCTCTGGACGCCGCAGGGAAGTTGTGGTCGCTCGGGTGTCCCGTTGATCTCTCGACCGTGAACAGATTTGACATCAATTCAAGAGCGCCACGCCTGTTGGTTGATCTACCCTCCTATTCATGGAATCATTCAGGTCGCTACTGGTCTGAGTCTTCTCAGAGCAGAAACCATCGATTCCCACTATGCGGCCGACTCGACTATACTGGGATGCCGGTAGAAGACTTCAATCCTGCGGAACCACTGTTCAAGAACAACCTGCGAGCTTCCGAGCTTCCTTGGTTGCTCGATCATAAGGTCCAGCACGACGTTATATTTCCTGGCGCTGGGATGATCTGTGCCGCAATAGAAGCAAGCAAACAACTTCAGGATAGCGGTAAGAAGCTCCTTGGCTTCGAGCTGCGAGACGTCTGCATTGGACAAGCGCTAATAATGCCATCCGACGATTCTGGCATCGAAACCTACCTGCAACTGAAACCTCGCAAGCTTGGTATGAGGTCGACCGCTTCCAGTTGGCAGGAGTGGACGTTCTATACCCTTTCCAAGCAAGGCGTCCCCACTGAGCATGCTTCGGGCCTTATTTCACTGACCTACTCTTTGCCTTGGTCGGAAGTTCACTCTGTCAAAGAAGATGACGCTGATCTGCAAAAGCAGCGTCAGGCACATGAAACGGCTCTCGAACAATGCACACGAACTATGAGCAAGACCAGTCACTATGACAGCATGCTAAAGGCGGGCCTCAATTATGGCCCGACTTTTCAAGGATTGGGGCAAATTCGCATCGGACCATCGACAGCATGTTCGACCATAACTATACCTGATACATTAGCTGTCATGCCCGGCGAAGTCGAAACCGAGAGTACCATTCATCCCGCAACGCTGGACGCCTTGCTTCAGAGTTGCTTCCCTGCCTGGGCTGCGGACGACTCAGATGCGCGCGAAGCAATGGTCCCTACCATCATCGGACGGATATTCGTTCCCGCTGACATGCCCCGCTCTGCAGGCGATTCTTTCGAGGCAGTGACCACGACGCGCCAGCGTGGCTACCGAGACTTGATTGCTCACATAATAGGTGCCAATTCAGCATGGAGCAGGCCGTCTTTGACCATAAATGGGCTGGTATTGACTGCTGTAGGGTCGACTGACGATGAAGGACCAGATTCCGAATTTCACAGCACTATGAGAGCCAAAATCTGTTCTGAAGTTGTTTTGCGCCCAGATGTGAATCTTCTCAGTCAGCAAAATGCACGCGTGATCCTTGCACAAGCTGTTGAACCACTGGAAACTCTACGCCGCTGGCAGCATGATAGTTCCAAGGCTGCAGCAATTTGGACCCAGAGAACGCTCAGGACTGTGTCTTCCACGACCATAGCGAGCACGGTGCCACATTTCAGACATTACTTCCAATGGCTGCAAGACAATCTTGCCATTGTCAAAGCGCGGAAACATCCTCACCAGCACGGATTTGAGGAGTGGCTGTCTATGTGCCAAGAAGACGAAGACGCTTTCCTCATCAACTTTGCGGCTCAAAATCCCAACGATGGCCTGTTGATGAATTGTGTCGCAAAGGAATTACCGGCACTGATGTTGGGGGAAACACATGCCCTCGCTATCATGACTCAAAACGACATGCTATCGAAAGCATACAAGGATGCTCACGGTCTGTCGTCTTGTGCCAACATTTGCCGAGATTGGATCGACCTCGCGGGCCACAAAAACCCTGACATGAAAATCTTGGAAATTGGTGCTGGCACGGGCTCGGTAACCTTTCCAGCTTTGAAAGCACTTGGCGGGAGCAATGGATCAACCGCCCGCTTCCAGTCATACACATTCACCGACATCAGTTCAGGATTCTTCGAGAAAGCTCAGGAATTGCTCGCTGAGTGGGGAAATCTCGTTGAATTCCGCAAACTGGATATCGAGAAAGACCCGCAGGAACAGGGCTTCGAGCTCCAATCCTTTGACGTGCTTGTGACAAGCAATGTCCTTCACGCAACCAGAGACATCAAAAACACCCTCTCCAATTGCATCAGACTTTTAAAACCCGGCGGACGTCTGATCCTGGGCGAAATTACCTATCCAGCCGACTATTTCATGATAGTTTACGGGACACTACCCGGCTGGTGGCTAAGTGAAGACGGCCGTGTTGGTGGACCTCTGATGAGCGAGTCGAAATGGGACACCAAGCTGCGCGAGGTCGGCTTTTCTGGTGTGGACTACGCTGTCAGGGATGCAGAAGAAGATGAGTTGGCACGGGCAATGTCGGTGCTTGTCTCAACGAAGCCTCTGGAAACGGCTCTCATCCAGTCCAATATCATGATTGTGGTGCAGCCAGACTCATCTGTACAGCAGGCAGCCGCTTCGGTGCTGTGCGATCTCCTGCTGGCCGCTGGAATCCAAAGCACCACAGTCCATCTGCACGAGGCCATCAGTCAAGCGACAGACTATCCTGTTATCAGCCTTTGCGAAGTTGACTCAATGCTCCTCTATGACGTCTCGTCCAGCGCGTTTGAAGACGTCAAAGCAATCACTACGGCGGCCTCGTGGATGTTGTGGGTTACTGCATCGCCCATACCGCATGATCCAAATCAGCGTGTCGTGTCTGGCCTGCTGAGATGCGCCGCAGCGGAAGCCGGAAACGCACATCATCATGAGCTTCATCTCAGTGGCGGTGTTCAAGGCAGAGTGGATCAAGCCATGGCACTGGTTTGTCAAGCGTTCACCAACAATCCACCCCGGGAAACCAGCGAGCAAGACGAGCATGAAATGATTGAAAGAGAGGGATTGGTTGCCACTCCACGCTACGTTGACTTGAAAGCCGCCAACGACCGTCTCGAGAAGCTTGGGAAGAAACCTAAACCTGAACTGCAACCTCTTATCCAAGCGGGACGTCCACTCACATTGACTGTGGGGTCTCCTGGCATGTTGGATTCCTTGTACTATGTCGACGATGACTCCAGCAACGGCCCCTTACCATCTGACTTTGTCGAGATCGAGGTCAAAGCCAATGGTCTGAACTTTGTGGATGTCATGATGGCCATGGGCAAAGTTCCAGAGAGGTATCTAGGTACCGATTCTGCTGGTATTGTCAGCTGTGTTGGCACCGCTGTTACAACCTTGAAATGTGGTGATAGGGTCGCCCTTTTAAAGCCTGCAACCTTCACCAATATTGTTCGTTCACATCACTCCTTCCCCCAAGTCATTCCAGACGACATGTCCATGGAAGAAGCATGTTCCCTGCCGGCGATCTTTTCCACAGCATACCAAAGTCTCGTCGAGGTCGCGCGTCTCCAGGCAGGAGAAAATATTCTCATACACGCTGCCGCTGGGGGTCTTGGCCAAGCACTGATCCAGCTCGCACAGTACATCGGAGCTGAAATCTACGCGACTGTCGGCACGGCTGCCAAAAAAGAGCTCTTGCTCTCACTCGGAGTCGAAGCGGATCACATTTTCAGCAGCAGAGACATCAGCTTCGCCAACGGAATCATGCGCATGACCAACGGCAGAGGTGTCGACGTTGCTGTGAACAGCTTGGCAGGTGAGATGCTTGCAAAGACCTGGGACTGTGTTGCGGAGTTTGGGAGATTCATCGAGGTAGGTAAGGTTGACATTTTCGGGAACACCGGTCTCGAAATGATGCCTTTCTTGGAGAATAGGATGTTCGCAGCCGTCAACATAGAGCACTTGGGTCGCAGAAGACCGGTGGCCATGGCAAAGGTGCTGAAGGATGTCTTCAGCCTCGTGCACAAAGGCATCTTCAGACCTGTGCGTCCGATCACGGTTTTTGACTACTCCGACATGGAGGCGGCATTCAGGACGATGCAGCAAGGACGTCATACTGGCAAGATCGTTCTCAAAGCCACTCCGCAATCGCTGGTCCCTGTCATTCCCAGAGACACGAATCCCCTTGTACTGAGCCCCAACGCCACCTACATCCTTGCCGGGGGGCTCGGTGGCCTGGGGCGCTCGCAGGCAACATACATGGCCAAGCATGGCGCCCGTCACCTGGTCTTTCTTTCCCGTTCCGGAGCCGCCAAGAATGAAGCTCAGGAGACGTTGAAGGAACTTCGTGCCATGGGGGTCAAGACTCGGGCCATTTCCTGCGATGTCGCCGACGCCAGCCAGCTGCAGCAAGCCATCTCATCCCTGTCGGGTGACTTCCCACCCATCAAAGGCGTCGTCCAAGGTGCAATGGTACTTAAAGATGGTCTCTGGGAGTCCATGACTCATGAGCGGTGGCTCGCGGCTACACGCCCGAAGATCCAGGGAACATGGAACCTACACAACATCCTTCCAAAGCACTTGGACTTCTTCATCATGCTTTCTTCGGCGTCCGGGATCAATGCTAGCCGCGGCCAGTCAAACTACGCGGCCGGAAACACGTTCCAGGACGCGTTTGCCACCTATCGTCGTAGCCTCGGACTGAAAGCCCAAACCTTGGACTTGGGAGCCATTACCGGCATCGGCTTCTTCGAAGAAAATGGCAAGCAGGATGCAAGCAATGCTCTCAATTTCGTCAAAGCAATTCATGTCAAGGCGGAGTGTTTCCTGTCAATGTTTGGAAGCGCAATGACAGGACGCATTGATGGCGATGACAAGCTCCCAGCCCAAGTCATTATGGGCGTTGGTAGCGGTGGTCTGAACCGCTTGAATACCGCGGATGGCAAGGGCCACGAGTTCTACTGGCTGGACAAGTTTTCAAGCTTTCGGTATCTCAAAAAGCTCGACACGCGCGGTGCAAGTGGTACAGGATCGAGCACCGACGGCGGCGGCGCTGAGTCGTTCCGGACACAATTAACAAGTGCAACGTCGATGCAGCAGGCAGTCGATCTTTGCCAGGACGCGCTGGTCGCCAAGCTCGCAAAGGCGATCATGATCAATCCAGCTGACATTGACACAACCAAGCCTCTGCACTCGTACGGAGTTGACTCGTTGGTCGCAGTCGAGGTGAGGAATTACATCATGCGAGAGCTGAAGAGCGAAGTCAGCGTGTTCGAGATTCTGGCAAACAACCCATTGGCCGAACTGGCTGTCAGTGTCGCAGGGAAGTGCAGACTGTTGCCCAAGGAATTGACCGAGGACATCGAAAATGCCTGAATATGCAACGATGGTTGATACTAGGAGATTTGTAACTTTGATTTGTGTAGCAACGTCGGAGTTTTTCATTTGGGCAGATCTACTCGCATAGTGTTTGGAAATTCTACTTCTCGCAGAGCTACGGAACTCCCCAGGTCTAAATTTGAGTTTTGCTCTTCTCCAGCACTTCGTCCAGCTGGACTGGTACCAGTCTCGATAAATCCATGTGGCTTTTGCGAAGCGGCACACCTGTCCACCGTACTGCTTCACGACGAATGGTGAGCGGATGTCGAATCGCATCTCGGAGAAACAATGCCCGTCGCTGTGTAGAAACCTTGGACGACTCTGCCTGTGGTAGAATGAGAGCGAAGTTGCGCGGCATCATGGAGTATTGCTCTACGACACACGTAGTGAGACGAGCATACCTCCATACATTAGGATGTGCCGGAATCCGACGTGTTCCGGCGCATTAACAATCTTCCGGGCCACAAAATTATTTTATTAGTTTGCCATTCTGTGTCTCCAACTGGCGCTTTCTCGAGAATCACGATGCGTTTTATTGGTCTGTTTGGCACCTTTTCATCGCGTTTTATTGGCCACCTAACCACGGGACCAAACCGCGCTTTACTTGAGGAACTATGAGGATGTTTGGTGCGCCGCACAGCGACGGTGCGACTCGAGTTTGAACAGAGGTGGCTCGGCTGGAGGAGTGTAGCTTAGCTACGAGCCGGTAGTGCGAACATGGGGCAGCTGGGCATCGACCAAAAATGTGCATGCCTTTGCACACACTCCACCGTACCTCTGTCCTCACTCAGGCAAAGAACAATGGGAGGATGGATGCGGGGAATAGTGGAGAAAGGGCGCGCATTTCCCGGGTATTTGCGGCCGTTAATCAGTGAGGTTAGCGCTCTGTGCCTCTAGGCATGCGCCCGCTCTGTACATAAAGGCATTACGTTCCAGAGAGCAACCGATCCGGAAGTATGCTTAGATGCGCTGAGATAGTCCGTCCTTTTACTATTGGCCAAAGCAAACAACGCGTTGAAGTGTACTGTCAACTAATATTGACTCCGAACAGGATGTCCGCCTTGCTCAAGCACCCTCTAGTGGTTCAAGAGATCTCGGTCCTCGGAGGGCTTGGGTATTGCGGTGTTCTGCTTCTGCTGACTGTTGCTTGTAAGTTCCTTGTCTTCGCAAGCTCCCTGGCTCGACAGCAACCGGCATCCAATCCTAAGTGATATTGCAGGTATCTGTTGGACTTGCCGCAACAAAGGTTTCTGGACATCACGCTCCGCCAATGCGAAATGGATTGCTGGTCCAAAAGGGAAGCCTTTTACAGGAAACCTTCACGAGCTCAAAACAAATGGCGCGGCTAGCTGCGAGGCCTGGTACTCCTTGTACAAGCGGTACGGAGCTGCATACGAAATGACAGTTCCTTTCTTTCGCATGCATATTATCAATCACCCTACTTATCTCGAGCACATCCAAAAACATAACAGCAAGAACTACATCCGTGGCGCATTCACTCGGCACATTTTTGGACCGCTCCATAGAAGCGGCATTTTCGTCGCCGACGGCCTGGAATGGCAAACACAACGCAAAGCAGCCTCCCGGGCATTCAGCAAGCGTAACTTTGAAACGCATATCACGCATTCTATCCATTATTGGCTCGATATTCTTTTGCGTCTTCTCTCCAACTTGGCTAAGGAGCAGAAAGAGTTTGACTTCCAGGAATTGATGGGACGTCTTATGTTCTGCCTCTTCCTTCGAGTTGCTTTTCATGAGGATAAGCTCGCTTTGGAGATTCTGTCTGATGATCCCAAGAGCTTGGAGTCGAAACCTGAATTTGTCGAGGCATTTGATCAAGCTACTCATTGTGAGTAATCTTCTTTCAATCGCATTCTGGAGTTCAGTGGCTAATCTGCTTGCAATATAGTATTTGACCGCAGGAGACGCGATCCTCTCTGGAGGATCACCGAGAAGCTCTCTGGCGAAGATGCAGTTACGAAGAGAGCCGTGGATCTCTTCTATGCAAAGATTGATTTTCTTATCGAGAAGCGTCTCGATAAGATGAAGAATGGTTATAATCCTAATCCCGACGCTGGAGTTGACCTTCTCGACTTGTTCATGCAGTCGACAAGCGACAAATACACCCTGGGTGGAATGGTGTACTCCTTTCTATCGGCTGGTCGTAAGAAGTAGCCCATGCAAACTTTGACCTATTACTAACCTTATATGAATCTAGGTGACACAACGACATATAACACCTCATGGTTCATGAAGGAGATTCACCATAGAGCCAACCAACATCTAGAAGCTTTGGACAAGATTCTAGCTGAGACCGAGGAGCTGGGCTTCACCACTGGCTACCTGAACTACACAGATGCCCCGGTAAGTCATGAACCGAGTATTGTTTCCAATTGGCCATCAATGCGAGCGGACTAACGCCATACCTTGTAGAGGCTGCGGTTTACGAACGCTATGTGGGACGAGTGCACTCGGCTCAACACTGTGTCTCCAGCTGGTCAGTTGGAGGCCGCTGAGGATGATATTCTCCCGGCGGTGCCTGAGCTGAATATGCCTCCTCGCCGCGTTAAGAAGTGAGAAGCTATCCTCCTGTCGTACTCGTTAATAAGTTAATACTAATTGGTTCTACACAGAGGCGATCTCGTCAGCTATCAAAACTATGTTATGGCCCGCATGCCGGAAATCTGGGGAGAGGACGCTTCCATCTTCAACCCCTACCGATGGTTCAAGGAGAACGGGGAGAGCATCTCCTACAGTCCTTTCAGTAAGCAGGGGAACTCGATTCCAAAATGGAGAATATTTATGAGATTACTGACGACCCTTCTCTAGAATATCACGCTTGGAACGCTGGCCCGCGCAGTTGTCTTGGACGTCCACTCGCCACGTACGAGGGCATCACCATTACGGTTGCGATCCTCCAGCACTTCGATATCATTCTTTCAGACGATAGCAGGCTATATAAGCCCCTTGCAGCTATGAACATGGTATAACTCTCCCACTATTGAAATCATGAAGGTTTGCTGACGATCGCTTCTCGACAGGGTATTCAAGGAGGTCTTCCCATGCGAGTGAGGGAAAGGAAGCACTCATAAAAGCTTGAAACCTCAAATCGAATTTGTGGAGGTCGAGCGTTGATAAAATGTTCCCATCTATAGTGCCAATGTGGTCCCTTAATCGTGGAGAGCTGCGTCTCCGTCTTAGCAAGTCGTAAGCAAAAAGCGTTGGATTCTCTCGCAATTTCCACTAAGCCTGAGGTCCAATTCGCGTTCAATGAAGCAGTCAATAACCAAATAACCATTAGCTGGAGTCCAGAGAGGATGCGAAGCGCCTTGGATGTCGACACTTCATTGCCGCCATTCCGAGCTGCCCGCCTATCCATCTTTGGTTCTCACGCTAACTGGTTGTTGTGATACGTGGTCGCCAGGTTCGCCTCATAGTGGGGTAAGCTCGGCAACTCGGCACCTACGGCACAGACGACTTCCTGCAGTATGGTTCAACGAGACGTACCGAACCTACTACAAGGTCAACAAAACCAACGCTCGGGTATCTACGGCCATTTCCTAGTCTGGGCCCACGTCATGCCACGAAGCTACCGGAGCATCTTGCACCGAGCTTCACCGATCTAATCTCGTTGCTCGACCGAGGCTATTCACCTCTTCTGCGTGTCGTGCCGTGTTGTGTCATAGGAGAGTGTGTGCGCCGGTCATTTTTTCATGGTCTGAAATTCTTGTCTCGGGATATCTCACGGATCAGAATGGCCAGTACAGCTGATGCGATGGCTCTGGATCCTGTCCCGGACCCAGCCCAAGTTACGTCAGGCAGAGACCAGACCTTCAAACGCGTCTATCAAGCGTGCGAGAGCTGTCGACAAAAGAAACAGAAGTGCAGCTTGGGGGATCCAGCATATCCCAAGCGGCCTTGTAATGCCTGTCGTAGAGCCAATTTGTTGTGTGGTAGGTTCGTGACGTGCTATCGGCGACTGCGCCCGCTCACTACGCCTCAGTCCTCCCCCCAAAAAAGCGAAAAGGCCGGCCTCCAAAGAAATCTGGGCACGATGTTAGGAAGGAGGAACTATATGCGGGGACCATTACCACGAGCAATGATGACTTCCAATTGCCCTACCCAGCCAACAAAGACCAGCAGTCCTCTTGGGAGACGTTCATGGGGTCTCTTAGACCTGTCGTGGGAGATCATGAAGATGTTACAACGAGGACGCCTGGGTCGAGCGAGAGTCATAGTCACCCACAGCTACCAAGTTACGACCAACAAATCGCCAGTAAAACTTTGGCGACGTTCCCCTTGAGAAACACATCAGATGCTATCCGACTACTGGACCAAGATCGAACACCGTTAGGTTCAGAGCAGTCCAGTGGGGCGGATGTGTTAGGTTTCGGTTCTTCCAGACAACAGTTCTTCCTCCTTCGAGAAGGCCTCCTAGACGAGGCGACACTCTTCAGACTGTTCCGCTTTTACCTAGCGACATTGCACCCCATAATGCCACTCATCCCGTGTGAAAGGATACCGACGACATCCGAGCACATCCTCACGACAGCGGGGAGGGAGCCTCATTTCATAGCTGCAATCCTCGTGGTGACGACCGGGCTATTAGGGGAGCATACCTTGCACCATCATCTATGGCAGAGAGTGGAGCGGCTCTTTGCCGAGGTCGCGATCAGGGGGACGAATGAATCTTTAGAGATGATCGAAGGATTATTACTGCTATCAGGTATGGGAGCTCCGACGCGAAAATTCTTTGCGACCAACGAAATTGTTGACGTGACTTATAGAATATCCACCAAATATGGGCCACACGACGGGTCTGGGTTTCGAAGATCGAATGTGCTGGATGACGGTCGGCACGGTGAGTTAGACACTCAGTGGCTAGGATACCTTACTAGTGCTGACATTTCCACCGAGGCCGTCAGGCTGGGTTACCTCCTGGGCCTTGAGCAGCTGGTCATGCAGCCAGATGATATTGAGGAGAGATTTGTCGACGATCGAGGTAGAGGGAAGATTGTATGGTCTTGTGAGTCGAAACTGCAAGCGCGCGTGAATTAATGTCCGTCCGACTCACCAGCCACTCTACGATCAGATTGCTTCCTCCTCGATCGACAAATATCCATTCGCGTTGGAAAACCATTCTGGCATCGAAGTGAGTACAATTCAGCATGGACAGAACCTTAGTGGTCGGCCTGTGAGCTTGAGAATGCAGCTGATGACGCAACGTGACTGCCAGGTCCTGGGATGACGATTCAGCACCTGCACTTTGATCCGGCCGATGACTTCCCTCAGATGCGCGAGATCGAGGGCCTTCAAGACGACTACGCCGCATACTTGCAGTGTCTCATGCATATAACGCAGATACTGAGTAATGCGCACGACCTGTTATACCCCTCGAAAAGCCACTCGCTGGCCATCGCGAAGGCCGAGCACTACTACAAGCACATTGACGAATTTACCGAAGGTAAGAGTGAACCTTATCGCTCGGCGTTTTGTTTCTGATGTGTTTCTCTGCTGACCTGGCCTCATGATAGCGCTATCCGCAGTCCGGAACAGATGGCAAAAGAAGCCATGGAGGACCTATCCGATCAATGAATGCGTCTGGATATCGTTCGTGAGTACTTGGTCCCGCCTCGACTCTTCTAACAAAACTAATCAGCTGCCCTCACAGCACCATCTGCGCCTGTATATCTATTCATTCTCCTTGCAGGCGCATATGCAACGGGCAGAAAGCTGTAACGATGGTCGCCGGCCACTAGTCTACTTTCCCACAGGTCTGATGGGCAGCGTTGACGCTCGTTTCATCATTGAGGCAATGAATGCAGCGGTACGATAATCAGCCATGAACCCAACCGTCTTGGAATCTTCAGATAGCTAACTACCTATTTTGACCTTGCAGGCCGATGTGCTTCGCCTGGCCATAGGCAGGTTTCAGCCTTCCGGGGTGGGTTAAACCATTCCTCCACCGGTGTTATCCCCCACCAGAACACCACACTTATCTAAGTCACCTCTCAGTCTTTAGCATACCTTCCGTTGAGGTTCTTCCTCTTCTTCAGTCACGCAGGCGTATTCCTACTCAAGGCAGCAGTGATTGTCCCACTACCACCATCGCAGAAAAGGGCGATCCTTCACCTAATCCGCGCCCTCATCAGTTGTATGTCGATGGCCTCATCGGACCCCAGACATCCCGCCGTGCGCAATTCATCTGCCCTCGATGGACTCCTGAGACGCATATATCGCGATCATGACATCCAGACGCCCGCCGTTACCTATTCGCCCTCGACTGGCGTGAATCGCTCCGGCCCGAGCGCCAACTCGACGGACCCTGCTGTTGCCTCCAGGTCTCGCCCGAGCGATACCGACCTGCCGACCTTCCTTGGGAGCCACGAGTCTCCCTTTGTCGCGGAGCGGCCGTTACAGCAGCTCGCAGCGGACATTGACGCCGTATTCGGGGTTGAACAGGGTCACCCCGACATCACTGTACCGCTGGCCGCCGAAAATACTAGTAATGATCTCCCTACGATCGCGCCTGCATCTGACATATTTGCTTCACTCTTCAATTACGACGACCGGGACTTTTGGGACGGATTCACTCCAATGGCTTTTGACTGAATCACAAGTGCATAATGTCTAATAAGTAATTTGTAAGACCGGCTGCAATGGCAGATGGAGAACCAGAACCATAAACTGCTCCACCCTTCCCTAAAAGCCTCAATCAGAGAGGGCCTGCTGCCCTTATAGTAATCCTGCCACGCACAACAATCCTAGTTCAGCTATATTGTTGCGTGCCATACTCGTAATGCAGAAGGCAGCAGGGGCTGTAGGAAATGGTCCAGGTCGATGACTGGCCAATGAGAAAGTCTCCGGGTGGAAATGCGGAGAGGCCGGCTCAAGACCACTGCGCCGGCTACTTTAGGTCTATTCCGGCTCTTTTCCAGCGGGGAAATGCGCCGGTTTTCTGATAGGTTTCTGTCTTGAACCCAATTGTTCCTGCTTCGGGTCTATTCCTACCGGCATGCTTCGCTTCTCGTTGCAGTGGAGCCCCGCGTGGAGTCCCCACGACGACCTACAAAGACTCGGCTTGGTCCAGATCGACTTTTCGTCGGAACATCTGCCTTCAATCGAAAGAGATGCAGCCTGCGACCGCTCAGCCACACCCTCCCATGATCATGTCTCTTAAAGATAAAGCGGGCACCCATTGCGAGCAGGAGCACTGCCTCCATGACGATCCCAAGATTATCGAAGCAGCTGCTCCAGAGTATGTCGAGGGCACGCCACAGGAGAAAAGGCTGGTCAGGAAGATCGACATGCATCTCATTCCAATCTTGTGGGCTATGTACGTCTTCAACTATCTCGACCGAACCAACATTGGTGTAAGTGCAAATTTTGAAGTGCGATATACGTGCAAGTCGCGACTGACTCCTGCTGCAGAATGCCAAAGTTGGAGGAATGGAAAAGGACCTCTCATTGAGCTCCTCCGACTACTCCCTGATTCTCTCCATCTTCTTCGTCGTAAGTCAAACAAGCAAACCGAGTCGAGGAGACATTCTTACGTCGTGACAGGCGTATTTGTTGTTCGAACCCCCTGCTGTCATGGTCTTGGCTAGAACGAAGCCAAGTATTTTCTTGCCCTCGATCATGGTTGCTTGGGTCAGTTCATTGGTATCTAGGTCTTGTGTTGCGGAAGTCTAACTCGCATCCAGGGAGCTGTCTCGGTCGCCATCAAGGGTATTGATAGCCTTGGCAGTATGATCGCTTTCCGCGTCGCTCTTGGTTTCCTCGAGGCCGGGTTCTTTCCCGGGGTGATGCTCGTGCTTTCTTGCTGGTACAAGGTTAGTTATCCCTATATAATCCTATGAACTCTCTGTGTTGATGATATACAGCCTTCAGAGCTATCGAAACGAATCGCGGTGTTTTATACCGCCACGATTTTGGCCGGCGCCTTTGGAGGCCTACTCGCTGGCGGGATCATTGATGGAATGGAAGGTGTTGGAGGTGTGCGTGGGTGGAAGTGGTGAGATGAGATCACATTCAGTCTTGATAAGCGCCTACTTACTTTGAATTAGGCTGTTTATCATCGAAGGCCTGGGAACGGTCGTCGTCGGCGTCGCCGCGTTTCTCCTCCTGCCAGGTATGTCACCAGAATGAAGATATCGAAATAGTCGGTTAACAATGCAACAGATTATCCCACCAACACCAAGTGGCTTTCCGAGCAAGAAAGGAGGCTAGCCACCACACGCTTGGTCATTAGAGAAGATCTGGACAAAAAGATGCATTACAAGAAGGCCATACTTCTGTCGCTAAAAGACTGGAAGTTGTGGGTGAGTAGCGATGAGAGTTCCGATCGAAGGGTAATGCTAACCATAAAAGCTGTTCATGCTCTCACTGAACACTATCTTGGCTTCGGGCACGGTCTCGTATTTCTTTCCAACTCTCATGGGGGCTTTGGGCTACAAGGGCCGCATGGTACAATGTGAGTGAAGCTGACTTGGACGTTGATCACTATCATACTGACCCTCACGCAGTCATGACCGTACCTATTTACGCCGTGACTTTGGTTATCAACCTGCTCATGGGCTTTTCCGCCGACTATACCGGACAGAAAGCATACCACGTCCTCGGTTGCTCCACCCTTGCCGTTATCTCGTTCATAATTTGCGCGGCGAGCAAGAATTTCGCCATCCGCTATGCTTTCATCTGTTTTGGATTTGCTGGGGTGCAGAGCTGCGTGCCCTTACTGATCAGCTGGGAAGTCACCATGTTCCCAGGTCGAGAGCGACGTGCTTTCTCGGTGCCGCTCATCAATGGCTTCGGTAAGCCCTGACACTACCTCCATAAGCATTTCTGGCTCACTGATCTCCGTTAGGTAACCTGGCCTCCGTTTATGGGCCTTTCATCTGGCCCGCCCATGACGCACCCCGATACATTATGGGATTTGCCGTGATGACCATGTTCATGTTCATTGCAGGCTCCATTGCGCTAGTCATTAAGAAGATCTGGGACGACAAGGGTCTCGAGAGAATCGACTACGAAGCGCAGGAGAGTGAACAGCAGAATAAGTGACGGAAGTATGGTTGAGAGTGGTCGTCAAACAGTTCTGGCTTCGGTGCTCGACGATGTAATGGGGAACAGTGTAGAAGTGCCATATCTGTAAAGATGAGTCGATAGCTTGGGCATACATTCTATTATCCCATCATTTTCGCATTCAAGTTGGAAGGAAGAAAAGGAAAATATATATTATACCATGCACGGGACAACAGCACATCATATCACACGGCCTCCACCACTTTTGGTTGTCACTGGTTCAATTTGTCCGGCTCTGACTCCCATTCTCGATTATTGTCCGTTCCTCGACTCAACTTATAGGACTCTTTGCCCTTGTACTGGGCCGTGTTCCAGTTCTGTGCGCGCTGCTTCACCCAGCTGCGTCGCTTAATAACGCTGCCTCTTCATTCACACCTTGAACGAATTGGACGTCGAAATAGCGTTGGTCGAGGAAATCTAGAAAGGCAGACAATGTGGTTCGAGCGGCAAAAGACAGTGCCTCCACCCTAATGGAACAACCGAAGAGTTACGATCTAAAACTAAAAACTCCTTGGCGGTCTAGTGAATCAGTATATTCGGTGATAATTGATAAAGACAAAAAGACAACACCAATGATAAATGCTATTCTGTAATCTTGTTGGATTGATCTTGACCCTGTGAAGAGACTTCGGCTGCGCTGACGTAGAGATGCCGAGTGCGATGGCCATCTCTTAAACTGTCAATGGACGGTGTGCCCCCACTACAATCTAGAGGATTCTCTAGACGCTATTTTCTACTTCCTAGGCACTCAGCTCAAAATCGTCTCGTACGCGTCTTCCACGGCTGATAGAAGTAACTCAATCAATGCTTCTTCTAGGCGTATACTATTTTGGAGAGTCTTATAGGTATCCTCAATAGCTAGATAGAGCTATAGATAAGTGCGATACTCTATCTTTAGAAGTATAGTCTTTAGTCAGTCTTTAGTTTAACTATCTAACTGTAAGTCTCTCGTAAGTTATTCGACTTATATACGGATAGCTAAGTCAATCTCTTAATAAATCTACTTATTCTTTACTTCGCCTCGAAGTCGAATTGTAGAAAGATCGTTCAACGTCTTCTAGAATGTTACGACCTGGTCTGCGGCCGTGATGTAACCAGGACCTAGGACAGTGCAAAAGAGTAGGTTACGCGAGGGTCACGGCCTCGTTAGCAAGGCTACGGAGGATCACGTATCACGCTCAGTCTACCCGTATAACTCGGCTTAGGGAATAGAAAAATCTCCTCGTTTTTCGATCTTTTATCGACTCTAATGGCCTTTATAAAGGCTTAGCTATCCGTTAAACTCTTTTATAACCTTATCGGATTGATATTTAATATCGACGCAATATATTAATTTCGAACGATAAAGAAGTTCCTTAGTATATCGGGTATACTAGAGACTTCCTTAGTATATCGAGTATACTAGAGACTTTCTTAGTATACTAGATATACTAGAGATTTCCTTAGTATATTAGATATATTAGAGACTTTTTTAGTATATCGAGTATACTAGAGATTTTCTTAGTATACTAGATATACTAGAG